CTGCTGTCAGACTGTACAACGAGAATGTGTAACAGGAACTGCTGAGTCTGCACAAGTGTCACTGATAATTCACCAGTAACTTTGTCACTAGTCACTTTACCTGTTATCAGTACTACTACAGTATTATTTCATATCTGATAATTCTGCCTTTCACCGTCACTTTACCTGTTGATATCTTACTGTATTATTACATATCCATCTGATAATTCTCCCATTCAAGTCACTTTACCTGTTGATATTATTTCTGATGTTTATTCTGCTCATATTCATATTCTCATATTCTCCGCTGCTAATGTATAATATAGACATCTGTAAATACTCCGAACCAAGTGCAATTATAGATAGTTTATCTTATTTTATTTTATCTTAAATGTATTGTCTTATCTTAAATAATACTTTGATGTGTGCAATCTGAGTGCCCTTATTTCCTTTCTCTGCTGTAATGTGCGCAACAATGACACTGAAATTTCTCCACTGTGAGACAAATAAAGGTTTATCTTATCTTAATATAAAATTTTAATTTTTTGTCATGAATCAACAACAAGTGGGACACAATCGTGAAGTGGAAAAAAAATTACTGGATAATTTAAACTTTTAAAACTGAAAAGTGGGGCATGCAATATTATTTGGCCCCTTTACTTTCAGTGCAGCAAACTCACTCTAGAAGTTCAGTGAGGATCTTTGAATGATCCAATGTTGTCCTAAATGACTGATGATGATAAATAGAATGCACCTGTGTGTAATCAAGTCTCCGTATAAATGCAGCTACTCTTTGATAGTCTCAGGGTTCTGTTTACAATACAATACAATACAATACAATTTATTCTTGTATAGCCCTAGGTCACAACAGAAGTCATCTCAGAGGACTTAACAAAACCATTGAAATCACCAACACAGGTCAGAGAATCAACAGTTAAAACACATGAAGAATATAAAGCACACACAGAAGAAAATGTCCATACATGTTGTAGAATGCTAAAGTGTCCTGATCATCACCAATCCTTTCTGTTGGACACTAACTGTCCAACAAGACCCTCCTGCATCGACAAGGAAAAACTCTTAAAAAACCCAGTGGGAAAAAGTGAGAAACCTTGGAGGAGAACTAGGGAAACCCACAGGGAGGGAGACCCATATGAGGGAGACCCAAAAGTTTAAAGTGCAGAGAGAACCATGAAGACAAAGGAACACACCAGGCAGGTCCGAGATACTGTTGTGGAGAAGTTTAAAGCCGGATTTGGATACAAAAAGATTTCCCAAGCTTTAAACATCTCAAGGAGCACTGTGCAAGCAATTATATTGAAATGGAAGGAGTATCAGACCACTGCAAATCTACCAAGACCCGGCCGTCCCTCCAAAATTTCATCTCAAACAAGGAGAAGACTGATCAGAGATGCAGCCAAGAGGCCCATGATCACTCTGGATGAACTGCAGATAACTACAGCTGAGGTGGGAGAGTCTGTCCATAGGACAACAATCAGTCGTGCACTGCACAAATCTGGCCTTTATGGAAGAGTGGCAAGAAGAAAGCCATTTCTCAAAGATATCCATAAAAAGTCTCGTTTAAAGTTCTCCACAAGCCACCTGGGAGACACACCAAACATGCGGAAGAAGGTGCTCTGGTCAGATGAAACCAAAATCGAACTTTTTGGCCACTATGCAAAACGATATGTTTGGCGTAAAAGTAACACAGCTCATCACCCTGAACACACCATCCCCACTGTCAAACATGGTGGTGGCAGCATCATGCTTTGGGCCTGCTTTTCTTCAGCAGGGACAGGGAAGATGGCTGAAATTGATGGGAAGATGGATGGAGCCAAATGAAGGACCATTCTGGAAGAAAACCTGTTGGAGTCTGCAAAAGACCTGACACTCGGACGGAGATTTATCTTCCAACAGGACAATGATCCAAAACATAAAGCCAAATCTACAATGGAATGGTTCACAAATAGACGTATCCAGGTGTTAGAATGGCCAAGTCAAAGTCTAGACCTGAATCCAATCGAGAATCTGTGGAAAGAGCTGAAGACTGCTGTTCACAAACGCTCTCCATCCAACCTCACTGAGCTCGAGCTGTTTTGCAAGGAAGAATGGGCAAGAATTCCAGTCTCTTGATGTGCAAAACTGATAGAGACATACCCCAAGCGACTTGCAGCTGTAATTGCAGCAAAAGGTGGTGCTTTTCAGTTTTTTATTTGTTAAAAAAGTTTAAATTATCCAATAAATTTCGTTCCACTTTACGATTGTGTCCCACTTGTTAGAGCCCTGCACGGGCCTATTATCTGGGCCCGAGCCCGGCCCTGGCCCGAGGGGGTGGCACCCAAGCCCGGCCCGGCCCGATATGGTTTCTGAATTTTCAGGCCCGAAACCTGCATCAAGCCCGCCTTTTTTTTTTTTGTAACCTCCCATAACAATGTTTTAGCGTAGTATATAGTGCTGCACACTGATATGAACGCAGACTTAGCTAGAGGGCGGAGTTATACATGGTAGTGATGTGTTGCAATGAGTTCTGTGTGTGCGGAGTGGTGCAGAGTGAACGGCCGCATCTGTATGATGCCCAGATGCTGCAACACACCTGTAAGTAACGCTATGTGCCGTCAATGACAACACTACACAGAACAACAAACTCTACAGCGTGATAGAACGCTATATTCAGTGGGTGCGTTCGTAAATGTATTCTGCCGCTCCGAAAATGTAGAGCCCGAGCCCGGCCCGTGTCCGAGGTCATTATGTGGTCATCGGCCCGAAGCCCGGCCCTCGGGCTGTCGGGCCGTCGGGGCCCTCGGGCCAAGGGCTCAAGTGCAGGGCTCTACCACTTGTTGTTGATTCTTGACAAAACATTTATTTTTTATTTCTTTATGTTTGAAGCCTGAAATGTGGCGAAATGTTGAAAGGTTCAAGGGGGCCGAATACTTTCGCAAGGCACTGATATATATATATATATTATATTTAACATTTATTAGAGGGGCGACAGTAGCTCAGTTGGTAAAGCATTGGCCTTTGGGCCTGGAGGTCGTGAGTTCGATTCCCACCATGGGACCTACTCCAACTGCTCCCACTGATGACTGCTGTCGTTGTGTCCTTGGGCAAGACACTTAACCCCACGTTGCCTGAAGCCCCCCGCTGAAAGATCAAGGCGGTTTCTCAACTGATGGAGCAGCCATCAGGGGGTGAGTCCTGCAGAGGATCAGCGAGGGACTGGTGCTATGAGCATTGGGTGGCAGCTCTCATTGCCACCCCCCCGACCCAGAAATGGACAAATAAAGGGGTTGAAAATGAAATAATATATATATATATATATATATGTTATTTATGCACATGTAAGTATCATAACAATATATCAGTGATGGGTATTTGGTGACAGGGGGTAGGCCCAGATAAGCTGTTCCAGCTTCTGCCAACTCCCTTTTGGCCTATTGTTTTTTTTGTGTTTTTTGTTGTTGTGGTTTTTCGTTTTTTTTCTCAATGCATCTCTTTTGTATCATTGATTTTGTATCTTCTAGATGCCCAAATAAACACACTTAAACTTAAACTTAAAGAGAGATCAGAGAGAGACCAAAGAGAGACCAGAGAGAGACCAGAGAGAGACCAGAGAGAGACCAGAGAGAGAGAGACCTGAGTGTGTTTGTTATTATTGCATTTCCTGTGTTTGATTCTCAGATCTATTGTTGGCGAATCCATAACTTTGTTCATTGAGACGACGACGGATGTGATTTAAGGCGATACACAAATACATTGAAATTGGAGATTGTTGAAGCAGAATAGAAGCATCTACAGCCAGATGTAGGTTAGTATCATCCTCAGACCTGGACTCACTTCAACAGAGGAGCTTAAAGACAAAACATTCCGTTCATCTCTCCCAAAGTGTGCTCATATCGAACACATTACTAACCTGGTGATACCTGGTGAGATGTTGAAAAACCCATGGCCAACAACTTCTGTCCTTTTTCTACAATAACAGACCAGGGCAAAGTGTGGCCCAGGGGCTACATATGGCGCCTTCACACAGGCCCTGTCCACACGTAGCCGGTATCTGCTAAACCGCAGATATTTGTCTTCGTTTGCACCTGTCATCCACATGACAACGCATCATAAACAAATATATAAACAAACTCCAGGCAAAGTGAAGATTTTTTTGAGTGTAGACAGAGATAACTGGAGCTTTGCGTTTTCGCACGTCACAATATGAGCCAAAATCAACAACCAAGGAAGCATGGATCTTACTACCGTAAAAACTGTGGTTCCACCGGATCATGCTGTGGCGCAGCAGCAAACATCCTCGCTCCACATCAGACAGCAGCAAAGTGTTCATGGGGACTCATGCTCGTAAACAACCAAAACAGGAGCTAAACCAGGACTAAACTAAACCAGGACTGAACCAGGACTAAACCAGGACTAAAGCAGGACTAAACCAGGACTGAGGACGGGGGTCAGTGCTTGTGAACGTCTTTACCCTGAGTGACTACTATGACTGTAAGTGCCACTACAGAAATACCGGCATCAGCATCAAAGCTCCGCCCACGTCAGTGTTTTTCCCCAACGCAGGACGTCAGAGACGCACATGTTTGGAATGTTATAAATGGGATTGAAAACGCATATGTACGGTTAGGTGTGGATGAGTTTTTTTTTTAATTGTGGATACAAATTATTCTATAAAACGGAGGGGGGGAAATATTCTGTTTTAAAATACCCAGTTGCGTGTGGACATGGCCAGTCTCCCCGTTAAAATGAATCCTAACCAAATGAAGGTTTGCAACTATGCGAGTGCTACGATGGCATAACTTTCTAATCCATAATAACAATACCTTACTTATAACCTTTGGTTGAATCTGAAAAATCTAAAGACAACTACAAAAAACCAACCATATTTAAACAAAGTAATAATTTCCTCAAAGTACCTAAAACAACATAACAAATTGTCCAGCCTTCCACAATATGCGACATCCCAAAGCCCCCCAGGAGAAAGCACTCCCCCCTCGAGAGTAAACTGAGGTATCTCTTACCGTGTACCGCGAACACATTACAGGGCTGGCTCCCGTGTCGTGATGACTCCTTCTTTCCACCTTTGATGAAAGCTGGCAGACTGGGTCTCCTCTGGTCCCCTGCAAATTTTCCCGGCTGCTGCCCCATAAGGGCAGAATGCCAGGCCGCAGCCGGGACTCTCCAAGCCGGACAGCGCTGTTTAATGCCCAAATGATTGGTGTTTGAGCAGAGAAGAAATAAGAAGACCGGTCCAGCCCCGTCCACAAACGTCTGGGAGCCCGGCAGATATGGAGGCCTCAGGTGTTGCGTTATTCATTCATTGAAATAACTCTTATGACATCAAATGTCACATAACAGAGCTTCAGATGAACCTGTGGAGAAAAACAAAACCATATTTACCATAAATATACCATGTAATTGTGGTTAACTATAGTCTTTAATCAACATAGATCAAGCCTTATCCCTGATATTACAGCACTATAGAGTTGTGATGTTAATTACATACAGTGGTGTAGTTTTCAGATTAAACCAGGTTCACATGGGGAGTAAAGGTTTTAAGCCCCTATTTAGTCTAGTCTCAGGTTTAGTCCCTGTCCTAATCCCTGGTGTAGTTTTAATCCCAGGCTTGGCCTAGGGCTGATTTACTCCCAGTCCTGGTTTAGTCACTGTCCTAGCCCCTTTCCAGAGTTTAGTCCCTGGTTTAGTGCTGGTCCTGGCTAGTCCACACATTCACAGTAACATCCAACTATACAGTATTGTTGTTGTTGCTATAAACTTTATTTCCTCCTCCTCTGTGACATTGACAATAATTTGGCGATGTAACTTAGGCAAGTTTATTCGTATAGCACAGTTCATACACAATTGAATCCTACATCTTAAAGATTCCAACAATAAACTGTCAGCCTCTGCAAAAGTCTCCAGCGAACTGACAAATCCCAACTTGTCTAAACTTTTAGCGACAGAAAACACATGTGAATAATGCAGGGTGAGCTCATACTTATGGCATTTATTGAAGTCACTCATAAAATCCTCTGTGCTCAAGATCCAGGCGTTTTACCTTTAAATGCAGAGTTGGTGAGCAGCTGACCTGTAGCCATAGGAGCTAACCCTGCACAGCACATTGAGCAGATGGGGTTTCTCTCCTGCACAGACGTATTCACACTCCCTCAAGAGTAAAAAACAACAAAAACACACTATTCTTTCACGTGTGGCATGGATCGGCAAACCTCCAGAGGGAATAAGTCTTTAAACTTCCGCGTCCACTCCTCCGGACTCTCTTCCCTTGTGGTCCCCGAGCAGAGAAACCCCAACCCAGAGACTTGTGAGAAACTCTGCCAACAAAGCTCCGGGGACTCCTGCGGCTGTGGCGAGACCCCTGGCGGTTCCCCCTCGGTGTCTGTGGGCCACACGGGGGGCTCTGTCTGTGGGCATTTCTCTCACGTGGAAATCTGAAGCGAAAAGTTTGTCCGAAAGTAGTTTCTCGCTGAGGCCGCCATACTTCCATACGCAAGGTGGTTCTGCAAGTATGTGGGAGGGGCTACGCGTGACGTCAGCGTGCGTGCGTGGACTAGCCAGGACCAGGACTAAACAGGGACTGAACTAGGTCTAAAGCAGGGACAAATCCTGGACTAAACCGTGGACTAAACCAGGGAGTACACCGGGACTAAACAGGGACTAAACCAGATCTAAAGACTAAACTCGGTCTAAAGCAGGGACTAATCCTGGACTAAACCAGGGAGTACACCAGGACTAAAGCAAGGACTAAACCAGGGAATAAAGCAAGGACTAACAGGAACTAAACCAGGTATAAACAGTGACTAGGACTCAACCAGGAATAAGTTGTGGTTTAGTGTTTTGTGTATTTTGATCTTCGAGGATAAAAGCTGCAGCAGCATTAAACCAGGTGTAATCTCGTAAAAACTAAAAGTCTCATTTTGCAAATCCAGGTATTAAAAGAAAACCACAGACATTATGAAAACATTTACTAAAGAATGAGCACAGAACATTCAGCAATAGTTACAGACTTTACATCAAACATTTTATAAAAAACTATTCTCTCTGATGTGACGAATTCTAGCTTTCATGTTCCAGGAGCTTCTGTTGCGTGAGTAGAACCACCTCCTCCATGACCTCTGGCTTCAGGATGTCTTTCACCTGCGGAGAGGAGACATGTCAGAGAAAAGACACATGACGGCGTAACCATGGCGGCGTAACGATGGCGGCGTAACCATGGCGGCGTAACCATGGCGGCGTAACCATGGCGGCGTAACCATGGCGGCGTAACCATGGAGGCGTAACCATGGCGGCGTAACCATGGCGGCGTAACCATGGCGGCGTAACCATGGCGGCGTAACCATGGCGGCGTAACCATGGCGGCGTAACCATGGCGGCGTAACCATGGCGGCGTAACCATGGCGGCGTAACCATGGAGGCGTAACCATGGCGGCGTAACCATGGCGGCGTAACCATGGCGGCGTAACCATGGCGGCGTAACCATGGCGGCGTAACCATGGAGGCGTAACCATGGCGGCGTAACCATGGCGGCGTAACCATGGCGGCGTAACCATGGCGGCGTAACCATGGCGGCGTAACCATGGCGGCGTAACCATAGGGGTGTAAACATGGGAGTGTAACCATGGCGGGTGGTAACTATGGCGGGTGGTAACCATGGCGGTGGTAATCATGGGAGTGTAACCATGGGAGTGTAACCATGGCGGTGGTAACCATGCCGGTGTAAAAATGGCAATGTAAACATGGCGGTGGTGACCATGGCGGTGTAAACATGGGAGTGTAACCATGGCGGTGGTAACCATGGCAGTGGTAACCATCACGGTGGTAACCATGACGGTGGTAACCATGACGGCCTCTCACCTGGTGATGAAGAGAGGACTCATAGCAGTAAAGGACGCTGGTGTCGAACAGAAGAACTTTGTGAGCAGCCAACGCCAGGAGACAGTTCCTCAGTCTCGAAATCACTTCTCGATCAGAAATACTCACCGGCTGAAACCACAAGGAAAATAAAGATCAAGAGATACTTTGTTCTTTCGGCGGATCTGTGGAACGTGTCCGCTGCTGGTAGTTAAAACCAGGACTAATCCAGGACTAATCTAGCTCTAAACAAATCTAGCTCTCAGCAAGAAGGTCCTGGGTTCAAATCCCAGTCAGAACAGGGACTTTCTGAGTGGAGTTTGCATGTTCTCCCCGTGTCTGCGTAGGTTTCCTCCGGTTGCTCCGGAGGAAATAGTTCTGGCATGTGCGTCCTGTACTGGCCCCTCCCATCTCTGTGTGGCGTGAGAGACTAATACCCATAATTGTAAACCGCTTTGACTCTGGTCTGAGAGAGGCGCTATATAAATAAATACTACTTACTTTGAACAATGTCTATCCTAATTGTTTTAATGTTTTATTTTCTAATCTCTTGGCAAATCAACAATTCTGTGACGCCCTTCGAGGTGTTGTGATTTGATTGGATTACAGATACAGACATCTTCCAGACAGACAGAGGACAGTGGAACATGGACAGACCTCTAAACTGGTGTAGAAGCCCCCAGCCTCCTCTTCCTGTTGAGCCGGAGTGGGATAAAGCCAGACAAACCCATTGTTGCCGAGGATAATGGAGGCTCCACATGGAAGGTTGTGAAAGTGCGTCTTCTGTCTTTTGATCAACGACGGGGAGAGCTGCACCAGCACACCCTGCCCCAGCTGGAGGATGTACAAGGACAATTTATACACAAGCAACGGATGCATGGTCTTAACTGGTGCAGTGGTCCCTGGTTTATCGCGGGGGTTACAGTCCAAAGTCCCCAGAGCCGTCGTTATTGACGCTCCCATTCAAACCAATAAAAGGTCAAACAAATTACCCCCAAAATATTCAGCTTTTCACCAGATTTAATAAAAGTAAGTCATTTATACTGTGCTTAATTGGTGAATATAAATTTACAGAAAAAACTGCTTAAAGGGGCAGGAAGCGATGTTGTTAGCGTAGCCGTAGCACCAACTCGAAACCACTCCCCCCTCTCCACCAAACCACTCCTCCCTCCCTACCAGACCAAAAATCCGATAACTCCGGTGCACTCGAGAGAAACAGGAAGAGGGTGAAGGGGGTAAACACACCCCATTGGTTCGTTGGGAATGAACGAATCCCATTGGTTTATTTTGTATTAATTAACTGGTCAATTCCATTACTATTTGAAAACACATGGTAACTTGACTTCTTTAGGGACGTTTTCCCACAATAATAAAAAAAAAAAACTAATAAAAATAGCAAAAACTGTTTAAATGCTAACTGCTGCAAGTAAATAGTGCATTGCACATTGTACATTCTCAGTCTTCATAATTTTTTCTATGTGTACTTTATTTCAAACAGATACATCGCAGTTTCGAGGCCTGTTTCTTCTCCCTCTTTAATGCGCTGTGATTATTTAATTACTTGATTTGAACGTGTTTGTTTTGTTAAACACTTTGAGTTTGTCGTGTCTATGAGCTTTGCTTCACAAATACACACCGCCTCGCCAACGCAAAAAGTAGAAGCGGTTTGTTTTAAGGCTGTAAAATCCTCACACACACTTTACATACTTTTAAAACCAACTGGACTCACGACTGCTGAAGAGACCAGAGAGAGAGACCAGAGAGAGAGAGAGAGAGAGAGAGAGAGAGAGAGAGAGACCAGAGAGAGAGAGAGAGAGAGACCAGAGAGAGAGAGACCAGAGGAGAGAGAGAGAGAGAGAGAGAAAACTCAAAGTGAGACCGGAGAGATGGACCGGAGAGAGACCAGAGAGTGAGACTTGTTGATAGGAAAGGACTGTATCATAATTATTTTCTGAACCAATATATTGTCCATCAAAGTATAAAAGAGTAAGTACAAGTTATAAGAAAAGCAGTGGCTTATACACTATATTTACACAAACACAATATTCACACTTACTTTTCCATATTTTAAACTTCTTGTATGAAGTGATAACGCTCCGTCAGAGAAGACCGACTGCACCTCTGCCTAAAGTGACGACAGAAGAAAAGGTAGAATAATGGATTTCATCAGTTTTCAAATAGAGAGAGTAATTCGACCTGAAAACTAAAGCCACAATTACGTTATTTACTAAGATATAACTCACACTAATTAGATCTCCTTCATGAAGATATTCTCTCATGGTGAGTTCGTCTTCTGCCGACCTCCTCCTCTACAGGGAAGAAGAATAACATCTGAATAATACAGTCTTAAAAATGTGCAAATTATAGATATTCTAAATCCCTGAGTCACACCAGCTCTCCTCCGGGAAGATTCACAGACGACAACATCAGCACAGAGTCCAACCGGGAGTTTGTTTCCACTTTCCACCGTTTCTGTTGAACCTTTTATCAAGAAATACTGTATATGAATGTTGAATGTGTATATGAATGTTGAGTTTTACACAGAGTGAGAAAGAAGCGGCCGTACCTCTGTGATTCTCCCGACAATGACATCTCCCACTTCACCGTTGAATCTGTGGAACAAATAATTAGTATGTTACATTTACTGAATACGTTCGAACAACATGCAAACAAATTCAATTTATAATAGTATCACTGTCAGTTAGAACACTTCAGTACCAGCTCGACCTGGACTCAGAGGGACTAAAGATACTGGTACTGGTTAAAGGGGACCTGTGGAAAAGCTCTGAATTGGGGGTAGGGTAGAGGTGCAGTAGAGTAGAGTAGCGTAGGGTAGAGTAAGGTGCAGTAGAGTAGAGTCGAGTAGAGGAGAGTAAGGTGCAGTAGAGTAGAGTCGAGTAGAGGAGAGTAAGGTGCAGTAGAGTAGAGTCGAGTAGAGGATAGTAAGGTGCAGTAGAGTAGAGTCGAGTAGAGGATAGTAAGGTGCAGTAGAGTAGAGTAGCGTAGGGTAGAGTAAGGTGCAGTAGAGTAGTCGAGTAGAGGAGAGTAAGGTGCAGTAGAGTAGAGTCGAGTAGAGGAGAGTAAGGTGCAGTAGAGTAGAGTCGAGTAGAGGATAGTAAGGTGCAGTAGAGTAGAGTAGTAGAGTAGGGTAGGGTAGGGTAGGGTAGAGTAGGGTACAGTAGAGTAAAGTAGAGTAGGGTACAGTAGAGTAGAGTAGAGTAGGCCAAATAGCGCTGGCCCCTCATAAACGTAACTTTAATGACTTCACATTACCTGGTTTTAAGAGGGCTGACGCAGATTAGTTTGTCCACTCTCTGAACTTCACCAGCGACAGACGCAGTCAACTTCTCCTCGTCCACGTAAGTACCATGACCCCTAAACACAGAAGAGAAATGTTAGCATTGTCCATCTGTATACAGTCTGTGTAAGCATTAGCATCTGTATAGTCTGTGTTAGCATTGACCATCTGTATACAGTCTGTGTTAGCATTGTCCATCTGTATACAGTCTGTGTTAGCATTAGCATCTCTATACAGTCTGGGTTAGCATTAGCATCTCTATACAGTCTGAGTTAGCATTGTCCATCTGTATACAGTCTGTGTTAGCATTAGCATCTCTATACAGTCTGGGTTAGCATTAGCATCTCTATACAGTCTGAGTTAGCATTGTCCATCTGTATACAGTCTGTGTTAGCATTAGCATCTCTATACAGTCTGTGTTAGCATTAGCATCTCTATACAGTCTGAGTTAGCATTGTCCATCTGTATACAGTCTATGTTAGCATTAGCATCTGTATACAGTCTGTGTTAGCATTAGCATCTGTATACAGTCTATGGTTACATCCCTGCTCACAAAACTCTTCTGGTCTCTTATGCTGTTCTATGTAAGAACCATGGTCCACATCTGTCACACCGCCAAAGAAACATCCTGGCGTGGAACCGTGGAATAGTTACATAGAGCAGCTTTAATGGTCATTCAGTCTGTCTCTTACCCATAGATCCAGGCTCTTACCTCATAAACCCAGTGTCCGAAGTGATCACATCTCCGGGAACAACCAAGTCCTTCCGATCGAAGAAGGAGACGGATAAAGCCAGTGGTTTTCGCAGAGTTGGAAGTCTCATGTCCGCCATGCTGGATGCTGGGTCTACTTCGGGATTCTGACACTTCACTTTTTGACGTACTATTTTCGCCTACCGCCCCCTCCTGGTGCTATCCATGTATCAAGGCGAATACGAATCGTGTGAAGTAAAGCTGGGGTACCTAACTTTCAAACCACATTAATAAACTCCAGGTGACTCGTCCTCAAACTGTTTGCTTCTAGTTTTCTGATTAAACGATGTTTCGCCTCTTTCACAGCTTTCACAACTACTGCAATACTTTTAAGTTACTTTCACCAAATATAAATATTTCGTAAGGTTGATAGAGCTTTCTATTTGACTACTTTTGAAGCAGATTAGTTCTCCTCTGCTGTTTTTATGGTGGTTTTTTTGTCTCTCGCTTTCTGGTCTCTCAGGTCTATATGGTCTCTGTATTTCTCTCTGGTCTCTCTGTCTTGTCTCTCTCTCTCTCTCTCTCTCTAGTCTCTCTGGTCTCTCTCTCTAAGATCTCTCTGTTCTCTCTCTCTCACTCTGCTCTCTCTCTCCTTCTCTCTCTCTCTCTGCTCTCCCTCCCTTTCTCTCTCTCTTGCACTCTCTCTCTGCTCTCTCTCACTTTGCTCTCCCTCTCTCTGCTCTCTCTCACTCTGCTCTCCCTCTCTCTCTCCTTCTCTCTCTCTTTACTCTCTCTCACTCTGCTCTCCCTCTCTCTCTCTCCTTCTCTCTCTCTCTACTCTCTCACTCTGCTCTCCCTCTCTCTCTCTCCTCTTTCTCCTCTCTCTCACTCTGCTCTCTCTGTATTTCTCTCTGGTCTCTCTTTCTGGTCTCTAGCTCGCTGGTCTCTCTCTCTCTAAGATCTCTCTGTTCTCTCCCTCACTCTGCTCTCTCTCCTTCTCTCTCTCTCTGCTCTCCCTCCCTTTCTCTCTCTCTCACTCTCTCTCTGCTCTCTCTCACTTTGCTCTCCCTCTCTCTGCTCTCTCACTCTGCTCTCCCTCTCTCTCTCTCCGCTCTCTCTCACTCTGCTCTCCCTCTCTCTGCTCTCCCTCTCTCTCTCCTTCTCTCTCTCTTTACTCTCTCTCACTCTGCTCTCCCTCTCTCTCTCTCCTTCTCTCTCTCTCTACTCTCTCTCACTCTGCTCTCCCTCTCTCTCTCTCCTCTGTCTCCTCACTCTGCTCTCTCTCTCCTTCTCTCTCTCTCTGCTCTCTCTCACTCTGCTCTCCCTCTCTCTCTCTCCTCTGTCTCCTCTCTCTCACTCTGCTCTCTCTCTCCTCTCTCAGCTCTCTCTGGTCTCTGTCATTTCTTACGACTCTGTCTTGTGAGTACAGTCAATGCTTGTGAGTAAACAATCTAACTTTTATCATTTATAACCACTAGATGTCGCTGTTTCACTACAAAAACAAGTGACGTATTCTCTCAGCCTCAGCCAATCAGCGGCCAGTGTGGCGTTGGTGTAAAGATGGCGTCTGCGGGGGCTTCTCTGGTGAAAAGTGGTCGCTTCGCTGTTTATAAACATCGCTGGATCAGGCTGTGCTTCATGTGAACAGTCCGTATGTGTTTTTTACTCCTGCTGCTCGGAACCACACCTCACCATAGTCCGGTTTTGTCGCTGGGTTTCTGTAGTTTTCTTCATGGTTGGTGGATGCTTGTTAGCTTCGACCTGGAAAATCTAGCGTTAGCACTGCTAGGCTAAGCGATGTAACGCCGTGGATCTAAGATAAGATGTGATAACTTTATTGATCTCACAACAGAGACACGTACAAGTCGCATTTGGCACAGATAGTATCACTCAGGTTGTGCACACAAACAGGAAGTGTGCAAACATGTTAAAAGGTTAAAGATAGTTTTGTTTTTTATTTTAAGCATTTGCCTCATCCAACTCCTTTTCGAACCAGGTACAGGTTATTTTTCTGTTTTATTGATAAATGTAAAATTATGGATTGTGCAGGTTCGAAATAAATTAATATATCTGGCACAAATATTTATTATTATGTTAAAATGAAAATGAATAGTTTTGGTTTTGTTTCGTGTTCACAGCGTTTATGGAGTTACACCGGCGGAAACACGTCACTCGAGTCCAGCTACTTTTCTAGAGACAGTCTTGCTGATGGAATGATCGTGGAAGACTGTGGCATTGCGACGCCGTTGTGAGGGTCCCGGTGGACGCTGCAGTCATGTACTTTCTCACAGGCTGGCCCCGGAGACTGCTCTGTCCCCTGAAGAGTGAGGAGGACCCCTTCTTCATCCAGCCCAGCTCACAGCGCTTGTACTTCGCAGTGCTCTCCCAGACTCAGCTCAGCATCTGGTTCAGCCGGGTAAGTCCTCTGGCTTCTGCTCTGTTCTTTCTGTGTGATAGTAAATGTATAGATGATTGATACCCAGGAGGAGAAATGCAGGTGTCCAGTAACAGCAGAAACACATGTATCAAAAAAACCAAAAATAATAAATAATTCCATAAAATAACAACAGTATTAAAATGCAACAGCACAGCAGCAGGGGTGGAATAGTAGTGAAACAGTAGTAAATAAACATACTGGGTCGTTATAACCCACACATGTACAATGTAAACAATAGGACATGTGCTTTCCAATGTTTTCTCTGCAATGGAGGTTTGAGCTTGATGTCCCTCATAGTTGAACTCAATTTATTAACATATATATCCCTAAATCACAACAGTCGTTTAAGAGGACTTTACAAATATCTGATAATGAAACGGTTTGAACACAGGAAATAAAGTAATGTCAGACGCTTAGGAGCCATTGGTCCATAGAGAGTGAGATGTCCAATGTCCATGTTGAGAGATCCATGACATGACATTGATCCTTTGACATCACATTTGGACTTTACTTCAGTTTAGGGCCTTTCTGAGTGGAGTTTGCATATTCTCCCCGTATCTATGTAGGTTTTCTCCGGGTCCTCCAGTTTCCCCTACCACTAAAAACATGTGCAATAGGTTTGGCATGCGCCTTCTGTACTGGCCGTGCTCCCATCTCTGTGTGGAGTGGGAGACAAAGGCACAGAATTGTAAACTGCTTTGTGACTCTGGTCTGAGAAAGGCGCTGTATAAATAAAGATTTCTCACAATACAATACAATTTATTCTTGTATAGCCCTAAATCACAACAGTATCATCTCACAGACTTAACAAAACCATTGAAATCACCAACACAGATCAGAGAATCAACAGTTAAGACACAGAAAGAATATAGAACACATGTCGATAAATGTCATACATGTTGTAGAACTGTCCAACAGACTCCTACATCAGAGGAAAAACTCATAAGAAAAACCCAGTGGGGAGAAAAGTGAGAAACCTCGGGGACACCCACATATTGAGAGAGGGATCATACTTACTAACTTTGATCCACACTTTGTGTTAGACACTTTGCCGTAACTTTACTTAATGTTATTTTGTGGTTATAGTTTCAATCATATCAGTCTGTTTGAATTGAACGCCATATTCTCTGCGACATCACTTTTCCTCTCCTCTGCTGTTTCAAACGAGGGAAGCTGTTCATCCATAGTTTGTGTTTTTCTGCTGATTCATTTGTTCCGCACAGATGTGTAGTTTGAGAAGGGCCTATCATTTTAAAGGGCTTGTCTGTGATGTTGACACAGACTGCATCCATTATTGTCATGGTATTTGCAGTGTTACATAACAGAGCTGGTTTAGTCAAATTGGTTTCTTGATCAACTCAATACTTTGTATTTTTGTAATGCTCTAGATCACAACAGAAGTCGTCTCAGGAGACTTTACAAAGTTGTTGACCACAACAACAAATCAGATAATCAAACAGTTAAAACAACGGAATGGCAATAATGACAAACACGTAGGAGCCGTTGGTCCATAGGAGAGAGAGCCCAGAGAGAGAGAGCCCAGAGAGAGAGAGCCCAGAGAGAGAGCCCAGAGAGAGAGAGCCCAGAGAGAGAGAGCCCAGAGAGAGAGAGCCCAGAGAGAGAGAGCCCAGAGAGAGAGAGCCCAGAGAGAGAAAGCCCAGAGAGAGAGCCCAGAGAGAGAGAGCCCAGAGAGAGAGAGCCCAGAGAGAGCCCAGAGAGAGAGAGAGCCCAGAGAGAGAGAGAGCCCAGAGAGCCCAGAGAGAGCCCAGAGAGAGAGAGAGAGAGACCAGAGAGAGAGAGACCAGAGAGAGAGAGAGAGAGAGCAGAGAGAGAGAGAGCAGAGAGAGAGAGCGTGCAGAGAGCGTGCAGAGAGAGCCCAGAGAGAGCCCAGAGAGAGAGCCCAGAGAGAGAGCCCAGAGAGAGAGAGCCCAGAGAGAGAGAGAGCCCAGAGAGAGAGAGAGCCCAGAGAGAGAGAGAGCCCAGAGAGAGAGAGAGCCCAGAGAGAGAGAGACCAGAGAGAGAGAGAGCCCAGCCCAGAGAGAGAGAGAGCCCAGAGAGAGAGAGAGCCCAGAGAGAGAGAGAGCCCAGAGAGAGAGAGAGCCCAGAGAGAGAGAGCCCAGAGAGAGAGAGCCCAGAGAGAGAGAGAGCCCTGAGAGAGAGAGCCCTGAGAGAGAGAGCCCTGAGAGAGAGAGAGCCCAGAGAGAGAGAGAGCCCAGAGAGAGAGAGCCAAGAGAGAGAGAGAGAGCCCAGAGAGAGAGAGAGCCCAGAGAGAGAGAGAGCCCAGAGAGAGAGAGAGAGCCCAGAGAGAGAGAGAGAGCCCAGAGAGAGAGAGAGAGAGAGAGAGAGAGAGAGACCAGAGAGAGAGAGAGACCTCTGTCCAGTAATGTTAGTAAATGTCCTGAATCCTCTCTGTCCTTAGACCTTCCTATATCAGAAGGAACGACTAAACAAAAAAATCAATGTTAAGAAAGTCAGAAACCTGGAGGAGCCATGGACTGGATCCAGGAGTGAGGCTGTGGAACTTCTGTCGTGTCTTTGAACAAAACTGTCTGTGTTTCATTGTGTGTGATTGCTACATCCATCTCTATTGTTTAACTGTGCCCACAGCCTGCTGTTTTGATCGTCAGCTACATTGAATCAGTGAAGGCGGCCGAGCAGTTTGGATCTTACGAAAAAGCAGAATGGAAACCGGACGACTCCATGATCGCTGTGGCGGTGAGTAAATACTGTCCGTCCAGTCACAGAGGGTTGTACTGGTTTTGTGTGTAGAAAACTATTGAGTTGAATTATTTTATTACAAGTTGTGGTTCTGAAATCCATGTGAAACTGCTGATTGTGGCACAGTTAAGTTGTCCTCATGTAATGTATAAGATGGATGACTGTTTTAAAATGACACTGCAAGATTTAAAGATTTGGTTCAAAGCATTCTGGTAAATCCAATCTATTCTGACGATCCATCCATCCATTTTCTTCCCCTTAATCCATTTCTGGGTTGGGGGTGGCAGTCAGAGCACACAGAGCACCAGCCCCTCACTGATCCTCCTGCAGTTTTTGAGTTCACAGGGGCCTATTTTGACGATAATATTCCTAATAAAACTTGTTGGAGTCAAAATAATAAGTCTTAAACTGTGGTCTGACTGTGGCCCTAATCACAAGAACCCATCCTGTGTACTTCCCTGCACCTCATCGTGTCCTGCTCACATAAGCAGGATTTTCTGTTGCCTTGTACAATGGCCCCCAGCCATGTTAGAACACATGCCTTTGTTTAATCACCTAACAAAATCTGATTAAGTACTAATTTGTACATAACTTTTGGTTAATTGGTATTTGTTAAGCACTTTAGTCCTTATTCAACAGCTACTGACACTCGGGGTGTTAGCCTGTGGACTTGGACTAGGGTTCGGGCTAATCTGAAGTTTTACCACAAACTTTAAAGTAGCCATATGTCACATTTTCATGTGTTAATAATAATAATAATAATACATTTTATTTAAAAGCGCCTTTCAAAACACCCAAGGACACTGTACAGGCATAATAAAAACATTTAAAAACAGGATAAACAGAATAAAACAGTAGTCAGGTGCAATATGGGATGGTGTGTGTGTGTGTGTGAGTTAGGAGGGTGTGTGTGTGTGTGTGTGTGTGTGCGCGCGTGTGTGTTAGGTGGGGTAGGACAGTCTGAACAGATGGGTTTTGAGTCGGGATTTGAAGAGTGGAAGAGAGTCAATGGTACGGAGGTCAGGGGGGAGAGAGTTCCAGAGCTGGGGGGCAGAGTGGCTGAAGGCTCTGTGTCCCACAGTGATGAGTCTGGCTGGGGGGACGGAGAGTGTGAGGGTGGAGGAGGAGCGGAGTGTGCGGGCAGGAATGTGAGGGTGGAGGAGGTCAGATAAGTACGGAGGGGCCAGGTTGTGAAGTGCTTTGAAGGTGGTGAGGAGTATTTTGAAATTGATGCGCTGTTTGACAGGAAGCCAGTGGAGTTGTTGTAGTACGGGGGTGATGTGGTGAGCTGTGGGGGTCCGGGTGATGATACGAGCTGCAGAGTTTTGGAGGAGCTGCAGTTTCTGGAGGGATTTGTTGGGGAGGCCGAAGAGAAGTGAGTTGCAGTAGTCAATCCTTGAGGTGACGAGGCTGTGGACGAGGATGGCGGTGGTGTGGGGGGTGAGAGAGGGGCGGAGACGAGAGATATTGCGCAGGTGGAAGTAGGCAGACCGAGTGATGTTATTGATGTGGGATTGGAAGGAGAGTGAACTGTCGAGGATGACACCCAGGCTCTTGACTTGAGGGGAGGGGAGGACAGATGTGTTATGGATGGAGATTGAGAAGCTGGTAGATTTGGAGAGAGTGGAGGGGGTGCCTATGAGAAGGACTTCAGTTTTTGAGCTATTGAGTTTGAGAAAGTTGGAAGAGAACCAGGAATGAATTTCTTGTAGACAGAGGGTGAGGGAGGATGGAGGGAGAGAGGAACATGGTTTAGTGGAGAGGTAGAGCTGGGTGTCATCCGCGTAGCAGTGGAAGTGAATGTTGTGACGGCGGAGGATGTGACCGAGTGGGAGAATATAGATGATGAAGAGGAGGGGCCCCAGGACAGAGCCCTGGGGCACACCAGCAGAGACAGGAAAAGTGCGGGATTTGTGGGATTTGAGATGAATGAACTGTGAGCGACCAGAAAGATAGGAGGTGAACCAGGCGAGGGGGGTGTGGGTGATGCCGATGGAGGAGAGTCTGTTCAGGAGGGTGGAGTGAGAAATGGTGTCAAAAGCTGCAGTGAGGTCCAGAAGGATGAGGTGGAGAGAGTAAACCGGAGTCAGAGGCTATGAGGAGATCGTTAGTGATTTTTAGAAGAGCTGTTTCGGTGCTGTGGAGGGGACGGAAACCAGACTGAAATTGTTCGTAGATGTTGTTGGTGGTGAGGTGGTTGTGGAGTTGAGCAGCGACAGATTTTTCAAGTATTTTGGAGATGAAGGGAAGGTTTGAGATGGGACGGAGGTTGTTGAAGTTGGTTGGATCCAGGCCAGGTTTTTTGAGAATGGGTGAGACTGAGGCGGTTTTGAATGAGAGAGGGACAGTACCAGAGGTGAGAGATGAATGAATGATATTAGTGATAAGGGGGGCAGCTGAGGGGAGGCAGGATTTGACCAGAACGGTAGGGAGAGGGTCGAGCTGAGAGGTAGAAGGTTTGGATTTAATGATAAAGTCGGAGATGGCTTGGACGGAGGGCAAGATGAAGCTGGAGAATGTGGCTATGAGGGATGAGTAGGGGGCTGGGGGGTCCACTCCAGAGACTGCAGCTCCATGCGGGGTCAGGTGTTGGTGAATGTCAGAGATCTTGGAGGTAAAGAAGGACATGAGTGAGTTACAGAAGTCAGTGGATTGCATATGGTGAGGGAGGGAGTCAGGGGGTTTGGTTATATTGGTGAGAAGAGAGAAGAGAGTTTTGGAGTTTTGATGATTGGAGTGGATTAAACCGGAGTAGTAGGTGGATTTGGCAGCAGAGAGATGGTCCTTGTATAGCATGATGTGGTTATTGTACATTTGTTTGTGAATGGTGAGTCCAGTTTTATTGAAGAGCCGTTCAAGTTGACGTCCTTGGGATTTGAGCTGACGGAGGGCAGGGGTGAACCAGGGTGCTGAGAGCGTGAAAGAGACGGGTCGGGTTTTGAGAGGAGCATGATTGTTCAGGAGGTTATGGAGAGAAGTGTTGTAGTGGGAGACCAGGTCATCGGGGGAGTCATTGGGATCAGTAGTGGGGAGGTTATTGATATCTGAGGCGAAGGTGGCAGTGTTTATGTCCTGAATTTTACGGAAAGAAATGGTTCGGGGAAGGATGGTCTTGGAGAGGGTGAGGTTGATATTGAAGGTGATGAGCTTATGGTCTGTGTATGTGAGTGTGTGAGGTTTACAGTCAGTGGGAGTGAGACCAGAGCAGCAGATTAAATCCAAAATGTGACCTTTAGTGTGGGTGGGGAAATGAATGTGTTGTTGTAAACCAAAACTATCTAAACAGGAGGAGAAGTCTTTGGTGAGAGGGTTGCTATTATTGTCCATGTGAATGTTGAAGTCCCCAAGTATGACTGCGTTATGAGAGATAGATGAGAAGTGTGTTAGAAGGTGAGAAAAGTCATTTAAAAAGTCCTGATTAAGTTTTGGCGGGCGGTAGATGGTGGCAACAACAGTAGGAGAAGGTCCAGGCAGCAGTGAGGCAGAGTACTCGAAGGAGGAGAAGACAGGGGCAGCAGGCACAGGTGTGACTTTCCAAGTCTCGCGGTGAAGCATCGCGAGACCTCCGCCCCGGCGGCCACAGCTGCGGGGCTGGCAGATGTAAACAAACCCCGGTGGAGTGGAGTCGTTCAACGCGGCAAAGTCATTTGGCTGCTGCCAGGTTAAAGGACCCCAATCTGTCAAAAGGCATTAATAAACCATGCTCTTAAACTTCTTTAACTGAAAACAGTAGTTCAGGGATATTCAAGTTTCATTAGATTCACAGCCCTTGTTATTTTCATTTCGATGTCCCACCCTCCCCTGTTTTACCAATCAAAAAGTCCGTGATTCGGTCGCCAGAACTCACCGCGTTGAGCTAATTTCACTGATGAAGGAACATGTCAAAAAGGTGTTGGTTATAGATTTGTTGCTGTTATGGTCCCAGCTGGATTTGTCCGCATATCTGGCAACCTGAGTCAGGGAGAGTGGGAGAGGCTGCAGTACCACTTTTACATATTGCTCCTGTAATAAAAACTGTCCTTGGAGCCTCCTGCATCCACAAGGAACCACATGTGCTTTTATTTTACTCTGATTTGACAAAGACAAGAGCAAAAAAAAGTTTCCAAATGAAGCTGTTGGTCTCCACAGTCGGCTCCTAAATCTCAGTACAGTGTTATTGTCCTCAGACGTCGATGGGACTCCAGACTTTAGCCTGTTGTCGTCACTTCCACAATCAGCTGTATTCCAGATGTGGATCTGAGGCCGCTCTCCGCAGTCCCTGAGACTCACATTCCAACCTCGCTCGAACCACTGCCTCTATTTTAAACTCTGTGTTTTCTCTTTAATGAGTGCTTTAGCTTGAGCTCGAGACACGACTGAGAGACGGAACAAGACAGGATTTATAGTTTATTTATCAATGTATGTGAGTGACGTAGACTGTGTTGGGATTTGTCCAGAACAAACTGTCGTCTTTTTGCTTTTAAGGCTACACCCATTTTCTTAAACCACAGGTCTGCAATAGCTTCTTTTGAACTCTGCTAACGTATGTAGTTAATTTTATTAGAGCGCCCCCTAGAGTGCAGGAACAGGTTTGGACACAGCTCTAACAGCTGATGACATGGCATACATTCCTGCTTATCTGTGTTTATGTGAACAGTAGGAAACACAAGTAGTACACAAGGAAATGTACAGGACTTGTTTATGAAGTTATTCTTTACTGTCCCCATTCACAAATGTGTCTCCTGCATTTGACCCGTCTTTTATTGCCAGCAGGGAGAGAGTTTTGAACTTATTGTACATGTTTTAGTGTCCCTATACTTGGATGCAAAAGTCAGATCCCGTCAGACCCAGGCCAGCAGGGCAGGGCCTGGTTAGTACTGCGATGGGAGACCTCTGGGAACAGCAGGTGCCACAGTGGGGCGGCTGTAAAGTAACAGACTGTGCTTGTGTCCTTAGGCAAGACACTTCCCACACATTAGAATGAGTCTGGCACTAATAACATTTACAATAGATCTGTGCCTCCTGTACTGGCCCCTCCCATCTCTGTGTGGAGTCAGAGACTAATGCCCACAATTGTAAACCGCTTTGACTCTGGTCTGAGAAAGGCGCTGTATGATTACTTACTTACTTACTTACTTGCAAATTCCACACAGAAAGGTCTGGAGGTGGAATCCAACCCAGGACCTTGTTCCTGTGTAGCACAGGAGCTAACCACTGCACTAATGTGAGAATCATAGCAGGCGGCTAATGATGTACAACCCTAATAATCCTATTTTAGCTTTAGTAGAAACCTAAGAACATTCAACACCTCTTTTTGGACCACACCTTTCCTTGGTCTGGCCTCATTTGTCCCGGTCCTCCAGGACAAGGGACTCTCTTCCTGCGTAGTTATCATTGCATTTGTGTTTCCGGAACAGTCCAGACGTGTGCGGGTTGTCAGTTTTAACCTTTCCAGATAAGCTGCAGGCTGTAGACATGTTTATTTATGTAGTTAACGTCTCTCACCCTGCCCCACTTTCCATTTCTCCTTCCTCTTTAGATTTAGTGTTTATTATTTAGTGTAAATTATGCACTGACTGGTAATGTTGATTGTGAAATTAGATGTTTTAATCCGAGTGAGTCGAGACGATAGATTCCTGAGTAAGTATTGAAACATGTACAGCCAGAAGTTGACGAAATTCCTGAAACATATTTAATTACTGTCTAATATTTCATACTAACTCTTGGTCTGTTGTGTGCACCAATTGTCCCGTGAGTTGTGTTTTATGTCCTTGAGTCAAATTTAAAGTCCTATTTTTTTCAAAAACGGCTTCAAAAACGTAAACTGGGTCCTGGTTGAACGCAGGTGTCAAGTTTCAGCTTCGTAGATCGGTGTCAGCTCTTTCCCTGAGAAAGGGCGGCCTGTGAAAGTGAACCAGCACCTCCTACGTTTACACACATCTGCTGTAAAAACAACACTACACAATAAGATATAATCTGGAATAATCTGCCTGAAGATGTGAGACAGGCCTCCTTTTTGAATAGAACTGCAGCTATCGATCTAATTTAGTAATGCATCTATAATTACCTTTGATTAAATACAGTATGTACGATTTGTATGTTATTCGCTATTATTTTTGACATCAATCAGCATATTTATTTATCCCTGTTTTGAAGACATTGTTTAACATTTTAAATAAATAAATAAAAAACGGTTTAATGTGCGTCATATTTGTCATCAATGTTGAAATCGTCACAGATGTGGACCTGAGCGTTTTGCTCGCTCCAACTAAAGCTTGAATGAATCTATAAAAAAACGACTGTGTTTTAAGCCAAGTAGCACGGTTTTCATGTTTAAAGCAAAGAGTCAAAAATCATGATATGGGACCTTTAATGTTGTTGTTTCTGTGCCCTCAGACTGCCAAAGGGTATGTGCTCCTCTTCGATGTGCTGGGAGGAGGAGAAGACCGCTATCTGTATGAGCCTGTGTACCCAAGGTGAGTGACCATAGACACTGTTAACCTGCATGCTCATTAAAGCCCATTGGGGAAGTGCTCGTGGACGAAGGTTTGCTCCAACTTGCTCTGGCACCATTTTGGGTTTAAAAATATCTGTGGTTAAGCGCTCTCTGTGATCCTAGTGCTTGTTTTTTGATATTGTCGTTGCAAATCCAGAGTCATAAAAGCATTAACCAAACTCCAGCTTGCCATAGCAACCGTCTTAGCAACACATCCACCCTGTTGCGGCGTGAAGCTAACGCCATCAAATCAAATGCCCATATAAGGAAATTGGCCCGTTAGCTCACATTCATATTGGCCTTTCCCAGGCTAACACTGTGGTGATGCTAACACTGTGGTGATGTCACACTCAGCCAGTCCACTCCTAATAAACACCATGTGCGTAACCTGTAATTTTGACCTAAATTATGGAGTCTTCCCTTGTTCTTTGATGGTAAAGTTTTATGGTGCATAATTATAAATCCAGTTGCTAAAGTGAACGAGCAAGTGCAGCTTCAGTGTTTTTAGTTCTGTAGGTCACACAAACTTTGGAAAAACGATCATTAAAGGCATGATGGGTGCCTTAAACCTTATTAAACCTGGTAAACGTCTGATCCATGCCGTACCAGCCCAAAAAGAACATGTAGAAGAGCCCAGACTTGGTTTATCGTCTCGCATTCCTCAGCCACATACCGAGGCAGAGCGGCAGGTCTGGACTCATTTGGTCATTCTGTTCACCTGAATGAACTTTCCTGTTTGGTTCATCGTTTTTTATTGTTTTCTCTGGTCTTTCTCTCTCTCTGGGGTCTCTGTCTCTCTGGGGCCTCTCTCTCTCTCTGGGTTCTCTCTGGTCTCTCTCTCTCTGGGTTCTCTCTGGTCTCACTCTCTCTTGGGTCTCTCTGGTCTCTCGCTTTCTGGTCTCTCACTCTCTCTGGGGTCTCTCTGGTCTCTCGCTTTCTGGGGTCTTACTCTCTCTGGGGTCTCTCTGGTCTCTCGCTCCCTGGGGTCTCTCACTCTCAGGGGTCTATCTGCTCTCGCGCTCTCTGCCTGCTCTCTTTCTGGGGTCTCTCTGGTTTCTTGTTTTATGGTATCTCTCACTATGGTCTCGCTTGCTCTGGTCTCTTGCTTTCTCTGGTCTCTTGCTTTGTTTTGGTCTCTTGCTTTTTCTGGTCTGGCTCTCTGGTCTGGCTCTGGTCTCAGTCTCTGGTCTCAGTCTATGGGGTCTCACTCCCTGGTCGTCTCTGGTCTCTTGCTTTATGGTCTCGCTCTCTGGTCTCTCGCTTGTCTCTCTCTGGTCTCTCTCTCTGCTCTCTCTCTAGTCTCTCTCTGCTCTCTCTCTTTGCTCTCTCTCTTTTCTCTCTCTCTGCTCTCTCTCTCTGCTCTCTCTCTCTTCCTTCTGTTATTGAATCTCTCATGGTTTTTACAGAGGAAGTTATCGGTTGAAACTGAATCCTGGCATTAAGGAAGAGCAGTGCGCACCAGCTCTGTCCCTGGAGATGAAGAAACCAGTGGATCTGGAAGCTCCCATCACCAGGTACCATCAAGCTCACACCTCCTCATTGTCTAAGCGGAATATAGACACTTATGGTCCCTCCAAGTATTGCGTATAACTGGGAGAGAGAAACTGTACTTGTACCATTTCCTCTGCTTTGGTTCCATCTCCGCCCACTCTCAGCCCTGTTGTTTTCTTCTGAGTCAGTGTCGTTCTGTCACTTTATTGTTTACTTGTTCTTTGTTCGTGCTGTCACTTCATCCATGTCTGTGAATCCACTGAAAAGATCAAGACAAAAAATACATGTTTTTCTCCATCCTACTCCAGGCACATATTCACACGCACTATGTCCCCCACTCGTCTGGTTCAGTCCTGGTTTAGTCCTGGTTCAGTCCTAGTTTAGTTCTAGTTTAGTCCTGGTGTAATCCTGGTGTAGTCCTGGTTTTGTCCTGGTTCTGCTCGTGGTTTTGCTCCAGGTGTAGTTCTGCTTTAGTCCTGGTGTAGTTCTGGTTTAATCTGGGTTTAGTCCTTGTGTTGTAGTCCTGGTTTTGGCTGTTTTCGAGTATCTTCAGCCTTCTGCATTTTTCTGCAAACTCCAAATTTAGAAACAAAATTTCAAGTTAAATCAAATGTTTCTGAAGTTACAAATTTGCTTCACAGAAAGTGAGTTTTTTTACTCCTAAAAATAGAATCTAAGTAATTCAGCAACTGACTGTTTTGTCAGTCGAGTCGAGTCGAGCCGAGCGGAGCCGAGCCGGTGGAAATAAGCCTTTACATGATGTCAGTTGAAATACAAAGTCGTCTGTGTTCTTTTATACAATGAGCCCCGGCACCGCGATGGTGCTGGACCATGAGCAGTCTTACAATGGCTCGCTTAAATAATACATACAAGAAATATAGAGCAAATCGATTTTCTATCGCAGCTTAGTAACTACAGCTAATTTAAATAATGAATAAAAGAAGTATAGAGAAAATGTATTATCTCAGTTTAATTATAACATACTCTTGTGTTTCCATTACACTATTCGTAACAATCATATATCTGGGGAAATTCCTGGGTAGCCATGGCTTCCAGCAGCACGAGGGTAGAGGGTAGAGCAGAGTTGGACCATGTAGGTCTAGTGGAAACAGACCAGTGGATCTGACCGTCTCTCCCTGTCAGTCTGCAGACGCTGCAGCAGGATCTGTTGGTCTGCACCTCTGACGGTTACCTCCACGTCCTGCACTGGGACGGACTCGGGAACAACGGCCGCAAAAGCATCTGCCTCACGACCGTCCCCTTCTCCCTGGACCTGCAGTCTGCCCGAGGTCAGACCACAGCCAACACCGTATTCTATTTATTTGTTTCTCTCTCTGGTCTCTTACTGGGGTCTCTGTTCTCTCTCTGGTCTGTCTTTCTGTGGTCTTTCTCTGGTCTCTCTCTGGTCTGTCTTTCTCTGGTCTTTCTCTGGTCTCTCTCTGGTCTGTCTCGCTGGTCTCCCGCTGATCTCTCGCTGATCTCTCGCTGATCTCTCGCTGGTCTCTCGCTGGTCTCTCGCTGGTCTCTCGCTGGTCTCTCGCTGGTCTCTCGCTGGTCTCTCGCTGGTCTCTCGCTGGTCTCTCTTGTTTCTCACTGGGGTCTCTGGTCTCGCTCTGGTCTCTCTCTCTCTGGACTGTCACTCTGTTCTCTCTGGTCTTTTGTCTCTTGCCGGTCTTTCTCTGGTCTCTCACTGGTCTTTGTCGCTTGCTGGTCTCTCTGGTCTCTCTCTGGTCTTTGTCTCTCTCTGGTCTCTCTTTGGTCTCGCTCTGGTCTCGCTCTGGTCTCGGTCACTGGGGTCTCTGTCCTCTCTCTGCTCTCTTGCTGATCTCTGCCTCTCTCTGTTCTCTCTCTGCTCTGTTTATTTCCATGTATTATTGTTAATGGTCTGACACCATGTGTGCAGGTGGTCCCTCGCTGGATCTAGAAGGAGTCCACATATGCAGTATGGAGTATTGTGTGACTCTGGACGGATTCGCGGCGGTTTTAAGCGACGGACGACTGGGATTCATCACTCCGCTGAGCAACTCCATCACCGCCGACGTAAGACATATTCAAACACTGCTACTAGCATTAGCCATGAAGCCCAACAGGGAAATGCTCATGGGCAGAGTCTGACTCCAACTCGCTTTAGTCCTGGTTTAGTCTAAGTTTAGCTCCTGGTTTAGTCCTAGTTTAGTCCTTCTTTAGCTCCTGGTTTAGTCCTAGTTTAGCTCCTGGTTTAGCTCGTGGTTTAGTTCCTGGTTTTTGCTCCTAGTTTAGCTCTTGGTTTAGTCCTGGTTCAGTTCCTGGTTCAGTCCTGGTTTAGCTCCTGGTTTAGTCCTGGTTTAGTCCTAGTTTAGCTCCTGGTTTAGTCCCGGTTTAGTCTTTCTTTAGCTCCTGGTTTAGTCCTAGTTTACTTCCTGGTTCAGATCCAGGTTTAGCTCCTGGTTTTTCTCCTGGTTTAGCTCCAGGTTTAGCTCCTGATTTTTGCTCCTAGTTTAGCTCTTGGTCTAGTCCTGGTTCAGTTCCTGGTTCAGTCCTGGTTTAGTCCTGGTTCAGTTCCTGGTTCAGCTCCTGGTTCAGCTCCTGGTTTAGTCCTGGTTCAGTTCCTGGTTCAGTTCCTGGTTCAGTTCCTGGTTTAGTCCTAGTTTAGCTCCTGGTTTAGCTCCTGGTTTAGTCCCGGTTTAGTCTTTCTTTAGCTCCTGGTTTAGTCCTAGTTTACCTCCTGGTTCAGATCCAGGTTTAGCTCCTGGTTTTTCTCCTGGTTTAGCTCCAGGTTTAGCTCCTGATTTTTGCTCCTAGTTTAGCTCTTGGTCTAGTCCTGGTTCAGTTCCTGGTTCAGTCCTGGTTCAGTTCCTGGTTCAGTTCCTGGTTCAGTTCCTGGTTCAGCTCCTGGTTTAGTCCTGGTTCAGTTCCTGGTTCAGTTCCTGGTTCAGTTCCTGGTTTAGTCCTGGTTCAGTTCCTGGTTCAGTTCCTGGTTTAGCTCCTGGTTTAGCTCCTGGTTTAGCTCCTGGATTATCTCCTGGATTATCTCTTGGTTTAGCTCTTGGTTTAGCTCTTGGTTTAGTCCTGGTTTAGCTCTTGGTTTAGCTCTTGGTTTAGCTCTTGGTTTAGTCCTGGTTTAGCTCCTGGTTCAGTTCCTGGTTCAGTTCCTGGTTTAGCTCCTGGTGTAGCTCCTGGTTCAGTTCCTGGTTTAGTCCTGGTTTAAGACATGTCTACAAACACCACTTCTAGAATTGGCAATGAAGCCCAATGGGGAAGTGCTCATGGACAGAGTCTGGCTCCTATTGACTTGCATTGAAAAGTAACCTCCTTCAGCTCATTCCTTGCTTGTGTGACTCTCTCCATGTTTGGGTTAGCTCGCTCCAGCTAAAGCTAGCACAATGTGGGGATTATAAACTCGAACGCTCTCCTCTCTCAGCAGCTGCAGGGCGTCTGGGCGGCGGAAGTGACCGACGGCGTTTGTGTCGCTGTCAACAACAAGTACAGACTGATGGCGTTTGGCTGCGCCAGGTAAAAGTGTGTGTCTGTGTGTGTTAGTAGAATCTAGTTAAAAACCATATCAACCAATCACAATGTAATTTGACGAAGTAGTGACGAGGCTGTAGACCCAGGACTGAGGCTGTAGACCCAGGACTGAGGCTGTAGACCCAGGACTGAGGCTGTAGACCCAGGACTGAGGCTGTAGACCCAGGACTGAGGCTGTAGACCCAGGACTGAGGCTCTATAGTAACCGTGTTGTTGTCGCAGTGGCTCGGTGCTGGTCTACACGATTGACACCACGACAGGATTCATGCAGCTGTCCCACAGACTGGAGCTCACCCCGAAACACTACCCAGGTGTGTTCTCTCCTGATGCTCTCTTTTCAAAACACTACCCAGGTGTGTTCTCTCCTGATGCTCTTTTCAAAATGCACACGACATACTGTGAATGTTTTACTCTTAGTAAAACATTCAATGTTACAGTGGTTACTGTGGCAACCCAACGCTGGATTCGCTGTTTCGCAAATTTTGTGTGTGCAAGTTTTGATACAATCAGTGTTGGGTGTAATGCGTTACTGTAAAGAAATTACAATTTGAGTAACATAGTAGTGTAACGCGTTACTATGAAAATACGTTTAATTATATTACAGTTACTACCTAAGTACTTTGTTACCGGCGGCACCGGCCTCGGGAAAGCAGCGGAAAGCTGCTCTACCGCTCCGTGCGTTTGTTTGTAAAGCAACATGGCAGAGCCAGAGGAGAGGAATTTGTTTTACCGGTGGAGATATGCACTATTTTAACTATATCAGTCAAAAAGATAAAAACGTTGTCGTGGAGTGCAAGCTTTGAGTGGGCAGCAAGCGAATGCTCTGTTCACATGCTCAGCGCTCTGCGCACTGTATTTTCCCTGGTTCTTGACTGTCAGGTGCGCTCTGCGCACTGTATTTTCCCTGGTTCTTGTCTGTCAGGGGCTAGGGCTGCTCGTGTGTGTCTGTGGGAACTAATTATTTTAAAATAGTCTCGTTCAATTGCAAGTTTTATAATGTGCTTTGTTTGATCAATGGATAAAAATAAATGCAATGTAATGACACTTTGGCCTGTCACCTGTGTGCTGCAGGACAGTTCCCTAAACTAACATATAATACTAATACTAAAATAGGGTGGCATTGTTTCAATAATTAATCTATTTAGAAGTTATCCTAAATTACAACCAGCTTAAGCTCGGTACCACGACAAACTAAAAAGTAATACATTAGTTACTTTTACTTGTATCTAGTTACTTTCATAGTGCAGTAACTAAGTTAGTAACTATATTACTTTTTGGGAGCAGTAACTAACTGTAGCTAATTACTTTTTCAAAGTAACTTACCTAACACTGGATACAATACTGTATAATATTATATTAAGTGTTAGTAAAACATGACAGTTACACTTTTGTTTCTCTCTGCTCTCTCTCTCTCTCTGGTTACTCTCTCTTTCTGCTCTCTCTCTCTCTGGTTTCTCTCTCTGGTCTCTCTGCCTCTGGTTGCTCTCTTTTTCTGCTTTCTCTGTGTTGTCACTCGCTCTTGCTATCTCTCTCTCTGATTTCTCTCTTCTCTCTCTCTCTCTCTGCTCTCTCTCTCTCGCTCTCTCTTGCTCTCTCTTGCTCTCTCTCTCTCTCTCTCTCTCTCTCTCTCTCTGCGCTCTCTCCCTTCTTTCTCTCTTTGGTCTCTCTTACTTGAGGTGGTTAGAAATGTCTGCTGTTTAGATTTTTCACCAGTGAAAGTGACCCATCCCTTTCCTAAGTGACTGTGAAAACATGGTACATAAACTTCTGTCTTTATTCAGACTCCTACAACAAAACGGGCGCGGTCAAGCTGGTTCGCTGGTCGCCGGACTACAGCGTCGTCATGGTAACGTGGGAGTGTGGCGGCCTCTCACTGTGGAGCGTGTTCGGAGCTCACCTCTTCTGCACGCTCGGAGAAGACTTCTCGTAAGTGACGCCGAAGAGCAGAGAATGGTCAGATGTGGAAGCTTTACTAAGAGAGCGGCACAGTGGGCTCTCTCTCTGTGGTCTTCTGTCTCATTGCGGTCTCTCTTTCCCCCTCTGTGGTCTTCTGTCTCACTGTGGTCTCTCTCTCTCTCTCTCTGCTCTCTCGCTGTGGTCTTTTGTCCCACTGTGGTCTCTCTCTCTCTGCGGTCTTCTGTCTCACTGTGGTCTCTCTTTCTCTCTGCTCCCTCTCTGTGGTCTTCTGTCTCACTGTGGTCTCTCTCTCTCTCTCTCTCTCTCTGCTCTCTCGCTGTTGTCTTTTGTCCCACTGTGGTCTCTCTCTCTCTGCGGTCTTCTGTCTCACTGTGGTCTCTCTCTCTCTCTCTGCTCCCTCTCTGTGGTCTTCTGTCTCACTGTGGTCTCTCTCTGCTCTCTCTCTGTGGTCTTCTGTCTCACTGTGGTCTCTATCTATCTGCGGTCTTCTGTCTCACTGTGGTCTCTCTCTTTGCTCTCTCTCTGTGGTCTTCTGTCTCACTGGTCTCTGTCTGCTCTCTTGCTGTGGTCTTCTGTCTCACTGTGGTCTCTCTCTCTGCGGTCTTCTGTCTCACTGTGGTCTCTCTCTGCTCTCTTGCTGTGGTCTTCTGTCTCACTGTGGTCTCTATCTATCTGCGGTCTTCTGTCTCACTGTGGTCTCTCTCTGCGGTCTTCTGTCTCACTGTTATCTCTGTTATCTCTCTCTCTTTCTCTCTCTCTGGTCTCTCTCTGGTGTCTCTCTCGCTCTGGTTTCTCTCATCTCTCTCGTCTCCATCTTTCTCTGGTCTGATACTAGTTGGATGGATTTTATGACATAAATGTAGTTGTTTGAAAGTTGGGTATGCCAGCTTTAAGGTACCGTACGCACAGCCAGAGAAATATGGATTGAAAGGAGAATTAACTTACAATTGTGATTATTGTTGTGTGTTTTTTAAATGACAAATCACTTTCTCGATCTCCTACAGTTTTGTGACTTGACTTTTTTTTTTTTTACACAGGCACCGATCGGACGGAACAAAGAAGGACCCCATTAAAATCAGCTCTATGGTCTGTGATCTTTTTACGTCTTGCGCATCTTTTTTGTGTGTCTTTGGTTAAATAATCTCATGAACGTTTGTGTGCAGAGCTGGGGAGCAGAGGGATACCATCTGTGGGTTGTTCCAAACTCTAGACCAGAAGAGGAGCTGCTGGTCCAGGAGGAGGAGAAGCTGCCCACGCGCTCCTCTGGCATTTTGCAATTTCACTTCATAAAGAGCGCACTCACGGTCAACCCCTGCACGGTATGTGTGCGTATAAGGCTGTAGACCCAGGGGACTGAGGCCGTAGACCCAGGGGACTGAGGCCGTAGACCCTGGGGACTGAGGCCGTAGACCCAGGGGACTGAGGCCGTAGACCCAGGGGACTGAGGCCGTAGACCCAGGGGACTGAGGCCGTAGACCCAGGGGACTGAGGCCGTAGACCCAGGGGACTGAGGCCGTAGACCCAGGGGACTGAGGCCGTAGACCCAGGGGACTGAGGCCGTAGACCCAGGGGACTGAGGCCGTAGACCCGGAGGCTGAGGCCGTAGACCTAGGACTGTGTCGAGATATATTCAATAGTAATTTTCTCATTAAGTCAGTGGTTTATTGAGTCCAGGTTTGAACTCTCTCCTCTTGTTTCCCAAAGAGTAACCAGGAGCAGGTTCTTCTCCACGGCGAGGATCGGCTCTACCTGACCTGTGGAGACCTCGCTCAGGTCCACAGCTCTCTGGACTCTCACCAGCCCCCCAGCCGGGAAGCCACCCCCTCTCAGGGACTCAGCACTTTATTGGGACACAAGCACTGGCATGTTGTCCAGGTCAGACCCCTTTGTCTCTCTCTGGTCTCTCTGGTTTCCAGTCCCTCTCTGATCTCTCTCTCCCTAGTCTCTCGCTCAGATTCAGATTCATTTATTTGCCATTTGCAGTAAAACCACATTGGAAAAACTGTGCAAGACTACCCCAGTGTGCACCAGACGACACACACCAGTGCTCTTGCCACGGCGCCATCTTTACGGCGCCATGCGACAAACAGTAGAATAAACAGCAGAGAGCAATAACATACAGTTTCACAGACAATTGGATAGACACATTGTGCTTTGTGTAAACCACGGATCTTTTTCTCGGGATGAGCACCTCCGACTGCCGGCCCAATGTGGCTGTCAGAGGGGGGCAGGGTCAGGGAGGGGGTGAGTCGGAAACACAATGAGGAGTGGAGGGGAGGGAGGGAGATGGATAGGTAGAGGGAGGCGGCGGTAGGGGATCCAAGCTGGAGACTGAAATAGTGTGAGTTGTTGTAGATGGGGACCTTGTTATTATGGCCTTGGCCGAGGAATGTGAGATAAGAGTGGAGAGAAGACACAGCAGGAGAGAAACACATTGCCTGAGAGGGACAATATCATATGCAATGTAGAAGTCAAAAGCAGGCAGATATTCTATTAAATCCAATTAATCCGAATTGCGGCGCCCTCAGACCTCCGTACACAGGGGCAAATCCAAGCCGGGTCAGAGAGTTCAAGCCTGACACACGATGTCATTCAATCTCATCTCCAATGTTTTAAAGTTTTATTCCCTTCGAGTGAACGAGTTGCGAGGTCTTTTATCAACTGTTCCACCAAAACCACTCTCCTTTGTCCAGACACGGCACTCTCAACCACGACGCGGCTTAGCTCCTTGTACATCCCATCAATTTTGTTGGCCAGCAGCTCGTGAATCTTGCAAACTGCCATGCCTCCGAATTTGTGGTAGACGAGGACTGCTCCAAACCCAAACAGGAGGATCCCCACCACCAAAATGCCAAAGATATATACGTCTTCCGAATCTTCAATAGACAAGGTCGACAGACAGAGGGGCTGAAACTTGTTCCAGCTGTCAAGAGTATACGCCGCAGGTGAAGTCCCGTCCGGGCACACGGGCTCTCCAGACCCTCGCTTACGTGTTGAAAAGATAGAATCAATTGCGTTGAGGGACCAGTTAATCATTTCCATTCTTGTTAAAGTTGTCTGTGGCAAAACTCCAGGAAAAAGACCCTCTGGTCCCTCTGGTCCCTCTCTCTGGTCCCTCTCTCTGGTCCCTCTCTCTGGTCTCTCTCTGATCCCTCTGGCCTCTCTCTGGTCTCTGATATCTTTTTATGGATGGCTTAACAGTAACTTTTCCAAATTGGTAAGCAAGTGATAGATTTGAAGTAATGACAGTGATTATACAGATGTCATTTGTTTATTTATAGACTCTGGAGACTGATGCGCTTCGTATTGACTAAACTAAACATATTTTATCCTGCTCTTTTACAGATTCACAGCACATATCTTGAAAGCAACTGGCCGATTCGGGTGAGTTTAAACCCAGTCGCTGTGTAAACTCCAACATGTAATTTCCTTTATTAAAGTGAAGTGATTAGTTCAGACTCTTCAGAGGACTCTCTTGCTTGTCTCTCACTCCTGTTTCTCTCTAATCTCTCTCTGGTCAGTCTGGTCTCTCTCTTTCTGGTCCGTCTGGTCATTCCATCTTATCTCTCTCTCCCGTTTCTCTGGTGTCTCTTTTGGTCTTTCTCTGGTCTATCTATGGTCTTGCTCTGGTCTCTCGCTCTGGTCTCTCGCTCTGGTCTCTCGCTCTGGTCTCTCGCTCCTGTCTCTCACTCTTGTCTCTCTGGTTTCTCTCTGGCATATACTGTAAATTACAGCTACAGTATCGCTCAGACCAATAGGTTTGATATCTCTGGTCTCTCTCTCTGGTCTCACTCTGGTCTCACTCTGGTCTCTCTCACTTCAGCAGCCGTGAGTTCAGGTGGTTGGAAAAGTGTAAAAAGTGTGAGAGTTTTACAGCCTTAAAACAGCTGCTCCTGAGAGAATTTCACTTATCGAGAGTTATTTTTTAGAACACATCACCCCCGCGATAAACCAGAGCCCAAGAGAAGATGGTTGTACTAAAACAGACCTGTGTGTTCTTGGTTCAGTTTGCAGCTATAGACACTGCCGGCCAGTGCATGGCAGTCGCAGGGAGGCGGGGTTTTGCACATTACTCCTTGTACACCAGGAAATGGAAACTATTTGGAAACGTAACTCAGGTACGTGACAAAAATCATTTATGTAAACACCATGAGACCATGTTGGCTTGAGCAGGAGCAGAATACTCCATAAGTAATGAAATCCATGTGTCTAATTCTAGGTTCTTTTTCTCTGGTCTCTCTGGTCTCTAGGGTCTGTATAGTCTCTCCTCTCTCTCTCTCACGCTCTGGTCTCTTTCTCACTCTAGTCTCTCTTTTTGGTCTCTCTTTTGTCTCTGCCGCTCTGGTCTCTTTCTCACTCTAGTCTCTCTTTCTGGTCTCTTTCTGGTCTCTCTCTGTCTCATCTCTCTTTCTGGTCTATCTCACTCTGCTCTCTCTCTGTCTAGTCTCTCACTCTAGTCTCTCTTTTTGGTCTCTCTCTTGTCTCTGCCGCTCTGGTCTCTTTCTCACTCTAGTCTCTCTTTCTGGTCTCTTTCTGGTCTCTCTCTGTCGCATCTCTCTTTCTGGTCTATCTCACTCTGCTCTCTCTCTCTGTCTAGTCTCTCTTTTTGGTCTCTCTCTTGTCTCTGCCGCTCTGGTCTCTTTCTCACTCTAGTTTCTCTTTCTGGTCTCACTCTGGTCTCTCATCTCTCTTACTGGTCTCACTCTGGTCTCTCTCTGTCTCATGTCTCTTTCTAGTCTCTCTGGTCTCTCTCACACTCTGGTCTCTCACTCTGGTCTCTCTCACTTTAGTCTCTCTTTCTGGTCTCTCTCTGTCTCATCTCTCTTTCTGGTCTCTCTCACTCTGCTCTCTCTCTGTCTTGTCTCTCACTCTGGTCTCTCTCTGGTCTCACTCTGGTCTCCCTCTTTCTGGTCTCACTCTGCTCTCTCACTCTGTCTCGTCTCTCACTCTGGTCTCTCTCTGGTCTCACTCTGGTCTCCCTCTCTCTGTTCTCACTCTGGTCTCCCTCTCTCGTCTCTCACTCTGGTCTCTCTCTCTCGTCTCTCACTCTGGTCTCCCTCTCTCTGGTCTCGCTCTGGTCTCTTTCTCACTCTAGTCTCTCTTTCTGGTCTCTCTGTCTCTGCCGCTCTGGTCTCTTTCTCACTCTAGTCTCTCTTTCTGGTCTCTTTCTGGTCTCTCTCTGTCTCATCTCTCTTTCTGGTCTATCTCACTCTGCTCTCTCTCTCCGTCTCGTCTCTCACTCTAGTCTCTCTTTTTGGTCTCTCTCTTGTCTCTGCCGCTCTGGTCTCTTTCTCACTCTAGTCTCTCTTTCTGGTCTCTCTGTCTCTGCCGCTCTGGTCTCTTTCTCACTCTAGTTTCTCTTTCTGGTCTCACTCTGGTCTCCCTCTCTCTGTTCTCACTCTGGTCTCCCTCTCTCTGGTCTCACTCTGGTCTCTCTCTGTCTCGTCTCTCACTCTGGTCTCCCTCTCTCTGGTCTCACTCTGGTCTCTCTGGTCTCACTCTGGTCTCCCTCTCTCTGGTCTCTCTGGTCTCACTCTGGTCTCCCTTTCTCGTCTCTCACTCTGGTCCCCCTCTCTCTGCTCTCTCTCTGGTCTCACTGAGGTAACAAAAGGGTCAGATATTTTAAGTAAGACTCTTCTCTACTCCGTTTCATTCCAACTGTGGTGTTGGTGTTTTTTGTAGTTATCGTAGGTCACTTTGAAACAAATAACTAAAAACCCTGGTCCCTGTGGTCTTGAGCAGGAGCAGAACATGACGGTCACCGGGGGTCTCGCCTGGTGGAACGACTTTGTGGTGGTTTCGTGTTACAACTTTAATGACCAGCAAGAGCAAGTGAGCAAAAACTCCATGTTATTGTTTTGGACATCGATATTAGAGCTGCAACGATTATTTTGTAATCGATTAATCTATCGATTATTTTTACGATTAATCGAGTAATTGCTTTGCTGTGAATTGTGTAGAAAAAAAATATTTTTTCATCACAAAAAGCTAAAGTAGCAACACTCGAGGACGTATTGATGGCATAAACTTAAAGTAAATGTTTGTAACAGGCTCTTTCTGCTAATTCTGCTATCTGATTGGATGAAACAGACAGATATTCATGAAATTATAAAAACAAAGTCGGTTTTAATCAAAAATACTACATTTTCATGTCATTTTTGCTCTGTTTGAGTCCGTGTGAACCAGAAAACGATTAATCGATTACTAAAATAGTTGTCGACTATTTCTATAATCGATTAGTCGTTGATTAATCGATTAGTTGTTTCAGCCCTAATCGATATGTGATCACGCATATTTCCCCAGTTGCGTTTCTCCCCCTGGTCACTCTCTTTCTGGTGTCTGTCTCTCTGGTCACTCTTTCTCTGGTCACTCTCTCTCTGGTCTCTCTCTCTCTGGTCTCACTCTCTCTGGTCTCACTCTCTCTGGTCTCACTCTCTCTGGTCACTCTCTCTCTCTCTCTGGTCATTCTCTCTCTCTGGTCATTCTCTGGTCACTCTCTCTCTCTGGTCACTCTCTCTCTCTGGTCACTCTCTGGTCACTCTCTCTCTCTGGTCTCACTCTCCCTGGTCACTCTCTCTGGTCACTCTCTCTGGTCTCGCTCTCTCTGGTCTCACTCTCTCTGGTCTCACTCTCTCTGGTCTCTCTCTCTGGTCACTCTCTCTCTGGTCACTCTCTCTTTGGGCTTTCTCTCCGGTCACACTCCCTGGCCTTTCTTTCTCTCTGGTCACTCTCCCTCTGGGATTTCGCTCTCTGGGTTCTCTCTCTCTGGTTCCCTGCTTTCTCTTTGGGCTCTCTCTCTGGGCTCTCTCTCTCTCTCTCTGTGCGCTCTCTCTCTCTGGTCTTTCTCTGGGGTCTCTCTGGTCCCCTGCTCTCTCTCTGTTCCATTTCTCTCGCTCTCTAATATATAATATTTACATTTTTTTCAACTTTTTTTCTCAGTTGCGGCTTTACCTCCGGACGTCAAACCTGGACAATGTTTTTGCTTCGGTCACAAAGCTTCACTCCGACACTTTGCTGCTGAATGTGTTTAAGGACATGATCATCCTGTTTCGAGCCGACTGTTCCATCTGCCTCTACAGCTTAGAACGAAGGAACGACAGGTGTGTTCCAAAACGTTAAAGCTGAGGTACCTGACTTTCAAACGTTAAAGCTGAGGTACCTGACTTTCAAACCCTAAAGCTGGAGCTGGTCCCAGGCTCGAAAAGAGAGAGAGAGAGGGAGACCAGAGGGGGCAGAGACCAGAGGGGGCAGAGACCAGAGGGGGCAGAGACCAGAGGGGGCAGAGACCAGAGGGGGCAGAGACCAGAGGGGGCAGAGACCAGAGGGGGGTAAATGTGTGTGTGTGTGTGGGTGTGTGTTTTCAGTCCGACCGTGTGTGTGAACGTGGAGCTGCTTCAGGAGGTGTCCATGTCCCGCTACATCCCTCACCCCGGCCTTGTGGTCTCGGTGACTCTGACGTCTGTGCGGACAGAGACCGGCATCACGCTCAAGGCCCCGCAGCAGGTGAAGCTCCTCCTCCATCAGGCGTATGGTTCTCTGGGTACTGCTGCCCAAGAGTGAAACAGGACCCTAACTCAGATCCTGCCATCACCTCAGACCACAGACTGTATACAGATGGACAATGCTAACACAGACTGTATACAGATGCTAATGCTAACACAGACTGTATACAGATGGACAATGCTAACACAGACTGTATACAGATGGACAATGCTAACACAGACTGTATACAGATGGACAATGCTAACACAGACTGTATACAGATGGACAATGCTAACACAGTCTGTATACAGATGGACAATGCTAACCTGCTAGCTCAATGGAGCCCAATAGAGAAGTGGTCATGGACAAGGTTTTCATGAACTCTTCTAAATGTGTTTTGGCTCCTATCTGGTATCTGTCTCTCCGGCCTTTCTCTTTCTCTAGTCTCTATTCTTTTTCTCGTTCTCTCTCTGGTGTGTTTTTGTCTTTCTCTCTCTGGTCTCTTTCTCACTTTCGCTCTCTCTCTTTGGTCTCTGGTCTCTGTAGTCTTTCACTGGTCTCTCTCTCGAGCTCATCTCTCTGGTCTCTCTCCTTTGTAGCTTGCTAGCACCATGGTGATTTAATAAGCATATTGACTGATGCAGCCCCCTGTATGCAGGCGTGTATGGCTGAGAGCATCATGCTGAACCTGGCGGGTCAGCTGATCATGCTGCAGAGAGACCGCTCAGGGCCACAGGTGCGAGAGAAGGAGGTCGCAGTCAACAACAAGAAACCAGTATGTCACTCATCCGCCATCACTTTTTATCATTGACTTTACAAAGTGGTGTTTCTCTATAAATGCATTTTTGAACTGGGGATTTGTTTCTAACAACATGAACGCGAGTATAACATTATGGTTACCTTTTGTCTGTCTGGTCCCTCTCTCTCTGGCCTCTCTCTGGTCTCTCTCTGGTCTCTCTCTGGTCTCTCTGTGGTCTCTCTCTGGTCTCTCTCTGGTCTCTCTCTGTCCTCTCTCTCTCTCTGGTCTTTCTCTGGCCTCTGTGGTCTCTCTCTGGCATCTCACTGTCTCTTTCTGGTCTCTCTATAGTTTCTCTCTGGTCTCTCTCTGGCTTCTCTCTCTCTGGTCTCTCTCTCGTCTCTCTCTGGCCCCTCTCTGGTCTCTCTCTTTCTGGTCACTCTCTGGTTTCTCTCTGGTCTCTCTCTGGTCTTTCTCTGGCCTCTCTCTCTCTGGTCTCTCTCTGGCATCTCCATGTCTCTCTCTCTCTCTCTCTCTGGCCTCTCTCTTTCTGGTCTCTCTCTGGTCTTGGTGCATCTGGAAGCTCTAGTACTAACCCTTTTCCTTGTTTTTTCCCGTCCCTCTTCCAGCTGCCGTTCTGTCCTCCCGTCGTGCTGGCTCAGTGCGTGGAGAACGTGTGGACCACCTGCCGCTCCAACAGGAAGAAGCGCCACCTGCTGGAGGCGCTGTGGCTGTCCTGCGGCGAGGCGGGCATGAAGGTCTGGCTGCCGCTGTTCCCCAGAGACCACCGTAAGCCGCACTCCTTCCTGTCGCGCCGCATCATGCTGCCGTTCCACATCAACATATACCCTCTGGCCGTGCTGTTCGAGGACGCCCTGGTGCTGGGAGCCTCCAACGAGACCGTGCTGTACGACGGCCTGCAGTGCTCCGCCGAGGCACTGGAGGCGCTGTTCCCCTTCTGCACAGTGGAGAGGACCACGCAGATCTACCTCCACCACATTCTGAGGCAGCTGCTAGTCCGCAACCTGGGGGAACAGGTATCCTCCACACAATACACACACATCGACCTGTTTGAAGCCTCTCTCTTTATGGTCTCTCTCTCTGGTTTCTCTCTCGCTCCCATCTCTGTGTGGAGCAAGAGACAAATGCCCAAAAAATAACCATTGTAAACCGCTTTTTCTGTCTTTCTGCTCTCTCTTTGGTCTCTTCTCTCTCTCTCTGGTCTTTTGGTCTCTCTCTCTATCTCTATCTCTCTATCTCTCTTTCATCTCTCTTTCATCTCTCTCTCATCTCTCTCTCATTTCTGTGTGGAGAGAGAGACAAATGCCCAAAAAATAACAATTGTAAACCGCTTTGTGACTCTGGTCTGTGAAAGGCGGTACATAAATAAAGATGACTTACTTCTCTCTTGGTTTCTCTCTGGTCTCTTCTCTCCTCTCTCTCTCTCTGGTCTCTTCTCTCTCTCTCTCTCTACTCTCTGTCTGGTCTCTCTGTAGTAGTAGTAGTAAGTAATATTTATTTATATACCACCTTTTCACTGCACATCGGAGTCTCAAAGCGGTTTACAATTGTAATTTTTGGGAGTGGGGTGCCACCTATTGTACATATTTTTAGTGGTAGGGGAAACCGGAGCACCCGGAGGAAACCTACACAGACACGGGGAGAACATGCAAACTCCACTCAGAAAGGCCCTGGTCCAACCGGGATTCGAACCCAGGACCTTCTTGCTGAGAGGCGAGAGTGCTAACCACTCAGCCACCGTGCCGTGCTCTGGTCTCTTCTCTCTCTCTAGTCTCTCTCTGGTCTCTTGGTCTCTGTCTGGTCTCTTCTCTCTCTCTCTCTGGTCTCTCTCTGGTTTCTCCCTTTCTAGTCTCTCTCTCTGGTCTCCTCTGTTCTCTTCTCTGCTCTCTCTCTACTCTCTCTCTCTCTCTCTCTCTGGTCTCTGTCTGGTCTCTTCTCTCTCTCGCTCTCTCTTGTCTCTTGGTCTCTGTCTGGTCTCTCTCTGGTCTCTCTGGTCTCTCTGGTCTCTCTGGTCTCTGTCTGGTCTCTGTCTGGTCTCTGTCTGGTCTCTCTCTGGTCTCTGTCTGGTCTCTGTCTGGTCTCTGTCTGGTCTCTCTGGTCTCTCTGGTCTCTCTCTCTCACTCTCACTCTCACTCCTTCTCAGAATTGTCCTCTTGACTTCCCGTGTGTATGAACTGTGCCATACAACTAACCTTGCCTAAACTGTCCCTGTCTCTCCCTGCTCTCAGGCCTTGATGCTGGCCCAGTCTTGTGCCTCTCTGCCGTACTTCCCCCACGTGATGGAGCTGATGGTGCATGTGGTCCTGGAGGAGGAGGCCACGTCGCGGGAGCCCATCCCAGACCCCCTGCTGCCCACCGTGGCCAAGTTCATCACCGAGTTCCCCCTGTTCCTGCAGACCATCGTGCACTGCGCCCGCAAGACCGAGTACGCCCTGTGGAACTACCTGTTCGCCGCCGTGGGGAACCCCAAGGACCTGTTCGAGGAGTGTCTCATGGCTCAGGACCTGGACACTGCTGCTTCCTACCTGATTATCCTGCAGGTCAATACTCTCTCTCTTCTGGTCTTTCTCCCTTTCTCTGGTCTTTCTCCCTCTCTCTGTCTCTCTCTTTGTCTCTGGTCACTAGTCTCTGCCTACTCTTTTTCTCTCTCTGGGGGTCCTCTCTTTGGTCTCTTTACCTCTGATCTCTCTAGTCTCTCAGGCGTTTATTTTTTTGGGCTCTTTCTGGTCCCTCTCTCTGGTCTCTTTCTCTGGGGTCTCTCTCTCTGGTCTCTTTCTCCCTCTCTTTGTCTCTGTCTCTGGTTTCTCCCTACGCTTTATCTCTATCTGGGGTCTCTCTTTGGTCTCTTTACCTCTGATCTCTCTAGTCTCTCAGGCGTTTCTTTTTTTGGGCTCTCTCTGGTCTCTTTCTCTCTAGTCTGGTCTCTCTCTCTGGTCTCTTTCTCTAGGGTGTCTCCTCCTCTGGTCTCTTTCTAATCTCTCTGTTGTGTCTCTTTGGGATCTCTCTCTCCGGTCTCTCCCACATAGAGAGGGATGTGGAGCCTTGTCTTTAAAGCTCATACCATCAACACATTACCAGACCACTGACTGCACCATGCCGTTTCCTGGTGTTTTCCCTCAGAACATGGAGGTGCCGGCGGTGAGTCGTCAGCACGCCACGCTCCTGTTCAACACGGCGCTGGAACAGGGCAAGTGGGACCTGTGTAGAAACATGATCCGCTTCCTCAAAGCCATCGGCTCTGGAGAGATGGACACGCCCCCTCCCACGCCGACCAATCAGGTGAGTGCCTCTTTATCCTGTGGTTTCTGAATCTGACGTGACTGACTGGTCTCTCTCTCTCTGTGACTGACTGGTCTCTCTCTCTCTCTCTGTGTGACTGACTGGTCTCTCTCTCTCTCCCTCTGTGACTGACTGGTCTCTCTCTCTCCCTCTGTGACTGACTGGTCTCTCTCTCTCCCTCTGTGACTGACTGGTCTCTCTCTCTCCCTCTGTGACTGACTGGTCTCTCTCTCTCCCTCTGTGACTGACTGGTCTCTCTCTCTCCCTCTGTGACTGACTGGTCTCTCTCTCTCCCTCCCTCTGTGACTGACTGGTCTCTCTCTCCCTCCCTCTGTGACTGACTGGTCTCTCTCTCCCTCCCTCTGTGACTGACTGGTCTCTCTCTCTCTCTTCCTCTGTGACTGACTGGTCTCTCTCTCTCTCTCTCTCCCTCTGTGACTGACTGGTCTCTCTCTCTCCCTCTGTGACTGACTGGTCTCTCTCACTCTCACTCTCTCACTGACTGACTGACTTCTCTCTCTCCCTATGACTGCTCCCTCTCTCTCCCTCCCTCTCTCTCTCTGACTGCTCTCTCTCTCTCTGACTGGTCTCTCTCTCCTTCAGGATCCCAGCTCCGGAGGGTTTGAGTTCTTCCGTACGCGCAGCATCAGTCTGTCTCAGTCGGCGGACGCCATCGCTTCAGGGAAGTTCAACCTCCAGAAGACGTTCAGTATGCCCAGCGGCCCCTGTGTCAAAGGGTAACACACATTTATGTGTTTACATGTGTGTGTCCAACCTGCGCAACACATCACACATACAAGGCCATGGTTCCAAAAGCCCCATCTCACACACACACACAGACGTGGACTGTGCAGAGAACGTGTGTGTGTTGCTCTGACAGTTTTGTGTCTCTCTCAGGCTTGATGTGGACTGTGCAGAGAACGTGTGTGTGTTGCTCTGACAGTTGTGTCTCTCTCAAGCTTGATGTGGACTGTGCAGAGAACGTGTGTGTGTTGCTCTGACAGTTGTGTGTCTCTCAGGCTTGACGTGGACTGTGCAGAGAACGTGTGTGTGTGTGTGTTGTTCTGACAGTTGTGTGTTTCTCTCAGGCGTGACGTGGACTGTGCAGAGAACGTGTGTGTGTTGCTCTGACAGTTGTGTGTCTCTCTCAGGCGTGACGTGGACTGTGCAGAGAACGTGTGTGTGTGTTGCTCTGACAGTTGTGTCTCTCTCAGGCTTGACGTGGACTGTGCAGAGAACGCGTGTGTGTGTGCTGCACTGACAGTTGTGTGTCCCTCTCAGGCGTGATGTGGACTGTGCAGAGAACGTGTGTGTGTTGCTCTGACAGTTGTGTCTCTCTCAAGCTTGACGTGGACTGTGCAGAGAACGTGTGTGTGTTGCTCTGACAGTTGTGTCTCTCTCAGGCTTGACGTGGACTGTGCAGAGAACGTGTGTGCGTGTGTGTGTGTGCTGCACTGACAGTTGTGTGTTTCTCTCAGGCGTGACGTGGACTGTGCAGAGAACGTGTGTGTGTTGCTCTGACAGTTGTGTGTCTCTCTCAGGCGTGACGTGGACTGTGCAGAGAACGTGTGTGTGTGTGTTGCTCTGACAGTTGTGTCTCTCTCAGGCTTGACGTGGACGGTGCAGAGAACGTGTGTTGCTCTGACAGTTGTGTGTCTCTCTCAGGCGTGACGTGGACTGTGCAGAGAACGTGTGTGTGTTGCTCTGACAATTGTGTGTCTCTCTCAGGCGTGACGTGGACGGTGCAGAGAACGGGTGTGTGTTGCTCTGACAGTTGTGTGTCACTCTCAGGCATGACGTGGACTGTGCAGAGAACGTGTGTGTGTGTTGCTCTGACAGTTGTGTGTCTCTCAGGCGTGACGTGGACGGTGCAGAGAACGTGTGTGTATTGCTCTGACAGTTGTGTGTCTCTCTCAGGCGTGACGTGGACGGTGCAGAGAACGTGTGTGTGTTGCTCTGACAGTTGTGTGTCCCTCTCAGGCGTGGCGTGGACTGTGCAGAGAACGTGTGTGTGTGTGTGTGTGTGTGCTGCTCTGACAGTTGTGTGTCTCTCAGGTGTGACGTGGACTGTGCAGAGGACGTGTGTGTATTGCTCTGACAGTTGTGTGTCACTCTCAGGCGTGACGTGGACTGTGCAGAGAACGTGTGTGTGTTGTTCTGACAGTTGTGTGTCTCTCTCAGGAGTGACGTGGACGGTGCAGAGAACGTTTGTGTGTCTGTGTGTTGCTCTGACAGTTGTGTCTCTCAGGCGTGACGTGGACGGTGCAGAGAACGTGTGTGTGTTGCTCTGACAGTTGTGTGTCACTCTCAGGCGTGACGTGGACTGTGCAGAGAACGTGTGTGTGTGTGTGTGTGCTGCTCTGACAGTTGTGTGTCTCTCTCAGGCGTGACGTGGACTGTGCAGAGAACGTGTGTGTTGCTCTGACAGTTGTGTGTCTCTCTCAGGCATGACGTGGACTGTGCAGAGAACGTGTGTGTGTTGCTCTGACAGTTGTGTGTCTCTCTCAGGCGTGACGTGGACTGTGCAGAGAACATGTACATCGACCTGATGCTGTGGCGTCACGCTCGCCACCTGCTGGAGCAGCTGAGATTGCGGGACCTCGGCTGTTTCTCGGCTCAGCTGGGATTCGAACTCATCGGGTGGTTGTGTCGCGAGAGGAACCGCGTGGCTCGGGTCGAAGACTTTGTTTTTGCTCTAAAAGTGTTACACAAAGATTTCCTTTGGCCGTTTCCTGTGATCCCGGTCGGATGCATCAACTCTCCGCTGAAGAACGGGAGGAGTCGCTCTGGTGAGGCTCATCCTGGTCACATACAGACTCGTCCTGGTCACGTACAGACTCATACCAGAGGCAAGGTTATTTGTTCTAGTACCTTTTGAGTTGGCCTGGTGTATATACTGTGCTATATAGTCACACATCAGAGTGCATTAAGAAGAGTGAAGGTTTTGGGGAAAGAGACCAGAGGTGACGCATTTCAATCAATTCAAATCACGTGTGTGTGCGTGCCTGTAGTGTGTGTGTGTGTGTGTTCCTGTAGTGTGTTTGTGTGGGTGCCTCTAACCCTGAGTGTGTTTCTGTGTGGTCAGTGCTGAGCAGCCGGTTACTTCAGTCGGAGTCGGCGGAGAGTTTGGTGAACAGTGACATGGAGAGCGCCCCCCTGCAGAGCCCCAGCAGCAGCACCTGGAGGGAATCCATCTCTCAGACCAAAGACCTGGACCCTGTCTCAAACCAGCAGTCACCGCAGACACAGGACGCTTTTCTGTCCCTCGTCACTAATAAAGGTGTGAGGCAAAAGGTTTCTCTCTCTGGTCTCTCTTTGGTTTCTCTCTCCCTGCTCTCACTCCACTCTCTCTCTGGTCGCTGTCTGGTCTCTCCCTCTGGTGTCTCTCTCTGGTCTCTCTCTCTCTCTGACTTTCTCTCTGGTTTCTCTCTCTCTTGTCTCTCTCTCTTGTCTCTCTCTCTTGTCTCTCTCTCTGGTTTCTCTCTCTGGTTTCTCTCTCTGGTCTCTCTCTCTGGTCTCTCTCTCTGGTCTCTCTCTCTGGTCTCTCTCTCTGGTCTCTCTCTCTTGTCTCTCTGGTCTCTCTCTCTAGTCTCTCTGGTCTCTCTTGTCTCTCTCTCTTGTCTCTCTGGTCTCTATTTTGTCTCCCGTCTCTCTGGTCTCTCTCTTGTCTCTCTCTCCCTCTGGTCTCTCTCTGGTCACTCTCTCTGGTCTCTCTCTCTCTGGTTCATGTCTGTAGTATGATTCTCTCTCGTCCTCACTCTCAGTGGAAGAGTACAGTCTTGGATCTGCCACTGACCTGACGGAGACCAGTTCGGTTCTGGACGGAGACTGGACCATGGTGGATGAAAACTCCTCCACTCTGTGTCTGAGCCAATCAGAGCTGGAGCACATCTCCATGGAGCTGGCCAACAAGGGCCCCCACAAGTCCCAGGTCCAGCTCCGGTGAGTCCTGACCCCTCACACCCTCTCACACCCTCTCACACCCTCTCACACCCTCTCACACCCTCTCACACCCTCTCACACCCTCTCCACCCTCTCACACCCTCTCACACCCTCTCACACCCTCTCACACCCTCACACAAGCAGCACTCTTTACACTCTTTATTATTCTAAGGCTTAAACATAAAGAAGCAACAAAGCACTTTCTACTTTAGTTTTGTGTTGTAAGTTGTGTTGTGTGTTGTTGTGTGATCCCCAGGTACCTGCTGCATGTGTTCATGGAGGCGGGCTGTCTGGAGTGGTGCGTTGTGATTGGTCTGATTCTGAGAGATGCCAGTGTTATCAAACAGGTCGTTAGCTTCCTGGACCATCCGGAAATCTCACCAGAAACTGTAAAAAACATCAAAAACGGCTTGTTTTCTGTAGAGACGTGGGCTTCTACAGACTGGTGAGTCTCCGTTCCTCTTTCCTCTCTCTAGTCACTTTCTCCGGTCTCTGTCTCTAGTTTCTCTGGTTTCTCTCTGTCTGAAGTTTTTATCTAATTTCTCTCTGGTCACTTTCTTCGGTCTCTCTTTCTTTGTCTCTAGTTTTTTTCTGGTCTCTCTGTCTCTAGTTTCTTTCCCTTTAGTTTATCTGGTCTCTCTATCTGGTCTCTCTATCTGGTCTCTCTCTATCTGGTCTCTCTCTATCTGGTCTCTCTATCTGGTCTCTATCTGGTCTCTCTTGCTGGTTTCTCTTGCTGGCCTCTCTTGCTGGTCTCTCTCTCTGAGACACTTGGATCTCAGAGTCAATAATAATCCCCTTTTTCTCTCTTTCTCTGGCTTCAGTCTTGGATACAAACCGTTCTTCAACCTAATCCAGGCCCAGCTCCAGCAGCTGCTGGACTCCACCGCGGAGCAGGTCCAAGTGGAGGCGTTCCAGGCCAGCAGCCAGTCCAAGCTCGGGGGTCCTGAGGGGCAGACCAGCCCTGTGACCCCCCGTCCTGAGGAGACCAGAGGGGGCAGCACTCCGCTGGGCCTGGTCCTGCCCAATCTGGAACCAGCAGGGGGCGCCACCGAGGAATGTCCTGACGAACAGATACAGGAGCCGGAGGACGAGGAGGGGGCCTACGACTGCACCCTGTCCTGACGGGGTCCTGGTCCATTCTGACATTACTTAACTCAGTATTAGTCTAGTGTTGACTTCTACTGTGCCAGCTTCTTTACTTCATTCTCTCCTCTTTCTACTTCGACTCAGAAGTGAGAATTTGTACTTCATAAAAACCCAAGCGACTCGAGGAAATATTTCCAGACTCTAAACTCCAGCTCCAGATTTTTGGAAACGGCACTTCTACCTGTGCACGGCGGTTTCATACCACATGATTTTAGAATATTTTCAACACATTTTTATAAAGCGAGTGCTTCAACCTATTTTTCTATCTCCCCACATGGTCCTGAGGCCATTCGAATGAACTATTACCTGCAGAATTAGTGGATTTTTCTACAGAAAGGATGAAATATCTGTGTGTACATAGTTTCTTACAGTCCAGAGTGCTGCTGCTGCTGATGTGCTGTCTCTCCCTGAGGCTGAAGCAGACCCCCCTCCAGAACAATGGAACCGGAGCCAGTATCAGTTTTTAACTTTCCTCGAAAAAGAAAAGCAAAAGTCAGTGTTGAGGCGAGCTCTCGGTGCGCACAGCCGCATGCCGTGAGGATCCGTCTCATTTTACGCTTGTATTTGTAAAGCAGGGACGTCAAAGGTCCCAGGTCAGGCCGGTGTAGCTGCAGGTTTTCACTCCAACCAAGCAAGATCACAGCAGACTCCACCCACTTCCTCATGTCTTCAGGATAAAGGTCCCACATTCCTCTCTTCTTTAGTGTAGTTACAGAAGTACACGGAGAGTTTGTAAGCACTGTACTGACAGATCTAGGCTACTCGGTTTCAAGATCAGAAGCTGGTCCGGTCCAGTCCAGTTTCATGGGGACCGTGGTTCTGGAACAGTCTTTGAAGTGTCACTTAGAGATGATTTCAGAGACGGAACCCTGTGAATGAAGTACAGCCACATTTTCTGCGTAAACACACTCAAAGTTGACATGATGCTAACACTTGGTCATGCTAACATTCAGTGATGCTAACAATGGGAGCAGCACAATTAACAGAGCTCCATGTGAAGCGATCACAAACTGTGGTAGTACTTCCATGATTGTTGTGATTAAATTGAGTGAAAAGGAAAGATCTCACTAAAGCTCGAGGGAATCGATGAAAACTGACTAGATCTGGGCCAATAGTTTCGTAATGATAATGAAAGCAGAGAAAAGTCAAAAAGTATAATATATGAGACCTTTAAGACTGGGCTGGAAATGGGTGGAGTCTGCTGAGCTCCTGCTTGGTTGGAATGAAGACCTGCAGCCACACCAGGCCTTTGAGGACCGGTCTTGGCCCCGCTGCTGTAGACCTGTAGGATCCCAGTGGGTGGATTTCATTTGATTTTATTGGACCCATTATTTATTGTTTCGTTGCTGTGTTTCAAACCTGGAGCGTGTCTTCGGTGCGAGCCTGTAATCATGTGTGTATCGGTTCCAAGCACAAACATGTAACAGTATTAATCTGTGCTTTATTCATTTTTCAGCATGACTTTATTTTATCCAAACTTTCTTTTTATGTTCTCAGGTCAAACCCTGTGTCCATCAGAACCTTATCTATTCAACGCCAGAACTCCCAGAGCAGTCCATTTGACTGCTTTTAGTTTTGGGCATGTAGTTACTCAGATCATGTTTTCATTGTAATAACAGTTTTACTTATTAGTTTCAATCATTTAATGGAACTATTTTTAGTTGCTTGGTAACCAACATTCCATGACAGTTAAAGCACCTTTTTCAAGATGCTGGTCCTGGACTGGTCCTGGACTGGTCTGGGTTTTGCAGTCATCTTGGTTTTCCACTAGAGTGCTAGTTACCATAGCAACACAGTGTACCGTCAGCAGTTCCCAATGTTAGCGTGAGTAAAGGTATTAAACCTTATAAATGACTTACTTTTGATAAATCTGGTAGAACTAAAATAGTTTAGAGCATTTTCAGTATTCCATTGATTTGAGCAGTCAAAATGACTGCTCTGGGAGTTCTGTTAAACATTCTCACACACGGCGCTGCTGCTTTACTTGAACCTGACAAACCAAAGACGTCGTAACAGAGGCCTTCGCTTTGATCCTTTTGTTTTGGTCAATTTCAAACAGTTTCTTCATCAACGATCGTGATGACGTCCTGCAATTTCCTACGGAAATGTTTTTGAACTTTCTCTTCTGCGAGAGGAGCCCTCAAGACGTGTTCAGTGTTGGAAAAATACAGTTGTATAATTGTCTTTTCAACTTTTTCTACTCTATTTTCTCCTGTACATAAAACATTAATAAATTATTTTTTAAAACGTTTAATATTTTTATTTAACACTTTTCACAGACCACGGTCTTTATGGAGGACAATATTTAGTTCATATCATAGTGACATCACTGAATATTAGAACCCAACAGCTACTGGCTGGATTTAAACATTGTTAGGGTAGAATTTTCATTAAGACTGTTCCAGATGTTTGCCTCATTATGATTAGTCCTGACTCTGGGACCAGCAGGAGGCCAGTCCCTGTGCTCCCCAGACTCTCAGCAGGAGGCCAGTCCCTGTGCTCCCCAGACTCTTGGCAGGAGGCCAATCCCTGTGCTCCCCAGACTCTTGGCAGGAGGCCAGTCCCTGTGCTCCCCAGACTCTTGGCAAGAGGCCAGTCCCTGTGCTCCCCAGGCTCCCAGCAGGAGTTGCTTTAGTTGTGTGCTCCTCACTCCTATCTCTTGATCTTAAACTAGAGGAAACTTAAGTAGACACTGGGAAAACATGCAAACTCCACACAAAGGTCTGGAAATGGATTCAAACCCAGAACCTTCTTTCTATGAAGCACAAGCGCTAACATTGCTGCTTCTGTGCACAGAGGAAAAGGACAAAGTGTTTTCATTCTTTTATTAGCTGTAGAAGTGCGTTTGCATAATCACTCACCAGGCGGACCCTGTGACCAGCCCCAAGCCCCAAATCAAACCTGTCCACATTAGTCAAACAAAAAAAATGTATATTTAAAAACATTACAAAAAATGAGTGAGGGAAATGTATTCAGACATGGCAATGACACAAACTTGTCTCGTTCTCCCAAACACTTCACGTATTAAGAACAGTAGGACTCCCATTGTTCTGAAACTGCCAGAACTCCGACGGCAGCCATTTTGAAAGCTCCTGTTCAAATCTCCCCAAAAAAGTGAATTAGTTTTATTAAAAATACAATACGTAAATACATTATGAGGATTTTTATTTACCTTTACGCACTTTTAATAAGACTTGTGAATAAAACTTTATATACAGCAACAACTGTTAGCTGAAAGGCTAACGCTAACTCTGTGAACAGTGTTGCTAACGAGCACCAGGACCAGCATCGTGACAGAGTATCTAACTAAATGTACGGCACTGTAGAACTTTCATTTCTGGACAATAAACCACTACTTTTATCTAGCTCTTTGAACCTTGAGGCTTATATAGCAATGCGGCTAATGTGTGTATCTGGATAGAGCGGGTCAGTTGTCAGAGCAGAGTTTGTAGACTTATGTAGCTATAGGACACTTGAAGCTAACGTCATTAAATCATGTGTCCAGTTAAAAGTCATCTCTGCTACATTAAACATGAAAACCTGCTTATATTCAGGTGCGGCTAATATGTGGACAGCATCGTTCTTCTTTTCTTTTAGGTGATGTGGCTTTAACAGGTGATTTAAAGTCCAGAAGAACATTGTACATTCCAATGAACAGTCAGTGTGCCAGTCAAATTGACTGCTGTTGGTGTTCTAGTGTTAACCTTTAGCAGCATTGGTTGGATTACAGCGCCACCTGCCTGCTCTGCTGGGGGCGTATGCTACAAGAACAGGTTTTCTTGGTTAGCTTCACTGCTTCTGGACAAACGATGATTAGGATTGTATACTCGAACCCAAATCATGATGACCCACAAATGAAAGGGTCAGTTGATGCATTGAACATGTTTACAACAAAAGCCTTATTTAGTAACTATTTTGGGGTTTTCTTACTTAAATGTCAAGACCAAACTTTACAATCGCAGTCTGTGAGAAAGTGAAACCTCAGCATTAGCGCAGGATCAGCTGACAGCGTCGTACTGAAAGAACTCTGTTGTTATCCTCTAAGTTCAATAACCATTTATGATCTATGTTTTGATTTAGAATTGAACAAACTCATGTGTGATCTCAGTCCAACGGTTTATTTGGTCTGATTCTACAGAAAGACCAGAGGTTTTTACTGTAGCTAACCGTTTGAGGAAGTCGTGGCAGCTGTCCAGAGTGATGTCACATGATGTTTCTCGTCTAGACGTCTTTTGCGCCATCTTTCTTCCACCACGACACCGCCATTCAATTCAAAAAACATTATTCATTCGTGAGGAACTTCATTCGCAGACGGAGACACCAGATTTAAAATACAATACAATAAAAGTACCATCTGCAGTCCGACGTCTTCAGGGGAGAATCCCAGGTGTGTGAGGCTAGAACAGCCCCCACGTCCCGGTTTATCGTCCTGGAGCATGTCTCGGTTTTTTCATTGTCTCTTTGACCCGGTCCCCAGCCCCTTTGGTATTGGCTTTGTCACTATCCATAAAGTGGGCCTCTTATTTTGGTTGGAGATGACCCATTTGAGCCGCTTTTGTTCTGCTTTGTATTCCAATGTGGCCTCCTTCACTCTCAGCCTTTTTTTTTAATTGTAAATCAATATATCCTGCACAGACTATATATTTTAACCTTAAAGATGCTATAAAGGATTTTTTTTAAGAGTTCATAAAAATTGCTACATACAAGTTGTATTATAATTTGTAATTTAATGTAAAACTTTAGCTCATAGATTCAGCTTTACTCACCGCTTTACTCATAAACCTTGGTTGAGAGATGGAACAATTTTTCACTTCCGCTCAAGGATTGACAAAAATGTGTCTCTTTGGGCTGAACGTGAAGGCCGTCGGTTCAAGCGTACTTATCAGTCTGCATGTCTCCAGTGCAAAAGACCCAGAAGAAAACCTCAAGGACGACATTTCACAATAGTGGAGTGAGGCTGGACTTCCTACTTAACTTTTCCCCTTCTCACTATTAACTCAAGCTCAGTGGTTCCTAATGGAGGTCGAGTTTCTGAATCACAAAATCAACAGATCTATATCTACAATACTTGCTGGACTATAAGCTGCCTTCCTGCGGCTTATACAGCGATGCTGCTAATGTGTTGTCACAGGAACAGGTTTTGACGTGGCTCTATCGCTGTTGATCTCCAGAGTTGATGGCATAGCACACATTCCTGCTTCTCTCGTGTTTAGGTGAACAGCAGAGAGACATAAGGAAGTGCAGGGGAATACTTGTATATGTGTTTTAGGAGTGGACTGAGCAGTGTTTGCCTCAATGCAGAAGAAGCTCATGTGAACATAAGCTAGCTGGAGCAAATTTCCTTATATGGGCATTTCTTTCAGCATGGGGTAAAACAGTTGAATAAGGCAAGCTGGAGTTTCCCCGGCAAATGGTTGGGGATTTTGTAAGTCCACCAACACCAACAGTTACGTAATGTTTGTCAATGCAAGTCAATAGAAACCAGAGCGAGTTGGAGCTAAACTTTGTCCTTGAGCACTTTTCCATCTGCACACAGTCTATGAAATACACAGGATTTGTTTCTTATGTGAAATGGGCTGCAGTTTGAGTAGGAAGTAGGGCTTATATTCAAGTGAGGCCTATACGTGGGACCAAAGTACATTCTTTTCATAACCGTGTCAGTGTCGATGAACATGGAAAATCTCCTATTCCCAAGTGGGAGGTTATAAAAATAGTGATTCTCTTACAGTAACTCAGTGTGAGAGAAGCTTAAGAACCAACAAACGCCACAGGTCAATTACACAACCCCCGTTTTTACAAGTTTCCCAAGACACAAAAGAAATGCAGCCGTGGCATCAAACTTAGAGCTGCACTATGGCCCCGTTTCCACCAGACCTACTCGACTCGACTCGGTTGTGTTTCCATTATGCTTTAGTATCTGATACTCTATTCTAGCAAACTGCTCAACAACAACAAAGCAGTATCTGGGGAATTTCCTTGGTAGCCATGGCTTCCAGCAGAACTCTGGCCAATCACTGTCAGTTAGAACACTTTAGTACCAGCTCGTCCTGGATAGAACCAGGACCAAGAGGGACTAAAGAAGGACCTGGTACTGGTTACACAGGACCAGCGAAATTCTCCCAATCAGGGGAGAGTAGAGACGGGTTTGGGTAGAGTAGAGTTTGGGTAGAGTAGAGTTTGGGTAGGGTAGAGGTTGGGTAGGGAAGAGGTTGGGTAGGGTAGAGTTTGGGTAGAGTAGAGTTTGGGTAGGGAAGAGTTTGGGTAGGGTAGAGTTTGGGTAGGGAAGAGTTTGGGTAGGGTAGAGTTTGGGTAGGGAAGAGTTTGGGTAGGGTAGAGTTTGGGTAGAGTAGAGTTTGGGTAGGGTAGAGTTTGGGTAGGGAAGAGTTTGGGTAGGGTAGAGTTTGGGTAGAGTAGAGTTTGGGTAGGGAAGAGTTTGGGTAGGGTAGAGTTTGGGTAGGGTAGAGTTTGGGAAGGGTAGAGTAGAGTTTGGGAAGGGTAGAGTTTGGGTAGGGTAGAGTTTGGGTAGGGTAGAGTTTGGGTAGAGTAGAGTTTGGGTAGGGAAGAGTTTGGGTAGGGTAGAGTTTGGGTAGGGTAGAGTTTGGGAAGGGTAGAGTAGAGTTTGGGAAGGGTAGAGTTTGGGTAGGGTAGAGTAGGGTTTAGGTAGAGTAGAGTAGAGTAGGGCTGATGGAAACAGGGCTTTCCAGACTCTACAGCAAAGTCATAAACTTTAACCAAATCATCAGCAAATTAAGACATTGAGACATAAATATTTGAATTTTCTCTGACACGATATATATACAAGACAATAGGAGTGTCCCGATTCTTTCACAGTAGAATTATTATAAACTAGTCTTATCACTCCGACAAATCATCATCGACGAAGAAGAGGGCTGGGCGATATGGGCGAGAGGTCACATGACCATAAACAGGAAGGAAATATCACCGTGACGATAGAAGTCACAAAGCAAATAGCTGTAAGGTTAAAAACACCTCAGTGACCCACAGAGAAACACTGCCTGTTTCAGTTCAAAAGGTTTGGCCGAGGTTACCGCCCACACCTGTTACCGTGACAACCTGGAGACTGCAGTTCAGCAAAACTGGAGAAAGGACAAAGAGGATGCAGCCGTTTCTGCACACGCTCAGACCAAAGGGAAGCATCACCTCTTTCTCCTCTCTCTCTTGTCCCTCCCCTCTTTTCATTCCTCCTTTCTCTCTCCCCTCACCTTTTCTACCGTTCCCCTTTCCTCTCCTCTTTTCTGTCCTCCCTCCTTTCTTTTCTTCTCCCTTCTCCTCTCCCTACTCTATACCATCCTCTCTCCCCTCTCTCTCTCCTCCCCCCCATCTTCTTCTCTCCTCCCTCTTCTTTCCTCTCCTCTACTCTCTCCCCTCTCCTTTCCTCTCCTCCCCGCTATCTTCTTCTCTCCTCTCTCTCCCCTCTTCTTTCCTCTCCTCTACTCTCTCCCCTCCCCTCTCTTCTCCTTTACTCCCCTCTTTCCTCTCCTCCCTCCCATTTTTTCTTCCCTCCCCTCTCTACCTAACCCTCTTCTATTCTGTCCTCCCTCCCCTCTATCTCTCCTTGCTTTTCTCCTCTCCCCTCCCCCTCTCCTCTCTCCGCTCCTTTTTCTCCCCTCCCCCCCCTCTCTCTCCCCCCTCTCCCCTCTCTCCTCTCCAAATGCTACCGCAGTGTTTCTCTGACATTACTCCAGTCTAACCCATCTCTGACCGTCTCGTATCGCCCAGCCCTAGGATAAAAGAACAAATAATCGCAGCAAATAAACAAAAAGCAACGTTGGCAAAAAGTAACACAGTGTTCCCCAAAGACACAAACGAAAGACAGGCAGCCGGTGATTATTAAGACCAGAGTCCAGAGTCCAGAGACCAGAGACCAGAGAGCAGAGAGCAGAGAGCAGAGTCCAGAGAGCAGAGAGCAGAGAGCAGAGAGCAGAGTCCAGAGAGCAAAGTCCAGAGTCCAGAGTCCAGAGTCCAGAGACCAGAGTCCAGAGAGCAGAGAGCAGAGTCCAGAGAGCAGAGTCCAGAGACCAGAGTCCAGAGAGCAGAGTCCAGAGACCAGAGTCCAGAGACCAGAGTCCAGAGAGCAGAGAGCAGAGAGCAGAGTACAGAGACCAGAGTCCAGAGACCAGAGACCAGAGTCCAGAGAGCAGAGACGAGTGCAATGGAGTCAAATCAAACAAAGGCACAACAGCTCAAGTAGAAAAGGTCTCTCCCTTCTCCGCGGGTCCAGGGGGAGTCATGTGACCGCAGAGGCCGCATCAGCTGACCAGGGCCAAGTCTCTGCTACGTCGGACACAGTGATGGTGGTCTGCTCTCTCGCCCAGTGTGGGGAGAGAGCCAGGACTTGTGTGTGGAGGTCCAGCCTTGGCCTCAGTATCTGTACATGTGGTATGTACTGACCCAGGAGGACGGGAAGGCCCAGTCCGGAAACCTGTGCAGGATTTCCAGCAGCGGAGCAGTTCTCTGGTCCTTTCCGAAAAAATAGTGCGAGGAAATGGCCACGGAGATGATCCCTTCTGGTCCTGAAGGGTCTGGGTCTCTTGGAGGCTACAACAAACACATTAGCTTGAATGAGTAAAAACTGGAGATACCTGATATTTACTGCTGTGGATATACATTTAAAACACTAAATATTCTTTTTAACTTTAAATATACAACCTGGAGAAAGGACAAAGCCCAAAGGGAAGCTTCATCTCTTTCTCCTCTCTCTCTTCCCTCATCTTTTCTACCTTCCCCCTTTCCTCTCCTCTTTCCTGTCCTCCCTCTTTTCTATTCTTCTCCTCTCCCTACTCTATCCTGTCCTTCCTCCCCTCTCTCTCTCCTCCCCCCTCTCTTCTTTCCTCCTCTCTACTCTCTCCCCTCTCTTCCCCTTTGTTTCCCAGTTTCCTCTTCTCCCTCCCTTCTTTTTTTCCCTCCTCTCTCTTGTCCCTAACCCCTCTCCTCTCCTCTCTCTCCCCTCCCATCCCCTCCCCTCTCTCTTCCCTCCCTCCCCTCCCTTCTCTGTGCGTTTTTGTTATACCTGTATTTCAAACCAGAAAATCCAGGCGGGAGCATCAACACCATGAGAGTAGAAGACGAAGTACTCTCCGCTGAGGTCGTACTGCGGGGTCCCGTCTCCGAAAGACCATGTGGACAGACTGGCTCCGCGGTGGGGCATCAGGTACAGAGACATGTGACTGGGACCTGCTCACACAACAACAGGAAACACCAGGTCAAAGTGGTGCAGGAGGAGGAGTCCAGGTATCTCAGGGTCTGGTTCATGAGCAGGAGCAGCGTCTGCAGTCAGAGCTCACGGATTACCGCTCATAGGCTGTACATTGGGAGAGGACTGAGTGAGTGTGACATCACCACAGTGAGCCCAAAAGAGTGTGACACTTACTGAGCGGGAGGAGTTTACTTTTACATGTGAGTCAATAGGAGCCAGAGTGAGTTGGAGCCAAACTTTGTCCATGAGCACTTCCCCATTGAGCTAGTCGGTTAGCATTGTCCATCTGTATACAGTCTGCGATCCTCCCTCCCTTCTGGTCGTGAGCTTTGGATAATGACCGTAAAGGACCAGATCCCGGACACAAGCGCTCCACATGAGTTTCCTCTCTTAGAGAACGGGGAGGAGCACGTTAAAACACGGAAAGAGCTCGGAGTAGAGCCGCTGCTCCTCCATGTTGAGAGAAGCCAGTGAAGGTAGCTCAGGCATCTGTTTAAGATGCCTCCCTGGGAGATGTTCTGGGCATGTCCCACCGGGAGGAGACCAGGGGAAGACCCAGGACTGAGAAGTGTGTGTGAAGAGGGAAGTCTCTGCTTAGACTGCTGACCTCGTGACCCGGCAACGGATGAAGCGGAAGAAAATTAATGGATGAATGGATGGATGAATGGATGGATTGATGAATGGATGAATGAATGGATTGATGAATGGATGGATGGATTGATGAATGGATGGATTGATGAATGGATGGATTGATAAATGGATGAATGAATGGATTGATGAATAAATGGATGAATGGATGAATGGATGGACAAAGTGTGAAAGGCTCAAAGCACAGTACCATCACTCATGAACTGAAGACAAACCTTTGGCACTGAACGTCATCTTGATGGTGCCCCAGCTGGTCTCCTCTTGGGACAGCAGGCTGAACTCTATGGGAGCGCTGGGCCTCACTTCTGGAGCAGGGAGGTACCAGTTTTTCCTACAATTTCACAAAGATGTTTAAACTTGCTGCAGTCAGAAACAGTGGGAGGTACAATCCGGGGCAGAGAGAGGATGGGAGACTGACTTGCTGAGGAACTTGACGGGGAGAAACCAGGGGTAGCCACAGAACGGCCGGTCTTCTCGACAGTGCGTTCGAACCGTGTCGTTGAGCTCGGGAATGTGCGGAGTCAAGTGCTGAACTGCGGTGAAGTCAAAACTGTTGATCCAAAGACCCGAGTCCTGACTTTCCACTTGTCCTTGGAGATTGTGGAAAGTCCGTGTCGTGTGCTGCAATAGACGCACAACCAGAGAAATGAGAAACACAATGTATACAATATCTGTGAACAATGTACAAAAATGATTTAATCTTAGACCTGTATGAAAACTCTTTTGGGTCTCGGGCTCTCGGGGCGACCGGAGTACGGGAAAAACAGGCCAGCCAACACTAACAGGAACATACAGAGGAAGACCGAGCCCAGACCGGTCAGGATCCACTTAGTGCTGCGAGCCAGGTAGATGAAGTGAAGCTGAGGCAGGACACACAGGGAAAGTTGTGGTCAGACTTTAGCTTAGCCCTCACTCATTAACAGATAATGACATGCTAATTAGTGTAGCCTAGCCCTGCTCTTCCCAACAGAATCCATCTCTAAAACCAGAATCCTGATGCCACAGCTCTACACGTTCTGAATCAAACCAAACAGAACTTTGCATCACCTAAAATATCAGAGCCGAGTTAGACATGTGCACTTTATTACTATTGTTGGTCACTTTTTACAATTATTTATGTTTTGGGGATGAGGTTTTTCTGCTGCTGGACACACAGGGATCAAAATAGGATTTATCTGTCTATCCCCTCTATGTGTCTATCTCCTCTATGCATCTGTCTATCTCCTCTATCCATCTGTCTGTCTCCTCTATGCATCTGTCTGTCTCCTCTATGCATCTGTCTGTCTCCTCTATGCATCTGTCTGTCTATATCCTCTATCCATCCGTCTGTCTATATCCTCTATCCATCCGTCTGTCTATATCCTCTATCCATCCGTCTGTCTATCTATCTCCTCTATGCATCCGTCTGTCTATCTCCTCTATGCATCCGTCTGTCTATCTCCTCTATCCATCTGTCTATCTCCTCTATCCATCTGTCTGTCTCCTCTATGCATCTGTCTGTCTCCTCTATGCATCTGTCTGTCTCCTCTATGCATCTGTCTGTCTCCTCTATGCATCTGTCTGTCTCCTCTATGCATCTGTCTGTCTCCTCTATGCATCTGTCTGTCTCCTCTATGCATCTGTCTGTCTCCTCTATGCATCTGTCTGTCTCCTCTATGCATCTGTCTGTCTCCTCTATGCATCTGTCTGTCTATATCCTCTATCCATCCGTCTGTCTATCTATCTCCTCTATGCATCCGTCTGTCTATCTCCTCTATGCATCTGTCTGTCTATCTCCTCTATGCATCTGTCTGTCTATCTCCTCTATCCATCTTCACATATTTTCAAGTAAAACAGAGTTATAATAATCTAACTCTCAGTATGAGCTGTAACAAGTTTGTTCACAAAACAGAGCTCTGTCAAATCAAATCAAATCAAATAAATCTGTTGCAGCCAAAGCAGCGTCACAGAAACATGACGATACAGACCGACTATTCACTGGGAGAATAGTTCATCTGTAGCCGGGGGGGGGGACAGACAGACAGAGACTGAACCCCTCTTTTAGTGGAAAAAAACTAAAATAAAAATATAAATACTCTTAAGTGATGGACATATGAAGCCCTGTAGCACACTGAGGTTTTCATTACCAGACTGTTTCAAATGTGTCAACGCTTCTGAACTAGCTCAGACTAGCTTGTAGCGATGACATCTAGTGGACAAATATAACCATTGCAGCATCAGAAGAGCAGAACTTGACTCATGTTCCAAATGTAGTTTCACATTCTTACCGTTCTCACATAAGTACAGTATGACAGTTACTGCAGCAGGACATGGGTATATTGAATACAAGTTTGTTTACATCTCTCTTTATGCAGATCATACGTTTTTATTCAAGTTTTTCAACAGTTGTCAGTTTCAGTCAGCTTCTTGTTTGGCGCCAACTCTGCTGAACCCCTGAGACCGGCTCACCGAACCCCAAGGGTCGAACCCAGGTTAAGAACCACTGCCATAGAGTAAGACCAGAAAGAGAGAACAAGAGAGAGAGACCAGAGAGAGACCAGAGAAAGAGAGACCAGAGAGAGAGTGAGAAAGAGACAGAGACAGATTCCCTTCTGCAGTTTAAGTTCACACTGGACTGAGGGGAGATCTCTTCACAGGCCATGTGGATGTAGGCTGCAGTACCACCAGTGTCCTATAGTCCGTGTGGAGAAGAAGCTGCAACCAATCCACACAATGCAAAACAGCCACAGTTGGAACTTACAAAGTAGGAGGATAAGAAGATGGTTGCCAGGGTAACCAGCGTGGCCAGGACCACCTCGGGCGGAAGCTCCGTGCCACTGCGGCCCATGATCGGTGTGAAGATCTCGAACACCACCCAGAGCAGGAACATGAAGTGGACGTACGGCAGAGCGAGCCCCAGCAGGTACAGCACACAGTACTTCACAGACGCTCCTGAACCAGAAAGAAGGACCAGGAAGGCAGTTACAGAACCGGACTATAGACCAGTAAATACCAGGATGTATACCGAACCAGCGGCATTTAAACAGAAAGTACATTGTGTTTACATATAAGCCTTGAGTATAAGCTGCACCTACAGTATCCACGACCAGTCAGGGAAATTTCTTGGTAACCACGACTTCCAATGGCACCCTGGCCAATCACTGTCAGAACACTTTAGTACCAGCTCGGCCTGGATAGAACCAGGACCAAGAGGGACTAAAGAAGGACCTGAGACTGGTTACACACAGGACCTGTGGAAATACTACCAATCAGGGGAGAGTAGAGTAGAGTAGAGTAGAGTAGAGTAGAGTAGAGTAGAGTAGAGTGTTTGTTGTGTGTACCTTTGTCAGCGTGTACCTTTGTTATGTGTACCTTTGTCAGCGTGTACCTTTGTCAGTGTGTACCTTTGTGTTTGAACTCCTGGGTCAGCATCAGTCTCATGGCCAGAGGGAAGGAAACCATGAGCATAGGTACGTAGGCCGAGCACAGGGCCTGCTGCGTGAGCCACACCAGGCCACAGCACCACAACAGCAGGCTCACATCGAAGAACAGGTCTCCCAACTCCACCAGCCGCACACCCTGCACCGACACACGCACACACGCACACACACACAGACCGACACACAGACACACACACACACACACACAGACACATACAGACACACACACATACACCAACAAACACATGTATTGATGAAACACAAACATAAGATAGGTACCCCAGCTTTAATGCATCTGACCACAGCTGCTCTCATGTGAGATTTACCATAAAATACTTCAAAATCCACTTTCTTCTCTCTCCTCTTTCTCCTTCCTCTCTCTTCATCCTCCCTTATCCTCTCCTCGCTCACTTCTTTCCTTTTCTTGTTTATCTCTCCTCTCCCCTCTTCTCTTTCCCCTCTCCCCTCTCTTACTGTATCTCTCTCCTTTCCTATCCTATCTCCTTTCTCTAACCCTTTCTCATCCTCTCCTCTCTCTCCCTACCCCGATCCTATCTCCTTTCTCTCCTCTACCCTCTTTCCATCCTCTCCCCCCTCTCCTCTCTCTCCATACCCCATCCCATTTGGTTTTCCCCTTTTCACTCCTCTCCATCCTCTAACCTCTCGCCCCTCTCTTATCTATCTCCCTTCCCTTTCCTCTCTCCTTTCGCTCCTCTACCCTCTCTCCATCCTCCCCTCTCTCTCCCCTCTTTTTCTGCCCCCGCTCAAACTGGAGAGTAGAAAACGACCGGCCTCTCTCTCTCTGGTCCTGTACGTAGCTACTCCTGTTTGCGTAGATCCTCTCGCCTGTTCCCCTTCAAGGCTAAAGTTCAGCAACCCATGTGGGGGCCTCACTCACCCCGTAGTACAGGTTCTTGGCCAGAGTGTGGATCAGGACCATCTTCCCAGTGGTGGCGGAGCCGTAGAGACACACACAGGCGTAGAAGTGGTTATACCAGAACATGGAGCGTCCCGTCAGAGTCACCAGGAGCGCCACGATCAGCACCGACAGCAGAGTCACGAACCAACTCAGCACCACCACCCCCGTGGCACAGGCCAGGTCCCGGACGTAACGGCCTCCTGCGGGAGAGGGAGGAGAGGAGGAGAGAGGGAGGAGAGGGAGGGGAGAGAGGAGACGGAGAGAGGGGGGAGAGAGGGGAGAGAGGAGGGAGAGGGAGGGAAGGGAGAGGAGAGGGAGGAGAGTTGAGTGTGAGAAGAGATGAGATGAGAGTGAGAAGAGAGGAGAAGAGGAAGGAGAGAGGAGAGAGGAGGAGAGGGAGGAGAGGAGAGTGAGGAGAATTGAGAGTGATGAGAGTGAGGAGAGGAGAGGGAGGAGAGAGGGGAGAGAGGGGGAAAGGAGGGAGAGGGGGGGAGAGGGAGGAGAGGGAGGAGAGAGAGGAGAGAGAGGAGAGAGAGGGGAGAGGAGATGGAGGAGAGAGAGGAGAGGGGGGAGAGGGAGGAGAGGGAGGAGAGGGAGGGGAGGGAGGAGAGATAGGAGCCGGAGAGAGGGGGGAGAGAGGGGAGAGAGGAGGGAGAGGGAGGGAAGGGAGAGGAGAGGGAGGAGAGGGAGGAGAGGGAGGGGAGGAGAGTGAGGAGAGTTGAGTGTGAGAAGAGATGAGATGAGAGTGAGAAGAGAGGAGAAGAGGAAGGAGAGAGGAGAGAGGAGAGAGGAGAGAGGAGGAGAGTGAGGAGAATTGAGAGTGATGAGAGTGAGGAGAGGAGAGGGGGAAAGGAGGGAGAGGGGGGAGAGGGAGGAGAGGGAGGAGAGGGAGGAGAGAGAGGAGAGAGAGGAGAGAGAGGAGAGGAGAGAGGAGAGGGAGGAGAGAGAGGAGAGGGGGGAGAGAGGAGGAGAGGGAGGGGAGGGAGGAGAGATAGGAGAGGGAGGAGAGGGGAGAGAGGAGAGGAGAGGGAGCAGAGGAGAGGGAGGAGAGAGGGGGAGAGAGAGCAGAGAGGGAGGAGAGGGAAGGGAGGGAGGGAGGAAGGGAGGAGAGGGAGGAGAGGGGAGAGAGGAGAGGGAGCAGAGGAGAGGGAGGAGAGAGGAGGAGAGAGCAGAGGGAGGAGAGCGAGGAGAGGGAGCAGAGAGGAGAGGGAGGAGAGAGGAGAGGGAGGAGAGAGAGCAGAGGGGGAGAGCGAGGAGAGAAGAGAGGGAGCAGAGGGAGGAGAGCGAGGAGAGAGGAGAGGGAGCAGAGAGGAGAGGGAGGAGAGAGGAGAGGGAGCAGAGAGGAGAGGGAGGAGAGAGGAGAGGGAGCAGAGAGGAGAGGGAGGAGAGAGGAGAGGGAGCAGAGAGGAGAGGGAGCAGAGAGGAGAGGGAGGAGAGAGGAGAGAGGAGAGGGAGGAGAGCGAGGAGAGAGGAGAGGGAGCAGAGGGAGAGTATAGGTTGAGTTTCATGTTGTAGAAGCTTGACTAGAACCAGGAAGTAATTCAATTCAAATCAATTCTCTCTCTATTTCAGAAATTCTCTCTCTGGTCTCACTCTCTCTCTCTCTCTGCTCTTTCTCCCAGGTCTCTCTCTCCATCTGCTCTTTCTCCCTGGTCTCTCTCTCTATCTGCTCTTTCTCCCTGGTCTCTCTCTCTCTCCATCTGCTCTTTCTCCCTGGTCTCTTTCTTGTCTCTAGGAAACCTGCGCAGACACAGGGATAACATGCAAACTCCACACAGCAAGACCTGGGTGTGGAATTGAACCCAGGACCTTCTTGCAGGGAAACACTCTGAGGAACACAGGGACTGGCCTCCTGCGGGGACTCTGAGGAGCACAGGGACTGGCCTCCTGCGGGGACCAGAGTTACCCCAGTGTGAATCTATAGATACTATACTATACTATACTTTTGCAGCCGTGTTGATCTGAGTCGATCTAAACAGCAGGATGCAGGTGTCGGGGATTTTCCACTTTCTGTTTTGGTTCTCTGAAGGTCGAAGCTAACATTTCTCGTAGCAGATGCAGAGAGGAGTGTCCCTGTTTTCTCTTCTATAAAGCCATGCTGTGAAAACGCTCCCAGACCTCTGCATCTTTTGGCATTTCCTTCACCTGTGATTAGAGGGAAGTAGCAAAAATACTATCCATAGTATTTGCCATCGTCACATTTGTGCCAATTTTGGGCCACAATTTAATACTATTGTGATTCTTAACATATTGCAAGGATTGAGACTCAATTCTGCGTTACATTGTTATATATATTCTAAAAGAGGAAGGAGCGTCATTGTAGAACTAGCTTGGTCTTCACTTCACTTCATGGTCATGGTTCACTTCATTTCATACTAAGGTCTAGATTTGCTCCATTGACTCCGTTAACAGGTGGGAGGGGCTAACTCCTTTTGCAGATTGAAACCATTGGATCTGAGTTTACTGTGACGTTTGTAATGAGCCCGAGTGAGTGAGAAATTTAGCATTTAGCCTAGCTTTAGCATGTAGCCTAGCTTTAGCATTTAGCCTAGCTTTAGCCATCTCCTTTGCCACTAACGGAGCCCATGGGGAGTAGAGCCACAACATCTTTGCGTCAATGACATTTACTAAACATTCCTGTTGCTCCGGCTTCAGTTTCTTGATATTTGGATTGAACCAGAACAGATTATTTTACTATCGCATTCTCCGACAAACTACAACCAGCAAATTCAGCACAAACTCTTGACGTCACCGACACCGACCTGCAACACCCGCCTCCCCCGCTCTCTGATTGGTCGGAGGGAATTCAACCGAGGAAACTGCAGCCACTAGGATCAGACCCAGACGTACATGTAGGAAATGACCATGGACCAGAGTTTATACCATGGATCTATTATATTAACTGGATAGGGTATTACTAGCTTGTAGCTGAATAACTCATGTGCTCAGGGGATTCTCGTGGTACTGCAGACTGAACCAGACTAAATTCACGTGGGCTACCCAGAAATTTTCCCCATAGAACTCAATGCATATCAAAACAGCTCGACCTCAGCTGACAGAGAACCTACAGCTTTAATAAAGATAGTATTTTGTGGGGATTTTAGTGTCCCTTGTCATCCTGAAATTTTTTTCTTCTTAAATCCTTTGGTTTTGTTTAAATCCACACTTTAGTGCCACAAACTCTGCTCGTCTGGCTCTCGCTCTAACTCCCGCTCTGATGAACTGCTCTGATTGGTCAGAGCGCGGCCGAGCCCCTCTGTGCACGTGCGTGAGACCTGGTGTGAGACCCACACACGCGTGTTTGACGCAACGCATTATGGGAGATCATCCACTGCGCAGAACCGGGAGGACCAGACGATGCCCAAATACAGGAGAGTTTCCCATAGATCTTTGCGAGTTCCAGGCAACTTCCACTAATCTTTCAGCCCCCATGCTGTCACAAAGAGCCACTGAGCGCAACCATTCATTTGAATAGGGCGCCATCTTGAATCGCCGGGGCTTGGTTTACACATGGTAAGACCAGACGTACATGTAGGAAATGATCATGGACCAGAGTTTACACATGGTAAGACCAGACGTACATGTAGGAAATGATCATGGACCAGAGTTTACACATGGTAAGACCAGACGTACATGTAGGAAATGATCATGGACCAGAGTTTACACATGGTAAGACCAGACGTACATGTAGGAAAGGATCATGGACTAGAGTTTACACATGGTAAGACCCAGACGTACATGTAGGAGATGATCATGGACCAGAGTTTACACATGGTAAGACCAGACGTACATGTAGGAAATGACCATGGACCAGAGTTTACACATGGTAAGACCAGACGTACATGTAGGAAATTATCATGGACCAGAGTTTACACATGGTAAGACCAGACGTACATGTAGGAAATGATCATGGACCAGAGTTTACACATGGTAAGACCAGACGTACATGTAGGAAATGATCATGGACCAGAGTTTACACATGGTAAGACCAGACGTACATGTAGGAAAGGATCATGGACCAGAGTTTACACATGGTAAGAACCAGACGTACATGTAGGAGATGATCATGGACCAGAGTTTACACATGGTAAGACCAGACGTACATGTAGGAAATGACCATGGACCAGAGTTTACACATGGTAAGACCAGACGTACATGTAGGAGATGATCATGGACCAGAGTTTACACATGGTAAGACCCAGACGTACATGTAGGAAATGATCATGGACCAGAGTTTACACATGGTAAGACCAGACGTACATGTAGGAAATGACCATGGACCAGAGTTTACACATGGTAAGACCAGACGTACATGTAGGAGATGATCATGGACCAGAGTTTACACATGGTAAGACCCAGACGTACATGTAGGAAATGATCATGGACCAGAGTTTACACATGGTAAGACCAGACGTACATGTAGGAAATGATCATGGACCAGAGTTTACACATGGTAAGACCAGACGTACATGTAGGAAATGATCATGGACCAGAGTTTACACATGGTAAGACCAGACGTACATGTAGGAAATGATCATGGACCAGAGTTTACACATGGTAAGACCAGACGTACATGTAGGAAATGATCATGGACCAGAGTTTACACATGGTAAGACCAGACGTACATGTAGGAAATGATCATGGACCAGAGTTTACACATGGTAAGACCAGACGTACATGTAGGAAATGATCATGGACCAGAGTTTACACATGGTAAGACCAGACGTACATGTAGGAGATGATCATGCAAATCAATCTTACCTGCGTTGCCAGGTCGGGAAGCCTTCTTGGCCAGGTAAACGAACGTAGCTGCCGCCACCATGTAGTTGAGGATGGTTCCGACGCGCGCCGGATACGCCACGACCACGACTCCCAACAGATCAAAGAACACCATGTTGCCGTGACGATACTTTGGGGCGTCGGCCAGCTTCTCCGACATAACCAGGTACTTGAGAACGGCCAAGATGTTGTCACCTAGAAACAGACACAGACCAGGAAGTGTATTACTGACACTAACAATAATTCAAAAACTTTGCATATGAAATGTTATACTAAGATAACATCAAACAGGATAATTATTGAAATCGTTTAAAGTTGGGGAACCTGATTTTGTTTCATTAATACTAAATTTTTTGTGTCCCAGCAGAAAACAGCCTTGTGTACAGTGGTCCCTGGTTTATCGCGGGGGTGATGTGTTCTAAAAAATGACCGACAATAAGAGAAATATGCAAAGTGCTGTAAAGTCACTCACACTTTATAGACTTTACTCTTTACTGACCAACTGAACTCACAACTGCTGAAGTGAGAGACTAGAGAGAGACCAGAGAGAGACCACAGAGAGACCAGAGAGAGACCCGAGAGAGACCAGAGAGAGACCAGAGAGAGACCAGAGAGAGACCCAAGAGAGACCAGAGAGAGACCAGATAGAGTCCAGAGAGAGTCCAGAGAGAGACCAGAGAGAGAGTCCAGAGAGAGACCAGAGAGAGACCACAGAGAGACCACAGAGAGACCAGAGAGAGACCAGAGAGAGACCAGAGAGAGACCACAGAGAGACCAGAGAGAGACCAGAGAGAGACCCGAGAGAGTCCAGAGAGAGAGTCCAGAGAGAGACCAGAGAGAGACCACAGAGAGACCACAGAGAGAGACCAGAGAGAGAGTCCAGAGAGAGAGAGGCTATTGATTGGCCCTGAAGGTCACTATTTGACTCTTTGGGCTGAGAGCTGAGTGATCACTTTTGGGTCTGAAAAAGCTGATGTGACTGAGGCCAAAAATACATACAATAAAAAACTACAGATAGAAGCTAAATGTTTTGAGATGTATGGATTGTATTAAACAGTTCCCTTTTTGTGGCTTGAAAGTTAAGTACCTCAGCTTTAAGTATGAGTGGCCGTCTGTCTGAGCTGTTACACATTTATGAAGCAGCCACACACAAGGTCATGAGACAAAGCACTATTGTTCTCCGCCTGCAGGGTTTCTACTGTAGGCAAAGGCTAGAAAGAACAAAGAACACTTTCACCGCTCTGGTCTCCCTCTCTGGTCTCCCTCTCTGGTCTCCCTCTCTGGTCTCCCTCTCTGGTCTCCCTCTCTGGTCTCCCTCTCTGGTCTCCCTCTCTGGTCTCCCTCTCTGGTCTCCCTCTCTGGTCTCCCTCTCTGGTCTCCCTCTCTGGTCTCCCTCTCTGGTCTCCCTCTCTGGTCTCCCTCTCTGGTCTCCCTCTCTGGTCTCCCTCTCTGGTCTCCCTCTCTGGTCTCCCTCTCTGGTCTCCCTCTCTGGTCTCCCTCTCTGGTCTCCCTCTCTGGTCTCCCTCTCTGGTCTCCCTCTCTGGTCTCCCTCTCTGGTCTCCCTCTCTGGTCTCCCTCTCTGGTCTCCCTCTCTGGTCTCCCTCTCTGGTCTCCCTCTCTGGTCTCCCTCTCTGGTCTCCCTCTCTGGTCTCCCTCTCTGGTCTCCCTCTCTGGTCCCTCTCTCTGGTCCCTCTCTCTGGTCCCTCTCTCTGGTCCCTCTCTCTGGTCCCTCTCTCTGGTCCCTCTCTCTGGTCCCTCTCTCTGGTCCCTCTCTCTGGTCCCTCTCTCTGGTCCCTCTCTCTGGTCCCTCTCTCTGGTCCCTCTCTCTGGTCCCTCTCTCTGGTCCCTCTCTCTGGTCCCTCTCTCTGGTCCCTCTCTCTGGTCCCTCTCTCTGGTCCCCTCTGTCTCTGGTCCCTCTCTCTGGTCCCTCTCTCTGGTCCCTCTCTCTGGTCCCTCTCTCTGGTCCCTCTCTCTGGTCCCTCTCTCTGGTCCCTCTCTCTGGTCCCTCTCTCTGGTCCCTCTCTCTGGTCCCTCTCTCTGGTCCCTCTCTCTGGTCCCTCTCTCTGGTCCCTCTCTCTGGTCCCTCTCTCTGGTCCCTCTCTCTGGTCCCTCTCTCTGGTCCCTCTCTCTGGTCCCTCTCTCTGGTCCCTCTCTCTGGTCCCTCTCTCTGGTCCCTCTCTCTGGTCCCTCTCTCTGGTCCCTCTCTCTGGTCCCTCTCTCTGGTCCCTCTCTCTGGTCTCTCTCTCTGGTCCCTCTCTCTGGTCCCTCTCTCTGGTCCCTCTCTCTGGTCCCTCTCTCTGGTCCCTCTCTCTGGTCCCTCTCTCTGGTCCCTCTCTCTGGTCCCTCTCTCTGGTCCCTCTCTCTGTCCCTCTCTCTGGTCCCTCTCTCTGGTCTCTCTCTCTGGTCTCTCTCTCTGGTCTCTCTCTCTGGTCTCTCTCTCTGGTCTCTCTCTCTGGTCTCTCTCTCTGGTCTCTCTCTCTGGTCTCTCTCTCTGGTCTCTCTCTCTGGTCTCTCTCTCTGGTCTCTCTCTCTGGTCTCTCTCTCTGGTCTCTCTCTCTGGTCTCTCTCTCTGGTCTCTCTCTCTGGTCTCTCTCTCTGGTCTCTCTCTCTGGTCTCTCTCTCTGGTCTCTCTCTCTCTGGTCTCTCACTTCAGCAGGGAAAAAGGGAAGTAACAGCTACTTCCCTTTTTCCCTAAAAAAATATGTCTTTTGTTTTAAACTAAATGTTACAGAGAAGTACAGTATTATGACCAACTGAACTCACAACTGCTGAAAGAGAGAGACCAGAGAGAGACCATGGTGGCTGAGTGGATAACACTCTCGCTCCTAAGCAAGAAGGTCCTGGGTTCGAATCCCAGTCAGAACAGGGCCTTTCTGAGTGGAGTTTGCATGTTCTCCCCGTGTCCCCGTTTCCTCCAGGTGCTCCGGTTTCCCCTACCACTAAAAACATGCACAATAGGTCTGAATGTAAATGAGAGAGTGAATGGATGGTGTTGATTGGAGCTGATGGTCCAGTGTGTTCTGGACTCGCTTCTGTCATCACCGTGTGTGGAAGGATTGGAACAATATCTGACTCTGAACATGGGAAAGTGCTTTGGGTCTGACCTTGGTCTGTGAAATGTGTTATATAAATAAACATTACTTACTTACTTACTACAAGACCAGGGAAAAAGAGCGGAGAGAGCGGAGGGATTGAGAGACCAGGGAAAAAGATCAGAGAGAGAGAGACCAGAGAGAGACCAGAGTGATAAACCAGGGGGGAAAAAACAGAGAGAGAGACCAGAAAGAAGGAAACCAGAGAGAGACCAGAGAGATAGACCAGGGAAAAAGAACAGAGAGAGAGACCAGAAAGAGAGAGACCAGAGAGAGCCCAGAGAGAGAGAGACCAGAGAGAAAGACCAGAGAGAGACCAGAGAGAGAGACGAGGGAGAGAGAGCAGAGAGAGAGACCAGAGAGAGACTAGAGAGATAGAAACTGATTAAATAGAACACTTTCATTTTCCACAAACTCTGGTCCACTTCCATGACATCAGTACAGTTGTGTTTCCTTAAATGACTCCAGCTTCTGCTTCAAAAAGCTACTTCCCTTAAAAAGTCCCAAATAATTCACGCCTTTCGTTTGATACAAAAAGAGAGAGAGAAGTAGAGTATTTGCTGAGAGAAGGAGTGCCAGCTGTCTGGGGTTTTAGTGCTGACGGACTGGATTCTCTGCTAAGTGAAGCAGAATCCAGAGCAGGGGGAGGCGGTAAATAAAACGGCAATAGCACCGGCATCCAACTTTACATCTGCATCAACCCTGAGCAAGAAAATGCTATGGGTGTGATCCTGGGCTTTTCATTGGCTAATACAACACTATGAAAAACATACGTAATAATAATAATAATAATGTCACAACAATACAGTGACATTTCCCTTCTGTGGGACGAGTGAAAAATCTTAAAATAGCAGTCAGTCTATACAAGACGATTTTAACCAAGATAGACGGACCAATTTCCTTATAAGGGCATTTGTTTAGAGGGTTAGAGTCAGCTTTGCGTCGTAACAAGGAGATACGTGTTGCTAAAGCTAGTTGGAGTTTTAGCCATGAATGAAGGGGTCTGATTGGTCGCTTGATTCAGTTTATTAGTAGGGAAACATTGATAGACATCTGTCCCCAGTGAGCAGCAGACGAGTACATACATAAAACAAGCTAGCAAGTACAGGAAGCAATGGTCGCTGCAAAACCAATCAACAAAAACAGCAAAGTGAAGACCATTAAAGTGCTTGGCTCAGACTAATCACAGCTGAAAGAAGCTGCATCTCAGTGAGTGATATCGCCTGCCAGAGGGAAGGAGCTGGAACATGGCTTTTCCAAGGGCCAGAAGAGTAATCGATTATTCTAAGAGATGGATTTAAGAGTCTGGATTCAGTCTCTCTGGCCTCTCTCTCCCTCTCTCTCTGGCCTCTCTCTCTGGCCTGGCCTCTCTCTCTCTGGCCTCCCTCTCTCTCTGGCCTGGCCTCCCTCTCTCTGGCCTCTCTCTCTCTCTGGCCTCTCTCTCTCTGGCCTCTCTCTATCTGGCCTCTCTCTATCTGGCCTCTCTCTATCTGGCCTCTCTCTGGCCTGGCCTCGCTCTATCTGGCCTCTCTCTGGCCTGGCCTCGCTCTCTCTCTGGCCTGGCCTCGCTCTCTCTCTGGCCTGGCCTCGCTCTCTCTCTGGCCTGGACTCGCTCTCTCTCTGGCCTGGACTCGCACTCTCTGGACTCGCACTCTCTGGACTCGCACTCTCTGGACTCGCACTCTCTGGACTCGCACTCTCTGGACTCGCACTCTCTGGACTCGCACTCTCTGGACTCGCACTCTCTGGACTCGCACTCTCTGGACTCGCACTCTCTGGACTCGCACTCTCTGGACTCGCACTCTCTGGACTCGCACTCTCTCTCTGGCCTCTCTCTCGCTCTGGCCTCTCTCTCTCGCTCTGGCCTCTCTCTCGCTCTGGCCTCTCTCTCGCTCTGGCCTCTCTCTCTCTCTCGCTCTGGCCTCTCTCTCTCGCTCTGGCCTCTCTCTCTCGCTCTGGCCTCTCTCTCTCGCTCTGGCCTCTCTCTCTCTCTCTCGCTCTGGCCTCTCTCTCTCTCTCGCTCTGGCCTCTCTCTCTCTCTCGCTCTGGCCTCTCTCTCTCTCTCGCTCTGGCCTCTCTCTCTCTCTCGCTCTGGCCTCTCTCTCTCTCTCGCTCTGGCCTCTCTCTCTCTCGCTCTGGCCTCTCTCTCGCTCTCGCTCTGGCCTCTCTCTCTCTAGCCAAATCCAGCTATGAACCATGTAAGAATTGACCAATCAGATGCCTTCTTTCGCGAGGTGGTCCCTTGTCCCGTTGGTGTGGACTTACCCGCCCTCTGGATGGAGTCAGTCAGAATGCGGTCGGCCGTGTCGTACTTTGTGTGATAGATGAAGCCGTTCTCGATGAAAGCCAGGTCGATCCCTGTCGGCAACACGTGTCACTTACAGCTTTGCAGACAGAGGGCGCCACCGCTACATAAATGCCATCGTTGAGAGTTCACCTGGGATGTTCCCGAAGTCCCGATAGATGCGAAAGTCAGTGTCGGAAGGAATAATCCCGCTCTGAAACACCTCCTGACCCACGACTGAGGCAAAGGGGTGTTTGGCTGCGTGCACATAGGCCTGCACCAGCCACGGGTTTTCAGGGCCTGAGACCAGAGAAAGAATAGATTCATTAAGTACAAATAAAAGTAATAATGATACGATACATTTTAATAAGAAAATCATTACTACTTTATTTTATCATTCAATGTAGGACTGCGTAAGTGTGCCTACTGTCGTTAGTCTCGGTCCTGGATCTACAGCCTCGGTCCTGGGTCTACAGCCTCAGTCCTGGGTCTACAGCCTCAGTCCTGGGTCTACAGCCTCAGTCCTGGGTCTACAGCCTCAGTCCTGGGTCTACAGCCTCAGTCCTGGGTCTACAGCCTCAGTCCTGGGTCTACAGCCTCAGTCCTGGGTCTACAGCCTCAGTCCTGGGTCTACAGCCTCAGTCCTGGGTCTACAGCCTCAGTCCTGGGTCTACAGCCTCAGTCCTGGGTCTACAGCCTCAGTCCTGGGTCTTCAGCCTCAGTCCTGGGTCTACAGCCTCAGTCCTGGATCTACAGCCTCAGTCCTGGTCTATAGCCTCAGTCCTGGGTCTACAGCCTCAGTCCTGGGTCTACAGCCTCAGTCCTGGGTCTACAGCCACAGTCCTGGGTCTACAGCCACAGTCCTGGGTCTACAGCCACAGTCCTGGGTCTACAGCCTCAGTCCTTTGTCTACAGCCTCAGTCTGTACCTGTCTGAAACACCACTTCTTTGCCCCCGACTCCAGCTGCCTCCAGGTTGATGAAAGCCCGGACCTGTTTCGCCCATGGATGCTGAGTTATGAAGCCGTGACTGGCCTGAAAGAGAGAGAGAGAAGCTGGCAAAGGCAGAATATGGTTGCAGAGGTTCCAGATGTATCATGTTACCTGCAGAATATTTTCCTCTGCTCCGTTAAATAAAAAAATAACCCCGTGGTGCAGAGGGGTCGAGAGGTTGGCCAAAGAATGCAGGACTTCTAGCATCACTGCACAACTCACCGCATCGTCACTGGCACCTGCAGAAGATAGCAGCGTGAATACATTTTTTATATCAGTCCTGGGTCTAGAGACTCAGTCCTGGTTCTACTGCCTCAGTCTTGGATCTACTGCCTCAGTCTTGGATCTACTGCCTCAGTCCTGGATCTACAGCCTCAGTCCTGGGTCCACAGCCTCAGTCCTGGGTCCACAGCCTCAGTCCTGGGTCCACAGCCTCAGTCCTGGGTCCACAGCCTCAGTCCTGGGTCTACAGACTGTCTGTGGGAGCAGATCCCTCTCTCAATATGAGCCTTCCAGAGGTTTCCCACTCCTTCCAACCTTTTTTATTTTCATTTGTGTGTTTTCTTATCAATGCAGGAAGGTCTAAGGACATTGATGATCCGGAAATGTTATGGGTTTTTTTTTACATTCAGGACAGTGGTCAGCCTGCTCCCTATGGTCCAATGTCTCCTATGCTTTTATTGCAACTGTGTTTGAAATGTTTGATTCTCTGATCTGTTGTAGGTGAATCCACAACTTTGTAAAGTCTGCTGTGATTCAGGGCTGAACACAAATACATTAACTTAAATTGTGCGTTCTGGTTTCTTCTTCTCCTGCAGCGTTTCACCTTGAAGCAGTCAGGAGCAGATTAAATGGAAGGGAAAGGTGTGGGTCAGGAAGCAGGTCGCTGCCTGCGGTGCTTTGAAAGTTGTGGAATGCTAAACATCTCAAGTTCTAAAAACACTGAGGATGAAATATTGGAACAACACCCAACTCTCACAGACTGTAGTGAAAGTGGACATTCTGAAGTCACAAGTCTTCAAAACCCCACAACTTTATTAAAACAGAAAAATAAATAACTATGCAATACATTTGGCTCCATACCACAAATGTTGAATGTGTTGTCCTCTCCTCTCACCCCTCTCCTCTACTGTCTCTCCTCACCCCACTCTCCCCCTCCCCTCCTCTACTCTCTCTCCTCTTCCCACTCTTCTATCTCTCCACTCTTCTCTCTCTCCTATCCTTGAGTCTCTCTTTTCTCCCCCCTCTCCTCCTCTCATCTCTCCCCCTCCTCTTCTGTCCTCTCCCCTCTCCTCTCTCCCACTCATCTCCTCTTTCCTCTCCTCTCTCCCTCCTCTCCTCTCCTCTCCTCTCCTCTCTCCCACTCCTCTCTCTCCTCTCCTCTACTCTCTCCCTCCTCTCCCCCTCCTCTCCTCTCCTCTCTCCCACTCCTCTCTCCTCTCCTCTCCCCCCTCCTCTACAGTCTTCTTTCCTCTCTCCTCTTCTCTCTCCCCTCCTCTACAATCTCCTCTCCTCTCCCCTCTCTCCTCTCTCTCTCCGCCCTCTCCTCTCCTCTCTTCTCCTCTCTCCTCTCTAAATGCTATTGCCATATTTCATAAATTTTCACATTACCCCAGTCCTACCACACACGCTCGTTCAGAACCCTAACCCAGCTCTAGAACAGACCCAGACAGACTGTTGCAGGTCTTTTCCTGTGGCCCACACAGACGTATGTCCAGAAAGCCACAGCACATGATGTCTCTGTATTCTTACCCATGTCACATTGTACTGAGCCACAGATGGGTCTTAACATTCCTAAAATACTTTTGTTCAAATGAGCCATTGTTCACGGAGTCTGTCACAAATGTATCTCTGGGTTTCATTCAGTTCAAGGTCCACAATGTTCCAATGTTAAGAATCTGATTCTGATTCATGGTCAAAATGGCTACAACACAAATATGATCTTATTAAAATTGTATTTGGTCAAATGAACCAATCTGGGTGATTTGAGCATTAAAAAAACAGTAGGAATTGTCAAACCCCAAGAGTAGGACAGAAGAAGATCTTCCAGACACACAAAGCTTTAAGCCTCTCTATACTATAAAATGAAATTAATAGTGGTTTGGAATTTTATTTGTCTCAGTGCAAAGCTTGTTACCATTTATAATTGGAATAAATTAGTGATCAGGGGCCAAAGCTACAGAGTCCAGCCATGTTCAGACTCTCAGCATTCGGAGACGTTAAGGAAAATAGATAATGAACAAGGAGAAAGAAAATAAAGTTAAAATGATTATAAACTGGGACTCTGAGGAGCACAGGGACTGGCCTCCTGCTGGGACTCTGGAGCACAGGGACTGGCCTCCGGCTGGTCCCAGAGTCAGGACTAAACATGAGGAGGCAGCATTTCAGATTCACACTGCTAAACTTTCCTATTCACTCCTAACACACCATGTGCAGCTGTGAGCAAACATCAGAGGTACCTGGACTATTGGCGACCGTATCAAAGTGACAGTTGGCCAGCATCAGGAGCTGGCTGCCGCCCTTGGGCTCCAGCCGCACAGCGATGTTGGTGACCCGGTCGTAGAAACTGGTGAAGCCTCCGAGGAAGTCTATGGAGAAGGTCCCGGTGGGTCTCTGCACGTCCACGCTCAGCTGCTGAGGACCGGACGAGGTCTCGGCTCGGATCTTCTCTATCTGCTCCAGGAGGTACCCCACCGTCAGGACCTCGTTCTCTGGGCTCCCTGTGGGCCGCGGACCAACACTGGTGATCTGCTCCAGGTGCTGTCTGGAAGAGGGAGAGAGTACTGAGAGAGGAGGAGAGGACTGAGAGAGGAGAGAGTACTGAGAGAAGAGGAGAGGACAGAGAGAGGAGAGAGTACTGAGGGAAGAGGAGAGGACAGAGAGGAGAGAGTACTGAGGGAAGAGGAGAGGACTGAGAGAAGAGAGAGTACTGAGGGAAGAGGAGAGGACTGAGAGAAGAGAGAGTACTGAGGGAAGAGGAGAGGACTGAGAGAAGAGAGAGTACTGAGAGAAGAGAGTACTGAGAGAAGAGGAGAGGACAGAGAGGAGAGAGTACTGAGGGAAGAGTAGAGTACTGAGAGAAGAGGAGAGGACTGAGGTGTGTGTGTGTGTATGCGTGTATATGTGTGTGTGCATATTTGTTTGTATCTGTGTGTGTATGTGTGGGCCTTTGTGTGTATGTGTGTGCGTCTGTGTGTACCTGTGTGTCTATATGTACCTGTGTGTCTGTGTGTACCTGTGTGTCTATGTGTACCTGTGTGTCTATGTGTACCTGTGTGTCTGTGTGTACCTGTGTGTCTGTGCGAGGAGCTTCTAATTAAAATCATGTTCAAACCTGTTACAAATTAACAGAATTGCTCAAAAGGTGTGTTCCTTTTTAGAGAGAGATAGGGGTGTGTGGTCAGAGAGTGTTTGGGTTTCTGTCTTGTCGCGTGTCTGTGTGTGTCTGTGTGTGTGTCCGTGTGTGTGTGTCTGTCTGTGTGTGTGTGTCTGTCTGTGTGTCTGTGTGCGTGTGTCTGTCTGTGTGATTAAGAAGGATTGGACCCAAATAAGCGTCTGCAGAGTCAAGCCACTTTTTCCCAATTGGTTTGTTTCCGTTTTGTGTTTTTTTGTTCCTCGTTTATCATTTATAGTTTAATTTGGCAAAAAGTTTGAAATAAAGTTCTTACTACTAATAAACTGCAATCACTGTAGAGTTCAAAAGAAATGAACATGAGTGTAGCGTAATTTTGTTTGGGTCAAAATGTTACCGTTTGTGATCAAGATTTTTAATTTTTTTATTTATTTGATCGGGACAACACACATTAATGATCAATCCTATACAAGTCCTACACAAATTGTAAATGTGCCAGATTACAGCCAAACGTCTCATTAGTCCCGAGGCAGGTCACACAATAAAAAGAATACAGATGCATTAACTATCAACACCTGTATCAATATACACATACATTGTTTTTTCTGTTATATTTCCTTACATTAACTTCAAGAACAGGACGCTTTGTTTCAAAAACGTCACAAAAACTTCTTTCTTGTGTATTGTTGGAATTAGCATTATTTGTTTGAAATCGCTCTATCAAGTATAAGGCCGATCAAACCCTATAGTAAGTAAGTAAGTAAGTAAGTAAGTAATGTTTATTTATATACCGCCTTTCACAGACAAGGGTCACAAAGCGGTTAACAATTGTTATTATTTTTTTGGGCACTTGTCCTCTCACTCCAGACAGAGATGGGAGCGGGGTCGCCGAACAGGAGGCGCATGCCAGATCTATTGTACATATTTTTAGTGGTAGGGGAAACCGGAGTACCCGGAGGAAACCTACGCAGACACGGGGAAGAACATGCAAACTCCACTCAGAAAGGCCCTGGTCCGACCGGGCTCATTTCGGCCTCATTTCCACCCGCCCTCCTGTACTCTTCCCACCCTCCAAGTCTTTCTTGGTCCTGGTTCTGGGTAGGAGTAGGCAAACAATTTGACAACTCGATAGTATTGCAATATTTGGGTCACAATCATAAACTGTAAATATTATTGGACAGAGTGAATCATTTTTCCTCCATTGAATTTTAAGCGTGATCCCCGGGACAGTTTCAAAATGGCCGTGAGCTGGGTGGAACTATAACCTACAGCCACACCTGCCCTTTGAGGACCGGTTAGTAATCCATGATTTAACGCGTTCATTCAGTCAAGTCCACAGCAGCAAAACTTGACTGGTCCAAAAAATAATAAACTCTCCTCAGCATTGACCCCCATCTGGAACTTAGTGCTGAGCCAAAAGCTGACTTTAGGACTATAGAAGACTTTAGAGAAGAAAAAAAAATGCCATAAGAATACATTGGATAAATCTGTTTCCGGTACACCCCCACCGGCAAGGAGCCAGATTACAAACATGTCAGTGCACGTGCTCATGGACCTTTTTGAGCCGGGACCTGCCCCCACTGGCATCAGTTCAATATGATTTGAATTCTTAACATATAGCGATACAGCAAGTTTTGTGACACGATTCTGTCCCTTGTGATTTATGTCCTTCAAATTATACACAAATTGAGGATAATAAAACTGCTCAACTTAAACGCAACATTTATTATGGTCTGCACATGAGCTGAACGGTAATACTTAGGAAGGTATTACTAAAACGTTCAGGACAAGACATAATTACGAGTTTAAAAGAGGAAGGAGCGTCATGTGGATGTAAATGACCAGAAACAACACAGAGAAAACACAAAAGTGAAACAGATAGAAAATATAATCAAATATTGCAAAACTTTGTTCTACTTTACAATGTCATGTTTACATTCCCCACCACCATAAGATACGGTACCAGAAACTGAACCGTAACGGAAACACAACCAGGTAGAGTAGAGCAGAGCAGCATTAATTATATTCGAGTAGAGTATAGAGTAGAGTATAGAGTAGAGTATAGAGTAGGACTGGGCGATATGGCAAAAAATTTAAATCTCGATTTTATTTCCTGCTTTGGACAATGTCGATTTTAAATCGATTTTCATCAAAGTCACTCAAGACAGACTTTGCCCTTAAAACATTTTTTATCTTCCCGCTCAATATTTAAGTTTCAAAACTATTTTTTATTTGTTTCCCTCTATACATATTATAAAAGTCTTGTACAGACTGTGCTGATATCGCAAGTATAATTGATGTGCTGCTGGAACTCTCACAATATCCCTCATTCGATTTCACGATTTTCACATTTTTCACAAATTCGATTTATTGCCCAGCCCTAGTATAGAGTAGAGTATAGAGTATAAAGTAGAGTATAGAGTAGGACTGGTGGAAACGGGGCTTCTGTGCGTACAATAAACCATGATTTTATTTAACACTTTAAATATATTGTTTACTATGTATTGTTTCAAGGCACTCAGTTTACCCACGGTCTTGCGGTCTCTTTATAATCTCCCAGATCAACATTATTTTAGCAGCATGTTTGCGTTTACTTTATATACTGAATAAACAAACATGCACGCGCACACACACATACACGCACGCTATATGACTGAACTACACACTTATATGACTTGACTTAAACTACTGTGGTGCTTTTTGGCATGCATCAAACACCAACAACAGGAAGTAGAGTCTTCCCCACGGCCCCACACCTGTCCTCCCGTGGCCCGGGTGGAGGTGAGGCTCTCTGGGGGAAAGGTGCGTCTCTCTCCTCCTGCATGACCCTCACCCCTCCACACTTACCTGGCACGTATTGCATTGAACTCCCCGCTGGATTTCCCAATAACCAGCTGCTGTAGCGACAAATGAACCAGTCCCCATAGCACCAGAATAAACAGGCACACCAGAGAGGCTGCCAGTCCCTCCCGGAGCAGGAACAAGCGGACTTCGGGCTTGCTCTTTGGGTCTCCGCTGAAGCCGTTGTCCGAGAGTCCGCTGTCCTCCGGGTTCAGGTGACTGTTTGTGCCGAAGGGTTTTATTCTGCGGATAGTGGTGTCGCTCTCCATGTCGGAGCTTATGAGGCAGAGGCACAGGACTGTCACGGGCTCGCAACAGCAGACAACGGCAGCCGCAGAGGGACAATCTTCAACGAGGGCGAAGGGGGAGGCTGCAGCTGGAATCAGAATGACATCACAGCGACAGTCCTGCCTTTACTGTGTATGGACCTGCCTTCATAGTCTATGGCCCTGTCTTTACAGTCTAAGTTCCTGCCTTACAGTATATGGTCCTGTCTTTAAGTCTATGGTCCTGTCTTTAGGTCTATGGTCCTGTCTTTAAGTCTATGGTCCTGTCTTTAAGTCTATGGTCCTGTCTTTAAGTCTATGGTCCTGTCTTTAGGTCTATGGTCCTGTCTTTAAGTCTATGGTCCTGTCTTTAAGTCTATGGTCCTGTCTTTACATCTATGGTCCTGTCTTTAAGCCTGTGGTCCTGTCTTTACAGACTATGGTCCTGTCTTTACAGTCTATGGTCCTGTCTTTAAGTCTATGGTCCTGTCTTTAGGTCTATGGTCCTGTCTTTAAGCCTATGGTCCTGTCTTTTACAGACTATGGTCCTGTCTTTACAGTCTATGGTCCTGTCTTTAGGTCTATGGTCCTGTCTTTAAGTCTATGGTCCTGTCTTTACAGTTTATGGTCCAGCCTTTACAGTCTATGGTCCTGCCTTGCAGTCTATGGTCCTGTTTTATAGTCTATGGTCCTACCTTACTGTCTATGGTCCTGTCTTTAAGTTTATGGTCCAGCCTTATAGTCTATGGTCCTGTCTTATAGTCTATGGTCATGTCCTATAGTCTATGGTCCTGTCTTATAGTCTATGGTCCTGCCTTTCAGTCTATGGTCCTGCCTCACAGTCTATGGTCCTGTCTCATAGTCTATGGTCCTGCCTTACAGTCTATGGTCCTGCCTAGTCTATGATCCTGCCTTAAAGTCTATGGTCCTGTCTTTAAGTCTATGGTCCTCCCTTACAGTCTATGGTCCTGTCTTTAAGTCTATGGTCCTGTCTCTAAGTCAATGGTCCTGCCTCACAGTCTATGGTCCTGTCTTTAAGTCTATGGTCCTGTCTCTAAGTCAATGGTCCTGCCTCACAGTCTATGGACCTACCTTACAGTCTATGGTCCTGCCTTACTGTCTATGGTCCTGCCTCATATTCTATGGTCCTGTCTTATAGTCTATTGTCCAGCCTTATAGTCTATGGTCCTGTCCCATGGTATGTGAACTAAACAGCAGGTAAGATTGATGGCTCTGGGAGTTCTAGTGTTTAAAAAAAAAATAAAACCAACAAAGTGTTTCTCCACGTATGTTTTTAACACTTAAACTCCCAGAGCCGTCATTTTGACTGCTCCCATTCAGACCCCAAAAAATGATGTAGTTAATTTAGTAAGTAATTTCATATTTTTAACTCTGCTCACTAACTGCGATACCTGGTGAATATAACTTTATATTCATACAACAACAAAAGTTTGGCGAAAGACTAAGCTAAATGCTAACTGCCGGGAGCAAACAGTGTGTTGCTATGGTAACTAGCACTCGCTCTGCTCCGGTGGAAAACCAAGGATACTTTTCTCAGAACCAGAACAAGTCCAAGAAAAGGGGCTAACTGCCTTTAAATGATAGTTACCATGAAACCGAAAGTGGCTACGTTAGAATTTTACTGTCCACGAGCAAGAGCCAGAAGTCCCACTCTGCCACCGTGTCGCCCAATGTTTCACAAAACACCCTGAAGTCTGGAGTGTTGTTGGTCAGAGGGCCGATGACCCAGACTGCCACTCTTAAATCAGTCTGTGGTTATTCCATTGAAAATTCCATTGAAATTAACATTAATACTATTATTTGTATCAACTTATAATGTCCCTAAAGTACTCTACTAAAAATATGTATTTTATATTATATATTTATACTTGCGGAATCTAACTTCCGTTACGGTTTCACACTAAACTATTGAATGGATCATATCACGTGTAATATTATTTTCATTTCCAACAAACCCCGTTGACATAATTCATAAAGTTACAACAATTATAACGCTTTACACGTCTGCTCTCACTTGTATAGACGTTTACGAAATGAACATATTTAGCCAAATTAAACACATAATATTTTAAAATGCTAGAAAGTATATCTCGTAGATTGGTTAGAGGTTGATTAGTTAAACCCGGGTTCTATCTTTGAAACGACTCCTTTGTGTGTTTCTTTTTGCTTTATTTTGAAATCAGTTCCTTGCATAACCGGAAGTTGGTGCTTTGTTATTTATTACAGGTGACGTCCCTCGCTCCGCCTGTTCATTGCGCAGCTGAGCTAACGGAGAGACAGGTCCGTGCGTGGTGTCGCTGCTCGAGGCCGGATGATAAAATCCAACCTCCAGCGAATCCTAAATAGTCATTGTTTTGCTCGTGAGAAAGAAGGAAAAAAACAACCCATTTCTACCATGGCTGATCTTAGTAATAATATCTGTGACATGATTGGGAAGTAAGTAAACAAGCGCCAGGCTACATGCTAAGCTAGCGAGTGTGGGGGAGGGGATCTGAGGGCTTTACCCAAACCCATAGCGGGGCGGAAGTTGTTTACGAGCTTTATTTGCTTGTCATGTTGAAATTCAAAGTTTTTACACTTAGCAGAATTGTACATCACAGATAGGAGCAGATGCCAGTCAAATGTGGGTCATAAATTCCCGATACTTACGTGACAAACCGAAGACAAAACACCGTTAGGTTAGTTCTTAGTCTACTAGTCTTTTATTAACAGCCTTTTATGACACTTTTCTTATTCCACCGTCATGTTAACTGAATTATCGTGTACTATGAACTGAGCAGATGGTAAAGAGAGATAGTGTCTTGGTGATTTTCTGATCGGGTTTTTCTGTCACGGACTACTACTGGATGTTTGAGAAATTACAGCGACTTTTGTTTTGAGAGCATCCTCCATTTCATTATTCATTGGCTCGTGTGGCCCTGATAATAGGCTTGTATGACACACAGGCCGTGTAACATTACCTGCATCATTCATTTACAGTGTAGGATGGCGTCATGTATTTTAAAGGTCTCAGTTGAGGTTTGAGAAAAATAACGAATTTACCCTTGGGACCTGAAGCGCAGAAAGGACAGTAGTGAGAGCTCACAAAATATACAGAGATAATAAGTAGATTTTTGGATCACAAGGATTGTTTACTTTTATTTATAGAAAAGTGTAATTGACAGAGAATCGTTTATTAATGGCCACACAAATGTGAAGTCTAAACAACTGGCAGACTGCAGGTGTTTGACAGCTCATATTAACGTCGCTCTCACCAGGATTTCTGAGTGGTTCCTCTCTCATGGAGGAGGATCTAAGGACAGTGATCCAGGACATTTATGAATATTTCTGTACAGTGGTCATTCTGCTTCCTATGGACTAGTGGCTCCTATGTGTTTATTATTAAACACAGGAAATGCAGTAATAAATACATAACTGACATTGGTTCATTCGGAGCAGGAAGTCCACTGTCCTTAGACTCTCTTGCAAGGAACCACTCAAACACAAACATTTTGAAAACGTCAACATTGAGAGAGAGAGCGGGATCTACTCTCATGGATGGACAGGCTGTAGACCCAGGACTGAGACTAGATCTCAGGCCTGTGTCATTACAAAATAATCTCTCTCAAACTTGTGTTGACATGAGTTTCTCTTCTGCAGCCTCTCCCTGCACTGTAGTAGTACCCTTTTCCCGGGGCCTCTGTGGTGCTCCTGATGCCCCTCTCCCACCCCTGAAGATCCCAGGTGGGCGAGGGAATGGCATATGGGATCACTCTCCTCCAGCTCAGCCGCTCTACTCAGTAAGTGCCTCTGTTGTGTTGGAGTGTGGCGGCCATAACGGCATCATTACCAGTTATGTCTCTTCTCTTTCGTAGGATCGAAAGTTGACTGTTACTGAGGAGCCGGCAGGGAGCGGTCGCCCGAGGATTCTCCACTTCCAAAGTCGACCGGTTGCTACACGGACTGTTCAGTGGGACACCGTCCTGAGCAGCAGCGCCCTCTACGTGGAGATCCCTCTGGACCCTCTCCCTGAAGGCAGCAAGGAGAGGTGACGTCATAGTAACAGTCTGTACTAAGGATAGAGCTGTTTGGACTTCCAAGGTCTTCTCTCCCATCCCGTCTTCTCCTTCTCGCCTCCTTCCTCTTCCCCCCTCTCTTCTCTCCTCTCCCCTCTTTCCTCCCCTCTCCTCCCCTCTCCTTCCTCTTCTCCCCTCTCCTCCCCTCTCCTTCCTCTTCTCCCCTCTCCTCCCCTCTCCTTCCTCTCCTCCCCTCTCCTTCCTCTTCCCCCCTCTCTTCTCTCCTCTCCCCTCTTTCCCCCCTCTCCTCCCCTCTCCTTCCTCTCCTCCCCTCTCCTTCCTCTTCTCCCCTCTCCTCCCCTCTCCTTCCTCTTCTCCCCTCTCCTCCCCTCTCCTTCCTCTTCTCCCCTCTCCTCCCCTCTCCTCCCCTCTCCTCCCCTCTCCTCCCCTCTCCTCCCCTCTCCTCCCCTCTCCTCCCCTCTCCTCCCCTCTCCTCCCCTCTCCTCCCCTCTCCTCCCCTCTCCTCCCCTCTCCTCCCCTCTCCTCCCCTCCCCTCTCCTCCCCTCTCCTCCCCTCTCCTTCCTCTTCTCCTTCCTCTTCTCCCCTCTCCTTCCTCTTCTCTCCTCTCCTCTCCTCTTTCCTCCCCCCTCTTCTCTCTTCTCCACTTTCCTCTTTTCTCCCCTCCCCTCTCCTTCCTCGTCCCCCCTTTCTCCTCTCCTCTTTCCTTTTCTCTTCTCCCTCTCTCCTTCCTTCCCTCTCTTCTCCTCTCTCCCCCCTCTCTCATGTTCCTTCCTCTACGGCACATAGCAGTATATTGAACTATAGTAAGTCTGTTTAAAGGCAGTGTCCGTGTCTTTAAACCCGTCTGTTTTTCAGTTTTGCGGCGCTGCTGGAGTTTGCAGAAGAACATCTGAAAGTCGTTAGCGTGTTTGTCTGCTTTTACAAGGATAGAGATGATCGTGGTGAGCTCCGTTGTTCTTTCCGTTTGTCTTTGAACTCTGACTCAGAAGTGTTTGAACTGGTTCCACAAAGGGCCGGTGTGGCTGCGGGTTTTCATTCCAATCCAAGCAGGAGCACGCCAGACTCCTCCCATTTCCTCAAGTCTTCAGGTTAACACTCGACCTCCCAGATGTATTTTAGTTTTGGACGTGTAATTCAGCCTATTTTAATCCCTTTCTGGCTCTATATGTAGTTTATTTCTTTGTCAATATTTTGTTCTACCTTTCGATTCGATTCAATCCTTAAAATGTAAAATAAGAATGGTCCTGGACTGTCCCAAGTTGGCATTTAGTATTCTTACATCTTGAAATACAGCTTTTGCCAGTTTATAGCACTTATTAATATAAAGTAAAGGTAAAATTTAGTTAAAATGGAAGTTCTAGTCTGGGAATCTTGGTGCTATGACAGGACTCGCATGAGGAAATGGGAGAAGTCTGCACTGAAGACCTGCAGCCGCAGCTGCCCCTTAAAGGTGCAGTACGCGATTTTATTAGCTTAGCCGTAGCACCAACTCAAAACCACTCCCCCCTCTCCTCACCTCTCCACCAAACCACTCCTCCCCTCGCCTCTCCACCAAACCACTCCTCCCCTCGCCTCTCCACCAAACCACTCCTCCCCTCGCCACCAAACCACTCCTCCCCTCGCCACCAAACCACTCCTCCCCTCGCCTCCCCACCAAACCACTCCTCACCTCCCCACCAAACCACTCCTCCCCTCGCCACCAAACCACTCCTCCCCTCGCCACCAAACCACTCCTCCCCTCGCCACCAAACCACTCCTCCCCTCGCCTCCCCACCAAACCACTCCTCACCTCCCCACCAAACCACTCCTCCCCTCGCCTCCCCACCAAACCACTCCTCCCCTCCCCTCTCCACCAAACCACTCCTCCCCTCGCCTCTCCACCAAACCACTCCTCCCCTCGCCTCCCCACCAAACCACTCCTCCCCTCGCCTCCCCACCAAACCACTCCTCCCCTCCCCTCTCCACCAAACCACTCCCCCCCTCCCCTCTCCACCAAACCACTCCTCCCCTCCCCTCGCCTCTCCACCAAACCACTCCTCCCCTCCCCTCGCCTCTCCACCAAACCACTCCCCCCCTCCCCTCGCCTCTCCACCAAACCACTCCCCCAACCAAACATCCAGCATTTTCCTTTCTTTGTCACAGGGAGAGTGGGCGGCAAACGTGAAATTGGCATTTTCTGTTCAGACGTTTTTACGTTTTATCAAATCTGATAACAGGAAGAGGGTGAAGGGGGTAAACGCATCCCATTGGTTTGTTGGTAATGAACGAATCCCATTGTTTATGTTTATCGGTCCACCCCAATTCATTTTTGTAGACTATAGGCATCTGGTCAATTCCATTACTATTTGAAAACGCATAACTTTCCCACAATATTTTAAAGAATGAGTGGGAAAAAAAAATCACTGAGTGCATCTTTAAGGCCTTATGGACCAGTTGGACGCCTCTGCTCCAACCCAAAGTGACCTGTAACATGTCATTCTGTTCCTCCGCAGCTAAACTCGTGCGCACATTCAGTTTTCTTGGCTTCGAGATCGTGAAACCAGGCCATGCCCTCGTCCCGCCTCGTCCCGACGTGTTTTTCATGACCTACAACTTCGACAGGGACGACTCCTCGGACGAAGAGTGAGCGATGGTCCCGTCCTGGTCATTCTTTCTCCGTTATGTTCCTCACCTTGTTCCTTTGACTCGGTGTTTCGGTCTCGCATGGTCACCACCGTTTCTGGTATTTAATTCCCTGGTTTTGATCCTTTGTTCAAACAGTTTGTCCTTTGTTTTAATTAGAACATAATCATTAAAGAAACATGTCGTCACTTGGTTTGTTGGAGTCTTTTCTGCAACATTAAAAAGATCTTTCTCCTCTTTGCTGTAAGTTTTGTATCAGGAAATTAAGATGTTTCAGAGTCGGCGAGTTGGCGAGTTTGTTGTTATAGCAGTTTAACCTGGACGTGAACTTTGTCAGAGTAGAAGCCCGTTTCACATTTTTGTGAAATGCCGCCCCTTCATGTTTCAGCAGGAGGCTTTTGTTTTTACCCAGACATAATTGCCTTTTGAGAAGAGCAGAGCCAAATGTGTCCCCAGGTGCAAACAGGCCAACACAAACTCAGAACCATATTTGGAATATGCAAATTAACAGTTAACTATTCATTAATCTGCAGATTAGTACAATTAGAACACTAACAATGTACCATTTACAAATGTTTTCTGATAATTCAGATCTTTTTAAATGCAAAAGTTTCATCCTTTAAAATGTTCTGCCAATAACAAAACATGTGGAAGTGTAAAGGACCAGGTGCAGCTTGTCTTCATGAGCTCAGAGTACTCACCTGTGTTCTCACCAAACACCACTAGATGTCATCTACGGAACAGCTTTGATTACGTGACCACAAAAGAGCGTTATAATTTAAAAGCTATACGCTTTATCCTTTTGTAAGTCCTTCCATCATCTGCTGCATCCAAATTCATGAAGAAATACCTCTATCTTTTCTTGTCTTTCCATCTCATTTCTAACGACCTCAGTGGAATAAATTATGATTAAAGTGGCATCCATAAAATCTTATGTGTGTCAGATATCACTAGAGCAAACCTGGAGCGGCTCACTGTCATAAAAGGTACAATTCAAAACACACAAACGAAGGTCGCTTTTGAATTCAGATGTAGCTGCTCAGACTTCCTTCTCCAGCTCATCTGGGGGAATCCTGAGGCGTTCCCAGTCCACAGAGCCAGTCACTCTGTGGCCTGGGTCTTCCCCTGGTCTGGAACACCTCCCCAGAGCCACCTCCCACTGGCTCCCCTGCACGTGGAGAAGCAGCGGCTCTACTCCGAGCTCTTCATCTCTTAAATCTCGACCTTTGGGCCATATTCGTCCCACCAGATCTCAGAAAGTTCCAATTATATATAAAAAAAACTACATATGTTTTAATCCCAGCATCAAGTTTAAATGTTCAAATCCAGGTTAAAAATTGTTTTCTTTTAACTCTTTTTAATGTTCTGTGATTATGTCTTGATCTTGTTTTGTTGGTCACTGTGAGTTGCCTCATGTATGGACTATGCCATACAAATAAACTTGCCTTCCCTAAAAATAACAAATATAAATGAAAATCTGTTTTTTTTTTTCTTACATTTCCAAATCTCAGAAGTCTCTAGAACATCGTCACTCTGCCAACCTCTGCTCTCCCCCACCGGCCCTGTTTAGTACCAGCTTGGCCTGTTTAGCACCAGCTCGGCCTGGATAGAACCAGGCCCAAGAGGGACTAAAGAGTTCCAACTGACCAGTGCTGCTGGAAGCCATGGTTGCCAAGGGATTTCCACAGATACTGATTTGTACAGTATCAGCTGTTGTGGGTTGATTACTCGTAAAGAACGTATGAAGCCACAAGTTTAAAAGATTTGAAAGTTTTATGACTTTTGTGAAATGTAAAAAATAAAATCTTCCCAAAGTGACATCATCAAAGAATGTGCAGAAACTACAAGCGACAGCGAAAAGACTAAATTGTCGATGACTTATGTGCAATTTAAAAACACAGCACAGAAGCAGAGGGTCTGACACGACATCTGTAACGTGTTGGTATGATGACAGTGACTAAGGACAGAACAGTAAGAGTTCGGAGCAGTAAATACAAAAGGAACGAGATTTACCAGAAGAAAGTGATGCAGGATATGGCTCTGAACAATACAATAAAACTGTTTCAATGAAAGTAGCTGCGGTTGTGATTGTGTAAGCGATTTGGGAACCTTTCCACGTGTTGCGTTTACTGTACCGTACCATACCATACCATACCGTAACATACCATACAGTACCAAACCATACAATACCATACCCCATAGTCCGTCAATGACAACACAAATAAGAACGACTCATTTCCAGTAAACATTATGAAACAATCCCTCTAGTCTGGGTCCTAGTCTCGGTCTTGGTCCTGGTCTGATTCTGGCTTCAGGTCTGGGTCTTGGTCCTGGTCTGATTCTCGTCTGAGGTCTGGGTCTTGGTCTGGTCTAGTTTGAGGTCTGTGTGGGCCTCAGGGAGGGAGTGACCTGGACTACAATCTGGAGCAGTCTTTCTGAAAATGTGAGACAGGCTTCATTCTTTATGATACTGTCATTATTTAAGCCTTGTGTCTGAACAGTGCTAAATAAATTAACTTGTCTTACCGTTTTTTTTGTTGTTCCAGTGTGTGGGTTTGGTGAGGCTTAACTACAGATAAGACCGTAAATATCTGTAAATATTTTGCACATATATTGTTTGTGGTAGGGAAAACCGGAGCACCTGGAGGAAACCATGTAAACTCCCCTCAGAAAGGCTCTGTTTCTGGAGGTGGAATCAAACCCCAGACCAGAAGCTACAGCCATAACAGACTGCCCCCATCCCAGCTACAGTCCTTTTAATGTAGTGTCTTGTTCTGATTAACATGAGAGCTAACGGCTAAAAGCTAACGGCTAACTGCTAAAGCCTAACTCGTAGCTAACGGTTAAATGCTAACTCGTAGCTAATGGCTAAATGCTAACTCGTAGCTAACGGCTAAATGCTAACTCGTAGCTAACGGCTAAATGCTAACTCGTAGCTAACGGCTAAATGCTAACTCGTAGCTAACGGCTAAATGCTAACTCGTAGCTAACGGCTAACTGCTAACTGGTGGCTAACGGCTAGCTGGTGAGATGTTATGGTACAGTAAACGCCTTCAGGTTTCCACAGGTTTAATCTTTTTGGCAGCTAAGGTGCAATATATTGAATTCTATTTGTCAATATAGAGAAGAAGCATTTATAAAGGCCTTTGTTTATACCAGGCATGTCCAAACTCAGGCCCCAGGGCCAAATGCGGCCCTCTGTGTCATGTTATGTGGCCCTCTACCTCATTGATTATACCGACTGCACGATTGTATGACGCTAACGTATCTGGAGAGTAAACATTTGTCATTCAGCCAACTTCAGCTCAGTCAAATTTGCTCTATTCTACTCTACTTTCTACTCAGTCCGGCCCTCGGCTTTTGGTCTGATGTATTTGACTTTGACATCCCTGGACTAGATTGAGAAACCAGAGGGACTAGGGAGAGAGAGGGAGAGAAACCAGGGAGAGACCAGAGAGGGACTAGAGAGAGAAATTAGGGAGAGAAACCAGGGAGAGACTTGAGAGAGAAACCAGAGAGAAAGACTAGGGAGACTCTCTGTTCTTGAACCAAAGAGACACCAGAGAGAGAAGCCATGGTTGGAAGAGGAAATTCCCCTGGATACTGGTCTGGTGTGCGTAGGTTGCTAGGATACTAGCAAAGATACTAAAGCGTAATGGAAACACAACCAGGTAGAGTAGAATAGAGTAAAGTAGGACGGGTGGAAACAGGGCTATCATTTCAATACTAGCAGCCTGAATCCAGTCGGCAACCGGTCTCGGCCCCCGGTCTCGGCCCCCGGACTATATAGCACTAAAAGGTTTGGACAGCCCTGGTTTAAAGACGGGCTTTACCTGATCAGAGTTTGTGCGTGTTCTTGAGGCTGGTGATTCCATGAGGTCCTGTGTGTGTGAGTGATACATAAATGACATCGTTTATGTACAATTGTAGTCCAGTGAACACTTCGTTTACAGGGTTAGCATTTCAGACGAGGCGCTAACTACGTCCACACCAAGTCAAGACACCTGCAGCTCCAGACACTGGCAACGAAGAGGGAGCTCAGGGAATTCATTCTCTCTCTGGTCTCACACTCTCTGGTCTCACACTCTCTGGTCTCACACTCTCTGGTCTCACACTCTCTGGTCTCACACTCTCTGGTCTCTCACTCTCTGGTCTCTCACTCTCTGGTCTCTCACTCTCTGGTCTCTCACTCTCTGGTCTCTCACTCTCTGGTCTCTCGCCCTCTGGTCTCTCTCGCCCTCTGGTCTCTCTCGCCCTCTGGTCTCTCTCGCCCTCTGGTCTCTCTCGCCCTCTGGTCTCTCTCGCCCTCTGGTCTCGCTCCCTCTCTGGTCTCGCTCCCTCTCTGGTCTCGCTCCCTCTCTGGTCTCTCCCTCTCTGGTCTCTCCCTCTCTGGTCTCTCCCTCTCTGGTCTCTCCCTCTCTGGTCTCTCCCTCTCTGGTCTCTCCCTCTCTGGTCTCTCCCTCTCTGGTCTCTCCCTCTCTGGTCTCTCCCTCTCTGGTCTCTCCCTCTCTGGTCTCTCTCTCTCTGGTCTCTCTCTCTCTGGTCTCTCTCTCTCTAGTCTCTCTCTCTCTAGTCTCTCTCTGACTTGGTGTGGACAGGGCCTAAGAATATACAAAGGGGAGCTTTTGTAAGTGCTATGTATACGTTTGACTCTGTAGATCCAGATTATCGGCCTTTGCTGTAGCCGGGAAAGAACTGATCGAGCAGAGTCTGAAGCGTCCGATTCTGGGTCATGTGAAAGTCTTTCCCCAAATCATGACGACAAGCAGGACACGTGTACACCTGTGCTCGAAACGACCGCAGCAGACAGGCCTAAGGAGAGGGAAGAGAGACACGGGTCAAAACAACACAGTACAGTCATCCCACAGACTGTATACAGATGGTCAATGCTAACACAGACTGTATACAGATGGACAATGCTAACACAGACTGTATACAGATGGACAATGCTGACACAGACTGTATACAGATGGACAATGCTAACACAGTCTGTATACAGATGGACAATGCTAACACAGACTGTATACAGATGGACAATAGCTGCGTTTCCATTGAGCATCAAATTTCGAAATTTGAATTTGCGCATCATAAAATGTCTAATGGAAACGCGCAAATTTTGAATAAACCACAGTTTTTCGATAAAAAGTTAATGCGCTTAAAATCGGTGGTTTTTTGGACGTATCGAAATTAAGTTTTTCGCAAAACGGCAATGGAAACACTTATTTCGATATAGCGGAGGAAGCCGAGCTGAGCTTTATTCAGTGAGTTTTGGCTGCGCTTCGTGTGGAGACTTGGGAGATACGTGGGAGAGGCATGGGGGAGAGACAGGGAAGATACGGGGGAGAGGCATGGGGGAGAGACGGGGGAGAGGCATGGGGGAGAGACGGGGGAGAGGCATGGGGGAGAGACGGGGAAGAGACGGGGGAGACAGGCAAGACCCGTGTCTATGGTTCTGTGCGCGCGTCTATGGTCCGCGCTCGGTACATGACCACGCGCGTTTGCGGAGCTGTCAAAGCAGCCACAGTTTCTCCCGGGGTCAGAGAGGATGAGAGCCGCAGCAGAAGTCAAGACATTAATATATCTCACGTAAATCAAAGTGTGGTTTACTTCTGTTGCCATGTTGATACGTACTAGAAACTAGTGAATAAACGCGCGAAAATAGTGTATACTTATTCGAATATGTCTTAATGGAAACGGCCGCTTTTGCGAATTACAGGTTTTTCAAATTTTGAAATGTATCGAAAAAGTTTTTGCGCATTATTCAATGGAAACGCAGCTATTGCTAACACAGACTGTATACAGATGGACAATGCTAACACAGACTGTATTTAGTTGCTGGTGTTATATTGGGATATTGTTTTATTATCTGTAAATCAAGATATGAGTATTGACCAATCAGTGCCTTCATTCTGGGGGAAACTCCAGCTTGCCCTAGCAACCACTTAGCAACACATCTACCCCTGTTACAGCGCAAAGCTAACTCTGTAGGAAAAAATGCCCATATAAGGAAGTTGACTCCAGCTCGCTTATGTTCAAATCAGCGTCCTCTGCATTATGGCTAACACTGTGGTGATGTCACACTGTGGTGATGTCACACACTGACCTTACAGACGTTGTGTGAGCAGACGGTGGTGATGGGCTGAAACGCCAGCTCCTGACAACACAGACACATGAACGACTGCTCCAGTTTACACAGGAACTTCTGAAATACAAACCAACAGATTAGGTTAGTGTGTGTGTACCATGTGTGTACCATGTGTGTGCCATGTGTGTGCCATGTGTGTGTGCCAAGTGTGTGCCATGCGTGTGCCATGTGTACCATGTGTGTGCTATGAGTGTGCCATGTGTGTGCCGTGTGTGTGCCATGAGTTTGTGTAGAACATGTGAGTTTGTGTGTAGAACATGTGTGTGTGTCTGGAGCAGTGTGTGTCCGTGACATACCGGCCCCTCCTTCAGGTGCTCCATGGCTTCGTCCCAAAGCCTGGAGTTGGCGCTATCATTTTGGATTAACCGCTTCTGTTCCTCCGTCAGCTCAAAAGTCTCCTCCATCTTCAGCTGCTTCGACGGAGGCTCCTCAGACAACGACAGATCTACAGCCACAAAGAAATAAGTCACACACACAGATACACACAGTCACATACAGTCAAACACACAGTCACACACAGAGAACCGAGAGACCAGCAACACACACACACAGAGAACCGAGACACACACACACACACACACACACACACACACACAGAGAGAACCGAGAGAGACACACACACAGTCACATACACAGAGAGAACCGAGAGAGACCATACCCACACACACACACACACACACACACACACACACACAGTCACACAGGCCCAGAGAGGTACCACCGCCGTCTTCTGCCTCCACTTGGTCTCCGTCGCTCTGTATCTCGTCGTCGTCCAAACAGGCGATCAGCTTCTCCTCGTCTTCCTCCTTCTTGAACACGCGTGGTTTCCTGCCGCGGCCTTTCCCGGTGTAGTGCCGGCCTCTGTAGCCGGGTTTGGCAATCGGGTCCTTTTTGTTTTTTTTACCCATGGCTTCAAGATATCCAGGAGGGTACTGTTCAAGAGACAATGGAGACCAGTGGATTTACTGGTTCCTCAAACGCAATCTGGTTCAGAGAGAGACCAGGGACCAGAGACTAGAGAGAGACCAGAGAGACCAGAGAGAGACCTGAGACTAGAGAGAGACCAGAGACTAGAGAGAGAGACCAGAGAGAGAACAGAGAGAGAACAGAGAGAGACCAGAGAGAGACCAGAAAGAGCTCTGACCTGCACAGTGAGACCCAGCTTCTTGGTCCTCTCCAGTCCCTCTGGGGTCCACGGAGCTGGCTCATGGTCATCGCGTCTCAGCAGGTAACGCCACACGAGATAACCACACTTTCCGAGTTCAGGCCAGTATTTTACCACCTGGTTATGGACACATGGTTATGGACACAACACAACATTAGAACATTAAGAATTGTTTTGATGCGTTTCCCTTGAGGTTAGGGTTAGCTTTGTTCAATTAGGGCTGAGCGATAACACGATGATAGCATTTGTGTGTATGTGGATTTGTGAGAGGAGAAAGAGGAGAGAGAGAGAGGGAGAGCGAGAGGGGAGAGAGGAGAGAGAAGGGAAAGAGGAGAGAGGGGGGGAGAGGAGAGAGGGGAGGAGAGAGGAGAGAGAGGAAAGAGGAGAGAGGGGGGAGAGGAGGAGAGAAGGAGACAGCAAAGTGGGGAGAGGAGAGAGAGGAAAGAAAAGAGGAGAGAGATGTGATATTATCTCACATCTCTCTTTATTATTGTCTTTCAGTCACATGATGAACCCCTTTGTCCCCATGTCCCCATGTCCTTGTCCAAAGTCCTGGAGAAAGAACTGGCCCAGGTCTGGCCCAGGTCTGACCCAGGTCTGACCCATGTTTCATCATTGTCGCAGTTGCCATGGAAACAGAGCGTCCACAGAAACAGAAACCGACCTTATAAATGCCGTCGTATCGGTTCCCTTCTTCAGGAGCGTACTTGCTGATGCGTCTGCCCTTGGAGCTGCGTATGACCCGCACTGGTTTGCCCGCTCTCCAGTCCCGGGACTCGGCGCCGACGGTGTCGTTGAAGGGTGCGTCGCAGCTCACCGCCAAAGCCCTGCGCACAGACACACAGCCACAGGGGAGGTGTGGGAGGGGAGAGCCACATTTATATATATAGCACATTTGCACTAGCGGCCTAGGGTGCTTCACATACACACAACATACAAGAATGAGAATAAAGATTAAGATTGAGATTAAGATTAACCCTCCAAGGTCTAGAGTCATTTTGGGGAACTTTCCTCGCCTGGTTTGTTGTGTGTATAATTGCTTATAAAACAGTTATCTTTTGATGCAAGCAGTATACTTTGTTTTTTTCAGTAAAACCTGGGGTTTTAGAATATTCATATTTTGGAGCTGTCATATCAACTATATAATGATTATGGAATCATGAAGACAAAGAAAAAAATGAAACGGAAAATCAATTTCACAAAATGTTATTGAAAAAACACAATGAAATGCTATAAACAACTTTTTAGACTCCATATAAATGTTATTTATGGTCTTGGTGATAAGGGGGAAAAATATTGAACCAGTGACTATTATAATTTTTACAAAATTCCACTATAAAAGCCAAAAACGCTGTACTCCTGATGACCTTCCTCAAGCTAATTTATATATACAAATACATTATATACACATAATATCATTTTACTGTATTTATTATTGTCTATTCTCAATAATGTGCACTCCTGGCTCCTCTGAGCGCTGCTGCCTATGCAGCAACAAGTACACACAGGAGTGAGAGATCCTACTCTCTGACGATCTTTGTGCGAGTCCCCGTTTGAGTAAACAACTTTACAATTGGCTGTGTGAAGCTCACGGGGCACCGCTCAAAGATCCGATTGGGGGACTGACTTTCATACACACGCAGTGTATCTTCCGTGCATCGCACAGGCAAACCGAAGCCAGTTTTGAAAGGCTGGAATGTGTACTTCACGGAGAAAAAAAAAGTAAGTTGCTAGCTTTTACGGTTCGCGAGTAAATTGATCACTTGTAAAACATGTGCGCAACCATCGTCGGCGATGGCATCGTCTTTTAAGGGTTAAGAGCGAAAATAGGGAAGAGAGAGGGGAGAAAGAAGAGAGAGAGGAGAGAGAGAGGGGAGAGAGAGGAAAGAGGGGAGAAAGAAGAGAGAGAGGAGAGAAAGAGGGGAGAGAGAGGAGAGAGGGGAGAAAGAAGAGAGAGAGGAGAGAGAGAGGGGAGAGAGAGGAGAGAGGGGAGAGAGAGGAGAGAAAGAGGGGAGAGAGAGAGGAGAGAAAGAGAGGAGAGAGAGGGGAGAGAGAGGAGAGAGGGGAGAAAGAAGAGAGAGAGGGGAGAGAGGAGAGAAAGAGGAGAGAGGGGAGAAAGAAGAGAGAGAGGAGAGAGAGAGGGGAGAGAGAGAGGAGAGAAAGAGGAGAGAGAAGAGAGAGGGGAGAGAGGAGAGAAAGAGGAGAGAGGGGAGAAAGAAGAGAGAGAGGAGAGAAAGAAGAGAAAGAGGAGAGAGAGAGGAGAGAAAGAGGAGAGAGAGACGGGAGAGAGAGGAGAGAGAGAGAGAGGGGAGCAAGAGGAGAGAAAGAGGGGAGAGAGAGAGGAGAGAAAGAGGGGAGAGAGGAGAGGGGAGACAGAAGAGAGAGAGGGGAGAGAGGAGAGAAAGAGGAGAGAGGGGAGAAAGAAGAGAGAGGAGAGAGAGAGGGGATAGAGAGAGGAGAGAAAGAGGAGAGAGGGGAGAGAGGAGAGAAAGAGGAGAAGAAGAGAGAGAAGAGAAAGAAGAGAAAGAGGAGAGAGAGAGGAGAGAAAGAGGAGAGAGAGATGGGAGAGAGAGGAGAGAGAGAGAGAGGGGAGCGAGAGGAGAGAAAGAGGAGAAAGAGGGGAGAGAGAGGAGAGAAAGAAGAGAGAGAGGAGAGAGAGAAAAGAGGGGAGAAAGGAGAGGAGAGAGAAAAGAGAGGGGAGAAAGAAGAGAGAGAGAAAAGAGAGGGGAGAAAGGAGAGGAGAGAACAAAGAGAGAGGAGAGAGAGGAGAGAAAGAATAGAGAGAGGAGAGAGAGAAAGGGGAAAGAGGAGAGGAGAGAAAGAAGAGAGGAGAGAGAAAGAGGAGAAGGAAGAGACAGGGGTGAGAGAAAAGAGAGGGGAGAAAGAGAGGAGAGAACAAAGAGAGAGAGGAGAGACAGAGGAGAGAAAGAAGAGAGAGAGGAGAAGGAAGAGAGAGGGGAGAGAGAAACGAAAGGGGAGAGAACAAAGAGGAGAGAGAAAAGAGAGGGGAGAAAGGAGAGAGAGGAGAGAGATGTAAAATAGAAAAATGAAAAGGCAGAATCCATATGTGATAAAGGGCACAGACCTGTTGTTGTGCGTCAGAGTCTGGTCGAAGCTGTGTTCTCCGATGCGCTTGTTTCCCGACAGGTCGCGTCCCCCGCTGCCGGTGTACGTGAACTCATCTCCTCGGTCCTGAGACAATAGAATTTTTCAGAATTCTATTGGTTTGAATGAGAGCAGTTGTGTTTTAGTCAAGTACATTAGTTAAAGTACTTGCTGATACCGAATACCGATACAAGCACTGGACATAGGCTGTATATATTACTGCATTGTGTTATCGCTGGGAATGAAACTAATACCACTGAATTGTAACATGTTTTGTTTCTCATTTCAACAATAAGAAAAGGCTTTAACATTTAAACATTTTAGCGATTGTTTTAACAGTCAACAATAAGAGCCACAGTCACATTCCACTCCTACAAATGCTGTGTTGTACAGTTGTTTTTGTGTTCCAGTGCTAGCAAAGGTGCTATACTTTGTGTGGCGGTGAGTTTTCAGATGTTTTATCAAGTTGCTGGTGTTATACTTTGTTTGTTTTAGACCCAGTGACAGTTCTACACAACGTACAGTCCTCTTTACTCCCGTCACTCTCGTTTACTTACTAAACTGCCATAAGCCCACATCCTGTCTGCTAGCCTGCTCGCTGGTAGCTTGCCTTCCGCTAGCTTGCTTTCTCGCTGCCGTCTTTGGGAGATCACCATGGCAACAGGTGCTGCACAGTCTGCTGTCGTGACACTAACGTGAATCAAAAATGTGGGAATCAGGTTCTATGGTAATAGTACAAGCCTGTGGTATCAGTGCATCCCTAGTTCTAGTGTTACATCATCCATCCATCCATTTTCTTCCCCGTAATCCATTTCTGGGTCGAGGGGTGGCAGTCAGAGCTGCACCCAGTACACAGAGCACCAGCCCCTCACTGATCCTCCTGCAGGAGCTGAGTCCACAGGAGCCGAGATCTTTCAGTGGGGCTTAAGGCAAAGTGGGGTTAAGTGTGTTGCCCAAGGACACGACAGCAGTCATCAGTGGGAGTCGGTGGAGGAGGTCTTATGGTGGGTTCGAACCCACAACCTCAAAGGCCAATGCTCTACCAACTGAGCCACTGTCATGTTGTGTCCAATTCAAGTTAATTCAGTAATCTACTCTTGTATCTAGGGATGTACCGATCCGATATTCAGTATCGGTATCGGGGGCCGATATGGGTATTTTGTAAGGATCGGATAATATCGGATTTGGTAAATACGAAGCCAATTTACGTCACTTTTCAGCATGCTCACGCTTTACGGATGCCGTAAACTAAATAAAATGTAAAACTAGGGCTGGGCGATAAAACGACAACGAGATATATTGTGATAGACACGTGTTCGATATCAATAGAAAACGGGGTCGATAGAATGTTAGTTTAACGTCACTCCGTTAGAAAAAACAGGACGAAAACACAGGAAGTAAAGCCGAGTCAGAGGCGCGCGGCATTCTGGGGGATGTAGGCATAGGCCAGGGGTTAAAGCAAAAAAAAAAAGATTTGACTGAAAATTTTTGCATGGAAATTTATCACATGTAAATCACAGTAATATGCAGGACCAAGTTATATTTTTAATTACAATATATTATTGTATAATAGATTGTATATTGAATACAGCTCAAATGAATTCTTCAAAGATATACAGTGTATTTTGATATGAAATATAAGTGGATCAAGCAACGAGTCAACTTTTTTACAGAATATTAGTGAGAGTAGCTTTACTTGAGGCGATATGGAGCGTCAACACTTTGGCTCTGTCCTCGTCAAAATATCGCAAAAGGACGATAAAATTCTGTCCACATTTGTTTGTGGACACGTCAATATTTAAGAAAAAGGTTTCCCTATCAAGTTAAGTAAAATAGCATTGCGTTTGGTAAACGTTAATTACCTTTCCTCTATTACGCGCCCAGCTTACCAGTCCGCGGATCTGCTGCTGTTATTGCTCCGTTCGAGATTCAATTTTCCTCCTCTTCTCCTTTTCAAAAGCTCCGTGCAGTTTCCAGAAACTTTCACCTCCGTGTTACCAATGCTAACTTCATCGCGTCTTCATTTGCGCGTGAGCTCAGCTACGTCCCATTGCCTTGATTCATTTGCGGAGCGCTCATGTGGCCACGGCACGTTCAAGGCCCACTCGTCATTATATTACTTATTATTTCTATATACATATAAATACAATTATATTCAAATTATTATTATACATCGATATATATATAACAGATTCACACGTATATGTATTACTATATATTATTTTTATAATCAATCATTTCATTGTGTGTATTATTATCATTATATATATATATATATATATATTTTTTTCCAGACCAATTTCATTTGACGGAAATCCGTCACCTAGACGGAACTCTTTAATCCCTGGCATAGGCTTCTCGACCTATCACAGCCAAGCGTCAACCGCAAAACTTTCTGGGAAATGCAAAACAACAACCGCACAATGCGTGGCGTACATGGATCTAAAGATTGTTTTTCAGTGCCGTGTCAGTGGTTCTGCACGTCTGTGCGAGGCATAGCATGTGCGGCATGGCAGAGGCAGTGGACACAGAGACCTGGTGCATGTGGCGAAAGCAAGAGATTAACTTTTTCCTCCGTGCAGCTATCAGAGAGCTATCAGAGAGCTATCAGAGAGCTATCAGAGAGCGGCCGCACAGAGCCGCCATGGGGACACAAAACAGGAGATAAACCAGGACTAAACCAGGATTTCACTAGGACTAACTATGGGGGAGACTGCTTGTGAACATATTCCTCGAGCCTCATTCCCAGTGACTGTAAACAGGGCTGCTCACATGTGTTAGCCGACACGACTAACGTATTTATTCAGGTAAAATTGCAAACTCTTTAATGCTTTGAAAATATCAAAAAAAATGGTATCGGATCGGTATCGGATCGGTATCGGATCGGTACTTGTATCGCCCTAAATCACAACAGTAGTGATCAAAGGACTTTACACAGTTCAAACTCAAGAAATGCAATGATAGAAAACACAGAGACATTGGTCCATAAATGGGCGGAGCCATCTTAATATTACTATTATTAGCTTTTTAGAATGATCAATTTATTTGTTTGGATGCATTTCTCGAACAGGGATCAATAAAATATCTATCTTTCTATGAAGTATCTATCTCTCTATGAAGTATCTGTCTGTTGTGATAGGGGCCCTTTAATGACCGGTTTGACCCGCTCAGGTTTACATTGATGACAGAATCTCACCACTTCGTCTTCAAAGCCACCGGCCAGGACCAGTGAGTACGCTCCATCGTGGCTACGGCCGTGGATCCCTGCCACATGAGGTCTGTGGACTCCGGCTTCACTGGCCTGAAAACACAACATCAGGAGGATCAGCAGCAGCAGCAGCAGCAGCAGCAGCAGCAGCAGCAGCAGCAGCAGCAGCAGTAGTAGCAGCAGCAGTAGTAGCAGTAGTAGCAGCAGCAGTAGTAGCAGCAGCAGTAGTAGCAGCAGCAGCAGCAGCACAGACCTGGACTCTGAACTTCCACGTGGTCCCCACAGGAATCCCAGGGATGGGTCCGTAGTGAGTCCGTGGAACGATGGTGCACTCCTTGGTTCTTCCCACACAAGCCATGCCCTGGAACAACAAACCATTTTAAAATAATAATAATAGAGACAGAATAAACATTTAACACAGCTAAAGTAAAGATTACTACTTGAAGGGGAAAAGCCTTGTTTCCACCAGCCCTACTCTACTCTACTCTACTCTACTCTACTCTACTCTACTCTACTCTACTCTACTCTACTCTACTCTACTCTACTCTACTCTACTCTACTCTACTCTACTCTACTCTACTCTACTCTACTCTACTCTACTCTACTCTACTCTCATAGTAACAGGGCACCCACCTCTATATGTTGGAGGATTTTTGACTACTGTAAATGTTTTAGAGGTAGGGGTTATTGGAGCACCTGGAGGAACACAGAAAGACCCTGTTCTGACCGGGATTTGAACCCAGATCCAAAACACTAACCACTCAGCCACAGTTCCCACAGCTAAACTGAGTCTGGGACCACTATTTTTGTATTATAGTTTATGAGCGAATGTTTAACCCATTAAGGCCTGCATCGCCTGGTAAAACAGACTTGCAAAACCTGAGGCCGACTTCAGAGCTACCCTCCAAAACCTGAAGTTTTCCTGAAATTCTACGTCTACTAAATGATTGGTATCTCGGCCTCTGTAGCAGATAGAAACATAAATTCAAAAGAATTTGAGAGCTGACACTTGTGGCTTTCAATAAGAATGCAGTGTATTATTATAAAACTTCAGTAGAAGAATATACAACTTCCACACAGGAAAGGTAATAAAACAACCAAAAACAATGTGAGACTAACACATGTTTATCAATTCAATAAGTCAAAAAAGTTTGGCAATTAAGTGGCACTAACTATGTGGAAAAAAATATAAAAAATCCACCCTCAGCCCAAAAAGTCAAATAATGACTCACAAGGCTCTTTCTAAAGTAAGCAAAATAAACAAAACATGACTGTTTTTGTTTGTTCTGTTTGATTTGGTCACAACCAGTGGGGGAGGGTCCCAGCTCAAAAGTGGCCAAAATGACGTGCGCTGACATGCTTGCAATACCACCCCGGGCTGATGGGGGTGGACCCAGAAGAAGAATTAGCCAATGCTAACATATTGCGTTAGCAGACCTCTCAAAAACGTCTTTACAGGATGGACCAAAAGTTGGCTCTTGGCCCAAAGCTCCGTTCCACATGTGTGTCAATGCTGAGGGGGATGATTTTTTTTGGTCCACTCTAGTTTACTCGCGGGGAATTTTTGAACTCTTTTGTTCAAATGAATGGAGCTGCGCCGGCTGACGCATGCGCAGATGCGTTTTTTCACAATTTTCTTGTGGGCGGGACCACTCGCGGCCATCTTGGATTGCTCCATGAAAGCACTTTTCATGGCCAACTCCTATGAACGGCGGAGATAGGCTTGACTCTGTCCATTAATATATACAGTCTATGGTCACAACATTTAATTTTTTGCCCAAAAAACATGCATCGTCAATGCAAGCAAAAATTTAGGTAGCTGAGCTTTATTTTTCAGTGAGTCTGCGCTTCGTCAGGAGACTTCGGGGAGACATGGGGGAGAGACAGGGAGAGACGGGGGACAGACGTGGGAGGGAGCTTGCTGCACGTGTGGGTCTTGCCCGTCTCCCCCTCGGTCCTGATTGCGCGTCTATGGTCTCGGTACATGACCCCTGTGGCTGCGCGTTCGCTGAGCTGTCAAAGCAGCCACTGTTGCTCCCAGGGTCAGAGCGGAGGATGTTAATCCCGTTCGAGTACGTAACGCAAACAACTGCCCGCGGTCACGGCAATTTTCAGCGAGAAAAATTGGAATTCGCGGATGCGCAGATAATTCTCATCACAGGTATATCTTGATACATTTCATTGGTTCAGAGAATTGATCAATGAAGACAGTAGGTCAAAAAAAGAAAAAAAGACGTGTCCGCTTTCCCGGCCTTAAAGGTAGAAGTGCGCAACAGCGCTCCCGGCTTCAAAGGGAGAAACGCGGGAATGCGTTCCCGGCCTCAATGGGTTAATGAGTCTCACCTTCCCCCAGTCCCTTTGACTCTCAGTCGTGGCAGAAGGCATCTTGGCCTTCTTCTTACTGGCCTTCAGCTTTTCTCCTGCTTTTACGACCTCGTTTGTGTCATTCTTACAAGTGGGACAGTACCTAAAACACAAGATACATGTAAAACATGAAAAGGACTCCTCAGTCCTGGGTCTACAGCCTCAGTCCTGGGTCTATAGTCTCAGTCCTGGGTCTACAGTCTCAGTCCTGGGTCTACAGCCTCAGTCCTGCATATACAGCCTCAGTCCTGGCTCTACAGCCTCAGTCCTGGGTCTACAGCCTCAGTCCTGGGTCTACAGCCTCAGTCCTGGGTCTACAGCCTCAGTCCTGGGTCTACAGCCTCAGTCCTGGGTCTACAGCCTCAGTCCTGGGTCTACAGCCTCAGTCCTGGGTCTACAGCCTCAGTCCTGGGTCTACAGCCTCAGTCCTGGGTCTACAGCCTCAGTCCTGGGTCTACAGCCGCAGTCCTGGGTCTACAGCCGCAGTCCTGGGTCTACAGCCTCAGTCCTGGGTCTACAGCCTCAGTCCTGGGTCTACAGCCACAGTCCTGGGTCTACAGCCACAGTCCTGGGTCTACAGCCACAGTCCTGGGTCTACAGCCACAGTCCTGGGTCTACAGCCACAGTCCTGGGTCTACAGCCTCCGTTTTATCCACAGATCCATTGAGTTGGAACAGGTCTGGTCTCACCAGTCCTCGTCATCGGGGATGGTGGACAGAGGAGGGTTTAAGCAGTAGACGTGGAAGGCCATGTTGCACTCGTCGCAGAGCAGCTGCATGTGAGCGTCCTGCTTCCCGCCGCAGACGCAGCAGGAGCAGAAGCGACACTCTGCCTCCGGGTCGGCCTTACAGTGCTTACACTCTGGGCCACTCTTGCCTTAAACCAGGAGGAAAACACATAAGAAACACAGAACAACAAACAACAAGCTCAGCAGAGAAAAATATCTACGTTTGAACTGTCCGTCTGCTGCAGAGAGAGCAGTGGCACCAGGACGCTCCACTCTGTAGATCTCATCCAGGAAGTGGATCTTACAGTCCTCCACAGCCTCCACTGGGCCCCTAGCAACAGAATACAGACATATCATATATAGACATACATACAGAATATATACATATAATATATACCCATACATACAGAATATATACATATAATATATAAACATACAGAATATATACATATAATATATAAACATACATATACAATATGTACATATAATATATACCCATACATACAGAATATATACATATAATATATACATATAATATATACTAGGGCTGTCAAAATTATTGCGTTAACTCACGTTAATTACATTTTTCATTAACGTGGTTTTAAAAAAAACCCGCATTAACGCATGTCCGAATGACCCGCCCATTTATCCATAAGAATATCACTCAGAATGCTGCGTGTGAGATGGCCTCCTCCGTGGCCGCTCTGGTTGTTGTTAGCGGCTGTGAGTGAGTGCAAGCTTTGCACGGGCTGCAAGCATGGATCTAGCTATTATAATAACAGCAGCAAGCGATTGCTCCGTTCACATACTCAGCGCTCTGCGCACTGTATTTTCCCTGGTTCTTGTCTGTCAGGCGTGCTCTGCGCACTGTAATTTCCCTGGTTCTTGTCTGTCAGGCGCGAGTGTTGCTCGTGTGTGTCTTTGGGAACTAATTATTTTAAAATAGTCTCTTTCAATTGCAAGTTTTGTAATGTGTTTGTTTGATCAATGGATAACAATAAATGCAATGTAATTTAAATGGCACCTTGGCCTGTCTTATACCTGTTTGCCTGCAGGACAGTTCCCTAAACTAACATCCATCCATCCATCCATTTTCTACCCTTTAATCCATTTCTGGGTCAGGAGGGTGGCAGTCAGAGATGCCACCCAAGTCTCATAGCACCAGCCCCTCACTGACCCTCTGCAGGTGGTGAGTCCACAGGAGGACGGCTGCTCTCTGACTGTGAGCATAGCCTTGATCTTTCAGTGGGGGCTTTGGGCAAAGTGGGGTTAAGTGTCTTGCCCAAGGACACAACGACAGCAGTCATCAGTGGGAGTCGGTGGAGAAGGTACAGAGGTGGGAATTGAACCCACAACCTTCTGGCCTTAAGGCCAATGCTCTACCAACTGAGCTACTGTCGTCCCCCTAAACTAACATATCATACTAAAATAGGGTGGGGTTGTTGCAACAATTAATCTACTTAGAAGTTATCCTAAATTACAGCCAGCTAAAGCTCGGTACCACGACAAACAAAAAAGTAACGCAAGAGTTACTTTTACTGATAACTAGTTACTTTTATAGTGGAGTAACTCAGTTAGTAAGTCAATTACTTTTTGGAAGAAGTAACTAGTAACTATAACTAATTACTTTTTCAAAGTAACTTACCCAACACTGGTCATTATATTTGATAATCTCATTTAACTTCAATTGGAGTGGATTTGAAATAGAATGTTAAAAATGCGATTAATCGTGAGTTAACTCACCATTACTATGCAATTAATCAACTAAAAAAATGTAATCGTTTGACAGCCCTAATATATACCCATACATACAGAACATATACATATATTATATAGACATACGTGCAGAATACATACATATAGAGGAGTGAGACCGTCTCTTAAAGTAGTAATATGTAAAATTTTCATGTCAGGTCATCATTAAAGGGCCCTAAACTGTCATCATTAAAGGGACCTAATCTGTCATCATTAAAGGGACCTAATCTGTCATCATTGAAGGGACTTAATCTGTCATAATTAAAGGACCCTAATCTGTCATAATTAAAGGACCCTAATCTATCATCATAAAAGGGCCCTAATCTGTCATCATTAAAGGGACCAAATCTGTCATCATTAAAGGGACCTAATCTGTCATCATTAAAGGGCCCTAATCTGTCATCATAAAAGGGCCCTAATCTGTCATAATTAAAGGACCCTAATCTATCATCATAAAAGGGCCCTAATCTGTCATATTTAAAGGACCCTAATCTGTCATCATTAAAGGGACCTAATCTGTCATCATTAAAGGGACCTAATCTGTCACCATTAAAGGGCCCAAATCTGTCATCATTAAAGGGCCCTATTCTGTCATCATTAAAGGTACACTGTGTAATTTCTAGTGCCTCTAGCGTTGAGATCTTATATTGCAGTCTCATATATTGAGATTTGAGTACGGGTGCCTGTAGAGTTAAGGAGACTTTTGCCTATACTGTTTGACAGTGCTCCTCAACTCTCAGTCATTCACCAGACTGCCAAGGAAAGAATACTTTAGTTTGATAAATGACCAGATCTCTCCAAATGTCTCGGGCACTTGACAGACGCGTGGAGCCAACATGTAAACAAGATCACGTTCAGACAGCAGCACCCTACACAGAGGCTCTGATGAGTTTTACCATGGATCTATTATAATTAGGGCTGTCAAACGATTAATTTTTTTAGTTGATTAATCGCATAGTAATGATGAGTTAACTCATGATTAATCGCATTTTAAACATTCTATTTCAAATCCACTCCAATTTAAGTTAAATGAGATTTTCAAATGTAATGACACATTGTTATTCATACCAAATGTACTTAAATCTGTTTGACTTGCTCACAACCTTCTACTTTTGGGTACAACCAACAAGAGCTGTTAATGAAAGGGAAAATGTAGGTACCCCAGCTCTAATTTTGCGAGTTTGGTCGCATTTCAGCGTGTCTCCTCTCCTCCGTGTGTCACACAACATGTGTGTTTTCAAACCATTCATAGAGCAATGCTGCCATCTGCTGGCTCGATAAAATATTGCCTCAAGCCTTACATATTTGATATTTGATACAATTGACATCTGGGAACGTGAAAATAGCGGGAAACGCAATTGACGTGTTAACACGTCAATGTTAACACGTGTTAACACGTCAATGGCAGTGGGTAATTAACGTGAATTAACCCGATAATTTTGACAGCCCTAATTATAATAAATAATTTTACAAACGCGGTGTGAAGAGAAGAGACACATGGAGGAATAAAGTCTGTGTGAGGTTAAAACTGTGGTGATCAAAGAAGCAGGAGATATACACAGCAGCAGCAGGACATGGCAAAGCTCATGTTAGCATTAGCGTTAGCCACAGCGCCCTATCTGCATCACCAGGTAAGAAAAACAGAACATTCACTCTCGCTGCTGATACATTATTCTGGCGATCGTTTTGTGGGGATTTTGTGTGTTTTATTTGATGCTTGTCCCTGAATAAGTTTAGTTGAAACTTGTGATAGTAGTTGGACGGATCGGGTCAGCACATCCTGAGACTGTGTTGCAGATTCTGTGTCGTACTTATTGTCAGTGTGAAAAAGTTACGTATTGTTCATGTGTGAGTCTTGTGTACAAAATACACGATGTACCTCCTGTTGTTACACTTTGCTGCTATGACGCTGGACTTCTACATAATTATTTATCTAAAAGATTGTTGTTCCGATTGTTCTTTTCCATAACTGTGGTCCTCTGTGGTTCTTTTATACAACTGTGGTCCTCCATGGTTCCTTCTTCCAAATTGTGAAGGCACGGTGAAATCAATATCAGTAGTTTATGTGAAACGAAAACGCGTTTCTCGCTTTTTGTCCTTATCCACCACCGGTTTTCAAGATGGCGCATTTACATGGATAGTCCTCCTCTCTCATGGACACTTATAAGTTCAATTCTAAGCCTATGAATACAATTAAAAAAACATGGTGGAGGTAAATATTCTTAAAAAGGTCACATTTGTTATTAGTTAACATGTTTTTTCACATGGAGCAGCTGTTAAATTACACAGGGTGGCTTTAAAGGGCCCTAATCTGTCATCAATAAAGGGCCCTAATCTGTTATCATTAAAGGGCCCTAATCTGTTATCATTAAAGGGCCCTAATCTGTCATAATAATAACCTCTTTTCCGATACTTCTTTAACTGACAGTAGTTCAGATATGTTTGAATTCCGGTATTTACCCGATGAGGATCTTGGCTCTCAGTTCCTTGTTTGTCCGAGACGTTTGGTTGATGGTCTGAATCTCGGCGTCAAACCAGAAGCCTCTTTCCTCTGGTGTCTCCATGTTGTAGTTAACCATCACCGTCATCCCCGTCGTCAGCTCGTCCCAGCGTAGCAGAGTCCGAGCGCGAGGCCGGACATTACATGGAACCATCTGAACCACGCCGTTCTCTGGATAACTGGAAACAATAAAGCAAATCATGGAGAAAACCGAAAGAGGACAGAAATGTTTTACAATAAAAAATACTTTCATAAAAATACAATAGACTGCTGTATCTAAGTAAAAATTAAATCTATTTTGTCCACAGCAACAGAAGCGAACGGCTAAGCTACCACACCTCGTCATTAAATCATGTTGTGACAAGTTAGAGATGCAGCAAACGATGTTGTTAGCTTAGCCGTAGCACCAACTGGAAACCTACAACTCCCCCCTCACCTCTCCACCAAACCACCCCCCCCCTCCTTTCCCCTCTCCACCAACCACTCCCCCCTCCCCTCACCTCTCCACCAAACCACTCCCCCTCCCCTCACCTCTCCACCAAACCAAACATCCAGCATTTTCTTTTCTTTGTCACAGTGAGAGTGAAGCAAACGTTCCAGTAATGGAATTGACCAGATGCCTATAGTCTCCAAAAAATAATATTTGGATTCTCCAAAATATTATTTCTCCAAAAAAGAATTGTAACTTGACTACTTTTAATATTTTAAAAAATGCGTCTGAAAACAATCACTGCATTTTTAACACTTTCTGCTACATTACAACATTAAAACTTGTGGTTTTTATTCAGGTGTGGCCTACATATGGACATTCCTTTTCAAATGTTGCTGGTGCGGCTAATACACAGGTGCAGCTTATAGTCCAAAGAGTAGAGTAAATTCTATGACCAGGAGAGTTGGGTTTCACTCACTCGTCGTATCTGATGTGGTAGATGATGTCCTGTCGGTTCTCCATCGAGTTTGTCTGTGAGGTGGAGGCTCCGTCTGGGTTCGAACCATTGTTGTTCCTCTTGGAGTCGATGGTCAGGGCCTGGTCTGCCTCCTGCTTTATGGTCTTTTTAGAAGGGCGGCCCACCTTCACTTTGGCAGGGGCAAGGGTCACGTTCTCAATACACGCCTCAAACCAGGAGCCAATGCTGACGTCTCTGCAGTCCACCAGTTCATTAATCTGAGGGGACAGAGACACCAGGAAGTCAGGACCAGGAAGTCAGGGCCAGGAAGTCAGAACCAAGAAGTCAGAACCAGGAAGTCAGAACCAGGAATTCAGAACCAGGAAGTCAGAACCATGAAGTCACCAAAGTAGGAATTTGCTTTGGCATGACTCTATGATGTCTGTTGTGACTCTATGTCTGTATGGCGATATGTTAAGAATCGTAATAATATATTCTTATATATAATATTACATTATATAATAATACATAATATCTGAATATAATTTGAATGTGTGCTTGGTAAGATAACGTTAACGTTTCTGCTGGAGTAGATGATACTGGGACTTCGAGTTGAGAGAGAATGCAACGATTTGTCCGATTAACCATCTGTCAATAATGTTAATGCAGCCGTAGCTAGCTGCCTGTTAGCAGCTAATGTGCTAAGCTAATATGCTAAGCTAAATAGTAATTGTAAGGAACGTTTTTTATTTTGAAGTCTTTCGGGGCAAATTCCGGTTGCTTCCAGATTGTACTTAATGTCACACGGTGTGCGGGCTCGGGACAGTACGGTCTTAACTGTTTAAATGGTTAGCGCCTAGCTGAAAGGGGATAAAGGTGTCTATTTTTATGTGAATTTTATGATTCTTTGTCTGCTTAACTGATTCAATGTATTAATGGTTTTTAGCTCTTACAGTGAATTTGTGCAATTAAATTAAAAACAGAAGATGGGCACATGCATCAGTACGAGCCTTCATTCATTCAGCTAAAGCCGCTACAGTAATAGAGGAGATGGTGAAATGATGACACAGCATTATTGAGCGCTAGTTAAAGGCACAATGATATCATGTGGACGTGTTTGTTTTAACCATTTCAGTGACATTCTACGTGTTTATAATTAATGGGATGTTATCAACCAAATGTTACTTGCAGCTAATATTTGTTCACTTGTTTGTGTAGAACTATCAATGCTTTCTGAACATATTCACAGAACGTAAAAAAAAAAATACCGCAAAAATACAGAAAACTATAGTAATAATTTTGTTTACAATAACCGTGAGGTTAAATGTTCACCCCGTAACACCCCTACTTACATGTCAATAACAGGAGCCAGAGAGAGATGGAGAAATGAGCACCTTCCTATTAGCTAGCGGGTTAGTAGGGGTGGGCGTAAAATGGCCTAAAATTCATATTGCGGTATAATTTGGGACACAGACGGTAGACGGTATATATTGCGGTATAATTTGGTGTGTGAATTTCAATATAGGTCTAGCAGGTTCTTGCATAAAATAGTCAAGATAGATTCTAATATATAAATAACAAATATATATATATAAATATGAGACAAATGTTGTAACATACATTATTTATGTATGTTACAGTAAATACCATTCACTGTAAAAGCAATTTTTAAAAAGAAAAACATATGCATTCATTTAAAATATAAAAAACTCACAAAATGTTGAAATCAAAGTCTAGCAGTTAGACATGGTCATTATTTATAGTGTCTGAGAGTTTTGTGCAGGTACATGACTTCAGTAAAAGCTATTGTTCGTTTACAAAGCTGGTCTTGCCATTTGTTGACGCTCCCTAAGCGCTTTTCTCTGCGCTTGCAGTGAACTGGATGATTCAATGGATTTATGTTCATTAAAAAAGCGCATTGGATTTGAACAATTGATGTAAATGATCATTTTGGCACAATTAATTTTGTTTAACAAAGTAGCTTTCGTGAGATATTGACCGCGGAGGTCCGAATCTGACGCTAACTTTCGCAAACTTCTGCTGTGATGCTGCGGACGCTTCGAGCCTACGCCCCTTTGACACTGATTGGCCTAAAGGTAGACTCTTAAACTGTGATTACTGCTAATGCTGCTAGGCTAATGCTGCTGAATGCCGGTTTGTTTTGGTCCTTTCTGCTGGCGTCAGAGCCTGCGCAATTTGATGACATAATGACCTATTGCAATATGCTGGTATAACAAAAATCTCTACCGTGGGCAAAATTTATATTGCATACCGCTTATACCGTTTATATCGCCCAGCCCTACGGGTTAGCATTGTTCATATGTATACAGTCTATGGTTCCAATGACGAAAAGTTATGTATAAAGAGTGTATTTATGTCTAAAAACCAACTTCCTTAACTCATTGTGTCCCATTGACGCATTAATACGTCAATTGCTTTTTTTGCTATTTTCACGTTCCCAGATGTCTATTGTATCTAATATGTATGGGGATGACTTGAGACCATATTTTATCGAGCCAGCAGGTGGCAGCATTGCTCTCTGAATGGTTTGAAAACATGTAGGTGCACATGTTGTGCCTGTTTTTTCTCAACTTTCTGGTGATTTCTGGTGATTTCAGTAAAACTTCCCTCTACTCAACGGAGGATTACAGGGGAACGAAAAAAGCTATAAACAAAATTATTTTTGCTGAGGAAAGTAGACAGTCCATTCTTTTAGAATCTGGTTTTCAGATAGTCATAGTACACAATATTCTGTGGGTCTTGAAAAATCAGTAAAAATCATCAGAAATGGCTGGCACTATGGGAGTACCTGTTCTGAAATAGGCTGGCATTCAATGAGTTAAATACCTTATAACATCCAAGTCCTGCATTGATGAGCATGCAGCGACTGGAGGTGGGTGGTTGCGAGTCTTGTTCTGGAGTCGTAGTAAATCCATTTCTGGTGCTTCCTTGATCGCTGGTGTTTGGTTTGGCTTCACTGTTATTGTCCGTGATGGTTTTTGGAGCAGGGGTCTTGACCTCATGGCTGTCTGCGACGTCACACTGGGCTCGGATCAGAAGCTGGACGATGTCGTTTAACCCCACGTTGTAGTCGAACAGTGTCTGACCGTCTTCCATCTGTAACAAAGATAGATTTTCAAACACACAGAATCATGTTTTTACACTGTTTTTATTATTAAAACGCCTGATGCTGAGATACGACCTGATGCTAGTCTGGCACCAACAGCAGATGGTCACGACTAAACTATATTTATACCGTGCTTTTCTACCTTCTCAAGGAACCATTCATCCCTCGCCCCCATCTCACGCACACACACACACACACACCCACATACACACACTCATGCACCAGTGTATGCAGACTCTGGGGGCGAGGCGGATTAAGTGTCTTGCCCAAGGACACACGTCAGCAAACACCAAGCTGGTTTCAGGCTTGGAGAGTCTTGATCACACACATAACACAACATGGCTCTGGACTGAATAAGGAGAGAACACTTTTTTTTTAAACAATCAAGCTTCGAGACAGAAACGACCGGGTTACTATGACAACAAAGCCCCCCCCCCCCCCCCCCCCGCCTTCTCCTCTGAAACCACCAAAACCAGACGGTGAGGTTTTGTTTGAGACGCAATATGAGCCAGCACCCATCCACACACACACACACATACAGGTATATACACACACACACACGCACAAAAATATATACACACACACACATACAGATATATACACACACATTCATACAGGTATATACACACACAGATTTTACACGCACAAACACGCATACAAATATATACACACACACATACATACAGATATATACACAGACACGCATACATACCACACACATACAGATATATACACACAGATATACACGCGCACAGACACACACATACAGAAAAATACGTAAGCGCATACGGATATATATATACACACATACATATTCACACACATATGCTCATACACACATACAGATATATATATATACACAGAGATACACACACACAGAGATTCAGATATATACACACACACATACAGATATATACACACAGATACACACCGAAGTAGATCTGCAGGCAACAAAACTGCAGCTTGGAGCCTATGCTCACACTTCTCTCACTTGTTATTTCAGAGTGAAAACCAACGCCGCCGAATGCGCTGAAGCTGCAGCAGTTGCGGAAAACGCACAATTATAATCACACACACACACACACAGCTCTACGTTAACCCCCTCCAGGAACAGGGGAGAGAGAAGAGGATGTGAACAGCAGGGCATGCTTTGTCGCGGAAAAACCAACCTACACAATAGTATGAGCATGAGGTGTTGAGGAGCACAGGGACTGGCCTCCTGCTGGGACTCTGATGAGCACAGGGACTGGAGCACAGGGACTGGCCTCCTGCTGGGACTCTGATGAGCACAGGGACTGGCCTCCTGCTGGTCCCAGAGTCAGGACTAAACATGAGGAGGCATCGTTTCAGATTAATGCTAAAATCTGGAACAGTCTTCCTGAAAGTGTGAGACAGACTTCTATTCTGACAATGTTCAAATCCAGGTTAAAAACAAAAACAAAGATACCATGAGATACCATAAATGCACTGTGATTAATTAGTATTTTAATGCCTTGTGTGATTTTATGTTTTTATCTTGTTTTGTTCAGTCTTGAGTATGGACTGTTATATACAAATAACCTTGCCTTACACAGAGATGAGCGGCGTCTGGGAGCCTGGGTGAAACCAGACTATCACATTTGAATATTTGTGCAGTTGGAGATGACTAGAGCGCACACAGGAGCATGGATATTCCCATCGGGATGCAGGGCTGTAGAAGCAGAACCACAAACTACTATTGGCAATTCCTCTTTCACAGTTGAGGGAAATTTCACAAAACATTATAATCACGTAAATTATTGACTCCATTTCTACGACAAACTGACCGTCCTGATCCCTGTTTCATTTGACTGCAAACGATACATCTTTATCTATAGTTTTAACATTTCCAGGGGTTTTGAAGGAGTTTGATGGTTATACATGTTTTGTAAAGTCCCCTGAGATAACTACTGTTGTGATTTAGGAAAAAACTTTACTTTTGAATGTGCTGGAAAACAGCTTCAGGCCCTAAGTAGCTCTGAAACAGTTGTTGTTTTGTGCTTTTGAATTTTTATTTTCATTTTCATTGCACTGGTCCAGACTGGAGCAGAGATGATTCATGGTCCGAACCAAGTGGATCATGTGAAAATCCAATGGAGGAATGCTAACTTTTTGAAAAATGCTAAAGAAGCATTTAGCATTTTACTTTGGACCAGAGCAGAGAATATGGTCTGAACCAAGCGGTTACTACACCTCTGCTGCTGTGACCCGTCCTGCTCCACCCAGAGGCTGCTGTGACCTGAAGGGATGTTGCTGATTATTACTATTTTTTACTTTTCAGAATGATCAACTTTATTTTTTATTTTTGCTGCTACTGGACACCTGAATTTCTCCTACGGGGATCAATAAAGTATCTATCTATCTAACTAGGGGTGGGCGATATGGCCTAAAATTCATAGTGCGGTATAATTTGGGACCCAGACGGTAAACGGTATGTATTGCGTAGGGCCGGGACTTTAACGCGTTAATTAAGATTAATTAACGCTACAAAAATTGACGCATTTTAATTGTATATGTGTGAATGAGTTTCAGACGGACCAATTATACTGATGCACCAACTCGAGCTCCGTGCATGGCGTCGGGACTTTTTTTGTTCAAAAGTACATTATTACAAGCATAGACCAACAAGTGAAATCCCAGTGAGTTAGAGACGGGAATGATCAGGACACTTTAGCATTCTACAACATGTATGGACATTTTCTTCTGTGTGTGCTTTATATTCTTCATGTGTTTTAACTGTTGATTCTCTGACCTGTGTTGGTGATTTCAATGGTTTTGTTAAGTCCTCTGAGATGACTTCTGTTGTGACCTAGGGCTATACAAGAATACATTGTATTGTATTGTATTGTAATGAGCGTTGTGTGTGGAGCGATGGACTATGTGAGGAGGAGGAGCAGCGTCTTTCTGTGCGTGAACCATGGACTGTGTGAGGAGGAGGAGGAGCAGCGTCTTTCTGTGCGTGAACCATGGACTGTGTGAGGAGGAGGAGGAGCAGCGTCTTTCTGTGCGTGAACCCATGGACTGTGTGAGGAGGAGGAGCAGCGTCTTTCTGTGCGTGAGCAGCGTCTGAGGAGGAGGAGGAGCAGCGTGCTGTGCGTGAACCATGGACTGTGTGAGGAGGAGGAGGAGCAGTGTCTTCTGTGCGTGAACCATGGACTGTGTAAGGAGGAGGAGCAGCGTCTTTCTGTGCGTGAACCATGGACTGTGTGAGGAGGAGGAGCAGCGTCTTTCTGTGCGTGAACCATGGACTGTGTGAGGAGGAGGAGGAGCAGCGTCTTTCTGTGCGTGAACCATGGACTGTGTGAGGAGGAGGAGGAGCAGCGTCTTTCTGTGCGTGAACCATGGACTGTGTGAGGAGGAGGAGGAGCAGTGTCTTCTGTGCGTGAACCATGGACTGTGTAAGGAGGAGGAGCAGCGTCTTTCTGTGCGTGAACCATGGACTGTGTGAGGAGGAGGAGGAGCAGCGTCTTTCTGTGCGTGAACCATGGACTGTGTGAGGAGGAGGAGGAGCAGTGTCTTCTGTGCGTGAACCATGGATCTATTATAAAAATGGCCTGAACGGAGAAGGAGGAGCAGCCCTTATTCAAAGGTAAACTAAAAATCCATGTGAAAAAATTACTTCTCACTGTTCTCAGGTTAAATATTTATATGCGATTATTACACGGCTAAATTATGGATTTAGGTTAGGTTTATGTTTGGGTCACTCACCGCTGATGTTCAGAATTCTTTGTTCAGTTTTCATGCAGTTCCAGAGAGTTCTAGTTTGGAAGTTGATAGCCTAACTGTTGCTAGCATAGCCACGGGAAAGCCATAGGGAACTATTTTATTTTCTTTCTTATTTTAAATAAACCTTTCGGCACTCCTAGATGAGATAAGAATTCCTTTATTCGTCCCACAGTGGGGAAATTTCGAAAAGTGCGCGTCAGGGTCCGCTTCGCCCTGTCGGTACTTATTTTCCGATAATGACCTGCGTACTATACGTTATCCCTTACTTAATTAATTACAAAGCCTCTAATTAATTAGATACATTTTTTTAATCGAGTCCCGGCCCTAGTATTGCGGTATATTTTGGGACACAGACAGTAGACGGTCTATATTGCGATATAATTTGGTGTGTGAATTTCAAGATAGGTCTAGCAGGTTCTTGCATGAAATAGTCAAGATTGTTACTTATTTAAATGTATTGTGCGAAACTGCAATTATAGAGAACATTATAAAACTTCCAAGCAGTATTGCTGGGTTGCAACCACGTGACCAAAAGGGGGCGTGGCAAGGGCCGTAGGACAGGAAGTATTTTTCTCCTAATAAATAGAAGGGAAAACGCAGACATAGGAGCTTTTTGCAGCTTAGTATCACTTTTATTATGAGTGAAAACTATTTTTAATGCAGCGTACGCTTTGTAGTGTTTGAATGAGTCCAATGTTTTCAACAATGAGAAGGATTAAGGCTGTTATAGTGACGACAGTGGAGTCACTCTGGTCTCAACAGAAACATGTCTGAGAGGATAGTTCTGATCAATAATACAAGAAATAGGGCACACATGTTACCTAAGACAACATTTGAAGCGAGAAATATGACCTTTTATTGTCATTTTGGTGATTTGTTGAGCTGTAAATAACAAAAAGTTCGGACTATTCTCCAGGGGGGAACTCTGTAGCCTTGCATCTATGAAAGTCAGCAAAGACTGCGGACTGTCAGCTGTGTCTGCGGCCGCAGATGCTACGCAGACATTCTTAAAAATTGACACCCGTTAGAGAAATATTTTTGGTAAAAGTAGAGACTCAATAAGTTCCCCACTTGATAAGCGAAAAAGAGAATTTTAACTCGGAATCAGTGAATTTTGCTTAGCTTTCGCTTCATCTGCCTAACACACACACACAGCACAGTTATAACGGAATATGATAGAGGTAAAGTGAAGAAAATGATGCATCATAGACTGTATTAACGGACGTAGTGACTAATGTGTCATCACTTTTCTCTCCTGGCGTCTTTTTTAAAATGGAAAAAAAGCATTTGTGCATGTGTCATCTGCACTTGCTCCATTCATTTAAACGAGTTCATTCAAAAGTCCACAGCAACTAAACTAGACTGGTCCAAAAGAATATACTCCCCTCATCATCGACAGCATCTGGACCAAGAGCGAGTTTTAGGCCATCCTGTAAAGTAGTTTTTGAATGGATAAAGTCAGCATTAGAAGGCACTGGATAATTCCGTTTCTGGGTACACCCCCACCAACAGGGAGTCTGATTACAACATGTCAGCGCACGTGCTCATGGACCCACCCACACTGGAGGACTCTAATCAGCACCAATAGCTTCGGCCTTCAGATGACCAAAACATCCAAGTGGAAAGTCCCCGAGTCCTGCTACAGAAGGACTCAGGGACTTTCCACTTGGATGTTAGAATGAGGACAACTTTAACCACAGTTGCTTCAAGTGTTATAAAAGTCTACTGTGTCTTTACAAATAGTTTATTTGAGTGTCATACACACGTGGAACTGTATGGTGCTAAAATGTGCAGAGCATTTTACTAAACTACACTGATGCCATTACTATTACCATATTAATTTATCAATATCTGAATGCTTTATGCTCTCTCTCGCGTGTCTTTGTTTTTGAAAGTGCTGCAGGTCTTGGGTTTGAGCCCACCTTCTCCAGCGACTCCCACTGAGGTCTGCTGTCGTTGTGTCCTTGGGCAAGACACTTAACCCCACTTTGCCTGAAGCTCCCGCTGAAACATCAAGGTTTGAGTCCACAGCCATTCTCCTGTGGACTCACCGCAGGAGGATCAGTGAGGGATGGATGGCTGTTGTCATAACCAACATATAACCTACCTATTACAACAGCAGCCTGACAAAAACCCAAATTACTATCTTTCCTGGAAGATGGGTCCCAAGAAAGATGAAGTGAGGCATAAAGTGCTTATGCTGTGTCCTTAGTCTAGATTCTAAGGACAAAAAAACATTGCAATAAACCAGTATCTGGGAAAATTCCTTTGTACTAATTCTCTCTGTGGTCTCTCTGGTCCCCCTCTGGTCCCTCTCTGGCCCCTCTCTGGCCTCTCTCTGGTCTCTCTCTGGTCTCTCTCTGGTCCCTCTCTGGTCCCTCTCTGGTCCCTCTCTGGACTGGTCTCTCTCTGGACTGGCCTCTGCTGTCCTCAGTCTCGACTCTAGATGTAAACAAACATATGACGCAGTAACTTGTTGCACACGTACCTTCGTGACACGGTTTAAAGTACAAATACACACACGTTACTGCGATGATACGTCAAAACCACATTGCACAGTCCACGGGGCACAATCCCGGGTCGTTACGCAAGAATCATTTGTGAATTCCTTAGAAAACAGGAAGCTGGCGTGCATGCATGGCTCAGAAACCCTGCTAGCGCCCTGCACTAGAAGCATCCATCTGGGCTTCCATACACCGCGGCTCTCACCTGCTTCCCTCTGTAGAATAGGCGTTGTTGTGTGGGGGACACATTGAAGATATCCTGAATTTTCAGCCGTAACAACTCAATTTTGGTCAATCGAGAGAGATCCTCCACAGTTTTCGTCTCCTTCCCATCTATGGTGCGGACCTGGATCCACATAGTGACTGCGTTAGCTCCAGGTGTAGGCTCAGAACTGCAGCTGGATGCACGTAAATGCTGGGATTCAGTGGCGCAGGAGGAATAAACACACAATATTCACAGGTCCATTTGGTTTTCTCTGCAGAGCTGCTTCTCGCGTCTCTCTCACAACATGAGGTCGCGGCGCCAAGTGACTCTCGCGATACTACAGTCCTGTGGATACTTCAGACTTGAATTTGACTGTCTTTGTGCAGAGGATTCTTCATGGACCTATAACTGTTGTCTAATTCTTGTGCTGAAATACCTTACGCTGAATTTACCCAAAATGCTGTGTACATGTATGATTTAAAGCCACATAAGCTGCTATTACACAGTTATTACACAGTAGATCCATCTCCGCAGGGACAGTTATGTGTATACAGTCTATGGTCTATGGTTGTAAGTGTAGCACAGAGGTCGGGAACCTTTTAAGCTGAAAGAGCCAAAAAAGTCTCCTACTTAAAAAAAATGCATATTTGTTTTTATTTTTAGTGTGAATATGTGTGACTTTTTTTTTCAATACATATAACACAAACATAGTGTGATAAATGTCTTGTAATAATGTCTTTTGTTTAATACAATGTTTATACTGAAGAAATTCAATATATCAAATATTATTACAATTATTGCCTTCTAAGATTTTTCTGAAAGCCAGATACAAGCATCAAAACAGCCACATCTGGTTCCTGACCCCTGGTGTAACCCGTCAAAAGTGCGTGTCTTTCTTCGCCGTACAGACTGACAGTCTGTAAAATGCCCAACATCTTACCTGCCCTGAGTATGTTGGTATAACAGTTATAACAGATGTATATAAAGCTAGTATATAGACAGTCCGTGGTCGTAGATATTATCATTATTATTATTATTGTTATTACTAATCTGTTTGAAGGACACAATACGGTCCATAGTTAAAAGAAAATATACAATACATCAAGTATATTGCAGAAAAAGAAATACGTACATATTAGTGTTACTGTACAATGGCGCCATCTTGTGGTGGATTAAAAACCTGTCATTGTTATATTCGGAAACTGAAGTCGGTTTTTTAAGTGATTAACACATAACCCTGGGGTCTGTGAGGGCTGGCGACTGATAGAAATTTTATGAACTAGATATATGAGGGAAATTATGTGGAAAAGAGGTCAAACAGGAACGAACTGTAAACAAAGGCAGAGGACAATAATAAAGTTAGAGACGTCACAGGCGTCTGGAGCACGCAGGCCTAAAGGAGGCTGTGCTGGGAATAATCTGTGTCCAGGACATGCCTGTGTTTGGAAATACAGATAAAATAAAGAAGACAGTGAGAAGTGTCCTGCTGCGGCGGTTATTAGGTCGGTCTATGCTAACTGACTGTTTATGCTAACGGACTGTTTATGCTAACTGACTGTTTATGCTAACACTCTGGGCTCTTCCACAGCTGTGCTCAGACTTTTCACAGATGAAGAGTCTGCATGAGGTTCTGTCTGCTGGACTTTGACTCTCCACATTCACTGGTGACAATAGTGAGCTAACAGGACTAGCTGCAGCCTAATGTGGATGCTAACCTCCCCCTGAAGGACCGCACAGACAGAAGGTGGGGAGACAGCACCAACTCATCACTGACTGAGCAGAATTTGGGGATAATTAGCACAATTCATACACAAGGCCAAAGTGCTGAACAGAATAGGACAGAAACAGACACACAAGGCATGACAATCATAAACAATCACAGTAAGATAAGATAAGATAAACTTTCTTGATCTCACAATGGAGTAATTGATATGTCACATTTGGCACAGAATCACTCAGGTTGTGCAAAAAGACAGGAAATGTGCAAACATGTTAAAGGGTAAAACTATAGTTTCTTTTGTGCAGGATATAATTTATGTACATTAAAAAGAGTAAAGATACAATCCCTCAGTTGTATTTGCAATGAAACAGAACAGATTTTAACCTGGATTTGAACATTTTCATTTTCAGTCTGTCTCACATTTTCAGGAAGACTTTTCCAGATTTTAGCTGCTTAAATCCGATATGCGGATTTAGTGTTTAGTCCTGACTCTGGGACCAGCAGGAGGCCAGTCCCTGTGCTCCCCAGAGTCCCAGCTGAAGGCCAGTCCCTGTGCTCCTCAGAGTCCCAGCAGGAGGCCAGTCCCTGTGCTCCTCAGAGTCCCAGCAGGAGGCCAGTCCCTGTGCTCCTCAGAGTCCCAGCAGGAGGCCAGTCCCTGTGCTCCTCAGAGTCCCAGCAGGAGGCCAGTCCCTGTGCTCCTCAGAGTCCCATACTCTGAGCCACAGCTAATTATGACGTGTATTTATTGTGTAATGTATTTAAATCACGGATAAGTTTTCATTAAAAACATTGATTTTTGACCAAAATGTGAGAATATCAGTATTTATCTCTGGAATTGATGAAAAATTGTTTTGTTCTTCAGGTGTCTGAACATGGAGCACACGGCTGTGACAGAAGCATCCTCTGAGGTTCAAGGACCAGCCCTGGACCCAAACCCCAAACAGAGTCATGTGGAGACTCCACTCTGTGCCCACGAGTCTGAGTTTAGTGACCTCCTCTCGCCCACAGAGGTCTGCATTTCATCCAACACAAAGCTTTTAAAAGAAGAAAAGAACTACGAGGTCCAGCAGGCCTTTAGAATATTCACAGACTTCCTCACAGAGAAGCACAAACACATCACCAGCCCATTCTTGCGTCCGGCCGTAGACAAGGATGAAGAACCCCGCCATGGCCACGCTAAAGTCAGCCCATCCATCTGCTTACGTAGGATGGAGGAAAAGTTTGTGCATCAGGAATATCGCAGCATCACCGAGTTCGTGGCCGACTTCAGATCCATGTTGGAAAACTGTTACCGGCGCCACGGAGTAGACCACTGGCTGTCCAAGCAGGCGCAGCGGCTGGAGGTCCTGCTCGAGCAGAAGCTAACGCTGCTGTCCAGGTCAGTGATGGTTTAGGTGTCACTGCTGGGAGTAATGTAGAGTAATGTAGAGTAATGTAGAGTAATGTTATTAGAGTAATGTAGAGTAATGTTATTAGTGTAATGTAGAGTAATGTTATTAGAGTAATGTAGAGTAATGTTATTAGTGTAATGTAGAGTAAGCTTTGAAAAGAAAACATTGGTAATATTTGACAAAGGTACAAAGGTCAGTAACTAAAATATAGTGTTTTGTTTTCATACTATGTCACTGCGAGATCAACAGCAGAACAAACGCTGAGGCTGAACCAGAAGCAGTACCATGTGGACAATAGTACCATGTGGACAATAGTACCATACTATGTGGACAGTAGTACTATGTGGACAATAGTACCATGTGGACAATAGTACCATGTGGGCAATAGTACCATGTGGGCAATAGTATCATGTGGGCAATAGTACCATGTGGACAATAGTACCATGTGGACAATAGTACCATGTGGACAATAGTACCATGTGGACAATAGTACCATGTGGGCAATAGTACCATGTGGACAATAGTACCATGTGGACATTAGTACGTTTTACAGACGGACAGACTCCATTATTTTAGAATTTTTTGGAGACAAAGATGGAACCTGTCAGTTAATTGCACTTTTTTGCCAAACTAAAAGCTCAGCCTCATGCAACAGCATCAGAATTTACATTTCGGTTGTATTTATATATTTGGGAAGAGTAAAGTATTATAAAGTAAAGTAGTATAAAGTACTGCAGTAGAGTCATCAGAGACAGTAATATTGTAGCAACACAGTACTTTGAAATAACAGTAACAATAACACATAATTTATAATGTTTATAAAGTCTCTTCCCCAAAGCTGATCTTAGTCTGAACAAAAGTAATTTCTAATGTTTTGATTTTAAATGTTTACTCTCTTTAATGCTCAGGAAACTGCGTGAAAAGACGACTCTCGCTGTGACATCAAAAGGAAGATTTAGTGTTGGAGAAGAACCAGCGTCTTCCACCAGGAGGCGACAGACTCGACATGTGCAGACCCTGACCGCTGGAGGCCACGAGACCGCTATGGTCCAAAGGCTGAGACTGGAAGAACAACTGAGGACCAGGGAGGAGAAAAGGTGTGTTACTCATGTACAAGTGTTAGTGGTGGGGAAAAACTGTTTCTGTTCAGTGTTGCGAAATTTTTATTAAATTATCTGTTTCACTTTGCTGTTTTCTTTGAGTTTACTCTGGTCATTTGCGTATTACATCCAGAAGGTGGCGCTTGTTGCAGTGCTTTGTTTTCATGCATTCAACAAGTTCAAAGGATCATGTTTTTTGCTCTACAGTTCATGTGCAGACCATAATAAATAACACGTTGGAGTTGAGCCGTCTTATTTTCCTCCATGTTTGTAATGAATTGTGGCCCAAATATCGCAACACCATTGGATTGTCACATTTTTTCCAATTCCCGCCCCTAACAAATACACTGCTGATTTAGAAAATACTCAAATGAATCATATTTTTTTCCATCTTCAGACAGCGTGAGCTCGAGAAGAAGGAGGCAGAAGAAATGTCAGCCAAAGAGATGGACGACTGGGAGCAGAGTTTACTTTCTCAGGCTTCTCCTCACAGTGTGGAGAGCCTTTGGGAGCTCCCAGCCATCGGGCACTTCCTCTGCTTGGCTCAGACGGCTCTCAACCTCCCAGAGATCGTCTTCTTCGAGCTGGAACGCTGTCTCCTCATGCCTCGCTGCAGCACTCTCCTTTCCAAAACCATGTCTGCTCTGCTCTGCCCGCCACAGAGGAGGTCTACCTTGCACCGTCGCCCCGCTTTGCCGTACAGACGCTGGGAGTTCGAGCTCAGGCAGAGAGTTCTCGTCTGGTACCGCTCTGTAGGGTCGTCACGGGATCAGGCGGCTCACGCGGAGCAGCTCGGCCTCTGCCACCGGTTCTTCAGCGTCCTGGGGAGAAGCAGTCCTCTGGAGGCCGCCCCCTTTCACCTGCTGCCGTTTTACCAGCGTGTGTGGCTCCTGAAGGGCCTGTGTGACCATGTGTACGAAACGCAGAGAGAAGTGCAGAAGGCGGTGCTAGCTCAGCCCATTCATGAATGTAGAGAGTCCATTTTGGGCTATGACAGTAAAGAAAACGCATACATACACTTCCCGCACTTTTGTGGAGCAGATCTGAGAATCTATTGTCAAAGTCCCTGCTCTCCCCCAAACTTTCCTTTTTCTTCTGTTTTGGTGGAAAAGGTTGAAATATTGCTCAAAAAAGAAGCAGAAATTCCAGTAAAAAACATTGGTGTTTATGGGGCTATTTTAGACCAGAAAACAATCAAAACAGAGATTGATACAGGTTGTAAAATAGAATCTACAGATGAAGAAAGTGTGGACAGTTTCCATTCACTGATGTCAAAACCAGGGGACAATATTCCAAATGATAACAGTGGTAAACCTAAAGTGAACAACTATGCACCAATAGAAAGACCGATTATAAAACGTATTTCACACCAAACTAAACCTGAGCTGGTTCTTGAATCCAAAACATTCAGAAATGAAACAGAGAGTTTATTCCACCCTGAGCCAGCCTTTGTGTACAAGAAGACTCAAGACGACCAAGGACGCACTCCAGAACACACAAAGATACATGTCAAGCCTGAGCAGGGTCCATGTTGTCCTGAAGGGGGCGCTAACATCAGTTTGAATGAAGGAGAAACTAAAGCAAAGCAGAGGCGCTCGCAGCCCAGAGACCAGAGTACGACTGAGAAAAGAAAAAGTAGAGAAGGTACATGGAGTTATAATTCTTGCATTTCCCCTGCATGTGAAAGCCAGACCTCTGAAGCTAAGCAGGTCAGGGCCTGGTTAGTGCGGTGATGGGAGACCTGCGGAAACAACAGTGGGGCGGCTGTAAAGTGACAGACTGTGGTTGTGTCCTTAGGCAAGACACTTCCCCCACATTAGAATGAGTCTGGTGTGTGTGTGAATGGTTGGTGGTGTTGGGAGGGGCCGATGGCACAGACTGGTTGTTTCGCTTCTGTCAGTGTGCCCCAGGGCAGCTGTGGCTACAATAGTTTACCGTGAATGAGTAATCCCGAGAAGCCTCAGTATGCAGAAAACCCATTTGTAAAATCATTTTTCGGTCACACTTGAGTTTAGCCCTCACTAATGAACAGATAATTAAGTTCTAATTAGTGTATGATTTATTGTTAATTAGCTCTTAATCGCTATTAATCATTTATGAGTCCTAATCCTACATGGCCTTACTCAACATCTAACTAACTAGAGTCAGAGCTAGCGTTAGTGTTCTGTGATTAGCATTTAATTAGCTGTTAATTAGTGGGGGCTAATCTAAAGTGTATTTTTTTTATTATTGTTATGATGATGAATCAACACTTTGCTTCCCGACAGGAATCGATCTCACTCCATCTAAGAAAATCAAAAATGAACGACACTCTGAACCGTATTTTAAGGTAAAAAAGCACTTAAAGATGAAACTGATCTTTGTCTAACTTTCTTTGTGTTTGTAGTTGATTTGCACCAACCTCGACGACTTGAGAGATTTAATCAATAAGACGGAGAATGAGCTCGACGATCTACAGAGAAGGAAGAAGAAACTGGTGACGAAATTCCCTCCCAGTTTTATTTACAGTAGAAGAAAGTACATTTGGTCCACATTTTGGCTGCATTTGAAAATAAGCCTGTGAAATCCAATCTATTTTAGCGTAATCACATAAAAACAAGTCCTATGTATTTCCCTACACTTCCTCTTGTTTGTCTGCTGTTCACATAAACGCTCTGAAATTAGGAATGTGTGCTACACCATCAGCTCTGGAGATCAACAGCTGATAGAGCTGTTCCTGTGCTCCAGCTGCATGCTGCATGCAACAAAACAAAAATACATATTTCGATTGCATCTCCTAGAGAGGTTGCCAGGAGAAAGTTGTCTCTTATAGTCCAGAAAGTACTGTACTTTTATTACAAAAATAACATAAAACATTTTCTTTTAAATGTCTTTTGCAGAATCCGTGGTATTTAAAAAAAGAAGCTGTCCGGGAGCTTCACAGCACATTGATCCGATTATTGAATGAGCTTACTCCCTGGGAACCTAAGCTAATCAAAGCGTATCAAAGAAATAGGTATAAAATGTCTTTTTACCGTTAATGCATAGACTGTACATAGATGGACAATACTAACCCGCTATAGTGACGGCCAACGGGGAAAGGCTTGTGGACGAAGTATTTCTCCAACTCTCTCTGACTCCTATTGACTTCCATGTAAAATTAAACTCTGTAACCATTTGTGACACGCTAACCATTTTGGACTTATATCTATTGTTAGTGCCTTTAACATGCACACTGCAAACATGTTAAAGTCTATATCTTACTACTACTCTACTTTACCTGGTTGTTTCCATTACCCGTAACCTAGCAACCTACCCACAACAAACCAGTCTCTGTGGTTTCCAGCAACATTCTGGCTAATCAGTTAGAACCCTTTAGTACCTTTTTTGGACCTGGATAGAACCAGGACCAATAAAGTACCTTGTAGCGGCTGGCCAGGACCAAGTAGGGCTGATGGAAACGGGCACTTATCTTCCTGTTATTATTATTGTGATATTGTCTTTGTGAATCCAGATATGAGCCCTAACAACGGACCAATCACAGCACTTGGTGACTGGACCGTTGCCACCCACATTTACATTAAATTGACTTCTTATTCCTGCTCAAGCTAGCTCTGATTGGCTTCTTTCACATTAATGCTAACACTGTCAGTCCACTCCATATATACAGTCTATGTGGTAATGAAATATATATATAACCTAATCATGTCTTAAAGTATTCCATATTTGTGACATGATCTGTTCCTTTCCTCTAGATTACGTATCAAGAAGGAATTCGAGGTTTTCAAAAGTCATCCAGAATATCTCAACTTTGTGCGTGAAGAGTCAGTTTCGTCCTCTGAGGAGGAGGAGGAGCAGGGGTCTGTGATTTGCCGTGATCCTGAAACGATAGCACTTCCTCTGCAGTTTGGAGGTAATGCAGTGACGCGGCTGCTCAGGGGTGTGGCCTGGGGGCAGAGTGGTTTGCATGTTCTCCCCGTGTCTGCATAAGTTTCCTCCGAGTGCTAGTTGCAAATGGTAGCGTGTCAAACTGGTTCCTCAAAGAGATAACTTTTTTTTTTCATTCCACTAAGGGGAAATTTCAATGTTGCAGCGCACATACTTTAATATTCTACAACATGTATGGACATTTATCAACATGTGTTCTGTATTCTTTTTTGTGTCTAAACTGTTGATTCTCTGATCTGTGTTGGTGATTTCAATGGTTTTGTTAAGTCTCTGAGATGATGCTGATGTGATTTAGGGAAATACAAGAATAAATTGTATTATAATGGTAATTGTACATACAGGACAGTAGTAACTGCACACTTCATATACAATATAAGTAGCTGCAATGCTTCTTAACTAGCTGTAAATGATTCATAAGAGCAGCAAGTAAATATCTGTGTGTACGTGTAAAGTATTTGCATGATTTACACATACACACACACACAATGGCAGGACAATAAGGAGACAAAAGTGACATTGAGCCGGTGTTGCTGCAGGTTTTAGTTCCAAGCATTAGCACGCCAGACTCCACCCTCCAGTCTGAACCTGGAGACCTGAGAAAAGTGGGTGCTCTGCTCCTGCTCGGTTGTATTCAAACCTGCAGCTACAACCGGCCCGAACCCTTTGAGAACTGGTTTGACACCCCTGAATTATTGTATGTTAACAGTTTTTAGTTAAATGCGTATGTTCACCTATCATGTACTGTTTTCTTTTTCTCCAGGAACTGTACCAGATTTGTCCACAAGAACTGATTGTCAAAAGCCAGCTCTGACTGCCACAAGTGTGAACCATAACTCGCTCCCCATTACATGTAGATCTCACTCGCTGCTTGAACCCCACTTCCACAATACTACACCTGTGCAAGCCAAAAGCTACACGCCAATCCCAACACTACTGGCTAAAAGTGTTGGCAACAAAGTGACTTTAATGCGACAACCGGTGGATCATTTAGAAATGGACAGTTTAGTTGGGGACAGGAGAAGATCTGTGGGCTCCACCGCAGATAACATGTCAAAGACCAACTGTTCTTCCACAGCCACTGGTCCGTCACTGAAATCTCTCCAAAAACAGAAGTCTTATCTGAGTTGTGATGAAATGAAAGCGCAGAACGTTGATTCTCTGCCCCCAAAGATTCTGGTCCATACAGACAAAACTACAACTTCACTACAACAGTTTGATATGATGACAAACAGCTCAGAGATGGATGCTAAAGTTTCTACCAGTCGTGAAACTCGGACACCTCTTCATAATCCAGTGCCTCCTTCTGAAAATCTAGGCCTTAGGGGGATCTCCTCATGCCCCAGTAGTATTTCCAGTTTTCTCTCATCACAGCAAAGTACAAGTAGTCCAAAGTCCAAAGCTAAACAGCAAAGTGATAATGAATCGTCGAGTCTTTCAATGTGTACATCTGAAGAGCTGAAGACGGTTTGCGTCAGAGAATCGCAGTCTATTCTTGTTACGACGAGAGGAGGCAACACGGGGATTGTTAAAGTACAAAAGTCTTCAGGTCAAACTGGTGTCTTTCCCCATAGTCCAATCATAACTATTTCTCCCCAGTTCCAGGCCTTTCTGGTTTCCAAAAAGCCACCTTCTACCATTGGTAAGTCCGACACGTTAGTACAATCAGGTGTGGAGAGGTCCAGTATCTCCCTCGATCAAGAAGTCGGAAAGTCGTTACCAACTGCAAATTGTCCAAGCCTGACTACTTCGAGTGGGTATATATCAAATCATCAATCCACCACATCAAGTCCTGGAAAGCCAATAACTCCAGTGTCAAGTCCTCCTGCCAAGACACATCTCAATACATCTCTCAGGAACTTTATAACTTGCCCAAGTCTGGACACAGCTGATCTAATGAGAAAGCCTCAGCTCATCCACACAAATGGAGATACTAACTCACATGTAGCCAAATATATTTTAATCAGCCCCTCCTCTCCCGCCACCACAACATCTTCTACGATTCCTGAACGAGGCCCTGATCCTGTTCTAAAGCCAGCGACAATCACAGGAGCTTTAACTTCCTCCACTATTGGCAAAAACCCAATCAACTCAGTCTCTACTTCCGTTTTTACATCTTCAGGTGTGTAATGTTTGTATTTCCTTTCATTTTAACAATGTGCATGACGTATATAACATATGTTTTATTTAATTCTCCAGGAATTTCTCCAGATCCTGTCCAGTTTTCATGCCCGATCACTGTCCATCCACACAACACACAACCTCCCAAACACCATGATGCATTGGCCGTAACCACAACAGCACCTGGGTTTCAAAAATCCACCGCTATCTCCAATGTTCCGACACCAACCACATCACTTTCAAGCCTCAAGCACCTTGGTGTTTCTTCCATAACTATTAATTCTCAACTAGGAAATGTCACATGTTCCAGCAGCAAGTCTGTCTCAGCAGGTAATCAGTTATCTCGAAACTCAACAGTTCATTTGGCAGCATTACAAAGTACTTCAAACAACCTATTTCTATCAAACGCAAGAGGATCCAAAACCTTTTTACCACAAATATCATTCACTAAGCCACAAAAAATTCCTGAAATTGAATCTTCTCCATCATCAACAAGTTCTACTCCAACCAGGTCGGTCCAGCAACAATTAGTCATCAACACGTCAACACATCTTGCAGGTGGCACACGTATTGTCGTAAATAAGGCTCATTTTGTTGTGCCACCTCAAGGTTTAGGTCCAGGCAGCCATGTTCTTGTCATTCCGGGACCGAATTTGCCTCATACTAGTGTTGGGACTAAAGCATCTGGACCATTTCAAGGAGTGAAAACTGAGCGGATTCTCCTTCAAGCCAAGCTGCCTAGTCCTGTCGTAGCTGGACAAGTTTCTACCCCCGTTATTACAGCACCGAGAGTGGTTTCAGCTCATAATAGTGACTCCATATCACAGTCTATATGTTTGCAGACTGCTGATAGTGTAGGGCATACAAAAGAAGCCTCTATAGTCTCCAGTTTTCCTCGGATATTGCCTTTGGTTTCTACTGTAACCAATGCATCTGCCATTGGCTCTTCCTTCAGATCCGAGGGTTTGATTTCCACCTCAAAGACTGGTCCCCCTTTTTCTTGTTTGCCGGCACCAGTTTCATCTGGTGTTTCAATGCAACCTCGGCCTGATGTTTCAGAACCTGTAAAAGTGGCCGTTCCTCCCTGCTCACAGGTTTCCACGTCTCTCACTCAGACTCAGGCGAATCCAGGCAGAGGAGTTCCAACCGTCTCCAGCTCGACATCTGCGGCGTTAATGCACATGGGACTCGGGAAGCTTGTTGGTCACGAAACAAGAGAACCCAGTGCTACATGCAGACTCCATGATCACACAGGTCAATAGTGCTGGACCAACGCCGAGTGGAAGGCTCAATTGTGCTGGAGAGATTGTGAAAGATACTGAATCGAGACTATTGACTATGAACACATTATTACACCTTATTCCTCACATGGTCCTCTTGTTGGGACTAATTCAACGGTTAGTGCAATAACAACACCTGCCATGAGTGAATGGAAATAGCCCATTGGCTGGTTCATGGTGTGATGATCATGGGACCCTCGAGGGCAGAATGAGTCCTGGATCTACAGCCTCAGTTCTGGATCCACAGCATCAGTCCTGGATCTACAGCCTCAGATCTGGATCTACTGCCTTGGTCCTGGGTTACTGAGGCTGTAGATCCAGGACTGAGGCTGCAGTGCATTTCCATACTTCTCCAGCAGGGGGCTCCATTGGCTGCTTGACTGACAATCTGTGTTTTTGGCTGAGCAGAAGTGCCATCTCTTGCCTTTTTTAGATACAAAGAATCCACTGTCAAAACTTTGATGTAACCAGAAGAAGACATTTACCTTTTTTATCGCACACTGGTTCAAAACTTTCAAAAAATGCAATTCATAAATGTTCCCCATACACTGTGAGACTAATCAAAGCATCATTTTGTACTACACTGAGAGTGAACGTTGTATTTTTATTTATTATTATAACCTTATTTTAGGAATATTTTTCAGTGGATAAATGTGAATGAGAATAAAACACTGCAACTGTTCTCAAAGATGTCTCTGTAGAATTGTAGCTAATCTTGTATAATGTGAATAAACTTGTGTCTTCTCCTTTTGCTCAACATTTCATTTAATTGAAAAGTAAAAAGTAGATTTTTTAAAACCAGAAGTCCTTCAGGGGGAGTATGGAGGAGGCAGCTGTCCAGAGGAGATCTTATCATATGCCGGAGGAGCATTTGGAACCTGGAGAAAAGCAAGAAGAAAGAGACTTAACATGGAACAGACTGTTTACCTGAGAACCCTAAAGTACGCTTTAGTATCTGGTGCTGTATCCTGGCAACTTACAACAAACCAGTATCCAAGTACTTCAAAACCAGCTCGGCCTGGATAGAACCAGGATCAAGAGGGACTAAAGAAGGACCTGGTTCTGGTTACACAGGGGTAGAGGAAACGCTCCCAAGTAGAGTAGAGTAGAGTAGAGTACTAGGGATGCACAATACAATAAAGTTGTGGTGTCAACTATACATACACCAAACAGTACAAAACATTTGACAGCCGATAGAGCTGTGCCCAATTTAAAATACACACATTGGGCGCATTGCTATAAAAGCCTATAATAGAGTATTTAAATTTTAAATTTTTTAGAAAATGAGAAAGAGAGAGAGAGTATGAGTAGTTCATAGTCCAAAAATGACAGGACACAATGGGTTAGGGTTAGGTATTTGTAATGATGCAATGATGAATAAAAACGCCTGGAAGAGGAAGTGGGAAGAATATGGGAAGAATATGATCGGCAGCAAGAATATTTTATTTATAAAGATGTCCAAGATTTATAAGATTTTGGTCTATACTCGTTTAAAGCCACATCAGGGAAACCAGTGTTTGTGACTGTTTGAATATGACAAGTGTGTGTGTGTATGTATGTACGTGTGTGTGTGTACGTGTGTGTATACGTACGTATGTGTGTGTGTGTACTTGTGTGTGTGTGTGTATGTGTGTACGTATGTGTGTACGTACGTGTGTGTGTACATACGTGTGTGTGTGTGTATGTGTGTGTACGTGTGTACATTGGTTCCTGTTATTGCTGTTACAAAATTGACATTTTTCAAATTAAATTTCTAAAATATAAATGTCCATGTTTCTCCAGTAGTTTTTCATATTTAATTGCAGTTGTTTACACATAAGACACTTCCCCATAACTTTGAGTTTTGGAATTTAAACAAAGTGGAGGACTAAGCTAAGTCCCTGGAGATAATCTCTTTGAAACATTCTTTGACTGTGGACAATAATCTCCTTCATGATTCTGTGCTCACATGGTTCATGACTCTGTGCTCACATGGTTCATGAGTCTGTGCTCACATGGTTCCACAGCTACAGTAAACCTCTGCAGAGCACAGAGACACTGGTCAAAGCCCCAGAGAAATTGACACACTTTAGTCCTGTCAAAACCACGAGTTCAGACGCACAAGTGTGAGAGGTAGTGGAGAGAGACCAGCGGGAGACAAGAGAGAGAGAGAGAGACAAGAGAGAGAGAGAGAGACCAGAGACAGACAAGAGAGAGAGAACCAGAGAGAAAGGTCAGACAGAGAGATTAGAGAGAGAGAGATTCTAGAGAGACCAAAGAGAGAGACCAGAGAGAGACTAGAGAGATCAGAGAGAAAAACCAGAGTGATAGAGACCAGAGAGAGATCAAAGAGAGAGATCAGAGAGAGAGACCAGAAGGAGAGAGACCAGAGGGAGACAGGAGAGAGAACTCACTGCATTCCTGAAGCTTCCAAAGTCCGTGAGGGCCATCTTGTTCTCTCCTGACGTTCCTGGTTCCGAGTACACTCGAGTGAAACCAGGAGATCCGGATCTGGAGTTCTGGTGGTGATCACACATGGTTACACAAAGTAAACATTCCACACAGCAGACAAATGTGTGTGTTTTTACCCCAAGTATTTTGTATCCGCTCCTCTTTTTGAAATACCAGCAACCCACCAGGAGAAGAGCCGCCAGAATGATCACCAGCAGAGTGATGCCAACCGCCCTAGACACATGGTTCAGAGAATTTATGAGTGTGTGTGTGAGAGAGAGAGAGAGAGCCCGCCTCTCTCTCTCCACCTCTTTCTGCTCTCTCATTGGTTCTCTCTCTGCTCTCCCTCTTTTTTGCCTCTCTCTCTCTGTTCTCCCTCTGGTCTTTCTCTCTAGTCTCTCTCTCTGGTCTCTCTCTGCTCTCCGTCTTTTTGGTCTCTCTCTGGTCTCTCTCTAGTTTCTCTCTCTGGTCTCTCTGCTCTCCCTCTCTCTGGTCTCTCTATAGTCTCTCTCTGTTCTCTCTCTCTGGTCTCTCTCTTGTCTCTCTCTTTGGTCTCTCTCTGGTCTCTCTCTCTTGTCTCTCTGGTCTCTCTCTTGTCTTTCTGGTCTCTCTCTCTTGTCTCTGGTCTCTCTTTTGTCTCCCATCTCTCTGCTCTCTCTCTAGTCTCTCTCTCTGGTCTCTCTCTAGTCTCTCTTTCTGGCCACTCTCTGCTCTCCCTCTCTCTGGTCTCTCTCTAGTCTCTCTCTCTGGTCTATCTCTAGTCTCTCTCTCTCTGGCCTCTCTCTGCTCTCCCAATGGTCTCTCTCTCTTGTCACTGTCTCCTCTCCCTCTCTCTGGTGTCTCTCTCTGTGTTCTCCATCTCTCTTGTCTCTCTCTGGCCTCTCTCTGCTCTCCCTCTCTTCAAATGAATCAGACAATAATAAAGAATACGTTTCAGACTCCTACTCCTCTGCTCTGACGTATCCTCCGCGGCCGCTGGAAAAGTAGATGTTGAAATCTCCTCGAGGCATTCCGTCGGTGCGGTTACACCTCATCAAGGCTGGACACAACACAACACACTGATTTCACCTCACATTTATCATGAGAACAGGATCAGGATAAACAGAGGACTTTTGTTATCAATTATACTTATCTATTTATTATTTAGCTACTTAGTCAGTTTCCCATGTGAGTTAGATAGTTTGTTAGTCTGTTAGCTAGTTATTATGTTAGTCAGTTAGCTAGATATTATGTTTGTCAGTTGGCTAGTTATTCAGTTGGCTAGTTGTTCAGTTAGTTAGTGAATTAGCTAGTTAGCAAGTGAGTTAGTTATTCAGTTGGCTAGTTATGTCAGTCGCTTAGATAGTTATCATGGTAGTCAGTTAGCTATTTAGTCAGTTAGCTATTTAGTCAGTTGGCTAGTTAGTCAGTTGGCTAGTTAGTCAGTTGGCTAGTTAGTCAGTTGGCTAGTTATGTCAGTCGCTTAGATAGTTATCATGGTAGTCAGTTAGCTATTTAGTCAGTTAGCTATTTAGTCAGTTGGCTAGTTAGTCAGTTGGCTAGTTAGTCAGTTGGCTAGTTAGTCAGTCGGTTAGTTAGTATGCTAGTTAGTCAGTTAGCTAGTTTGCGAATTAGCTAGTTAGCAAGTGAGTGAGTTAGTCAGATGGCTAGTTAGTCAGTTGGCTAGTTAGTCAGTTAGCGTGTTAGTCAGTCGGTTAGTTAGTATGTTAGTTAGTCAGTTAGCTAGCTAGTTTGTCGGTTGACTAGTTTTTGTGTTGGTTATTCAGTTAGCTAGTTATTCAGTTGGCTAGTTAGTCAGTTGGTTAGTTAGTCAGTGGGGTAGTGATTGTGTTAGCCAAAGGAGGGTGCTAGCCAAAGCCACCTCCATCATGAACAACACCTCCCACCCACTGCACAGGACTGTAGAGGAGCTGAGGAGCTCCTTCAGTGGAAGACTGAGGCACCCTCAGTGTAGGAAGGAGCGCTACCGCAGGGCCTTTATCCCCACCGCTGTCAGACTGTACAATAAGTCACTTTAAATGATCACTATGTGAAAACCTGCACTACTATTGACACTGTTTCCAATTGACACTTGTCGCTTTTGTTGTACATAATTATTGTCACTTTTATTGTACATATATCCTGCATGTAACATGTTTGCACATTTCCTCCTTTTGCACAATCTGAGTGTCTCTATCCATGCCAAATGTGACATGTACATTTCTCCTATGTGAGATAAATAAAGCACATCTTATCTTATCTTAGTCAATTGGCTAGTTAGTCAGTGTGTTAGTTAGTTAGCTAGTCTGCTTGTTTTCTGGTTTGTTAACTAGTTTGGAAGTTAGTCAGTTAGTTTTGTTAGTTATGTGTTTTCTTTAAAGAGACATAGCACAATAAAATGCATGGTATCGATTGGGCAGAGACACTGGTTCATTTTCCTCTGTAGTCTCATAGCAAAAAAAAAGAGGTTTAAGGTTTAAGGTGTGCAAAGAATTATTGCTTTGAATAAAATGACCTAGTCTGACCCTTTAAAATACCCTAATCAAACCCTAATCCACAACATGACAGAGAAGTAGTTCAGTCCAATGTATAATTCAGTTCAATGTATTTGTCCTAAATTAAAACAGCAGTCGCCTCCAAGCACTTATTTAAGTTGTTGAATCACCAAAGACAGATCAGAGAATCAAACTGTTCAAACACAGCCATAATAATAAACACACAGGAGCCACTGATCCATGGGGGGCATAATAAATGTCCAGGATCCTTAGACCCTCCTGCATCAGAGAAAAAACCCAAGACTGAGGCTGTAGATCCAGGACCGAGGCTGCAGATCCAGGACTGAAGCTGTAGATCCAGGACAAAGGCTGTAGATCCAGGACTAAGGCTGTAGATCCAGGACTAAGGCTGTAGATCCAGGACTAAGGCTGCACAACTGAGGCTATATTGTGTCTAATAATGTGTTTGTTTGTGGCTATAAAACAGGTCTACACAGCACTTTTCCTCCAAAAGTTAAGAATATATAAACTTACCAGGAAAAAGGACTTTTGTAGTTTTGAAGGTGTGTGAGGAGAAGACCAGGTCCAGGTCCAGGTCCAGGATCAGTCTGCAGGTCTCTCCTCTGTGTGGGAGCACCAGGCAGAACTCCACATGACCGTCACGGGTTTGGGGCTCATGCTTAAACCCATTGAAGGAGTGTAATGAGCGTGAAGCCCCGGGGCCCAGAACCCACCACCTCCTCCTCCACCTCCTCCTCTGCCCGTGGGTCTGCGGGAGTCAGCTGCTGTTCGCATGAGACGGGACCATGGGCTCAAGATATTAGCTGGAAACAGCAGGCGGCCAGTCCCTGTGCTCCTCAGAGTCCCAGCAGGAGGCCAGTCCCTGTGCTCCTCAGAGTCCCAGCAGGAGGCCAGTCCCTGTGCTCCTCAGAGTCCCAGCAGGAGGCCAGTCCCTGTGCTCCTCAGAGTCCCAGCAGGAGGCCAGTCCCTGTGCTCCTCAGAGTCCCAGCAGGAGGCCAGTCCCTGTGTTCCTCAGAGTTCCAGGAGGCCAGTCCCTGTGCTCCTCAGAGTCCCAGCAGGCGGCCAGTCCCTGTGCTCCTCAGAGTCCCAGCAGGAGGCCAGTCCCTGTGCTCCTCAAAGTCCCAGCCAGAGGCTAGTCCCTGTGCTCCTCAGAGTCCCAGCAGGAGGTCAGTCCCTGTGCTCCTCAGAGTCCCAGGAGGCCAGTTCCTGTGCTCCTCAGAGTCCCAGCAGGAGGCCAGTCCCTGTGCTCCTCAGAGTTCCAGGAGGCCAGTCCCTGTGCTCCTCAGAGTCCCAGCAGGAGGCCAGTCCCTGTGCTCCTCAGAGTCCCAGTAGGAGGCCAGTCCCTGTGCTCCTCAGAGTCCCAGCAGGAGGCCAGTCCCTGTGCTCCTCAGAGTTCCAGGAGGCCAGTCCCTGTGCTCCTCAGAGTCCCAGCAGGAGGCCAGTCCCTGTGCTCCTCAGAGTCCCAGTAGGAGGCCAGTCCCTGTGCTCCTCAGAGTCCCAGCCGGAGGCACAACAAAGCAGTATGCTCTGGATGGTAGAGTAGAGAAGATTAGAGCTGGTGGAAGGTTTTAAACACATCTAACTCAGAACTCAGGGCCTTTCTGAGTGGAGTTTGTATGTTCTCCCCGTGTCTGCGTAGGTTTCCTCTGGGTGCTCCGGTTTCCCCTACCACTAAAAACATGTACAATAGTTCTGGCATGTGCCTCCAGTACTGGCCGTACTCCCATCTCTGTGTGGAGTGAGACTCAAATGCCCGCAATTGTAAACCGCTTTGACTCTGGTCTGTGAAAGGCGCTATATAAATAAACAATACTTACTTAATTACAACAAAGTGCAATTAGATACAATCACCTTTACCAGAACATGTGAAAGCAGAGCCTACTTTCAGATTGTCTCTAGTTGTTCCTGTAATAAAAAAGCATTCGTATGCATTGTTGTTTTTATGTTTTAATAATAATGTTGTACATTAATACGTTGAGTAATGCCTGTGTGTGATTCCCAAGCTGTCCACTAGAGGGAAGCCTTCTCCAGTCTTAACCATACAAATGTACTTTCCCCATCTCCATTCACTCAGAAAGTGTTTGCTCCATAATCAGTAGTTTGCTAGACCTAATACGTGGGACTGACTAATGGAAATGGAAAAGAAGACAAGAAACAACGCAATAGGACTGATTGAATTATTGATGTGTTGCTCCTAGTTTGCATATGTTGTTTATTATTTGTATAGTGTTTATCAGTTTAACTCCAGACATTAAGAATCAAAATTATGTAAATTATGTAACATGTTTAAAATGTCAATATTTAGTTTCTGGATCTACAGCCTCAGTTGGATCTAAAGCCTGATCCTGTGGGAGCGGTCTCAATATTTGAGGTTATCCCCTCCAGGACATTTATTAACATTTACTATTTTTGTGCGACTGTTTGGATGTGTGTGTGTGTGTGTGTGTGCGTGTGTATAATAAGTGCTTTGGGGTGGATCTGTTGGTGAGGGGTCATCCTGGGCGCTATAACGCACTTTGTGTTGTGGCATTTCTTGCACGAAAAGCGCGTTATAAAGAAAATCCTGTTATTCCTGTTTGCTTCTCTAATCTGTTGAGGGCGAATCCACAACTTTGCAAAGTCCTCCGAGACGCCTCCTGCTGTAATTTAGCGCTACATGAAAATACATAGAGCTGAACAGTGGCCCAGCAGAGCCTCATCCGTGTGCTGACAGGCGGGTGTCAGTGTCACGGCCACAGCACGACCCTCTCCGGAGCCTTGCACTGTGGACCGCGGGGTGCAGAGGGAGCTGTTCCCTCTTCCAGCTGCCATCCCACTGCTCCTCCCCCTCTCCTCCTCCTCCAGAGCCACTTCTCTTTCTCATCACATCCCGAGGTAAATAACACACACATTCACCCACAACAATCGCCTTTTCCCTGCACCGTGTCGGCCTGCACCTGTGCCCGCTCCTCCTGCACACCCGCCCGGACCCGGAGCCCAGTCGGAACCCAGCCCCGGAGCGATAGTAATCATACGTGATGGGGGCTTTGCTTTGTACCCCTGCTTTCCTTTCCTGGCGTCGGGTCGGGGTTACGCTTCCTTAGGCAAGTCCGAGGTCTACTTTGTCAGATAAAGATAAGGTTAAAGAAGGCATAGACGACGGAAAGTTGGAATAAAACACAGGATATCGCACGTGCGTCTGTGAGGATCGGTCTCGCGCGGACGGCTTTGATACAATTGCAATGATGCTAGCTAGGGCAACTTAAACAGACACTAACGTTAGCCAGTTAGCATAGCTTCATCTCCAGTTGTTGCTAGCCGGCTAACAACGAACTGCCTGTGGGAACCTCTGCACAACATATTTCGTGACCTGTTCGTATGTTCAGTGTTTGCAAACTAGTAATAGCTTAGTAATAATATGCTACAGTTTATGCTAAGTGCAGGGAGTGCATTCGTAAAGCACGGCGACATGGGACTTGGGCTTTAGCAGAGAAGACATTGATTGAGATGTTGTGGGGTTTTGCGCTGCTGTGTTTTCAAGTAGCTGCTATTTTGCTGTAAAAGCTCAGAGGTGATCGAGGGGTATTGTCACGAATCCACGACTTGTGTCTCGTAATTATAGGTGAAACTGGGATTTAGCCAAGTACTAACGTAGTAAAGTAAATACTAAATCATGTGCAATGTGCAATACTGCTCCTTCAGAATGTCACTGAACGATGTCACTTTACTTATCTGCCTATTATCCTGCACTCTATGTACAGTACATAACTCTGCACTACAACATGTAAATATATTTTATTTTGAAAGACTGGTATCGAAGCATTTACAGCATTTACAGATAGTTAAGTAATACAGTTACTACTTTATTTTGTATATTTTGTGTGCTCCTTGTGTGCTCTTACTCCTGTCATGTCTGTGCACTGCAACACCGAAATTTCCCCACTGTGGGACGAATAAAGGAACTCTTATCTTATTACTAACTGTAATTATGTTGTTATAGGTATGGGAAGGCAGCTGTTAGCTAAATGTGAAATAGACATTATGCATGTGTTTGTTTACTTTGTATGAATATGGTTTAATTAGGAGTATGACACTGTAATATGTCCACTGAATGTCACTTTAACTACTTATTACCCTGCCCAATATTTTTTTTTTTTTAAAGGTATTGAAGCATTTGCAGCCAGCTAAGAAACATAGCAGTTACTTATTGTGTATATTTTGTGTGCTCTTACTACTGCCCTTTATGTGCGCTGCAACATTGAAATTTCCCCACTGTGGGACGAATAAAGAATCTCTTATCTCATCTTAAAGGTATATAAGAGGATTGTCTACTTCCCGGTGGATCATCAAGACTATTGGGAAAATCCTCTTATAAACTTTTAATATCTATAATAACATTTGGTAACTATTAATTTGGTTAGACTCCTCCCCCTCTAATATACCTTTATATTTATTCTTCTATCGTTGACACATCGTTTTTGACATTTAATTTGCATTTGACAGTTTGCGTCCATACAAGAAAATGCTTTGTTTTGCAGGATCTCTGAGATGTGAGGAATAGGAAGAGTGTTATTGAACTGCTTAGCTTTTGACACTGTGGCTTGACCTCATCTTCAGCATGAATGGTGATATGCCTCATGTTCCCATCACTACTCTTGCTGGAATTGCGAGCTTGACAGACTGTAAGTGTAACCTGAATAATCTGACCATGTTATCACTTGTTCGAATCCTCAATTTAACTTTTGTGTATGTTTATGTGTGTTGTTTAGTATTGAACCAGCTTCCGTTACCGTCTCCGCTGCCTGCCACTACGGCGAAGGGTCTTCTTTATAGCAGTCGGATCTCAGAAGAGGTGAACAATCTGCTGGTTTGCCGGGATGAGAATTTGGTGACTCAGTTGGTCCACAGTCTGAACCAGGTCTCTACTGAACACATGTGAGTAACAGTCATTCGATAAAAGCATGTGTGTTTGGTGACTTCAGAATCCATTGATCAAAGGCTTTTTTCTTGTAGTGAATTGAAGGACAATCTGGGCAATGATGAACCAGAAGGGGAAATGCCTTTGCTGCTGCAAACCTTGTTGTCAAGGAATCCCAAAATCTTCAGGGATAAAAGTATGCCTTCCCAGAACGAGGTTTGGGGTGGTAAGGAGGAGAGCATGTTCAACGGTCTAACACTGACATGAGCATGGGGATGGTTTAGATCAGATACTGGTCTAATGCTTAGTGCTGTAGATACTACTCTCCTTCTTTTTGGCAGTATACAACAGATACATCTTTGAGTATGAACTCAGGCCCAATTATTATAAGCATGGTTTATTTTCTATTAGTACTGAGTGTCTTACATATTATATGTACCTCATATACTAGTGATGCACAATATATCGGTCGCTGACATATAAGTCATCAATTTGATACAGCGCTTTTCTGGATGCTTCACATTGTTTCACTCCATACACGGTGGTGATAAACTACTGTAGCCACAGCTACCCTGAGTCACACTTACTGTAGCGGGGCAACCAGTCTGTGCCATCAGCCCCTCCCACCACCATCAACCATTCACACATACTCCAGAATCCTTCTAAGGTGGGGGAAGTGTCTTGCCTAAGGACACAGCAGCAGTTTGGCACTGCGGCTTGGTACATCCGCTCCACTGTGGCATCTGGTGTTCCCAGAGGTCTCGCATCACAGTACTATCCAGGCCCTGCCCTGCTTAGCTGCAGAGGTCTGACAGGTTCTGGCTTTCACTTGCAGAATGGGCCGATAAGGACATTCATCAGTCAGGGGCAATGTGAACAGTGTATTAGAAGTGTATGCAGGCTTAATTCAATTCAAATGTTCTTTTTGTATCCCCCTAAATCACAACAGTAATAATCTTGGAGGACTTTACAAAAGTGAATCAGTGAATCAAACACAGGAAATGCAATGATAAAAAACACATAGAGCCATAAATCCATCAGGGACAGAGACCAATATGTCGTTGAATGTTCAGTGTTCTGGATCAGCTCCACTGTCCCTCAAGAACATCTATAAACCCAATGGGAGAAAATGAGAAACTTTTTCTCATTAGCTCGGATGTGAGTTTGGGTTAGGGTTAAGTGTATAAATGCACATGAGGCAGGTGCTGAACGAGGAAAACAAGATGTGTTTTATATAAATAAATATATCAGCCATAAAAGCAATATTAACATTGGTAAATATCGATATCGGCCACAAGTTTAACTTTGATGCATCACTAGTATATTCGATACTTTGACTTGTCTGTGGCCTGTTAAACATGTTGTTGTCCTCTGTGTTGAAGGTGTTAGGCAGCCATCTTTGATTCAGCAGTACAAAGTCACTCCGAATCAAGTCCACGGCAGTCCTGCGTCTAACTATCAGCAAACCTCTGTCCCCCCTAGTCCCTCTGGGTAACCTCCACACTCCATCTGAACAATCAAATGCATATTTTGAGCTGTTGGTGAAGACCCTCTCTTTTATCCTTTTCAGATGTTTCACTCCTCAGCAGTCCGGCTCCGGTGCAAGGTTTCTCACCAAGCAGAACAGCCCCATATCGAGTCCATACACCCCACAAAGCCCTGATGACTACTTGCAATACAACCCCCCTAGTTACTCTCAGCACCAACAGGCGCAGCAAGGTAATTACTGAAGTATCTATGACGTGATATGATGTCTGCTTGTTGTGACTCTATGATGTCTGTTGTGACTCTATGATGTCTGTTGTGACTCTATGATTTCGGCTTGTTGTGACTCTATGATGTCTGCTTGTTGTGACTCTATGATGTTTGTTGTGACTTTATGATGTCGGTTGTGACTCTATGACGTCTGCTTGTTGTGACCCTATGACGTCTGCTTGTTGTGACCCTATGACGTTTGCTTGTTGTGACTCTATGACGTCTGTTGTGACTCTATGACGTCTGCTTGTTGTGACTCTATGACGTCTGCCAGTTGTGACTCTATGATGTCTGTTGTGACTCTATGATGTCTGTTGTGACTATGATGTCTGTTGTGACTATGATGTCTGTTGTGACTATGATGTCTGTTGTGACTATGATGTCTGTTGTGACTCTATGATGTATGAAATGTGAAATTAAAGTTGATTCTTATGTCCCTCTGTTTTTTTAATGTTTTTTTAATGCCTTTGAATAATATGCGGGACATGAATCGTGATATATCAAAGAATCGATTTGTAAAACTGTCTGTATCGCGATATGTTATGAATCACAATATTATTGAATTGTGGTCCTAATATTGCAATACTATCAAATCCACCCATTTTTGCCAATTCCCGCTCCTAGGCTTCACATAAATTCTGTTATTTATGTCATATTCAACTGTTTCTATAATCTGAATTGTTTGAAGCTGCTGGGATGAGAAATATCCACGACAACAAGGTGTCCGGACAGCTATCCAATAACTCCAACCACAATGCACGACCTGGTTCCAATGACAACTACATGAACATGAGTCAGAGATTGGGGAATGAGGTACTTTACACAACTCTACACAACATGATTAAAAATAATATCAGAATGTGAACTATAGACCCACATGTGTTTTCTGCCACTTCAGCCCAGAGCCTCATGCTGCTAATGCTAACATGCACAGATGTAAACATACAGCTATATATTTCTGCACTAGAATATACAGTATTTTTACACTTGCTTCTTTCATATGTTGAAGTGTAGAGATTTTTTTAATTTTTATTTCGTCTAGAGTGTGCTGTGTGCTCCTCATTCCTACTGTTCTGTGACCGGGGATGCAACACTGATTTTTCCCCACTGTGGGACAAATAAAGAATGTCTAAGCTAATTTAAAACCATAAACTTATCTTGTGTTCTTCAGGCAAATGGTTCCTCAATGAAAGCAGCTGCATTTTCTGTGGGATCTCCAAACTCCTCCTGTTCTCCTGCAGGACATGAGGACGAAAACACAAAACGTGAGTATTGGATTAAAGCAATATTTATGACAAATCACAAATAAGGCTCATGAACTTTTCTGAACAGTGGTCGTCGCACTCCCTCTGGACCAGTGGCTCCTATGTGTTTGTTATTACAGTAGTCCGGTTCACCAACATCCTATAAACCTAGAATAACAGTTATCTTTATTTAAAGTTAAAAGAAAATGCTGTGGCTTGTTTGCACCGCAGTGATTGGTTCAGAGGACTCTCTCTAGTCTCTGGTCCCTATTTTCGGTCTCTCTCTGGTCTCTCTTTGGTCTCTCTCTGGTCTCTCTCTGGTCCCTATTTTCGGTCTCTCTCTGGTCTTTCTTTGGTCTCTCTCTGGTCTCTGTCTGGTCTCTCTTTTGGGTCTCTCTCTGTGGTCTCTCTCAGGTCTCCCTCTCTGGTCTCTCTGGTCTCTCTCTGTGGTCTCTCTCAGGTCTCTCTCTGGTCTCTCTCTCTGGTCTCTCTCTGGTCTCTCTCTGGTCTCTCTCAGGTCTCTCTCTGGTTTCTCTCTGGTTTCTCTCTGGTCTCTCTCTGGTCTTACTCTGGTCTCTCTCTGGTTTCTCTCTGGTCTCTCTCTGGTCTCTCTCTGGTCTCTCTCTGGTCTCTCTCTCTGGTCTCTCTCTGGTTTCTCTCTGGTCTCTCTCTGGTCTCTCTCTCTGGTCTCTCTCTGGTCTCTCTCTCTGGTCTCTCTCTCTCTGGTCTCTCTCTCTCTGGTCTCTCTCTCTCTGGTCTCTCTCTGGTCTCTCTCTCTGGTCTCTCTCTCTGGTCTCTCTCTCTGGTCTCTCTCTCTGGTCACTCTCTGCCTTAAACGTAGCCTTAAAACATAAATCTTCTGCTTCATGGATTAGTGTGGGTTATTTTCAGAACCCTCGCGATAAACCAGGGACCCCTGTATTTTCTGTATTTGAATTGTTTGATCTGTTGTTGGTGAATCTACAACTTTGCAAAGTTGTCAATAAGTTGTGATTTATACACAAATATTATAATATATATAATTTAATATATATTGTAATTTTAAGAAATTCTATAAAGATGAGCCAAAGCAGATTTCTGGTTTGTGACTTTTAATAGCAATAAATGGCAATAAAAACAATATTGAATTATATTTTATTTTCCCATTTCTGTTTCCACAGGGTCCAGAGTCATCATTCAGTCGCCCAACGATCTATCGGACAAACGTGCTGCTTCACTGGAGAACAAAAAGAAACATAAAGAACGAAACAAAGAGGAATTTGAACAAATGGATAAAAACGCGTTGTACGACATTGTGAGCTCTCCGATGAAGGACTCCTCAAGGCTAACCCTCAAACTGTCGCGAGTACGATCCTCAGACACCGATCACTCTGGAGAAACTCCTGCTGTAGAGAATGCAAACCACATGGACACTAGTGTAATGAAAGAAACCCCATCATCAAGGACAGCCCAAGAGTCTTCACAGAAAGCAGAAACTGAGGACCTGGCGAACTGTCACCCGTCTGTCCAGCACAACGCCAAGGACTGTGGCGCAGTGAACTCGTCGGTGTGTGAGGAACCGGAGGCAGATGCACTTTCCGAGTCTGAGAGGGTCGAGCACGAGTCGTCGTTTGAGAAAGAACGCTGGAATAAAGACGTTCAGGATAAAGGTGAGGGTTTCTGTAGCTTCCGTGTTGTGAATGTTCCAGCTTCTTCTTCCCTCTGGCAGAAGATAGTGTTCTCTAAGACGCAGGACATGTCGATATGCTAATGGTTTCTTTGCACAAGCTCATGTCAGTTTGAACAAAGCACTTTAATGATCTGAATGAGAAACCAGAGAGAGAGACCAGAAAGACCAGATAGAGAGAACAGAGAGAGAGAGACCAAAGAGAGAGAGAAACTAGAGAGAGAGAGACAAGCGAGAGAGACCTGAGAGAGACAGTCTCCAGAGAGAGAGAGACCAAAGAAAGAGAGACTGACCAGAGAGAGACCGACCATCCAGTCAGAGCTGCACTCTGTCCACAGAGCCCCAGGCCCTCACTGATCCTCCTGCAGGTGGTGAGTCCACAGGAGCCTTGATCTTTCAGCAGGGCCTTGAGGCAAAGTGGGGTTAAGTGTCTTGCCCAAGGACACATTGACTGCAGTCACCAGTGGGAGTCGTGAAGTAGGTCTCATGGTGGGCTCGAACCCACAACCTTCAGGCTCTAAGGCCAATGCTCTACCAACTGAGCCACTGTCACCCCAAAGAGAGATTAAGAGAGACCAGAGAGAGCTTCCTTCCACAAACTGTGATCAGTCTGAACAAAGCACTTTAATGATCCGGTATAGAAGGGTTTTATTGATGGGTTTCACACTGACAAATGTTTCTTGTACTTTTTATCTTGTTTAATTGTCATTTGTCTGGTGCACACAGAGGGACTTTCGCACATGTTTTCCAAGGGGGTTTTACTGCAAATGACAAATATTCTGAATCTGAATATTTTTGTTGTAGACAAACCACTGAAGAAACGGAAACAGGACTCGTATCCTCAGAAACCTGGAGTTGGAGCTCTCGCTGAGGCAGGGGATGCTCAGAAGGCTAACCGCAGCAGCAAGGTGACACCCAGGAAGGCGGTAGCTACTAAAAACGGCACAGAGAGACCGGCTCTGATGGTCAGCATTGATCTTGAGCAAGCCGGACTCGGGAAAGCACTGCCCGTGGTCGTCTTGGAACCTCGAGAGATATGTGAGGATCATCTAAAACGTCTCAAGTCTAAGACAGAAGAGAAGGCGAGCAAAGCTGTCGAAACCATAAAGCATACGGATCAGTCGAGGAAGCCGGATAAAAACAACCAGGAAAGCCAGAAGGAGCAGAAGCAGCCGGTCATCACAAGTGATAGCAGCACACAACACAAAGAGGTGGACACGGCAAGACAGAAACACAGAAGTGCAGAGGGGTCTGTCAAAGAAGAGAGAGTCAACAGCAGTCACAACGCCAAAGCCAGAATCCCAGAGTGTCAAAAAAGTAGTAGCACAAAAATTCATACCTCGCCTGAAACTGAAAAGGACAAGATCAGACACAAGGACAAAGAGAAAACCCAGAGCAAAAGTATAGAAAAGAATAGAGAGAATAATAATAAAGATAAAGTCAAAAACAGGGAACAAGGCAAAGATCGAAGAGAGCAAAATACCAGTGTAGAGCGGAGTAGAACCAGAGAAGAGAGGAGTGACAATAAGGAGAGAGACCAGGACAGGCGTCAGCAAGCAAAAGACAAAGACCAAGAGGTAATGAAAGACCGGAGTCGAAATAAGACTAAAGAGGTGGACGCCGAAAAGGGCCAGAAGAAGGACCAAGACTTGGATAAAGACGCAAAACAGAAAAAGTCAAAAGAGCCCGAGCGGGACAGAAGGCAAGAGAAGGCCCCGGACTCGGACAAGAATAAAAATCGGATCAAGAATCAAGAGTGTGACAAGGCTAAAGTTCAAGATAAAACCCAGGAGGCAAGCAAGGAGGTCCATCAGAGCAAGGACAGGGAAAAGGAGAAGGAGAGGACCAAGGACAAGAACCAAGCTAAGGAGCAAGACCAGGAGAGAGATCAGAGGCACGGCAAAGGCAAAGAGAGAGCCAAGGACAAAACCCCAGTGAAAGAGGAGGAAAGTAAAAGAGATAAACATCGAAACAGGGACAAAGAGGCGGAAATGACTCCTGAGAAGAGCAAAGAGTCGGAGAAAGACCGGCGGCACAGTAAAGAAAAGGACCGGGCCCATGATCCAGAACGAAATCGAGAGAAGGACAAAGAGAGAGGCAAGGGGAAAGACCGGAGCAGAGGCCGAGGGGACGAACCGGAGAGAGACCGGGACGTGGAACGGAAGCACAAGGTCTCGCAGTCGGAGGAGAACCATCACAAACCATCTGGGGACCAGCCTGCGAAGCTAAACAAGTCCACAGACCCCAACAGAAGACCAAAGCCTGAAGGTAGCTCCTCCACCAACAAGGAGGAGCGCAAGAGCAGCCAGAGCGCGGAGAAGCAGACCTCGGAAGCCAAGCCCAGCGAGTTTCCCTCCTACCTGTTGGGCGGAACCGGGACAACTTTGAAGAACTTTGTGATTCCCAAACTGAAGCGGGACCCGAGTATTGACGTGCTGGTGGACCCTAAAGTCAGGCTGGATCGAGTGACTGTAGTTAAGAACCTCGCCCGCAATGCCAAGCCTGTCATTGTGCTCAAAAGGCTCGGGTTGGAAGAAATAAAACAAATCATTAGGGATCGAAGAAATGCACAATTATCTCGAGGCTCGTCCAGATCAGGTATGACTCTATGGAGTGTGTGTGTGTGTGTGTGTGTGATAATATATTTAATACTACGTTTACGTTGGCTCAGTGTTACTCAGCTGGTTCTGATGTGTTTCCAGATATGTCCTCGAACAAGCGCAGGCACAGTACAGTCAGTAAGAAATCCAAGTACGTGGTTTCTGACTCAGAGGAAGATAGTGAGGACTCTGACTGTGAAGGTAAGAAATGGATGATTTGCCTTTTGTTTGTGACTGTGTGGAACATTTTGTATTGTTTGCCAAAAAATTGCAGGAGGAACAAGTGCATTTAAGGATAAGAAAAATGCAAAAACAAAGTGAGAGATCAGGTTTTCTTTGAGGATCTATGGGAAAATAGTGTGAGGAACAGAGGGACAGGTCTGAGACTGTGATGTATCAGTCCTTGTTAATGTCCTGCTTATTGTCCAAACTAAGGCCTGAGGGCCAATTGTGGTCCTGTGCCACTAACATAACGTTTTTGAGATCATAAATACAATGTCATCCAGCCAACTTCAGCTTTGTCAATGCTGTACATGCTCAGTCTAAAGCTCAGAATCTCTATAATTAAGCTGCAGACTTTCTCTGTATTAGCTGAACATTGTTTGCTAAAGTAGCTAGTGAGATACTAAATATTTGTATTCAGCCAACTTCAGCTCTGTCTTAGATAATGAAGCCCAGAACATTACAAATCCAGTCAAAACTAGTTTACAATCCGGGTTGTCGGCCCTGGACAAATCTAGTTTTTTGTGTTTTTATAACGCATTGTTTGTGTGTTATGGACAAAGCTAACGGTAGATAACACAATGGTCTGTGAGGTCTGTGTTGGACTTTCCCCCACGTAGGAAGGCACTCGCCGGAATGAGTTGGAGCTAAACTTCACCATGAGCACTTCCCTATTCTTATTTATTTATTTATTTGAAAAGGAGGGACAATACATATTAATGAACATTTTCACAAATGTAAATATGCCAGATTATAGCCTTAGGCTAATTTCCATCTGCAGACCCCCTGGCAGGTTGGTGTTAAGCATAGGTTAGTAAAAACATACAGAGACACTATATACAGACTATGTACAGAGAGACAAGGACAAGTAAAGTGATCACTTGTTAGAACAAACAATAAAAAGAGTGGACAAGAAAGGACAGTATAGAAAAACAGTAACGGGAAAGCATCGACTGTATTGCACAAACCCCAATATTGCACATAACCTGACAGACCTAATATTGCACTGACCCATATTGCACCATTCTATATTGCACTGACCCGCATTACACTAACCCCCATTGTATAACCCATGCCCAACAGACTCCCATTGCACAGCCCGTATGACACTGATAATTGCATCCCCTTTTGTAACTATCATCATTAACTAAACATGATCACATGTTTGTTTGTCCCTCAGCCACACTTTTAAATGACTCCTAAAGGTAGGGAGACTTGTGCTTTCCCTCACAGACAGTGGAATACTATTCCAGAAGCTCACTCCCTGATATGACAGGACATTCTGTGAAAAGCTGGTCCGCCTAAATGGCAATTCACAATCACTTCTCACAGTGGCTCGAGTCACTCGAGACCCGGCACTGATAGACTTTTGTTTAATAAAATCACTCAATGGTGGAGGCGCCAGACCATGTATGACCTTGTAGATTAGACAGGCTGATTTAAATAATTTAAAATTAGCAAAGTTTAAAAACTTATATTAATCTAAAATTTGACAATGGTGGTATGATGAAGGTTTCTTGTCTAATATTTTCAATGCTCTTTTGTAGCATACTTCAATTGGCCCAATAGCAGCATGACTCGTATAGGACCAACTTGTGATACAATACTCAATATGAGCCAGTATCATAGAGTGCAGGAATGTAATCGCTGCTGTATCCGTTAATGATGTTCGAATATGTCTGAAGTTCCGTATATTAACATTTACAGTTTTCACTACTTTTTTAGCCAGTGGTTAAGCATTGTCCAAATGTGTTCAATCTATGTGTGAAGTGATGAAGGTTTTCTTGTGTCTTATTGTGACAGTTGTGAAGAAAAAATCAAAGAAAGACAATGACAAGTCGTGGAAAGAGGATAAACGAGGGCGGTCGTCCAGCGGCCGCCATCGAGGGCGGAGTCTCTCTGACTCCGACGACAGCTCTCCGCCTCCAAACCTCACAGCCGGTAACTCTCTTCACTCATGAATCCTTTTGGAGCCTACATTCAAATGTATGTGTCTCAAAAATATGTTTTCTTCCAAAGTTGCCAGAAAATTAAGTAAAAAGGAGAAGAAGAAGAAGTCGTATGAGCCTAAGATGACGATGGAAGGTGATGATCCTTTCTAACGACAGTCGATGAAACAAACACTAATGTTCTGTATTTAACAGAGATGATGGATTCCTCTACATTCAAGAGGTTCACGGCGACTCTGGACGGCATTCTGGAGAACCTCGAAGACGTAGATTTCACTGCCGCAGGTACAGACTCTGGTTTGGTTTCATATTTACCAACAGAGATTTAAACCTTTTTTAAACACAGACGATGACGACGAAATACCTCAGGAACTCCTGCTCGGACAGCACCAGCTCAGCGAGCTCAGCAGCGACTCTGCCAAGATCAAAGCTATGGGGATCTTTAACAAGGTACAGCTGCTCTGTGTAAAGAGGTGTAGGGTCGGAGAGTGTTTGGGTCTGTGTTGTGTGTGTGTGTGTGTGTGTGTGTGTGTGAGTGTATGTGTATCTGTGTGTGCGCACATCTGTGTGTATATGTTGTATATACTCAATGTTTTATACAGTGTTTTTGAATTCTACTGGATGATACTATTACATTGTGTATGTGTGCGCGTGTGTCTGTTTGTATAAGTGTATGTGTGTGTGAGTGTATGTCTCTATGTATAAGTGTGTGTGTGCGTGTGCGCGAGTGTGAGTGTGTTTAGCATTCTACAACATGTATGGACATTTTCTTCTGTGTGTGCTTTATATTCTTCATGTGTTTTAACTGTTGATTCTCTGACCTGTGTTGGTGATTTCAATGGTTTTGTTAAGTCTCTGAGATGACTTCTGTTGTGACCTAGGGCTATACAAGAATAAATTATATTGTATTGTATTGTGTGTGCGCGTATGTCTGTATGTGTAAGTGTATGTGTGTGTGTGTGTGAGAGAGTGTGTGTTTCTGTATGTGTAAGTGTTTGTGTGTGAGGGTGAGTGTGTGTGTGCGCGTATGTCTATATGTACTGTCTGTATAAGTGTATAAGTGTGTGTGTGTGAGAATGTGTGTGCTCGTATGTCTATATGTATAAGTGTATGTGTGTGAGTGTGTGTATGTCTATGTGTCTGTGAATGGCAGTATGTTGGCAGTGTGTTTTATCGTGTAGGGACCAGTGTGATGGGTTTGGAAGTATTTCCTTTTCAAACCATGTCTTTTTGAGCTGTTGGTTATAATAATATACGTGAAAGTCTGTGTTTTACAGGTTTGAGATTAATGTAAATCTAAAATGTACATAATGAGAGATAATGTTTCTTTTCACAGATTCACTCGGAGAAACTGGTGAAGGTTTTGAACATTCTTGAAAAGAACATCCAGGACAGTGTCAAACTTTCAACATTAATGCATTACGTAAGAAACATATTTAATTCTAATTGTTTACAACGGTCCCTCGCTTTAGCGTCGTTCACTTTCGCTGTTTTTTTATAGCTCTGTGTGTGTTTACTCCAACAACACAATATAAACGCTAGTTAAACAGTTACCTTAGTTTAAAGTCAGAAGAAAACATTTGTCTCTGGTCTTTCTCTCTGGTTCCTCTCTCTCTCTGGTCCCTCCCCGGTCCCTCTTTCTGGTCACTCACTGGTCTCTCTCTCTGTTCTTTCTCTTGTCTCTCCCTCTCTGGTCCCTCCCTGGTCTCTCTCTCTCTCTCTCTCTCTCTCTCTCTGGTCTCTCTCTGGTCTCTCTCTGGTCTCTCTCTGGTCCTCTCTCTCTCTGGTCTCTCTCTTGTCTCTCTCTGGTATCTCTCTCTCTCTCTCTGGTCTCTGGTCTCTCTCTGGTCCCTCTCTGGTCCCTCTCTGGTCTCTCTCTCTAGTCTCTCTCTGGTCTCTCTCTCTCTCTCTCCCTGGTCTTTCTCTGGTTCCTCTCTGGTCTCTCTTCCTCTCTCTCTCTCTGGTCTCTCTCTGGTCCCTCTCTGCTCTCTCTCTCTCTCTCTCTCTCTCTCTCTCTGGTCTCTCTCTGGTCCCTCCCTGGTCTCTCTCTCTGTATAAAGTATGAGGCGTTTTACAGCCTTAAAAGACACAGCTGCTACATTAATACAATTGTTGCGGGTTATTTAAAAAACACATCACCCCTGCGATAACACCATAATTACACTCACACACACACATTTCTGAAGACGTGTATATTCATACTGTGTTTTAGGACAACGACTCCATGGATGAAGAGAAGCTTTGGCGGGACTTGATCATGGAGAGAGTGACCCGGTCTGCGGACGCCTGCCTGACCGCCCTCAACATCATGACGTCTCCACACATGCCCAAAGCCGTCTACATAGAGGACGTCATCGAGAGAGTGCTGCAGTACACAAAGTTCCACCTGCTCAACACCCTCTACCCTCAGTATGACCCGGTCTACAGAGTGGACCCACACGGAGGTCAGAGTCTAACCCACTCAATATCTGTCTTATACACACGAGCCGCTACTTTTGTCTAGTTATTTGAACCTTGCGGCTTGTATAGCAATACAGACGAAAGAGGCGAGTCCAAACTTCTTCTATCAGGTGTTCTCTCTGGTATCTCCCTCTTGTCTCTCTCTCTCTCTCTCTCTCTCTCTCTCTCTCTCTCTCTCTGGTCTTTCTCACTAGTCTCTGGTATCTTTCTCGTCTCACTATGGTCTCTTTCTCTCTGGTCTCTCTGTGGCCTGTCTCTAGTTTTTCTCTAATCTCTCTAATGTCTCTCTCCTGGTTTCTCACTGGTATCTCTCTCTCTATGGTCTCTGTCTGGTCTCTAGTCACTGGTCTCACTCTGGTCTCTTTCTCTCTGGTCTCTCTGGGGCCTCTGTCTCTCCTCTCTCTGATCTCTCTCTGTTCTCTCTGCCTGGTTTCTCTCTGATATCTCTGTCTTTGGTCTCACTCTTTTTTCTTTCTCTCTGGTCTCTTTCTCTATAGTATCTGTCTCTAGCCGCTGGTCTCTCTCTCTGGTCTCTCTGTGACCTCTCTCTGTGACCTCTCTCTGTGGTGTCTCTCTGGTCTCTCTCTGGTCTCTCTCTGGTCTTTCTCTAGTGTCTATCTCTTCTCTGGTCTCTCATTTATTTCCGGATTTTTCAGACAGAGCAGTGAGAGAGATGACCATCCTGTCTCAGCCAATCCCCTCTCCCCCATGGCTCTTTTATGTACTTATACTGTATGTCTTTGATCTTCTCTGCAACATCATGTGTAGGAGGCGTCCACAGTTCCAAATCGAAGCGAGCCAAATGTTCGTCCTCCAAACAGAAGGTGGTCGTAAAACTCTACAACAAAGTTTGTGACGTAGTGAGCAATATGTCTGAGCTTCTGGAGATCCAGCTGCTCACTGACACCACCATCCTGCAGGTTTGAACCCCTCTCTGGCCTCTCTCTCTGGTGTCTCTCTGGTCTCTCTCTGGTCTCTCTCTCTGGACTCTCTCTGGTCTCTCTCTGGTCTCTCTCTGGTCTCTCTGGTCTCTCTCTGGTCTCTTTCTGGTCTCTCTCTGGTCTCTCTCTGATCTCTCTCTCTGGTCTCTCTCTCTGGTCTCTCTCTGGTCTCTCTCTGCTCTCTCTCTGCTCTCTCTGCTCTCTTTCTGCTCTCTCTCTTGTCTCTCTCTGGTCTCTCTCTGGTCTCTCTCTCTGGTCTCTCTCTGGTCTCTCTGGTCTCTCTCTGCTCTCTCTCTGCTCTCTCTCTGGTCTCTCTGGTCTCTAACGTCGTGTCCTGTGCAGGTGTCGACTCTGGGCATCACTCCCTTCTTTGTGGAGAACATCAGCGAGTTGCAGCTCTGTGCTATCACACTCGTCACAGCGGTACGTCACAGACTCATTACACTGTTTTTACATGTGAGAGAGAGACGGGGGAGGAGATTGAGATAGACAGAGAGAGATAGACGGGGGGGAATTAGAGAGATGGGGGAGGAGTTAGAGAGAGACAGGGTAGGAGTTAGAGAGAGACAGAGAGAGAGACGGGTTAGGAGTTAGAGAGAGACAGGGGAGGAGCTAGAGCGAGACAGTGAGAGACGGGGGAGGAGTTAGAGAGACAGAGAGAGAGACGGGGTAGGAGTTAGAGAGAGACAGGGGAGGAGTTAGAGCGAGACAGTGAGAGACGGGGGAGGAGTTAGAGAGACAGAGAGAGAGACAGAGGAGAGAGATTGAGAGAAAGAGAGAGATCGGTTTGCAGACGGAGGAATTGAGCATCAGGCTTTGGTCTTTTTCTTTCTTCAGATCTTTTCACGTTATGAGAAACATCGACAGCTCATTCTGGAAGAGATTTTCACCTCTTTGGCTCGACTGCCGACCAGCAAACGCAGCCTCAGGAACTACAGGTGCTCCATCATGGACGCGCACACACACACACACGCACACACATACATAGACAGACACATACACACACATAGACAAAGACAGACACACATATAGACACATATTGACACACACACACACACATACACACATAGACACTGACAGACACATAGACACAGACAAACACATACACACACACAGACAGACACATGACACACACACACACACAGACACACACACACACATATATAGACACCCATCCATCCATCTTCTTCCCCTTAATCCATTTCTGGGTCGGGGGGTGGCAGTCAGAGCTGCACCCAGCACACAGAGCACCAGCCCCTCACTGATCCTCCTGCAGGTGGTGAGTCCACAGGAGCTGAGATCTTTCAGTTGGGGCTTTGGGCAAAGTAGGGTTAAGTGTCTTGCCCAAAGACACAACGACAGCAGTCGTTAGTGGGAGTCATGAAGTAGGTCTTACGGTGGGCTCGAACCCACGACCTTCAGGCCCAAAGGCTAATGCTCTACCAACTGAGCTACTGTCGCCCTATAGACACATACAGACCCATACACACACACACTCACACACATATAGACACACACAGACACACAAACACACACACACACATACACTCACACACATATAGACACACACAGACACACAAACACACACACACACACATACACTCACATACATATAGACACAGACAGACACATACAATTGTATTGGACTATGAGTCCGGAATAAAGTTGAATTGATTGATTGATACAGACTCACAGACACATATTGACACATACACAGAGACACACACAGACACATCAGCTGTTGTCTTGTTGTGGTGTGAACTTATATTTGTGTGTGTTTTGGTGTCAGGTTGAGCGGTGACTCAGACGGAGAGTACGTTTACATCCAGATGGTATCGGCCCTGGTCCTGCAGCTCATTCAGTGCGTCGTACAGTTACCATCAGAGCGAGACGGAGACGACGAACACCATAAGAAGGTGCTTCTCCTTTTCTGGTTATGTCAGATCTTAAGCTAAAATATGGTCTTTCTGAGGTTGTGAGACAGACCCCTACCCTGATCATGTTCAAAACATGGTCATATCTATGGTACCTCTTTCTCTGGTTTCTCCCTGGTCTCTCACTCTCTGGTTTGTCTCTCTGGTCCAGGGGTCACCAACGCGGTGCCCGCGGGCACCAGGTCGCCCGCAAGGACCAGATGAGTTGCCCGCTGGCCTGTTCTAAAAATAGCTCAAATGGCAGCACTTACCAGTGCTATTCTTGTTTAAATCATACTTACATGCAACTTACAAATGGCATATAAACTAGAGCCGGGACTTTAACAAGTTAATAAAGATTAATTAATTACACACAAAAAAGCGCGTTAAAAAAATTACGCATTTTAATCGTATGTATTTTTGCACCGCGGAACGTTCCTCACTGAATAAGTTTCAGACGGACCAATTGAACTGACGCACCAACCGGAGCTCCGTGACTTTTCTTGTTCAAAAGTACATTATTACAAGCAGAGACCAACTTTAAATTTGAGTAAATTAGACGGGAATGAGGGCTGTGTATGGAGCGATGGACTCTGTGTGTGAGGAGGAGGAGCAGTGACTCCTGTGTGAGCGGAGGAGGAGGAGGAGGAGAAGGAGGAGCGAGACACAGGTGTGTGAGCTGCTAATGCTGATGTTTACTCCGAATGCACACATCAAAAACGTATTATAAAAGCTTTAGCAAACAGCGCATGCCCAGCTTTAGTGCTCACAGCGTGTGCAGTGGATTTTGGGCTTAAAAAGAGTATGTTGTCGTCAGTGTGAGGAGGAGGAGGAGGAGCATATGTTGTCGTCAGAGTGTGGAGGCAATGACAGAAACGTTATTTGATGTTTAGAAGTTATCCCTTAAACTCCATATTAACATGTGTTGCTTAAGCCTCATGTATTCAGTCATTATTAAATGGTAAACTAAAAATCCATGTGAAAAAAATTACTTCTCACTGTTCTCAGGTCAAATATTTATATGCGATTAAAATGTGATTAATTGCGATTAAATGGGACTGTCTTAGAAGTGATCATTTGTTAAATTTGAAAAATGTGCACTTAGAGAAAATATAAAAGTTTTTCCACAAAATAAATATCATTAATTATTAGTAAAAACATAGAATTAAAGGTAAATTGAGCAAATTGGCCATATCTGACAATTTATTTAAGTGTGTAACAAACTGGTAGCCCTTCGCATTAATCAGTACCCAAGAAGTAGCTCTTGGTTTCAAAAAGGTTGGTGACCCCTGCTCTGGTCTCTCTCTCTCTCTGGTCTTTCTATCTGGTCTTTGTCTCTCTTGTCTGTCTGGTCTCTCTCTCTTGTTTCTCTCTGGTCTCTCTCTGGGATCTGGTCTTTCTCCCTGGTGTGTCTCTCTCTCTGGTATCTGGTCTTTCTCCCTGGTGTGTCTCTCTCTCTCTCTGGTATCTGGTCTCTCTCTGGTGTCTGGTCTTTCTCCCTGGTGTGTCTCTCTCTCTGGTGTCTGGTCTCTCTCTGGGATCTGGTCTTTCTCCCTGGTGTGTCTCTCTCTCTGGTGTCTGGTCTCTCTCTGGTATCTGGTCTTTCTCTCTGGTCTCTCTATCTGGTTTGTCTGTTTGGTTTCTCTCTCTTGTCTCTCTCTGGTATCTGGTTGCTCTCTCTGGTCTCTCACTCAGGCCTCTCTGGTTTCTCTCTCTGTTCTCTCTGGTCTCTCTCTGGTATCTAATTTTTCTAGTTTATCTCTCTGGTCTCTCTCTTTGATTTTTTATTATTTATCTGTTTTTAAGCCCCCTTTAAATAGTTTTCTTCCCATGTCTCTGGTTCACAAATGGTGCCATATAAAAACATAATCATTTCTTTATACGTTTTAGGGCGATAGAGATGTTCAGATCACCAACGCTTACGAAACAGCCATGAGGACGGGACAGAATTTCTTATCAGTTTTCCTCAAAAAGTAAGTATTCTTTCATTAGACATAGACCCAGTTCATTTGCCAATTGCAGTAAAACCACATTGGAAAAAGTGTCCCCAGTGTGCACCAGACAAGTACATGATATGAGCTAAAAAGTAACTGTGAAACCATCAACAGAACCAGTTTGAAGAGTGTAGGGTATTGCGAGTGGCTCATGTGAGTGTGTGCTTCAGGTGTGGGAGTAAACAGGGCGAGGAAGACTACAGGCCTCTGTTCGAGAACTTTGTCCATGACCTTCTCTCCACCGTGAACCGCCCCGAGTGGCCGGCCGCCGAACTGCTGCTCAGCTTACTGGGACGATTACTGGTCTGTACCAGGAGTCGCAGATTTCTTTATGTGCAATAAATTAGTCTCTCTCTACTCTCTCCCCGGTATCTCTCTCTCTCTGGTCTCTCTCTGGTTTTTCTCTGGTCTCTTTCCAGTCTCTCTCTCTGGTCTCTCTCTGGTTTTTCTCTGGTCTCTTTCCGGTCTCTCTCTCTCTGGTCTCTCTCTGGTTTTTCTCTGGTCTCTTTCCGGTCTCTCTCTCTCTCTCTCTGGTCCTTCTGTGGTCGCTCTCTCTGTCTCTCTCTCTGATCACTCTCCGGTCTCTCTCTGTGGTCTCTCTCTGGGATCTCTCCCTTTCTCTGGTCTGTCTCTGATCACTCTCTTTCTCTCTCTTTCTCTCCGGTTTCTCTGGTCTCTCTCTGATCACTCTCTTTCTCTCCGGTCTCTCTGGTCTCTCTCTGATCACTCTCTTTCTCTCCGGTCTCTCTGGTCTCTCTCTGATCTCTCTTTCGCTCCCTCTCTCTTTCTCTCTGATCCCTCTCTTTCTCTCGCTCTCTCTCTCTGGTCTCTCTCCGGTCTTTCTCTCTACATCTACATCTATTTAAACACATATCTAACCATATGTCTGTCTCCTTGTCTCCAGGTTCACCAGTTCAGTAACAAGCAGACAGAGATGGCCCTGAGGGTGGCCTCCCTGGACTACCTCGGCACCGTGGCCTCTCGCCTTCGCAAAGACTCGGTCACCAGCAAAATGGATCAGAAAGTCATCAACCGCATTCTGAAAGAGGTACCATCTCCATGTACATGCACGATGTGAGACTGCACAGAGCTGATTGTGCTAAGGTATAAATTAATTACATTATAGGGTCTCTCTGTTCTATCTCTGTCCCCTCTCTGTCCCCTCTCTGGTCGCTCTCTGTTCTCTCTCTGGTCTCTCTCTGGTCTCTCTCTGGTCTCTCTCTGGTCTTTCTCTGGTCTCTCTCTGGTCTTTCTCTGGTCTCTCTCGGTCTTTCTCTGGTCTCTCTCTGGTCTTTCTCTGGTCTCTCTTTCTGGTCTCTCTCTGTTCTGTCTCTGCTCTCTCTCTCTGTTCTCACTGCTCTCTCTCTGATTCTAGTTTTAAACCACCAGTATTAAGCCCATTACCTTTCTGTTTTTAGTTGCTCTTGTGAATCACTTTGAAATGCCTTGTCCACACATTTAGTCCTTAATATACATTTAATTACATTGTAGTACATTAAAGTGCATCTAAAGTGCTTCAGCGGTCTGGATCCTGCTGGTCCAGACTCAGATGCTCCTTTAGCCAGCTCTAGTCTATGTTTCTTGTTCCGTCACTCGCTAAGAGCCACTGTGTGACTGTGTCCAGACTCCGGGCAGTGACGAGGTGCAGCAGCTGCAGAAGGCCTTATTGGACTACATCGATGACAATGTGGAGACAGACACGTCGTTACTGGTATGTTTACTTCATGGTGTGTTTGTAAACTGTATCCTATAGACTCACTGTTTGCCTCTTGTTACAGTTTGCCAGAAACTTTTACATCGCTCAGTGGTATCGGGAAGTGACGAGCGAAGCAGAGAAAGCAATTAAATCTCAAAACGATCGCGACGAAGACACAAAGTATTATTCCAAGGAGGTGGAGTCAACGGGGGACATAATGCACAAAGCAGAGATCCGGAAGAAGTTTCTGCGGAAAGTTATAAAGACATCGCCGTCTCAGTTTAGTTCTTTAAAGTAAGATCTGGTTTTATCCAGTTATATTCTCACCCAACAGTGAAGTGAAACTGTGTGTGTCGTGTTTACAGGATCAATTCCGATGTAGTGGATTATGAGGACTGCAACCTAATCGTCAGATATCTGGCCTCCATGAGGCCTTTTGCACAGAGCTTTGATATTTATTTATCACAGGTAATCTCTCTCGCTCCGGTCTCTCTCAACGATCTCTCTGGTCTCTCTCTATTCTCTTTCTGGTCTATCTGATCTTTTTCTGGTCTCTCTCTGGTCTCTCTCTGATCTCTCCCTCTCTGGTCTCTCTCTGGTCTCTCTCTGGTCTCTCTCTCTGGTCTCTCTCTCTGGTCTCTCTCTGGTCTCTCTCCGGTCTCTCTCTGGTCTCTCTCTGATCTCTTTCTCTGGTCTCTCTCTGATCTCTCTCTCTGGTCTCTCTCTGGTCTCTCTCTCTCTGGTCTCTCTCTCTGGTCTCTCTCTGATCTCTCTCTCTCTGGTCTCTCTCTCTGGTCTCTCTCTCTGATCTCTCTCTCTCTGGTCTCTCTCTGGTTTTCCATTATTATTTTTAGTAGTAAATTGTTGTTACTATTTCCTCTCTTCAGTGTAATAAACACATGACTCATTTTTCCAGTTTGCAAATTTGTCAATATGATTTTACGTGATAATGAACCACTTCTCGCCTCTTTCGTTGGCAGATTTTACGGGTGTTGGGAGAGAGTGCGATCGCGGTTCGAACCAAAGCCATGAAGTGTCTGTGTGAAGTGGTGGCCGTCGATCCGAGCATTCTGGGCCGAGTATGTGTGGAGTTAAACCTGATGCCCTGGTCTCTCTCAGGGGTGTGTCTTATGTGTGTGTCCCTGTGTGCAGTCGGACATGCAGCGCGGAGTCCACTGCCGCCTCATGGACAACTCCACCAGCGTGAGAGAGGCCGCCGTGGAGCTGCTGGGACGCTTCGTTCTGAGCCGCCCAGAACTCATCGAGCAGTACTACGACATGCTCATCGAGAGGATACTGGTAATGGCAGGGTTTCTCTCCTCGTGATGGGATTCTCTTGACCAGAGAGAGAGACCAGAATGAGAGACCATAGACTAGAGAGAGACTAGAGTGAGAGACCAGAGAAAGAGACCATAGATTAGAGAGAGTCTTGAGAGAGAGAATCTAGAGAGAGACTAGAGAGAGAGTCAGGGACGTGCGGTGAGGTTTGTGATTGGGGAGGCACTGACTTTAAAAGTCAGATTTACAATCATTATTCAAATAAAATAGCATTTAATCACCAATGCAATGACATCCACAAACTTTATATACTGTAAAGATAAGAGAACCAGCTTCTTTTAATAATCTCACAACAAATCTAGCTGCTGACTCTGCTCCGCATCAAACAACATCTTTAAGAAGCGCAGGTGCGAGAGACGCGAGGAGAGAGAGACGCGAGGAGAGAGGAGCAGAGAGAGACAGAGAGGAGCAGAGAGACGGAGACGCGAGGAGCAGAGAGAGACGGAGACGCGAGGAGAGAGAGACGCGAGGAGAGAGAGACGCGAGGAGAGAGAGACGCGAGGAACATAAACAATAATTTAAACAAGTTGCAGAACTCTTGAGCAGTGTTTGAATCAGTGTTTTTCGGAAAAGCACTACTTTGCCGGTATCTGTCAATGTTCAACATAAAACACAGATTAACAAACTCCTCCCCCGCAGCCGGACTAACCTCGTAAGTCCAGTGGTGGTCTCCCAGTCTATATTAATTCTTTCTTTGTTTGAAAGTCCAATTGAGAAAAAAAATCTTCATTCAAATCATCCATTTTCCAGCAAAAGAAATAGCATTTTGGGCTGATTGTTTGTTAGCAACTCTGGTATGAACTTTATGCTCACTATCACCCCTAGCGGTGAGGCACAGATACCGCCTGCCTCACGCCAAGCTTTTTCCTTGTGTGTTTATCTACGATCAAAAGACTTAAACTAAATATAAATTGTACACACATACGTGCAATACACTACTAAACACTAAGAGGAGTTTAAAAAATGTTTTTAAAGCAGGATATTTGAAACAAACGGTGATATATCAACTGCACGAGCTGAGTGCACTCAGACACACACACACACACTGTGAGGGAGCGGTCTGGGGTGAGGCACGCAGGAGCGCTGCCTCACCTCGTCTCTTTGAATAGGAATAACGGGATTTCGGCGATTTTGACTTCAGAAATGATCAAAACTGATGGGAACCGTGCCGAATATACATTAAAAGCATAGGACAGTGGATATAAATTATATATTTAAACTAAAATAATTATTAGTTTCCAATAATGGCAGGTGAGGCTCTGCCTCCCCTGCCTCCCCTGACTGCACGTCCCTGGAGAGAGTAGAGACCAGAGAGAGAGACCATCGATTAGAGAGAGACTATAGAGAGAAACCAGAGAAGGATCAAAGAGGGAGACCAGAGATAGACTAGAGAGAGAGAGACCAGCGAGAGAATCTCGAGGAACTAGAGACAGAGAGGGTTCCCTGTTAGCCAAGGCATTTTAGTTAATAATCTCAGGGGAACTCTCCTTATTGCCCATGTGGATTTAGGCTGCAGTACCGCTGGTGGCCTCTAGTCTATGTGGAGACGGGTTTAAGCCTCACGCCCTCCACACAACCACACATTCTGGAACTCAGAGGTTCACTCAAAGTTCATCAGTTCACCTGAGGTTGAATTTCTATGACTTCAACACTGCCACCTACAGGCTGGATAGTGCATTGCAACATTAACTGTAACACATTTGACACACATTTAGACTGAATGGCAGAGTTTCACCACATATTTAACCAGTACATCAATTAATCACAGCTGTTCAATTGTTTAAAAAGTTTTATTAATTTATTTATTAGTTTATTCGAATAGGGACGGTACACATTATTCAACATTGCTGTAAATTTGTCAGTATTAGCTAACAGCTTACAGTGTGCTTCTAGTATAACATGACATTACCTTTATTTGAAGTCTCCCTGGTCTCTCTCTCTCTGGTCTCTCTCTGATCACTCTCTGGTCACGCTTTCTGGTCTCTCTCTCTGGTCTCTCTCTCTTTGGTCTCTCTCTGGTCTCTCTCTCTGGTCTCTCTCTCTTTGGTCTCTCTCTGGTCTCTCTCTCTCTGGTCACTCTCTCTTGTTTCTCTCTGGCCTCTCTTGTTTCTCTCTGGCCTCTCTGGTCTCTCACTGGTCTCTCCCTCTGGTCACTTTTTCTGGTCTTTCTCTGGTCTCTCTTGGCTCTCTCTTCTCTCTCTCCCTCTTTGGTCTCTCTCTGATCTTGAATAACTGCACCATTATTTATGAATCAAAATAGTGGCTCATTCCACCCTTTTATGAATCTTTTCTTTCCTTTTTACAGGACACTGGGATAAGTGTCCGGAAGCGGGTCATAAAGATCCTGAGAGACATCTGCCTGGAGCTTCCGGACTTCCACAAGATCACAGAGATGTGCGTGAGGATGATCCGGAGAGTCAACGACGAGGAGGGCATCAAGGTTTGACAGTTTGCTTTACGGTTGTTTTGCTAGTTGCATTAAGCTAGCGCTAACTTAGTGTTTTGAACAGAAACTGGTGAATGAAACCTTTCAGAAGCTTTGGTTCACGCCCACGTCGAATCACGATAAAGATGCAATGACTCGGAAGATTCTCAACATTACAGACGTGGTAAGTAACGAGCCTGGCTAGTACTGTGATGGGAGACCTCTGGGAATACTGTGGTTGTGTCCTTAGCAACATATAGAAAGTACCATATAAAACCAATGCATTATTATAATTAAATTTTTGACAGATACATGCATGTGGAAACTAGTGATAGAACTGAACTGATAACGACTTAGGTATGGCCTGAAAGTTACATACCCCAGCTTTAATTTCAATGCTGGATTTCAGGTCCTGGCCTGTAAGGACACTGGGTACGACTGGTTTGAGCAACTTTTGCAAAATGTAAGTCGTGTGTGTGTGTTTTATTGAACATTTACAAGTTACTTTTGGCTTGATCTCATCATAAAACTGTTTTTATGCAGCTTTTTAAGACAGAAGAGAATGCGTCCTACAAACCTGCCAAAAAGGCCTGCACTCAGCTGGTGGACAGTCTGGTGGAGCACATCCTGACGTACGAGGAGACTCTTGCAGGTAAGATCATAGAGCCTATATTAGAATGTTATAACTGTGACATCACCACAGTGTTAGCCTTAATGCAGAAGAGGCAGATTTGAACATAAGCTTGCTGGTTTTCTTTATGAGCTTCATTGAGCTAGCGGGTTAGCATTGTCCATCTGTATACAGTCTGTGTTAGCATTGCCCATCTGTATACAGTCTGTGTTAGCATTGCCCATCTGTATACAGTCTGTGTTAGCATTGCCCATCTGTATACAGTCTGTGTTAGCATTGCCCATCTGTATACAGTCTGTGTTAGCATTGCCCATCTGTATACAGTCTGTGTTAGCATTGCCCATCTGTATACAGTCTGTGTCAGCATTGTCCATCTGTGTACAGGCTGTGTTGTTAGCATTGCCCATCTGTATACAGGCTGTGTGACAATTCTAACAAATGGTTTCAGGTTTAATTGTTTCTTGTATGTTTCTTGCAGAGGACAAAGACATCAGCTCTGGTCGTCTGGTCTCGTGCATCACCACTCTCTACTTGTTCAGCAAGATCCGACCTCAGCTCATGGTGAAACACGCCATGACGATGCAGCCGTATCTGACAACTAAGTGCAATGTGAGTAACGTCTACGGTTACTCTCGGGTTTTTAGGCTTCGCTTTTGTCTCGTTCCTCGACGCCTGTGGTTTAAGACAAAATATTGAGAAGTAGTAGAGCGGGACCAGAGAGAACAGCTAGAGACCAGAGAGGAGACCGAGAGAAAGGACAGAGAGAGAGACCAGAGAGAGAGACCAGAGAGAGAGGACAGAGAGGGAAGACGAAGAGAGAGAGACCAGAGAGAGAAGACAGAGAGCAGACCGGGACAGAGGACAGAAGGAACACAGAGAGAGATGACAGAGAGCGAGGACAGAGAGAGGATAGATAGAGAGGAGACCGAGAGAGACCAGAGAGAGCTCAGAGAGGGAAGACAGAGAGAGGACAGGGAGAGAGTTTGAGGGAGTTCAGCTCTCCTAGTTTTCCCCGGTTCCTATGGTAACAGAAAACAAAGATGAGGCAAAGCTTAACTTTCCTCACGTCTGTCTCTTTTCAGCCTCCAGGGGGCGCTTTTAGCCCACACATACAGGCACGAGACGAAAGTAGCACCTGATAAATGAGAATTACACTGAATTGCTAAATATTTGATTATGAAGAGACTCTCTGATCATTTTCAGACTCAGAACGACTTCATGGTCATCTGCAACGTGGCTAAAATCCTGGAGCTGGTGGTCCCTCTGGTGGAGCACCCCAGCGAGGGCTTCCTGTCCACGCTGGAAGAAGACTTGATGAAGCTCATAATCAAATATGGAATGACGGTGAGTTGGATTCTGTTTGGTTTGAGGTGAGGAAAGCCTGTCTCATGGTGCGCTCTCTCACCAGGTGGTCCAACACTGTGTGAGCTGTCTCGGAGCCATTGTCAACAAAGTCACACACAACTACAAGTTTGTCTGGGCCTGTTTCAATCGCTACTATGGTAAGACTTATACATGCACATATATAGTACTTTTACTAGAGTATAGAGTATTTTAGACTTTTATCAACGTGATAGTCTGTAACTCTAAATGAATTACAAATTTTAGGAAATGTGTTAAATTGACCTCCTGGCCTTAAATGTTGATATAAAATAAGTAATTTTATTAATTCTAATATTACGGGCAAGTCCCGCCTTCCCTGCTCTTAGCTATAGTTCAGAATCCACGGTGCCGTCGAGGTTAACCAATCGAGTCATGCCAAGGGCTTTCAATAATCGGCGCTGATGCTCGCAGCTGCGCGCATGCTCAGTTGTTTGTTTTTGCGGAGCCTCTAATAGGCTCTGGAACTACATGAAAACTGAACAAAGAATTCTGAACATCCGCGCTGAGTTACCCATTTATATACTGAACCTATATCCATAATCAGATCCTCTGCAGATGTGTCCTATAATGTGCAATTCAATAATAGCACTTCCTGGTTTGCCGCGATCGCTTTTTTTGTGCATAAAAACATAATTTTTTTCATTAAAACATTCACAAATAATTCTGAAAACCTCCGTGCATGTGTATTAATAATGTATATGTATAATGTGTTCTCTGATTAACATTTCAAAGTGTTACGGAAACGTGGGTGTAGACCAATCAGAAAGAAAGGGGGAGGAGCTTGTGTCGTTTTTTTCAAATCAAGTACCTCTCTGTCTCTCTTTCTGACAAACTCCAGACAATCACTTTAAGCTAAGGATAGATAGATTCTCTTATTCTATTTTCAAGAGTTGTTCTAGAAAAAGACCAGATTGACCTAGGAGAGAGAGAGAGACCAGAGGAAGACCAGAGAGAGAGACCAGAGGGAGAGACCAGAGAGAGAGACCAGAGAGAGAGACCAGAGAGAGAGACCAGAGAGAGACCAGAGAGAGAGACCAGAGAGAGAGACCAGAGAGAGAGACCAGAGAGAGAGACCAGAGAGAGTGACCAGATAGAGTGACCAGAGAGAGACAGTGACCAGATAGAGCAAAGAGAGAGAGACCAAAGAGAGAAAGAGTTGTGCTTAATATCTTGTGGTGTTTGCTCCTAATTCCTACAGTTTTATAACTTCATCACTTGTTTTTATAACAATTCAATTCAATTTTTTGTATCGCCCTAAATCAGTACAGTAGTTTTCTCTGAGGACATCACCAACACAGATCAGAGAATCAAACCGTTCAAACACAAGAACTTGAACAGTAAACATATTGATATTGGTCCCTGAGGGGCAGATAACCTGTCAGACGAGTTTTAATGAATATGTTATTGAATGTGGATCTGGATCATCACCACTGGGTTTTTAGTTAGACCTCACGAGACTCTAACAGACCCTTCTGCATTGGCAAGGAAAAACTCTAAACCCTGTGGGAGAAGTGAGAAACCTCTGGCAAGTCCGCTTTGACGAGCTATAGATCATCCTTATAGATATAGAACTTGTAATGCAACATTGATATTTCCCCGCTGTTACGTAATTTTGTCTTAGGAAGCACAAAACAATCCAATTCATTTGCATTCACTGTGTGTTTGTTACTTTCATACAGGGGCCTTGGCTAAACTGAAAACCCAGCACCAGGAGGACCCCACCAGTCCCACTCTGGTCAACAACAAACCCACCCTCCTCCGCTCCCTCTTCACCGTCGGAGCTCTCTGTCGCCATTTTGACTTTGACCTGGAAGATTTCAAGGGGGCCACAAAGGTAAGTGCACGATTGTGTCGCCGTCGTGTTGTTTCGGGCGTCTCTAAATATGACTTTTCTTACAGATCGTGATAAAAGAGAAGGTTCAGGAGCTGCTCATGTACTTCACCACACATCAAGATGAAGAAGTGCAAATTAAGGCCCTCATTGGACTCGGTAATACAAATATATATACTTTAACCATAGAGCCTATTTTAGGAGTGGACTGACTGAGTGTGACATCGCCACAGTGTTAGTCTTAATGCGGAAGCGGCCGATTTGAACATAAGCGAGTTGGAGCAAATTTCCATATATGGGCATTTCTGCGGTGTTAGCTTTGTGCATGGTTATCTAAGGCAATCTGATTTGTCAATTCTTTCATGGCTCATACCTGGATTTACAACCCTAACCCTTTTACATGTGAGTCAATAGGAGTCTGAGTAGGAGCGAAACCTTGTCCATGAGCACTTCCCTATTGGGTCTCATTGAGCTAGCATGTTAGCCTCGTCCATCTTTGTACAGTCTATGTCTATAAGCTGCTACTCTACTCGGCTCTACTCTATCTGGTTGTTCTTCCTATACGCTTTAGTGTCTGCTTGCAACCTACCCACAACAAACCAGTATTTGTGGAAATTCCTTGGTAACCATGTCTTCCAGCAGCACTCTGATCAGTTACTGTCAGTTGGAACACTTTTGTACCAGCCCAGCCTGGATAGAACCAGGACCAAGAGGGACTAAAGAAGGACCTGGTACTGGTTACACAGGGGTAGAGTAGATTAAAGTAACACAGGCAAAATTATCTGGATGGTTGAGAGAGAGAGAGAGAGAGAGAGAGAGAGACCAGAGAGAGACCAGAGAGAGACCAGAGAGAGACCAGAGAGGGACCAGAGAGGGACCAGAGAGAGACCAGAGAGGGACCAGAGAGAGAGACCAGAGAGGCAGAAGAGAGAGAGACACCAGAGAGGTAGAACAGAGAGAGAGATAGACCATAGAGAGAGACCAGAGAGAGAGACCAGAGAGAGAGACCAGAGAGGTAGAACAGAGAGAGAGAGACCATAGAGAGAGACTAGAGAGAGACTAGAGAGAGACTAGAGAGAGACCAGAGAGAGACCAGAGAGAGACCAGAGAGAGACCAGAGAGAGACCAGCGAGAGACCAGAGAGAGACCAGAGAGAGACCAGAGAGAGAGACCAGAGAGAGACCAGAGAGAGACCAGAGAGAGACCAGAGAGAGACCAGAGAGAGACCAGAGAGAGAGACCAGAGAGAGAGCCAAGAGAGAGAGCAGCGAGAGACCAGAGAGAGACCAGAGAGAGAGAGAGAGACCAGAGGTAGAAGAGAGAGAGAGAGAGACCATAGAAAGAGAGAGAGAGACACCAGGGAGGTAGAACAGAGAGAGAGACCAAAGAGGTAGAACAGAGAGAGAGAGAGAGAGAGAGAGAACCATACTGTATACTAAACGTTGTATTTTCTCCTTGTTCACAGGCTTCCAGTTCATCATGTATCCAGAGTTAATGTTTGTCCAAGAGGTGAAGGTCCTGTACAACAACACTCTGTCCGAGGAGAGCACCTCGGTCAGTCTGAAGATACAGGTGCTGAAGAACCTGCAGACCTACCTTCAGGAGGAAGACTCGCGGATGCAGGAGGCCGACCGCGAATGTGAGTCCCTCTTTCCTCTTTAACTGCCACAGCGGTTCTCAGAGGTCCTCAGAGGTCCTCAGAGAGCTGGTGTGTCTACATGGTTTAGTACGGTATGGAATGGTATGAGGGACAAGTGTATAGAAACATCAGCTACTGAACCAACCCGGACTCTGAGGAGCACACGGACTATACTCCTGCTGGTCCCAGAGTCAGGACTAAACCATGGGGAGGCTGCATTTCAGATTCATGCAGCGGAAATCTGGAACAACCTTCCTGAAGATGTGAGACAGGCCTCCTCTCTGGGAATGTTTAAAACCAGGTTAAAGACAGTTCTGTTTAGCTGCAAATACATCTGAGTGATTTTATATGTTTATCTTTCTTATTTAATGTACTGTGATTATTTATGAACTTGCCTTGCCTTGCTGAAAGGAGAGATGTAGTGTAGTAGGATGTAGCAGCAGAACTAATGTACAGCCTTAGTCCCTGAGCAGGGAGAGACAGAGGGAGAGAGACAGAGAGAGAGACAGAGAGAGAGCGACAGAAGGAGAGAGATAGAGGGAGAGAGAGAGACAGAAGGAGAGAGATAGAGAGAGACAGAGGGAGAGAGAGAGAGAGAGACAGCAACAGAGAGGTAGAGACAGAGAGAGAGGGGGCAGGGAGAGATGAAGAGAAAGACAAGTGAAAGAGAGCAGAGAAAGAATAGAGAGAGACCAAAGACCAGAGAGAGACCAGGTAAAAAGACCAAAGAGAGAGGTAGAGAGAGAGACCAGAGAGAGTCCAGTCTGAACCTGGAGACTTGAGGACATGTGTTGTGTCTGGGCTGCTCCTGCTCAGTTGGAATGAAAATCTATCGCCACACCAGCTCTTTAAGGAACACGTACAACACCTCTGCGTTAACTCTAACCCTGACTATATCTTGATGGATTCCATGTGTTTTTGAACGCAGGGAAGAAGACGGAGAAAAAGGAGGACTTGAAAGAGATGGGGGATGTGTCGTCGGGCATGAGCAGCTCCATAATGCAGCTCTACCTCAAACAAGTGCTGGAGTCCTTCTTCCACACGCAGTCCACCGTGCGGCACTTTGCTCTGAGTGTGATCACGCTGACTCTGGGCCAGGGCCTTATCCACCCAGTGCAGGTAATGAAACCACAGCATGTACAGCGACACGGATCAGGAAGGCCCATCTTCATTAAAGGAGCAGTATGTAAAGGTCTAGTACTGCAGCCTCTCCCACTCTCCCTGACTCAGGTTGCCAGACATGCAGACGAATCCAGCTGGGACCATAACAGCTGAATAGACAAGAGTTTTGTCAACAACAAATCTATAACCAACACCTTTTTCACAAAGATAGAAATCCTGGTTTTATTCCTTGTTTTGTCGTTGATGATTTGAGAATCATAACGAGACCTTTTTTAGTTTGGCCCCACATGGTACTTTACCAGTGAGATTAGCTCCACGTGGTGAGTTCTGGTGCCCGGATCACAGACTTTCTGATTGGTGAAACGGAGGAGGGCGGGACATCGAAATGAAAACAATAACAAGATTTAGAGGCTGGAAAAGTAATTTAGAAATTCAAATATCTCTGAACTACTGTTATCAGTTAAAGAAGTATTGGAAAAGAGCAGTTTATTATTATGACAGATTAGGGCCCTTTAAGGATTACAAATTAGGGCCCTTTAATGATTACAGCACTTTGGAAACTGCGTGTTTATGAAATGTGCTATATAAATAAAGTGGATTGGATTGGATTGGAATGATGACAGATTAGGGCCCTTTAATGATGACTTGACATGAAAATCTTACATATTGCTACTTTAACCAAATAACGACATTTTCACTAACTTTTCCAGCTGCTAACGATGTCTCTTTGCTTCAGTGTGTGCCGTACTTGATCGCGATGGGAACAGATCCAGAACCAACCATGAAAAACAAGGCAGACAACCAGCTGGTGGAGATCGACAAGAAATACTCAGGTTTCATCCATGTAAGTCTTTGCTTTCTACACATTAACAACTGCGCTCATGCGCAAGAGTTTTCGTTGGCAGGTTGTAGTTTGGTGAAGAATGCGATAGTAAAGTAATCCAGTCTGGTTCTATCAAGAAACCGAAGCCGGAGCACTCGGGCGCATTACATACAGTACGTGACGGTAAACTCAGATCCAATCGTTTCAATCTGCAAAAGGAGTTAACCCCTCCCACCTGTTAACGGTGCACTATGGTGTGGTACGACCAGGCTAATGTTGACCTAGAACAGTGTCACCCAAAGTGGGGTTCAGGGGGACCGCGAGAGGTCATAAAAATAAAATATGTTATATATAATTATTGCATGTTTAATTAATAATATTTTGTTTGTAAAATGAAAATATTTGTGTTCATTATATTACTTGAATAATCAAATTGTAATAATTTTTGTATTACAAAATGGGGTGTGTCATTTACATGTTTGTACCAGAGGCTATTTCCCCCAAATAGAATAACGAGAAGAGCCTAAATTTAACGTTGTCTTCTTGGTTAGTATTTTGGGGGGCCGCGGTGGGACTGACTTTGGGAATGGTTGACCTAGAAAGTCTCAGAGGGGTTGGGGCTACTATACTTTTTTTTAATGATAGGGTAAACTGGAGCACCCGGAGGAAACTTTCGCAGACGCCCCACTCAGCCACTTTGCAGAATAATTTATACCAAGACTATTGAAGCGTTTGAGTCTGTATTGGTGCAAAAATCAGCCTTTTGGGAAATGTAATAAATATAATGTACTTTTTGTTCTATTGTTGCTCTTGGTTTTGTGTGACGAGTCTGACACAGTGTTTTCCTCCAGATGAAAGCTGTTGCCGGTTTGAAGATGTCGTATCAGGTGCAACAGGCCATCATCGGGTCTAAAGCTGTGGTCCGTGGGTTTCGTCCTGACGACAGAGACTCGGCTCTCTGCTCCCACCTCTACTCCATGGTCCGCGGGAACCGGCAGCACCGACGGGCTTTCCTCATCTCACTGCTCAACCTGTTTGACGACAGCTCCGTCAGTTTATATTTAATGTTTACGTTTGTGCCCAAACCAGAGAATAACTACTTTTTATTCATTTCAAACCAGACTAGAACCAGGAATGATGGAGTGTGTGCTGCTAGGAAGAGCAAAGGGAAAAGAGAGAGACAGACGGAGACACAGAGGGAGAGACAGACAGAGGGAGAGAGAGACAAACAGAGGGAGAGAGAGAGGGAGACAGAGGGAGACAGAAAGACAGAGAGAGACAAAGAGACAGAGGTAGAGAGAGCGACAGAGAGCGAGGGGGCAGGGAGAGATGGTGAGACAAGTGAGAGAAAGAGAGACACCAGACCATGTAAAGAGACCAGAGAGAGAGACACCTCAGAGAGATGGAGAGACTAAGGCAGAGAGATGGAGGGAGAGAGACAGAGAGAGAGAGACCAGATAAAGAGACCAAAGAGAGAGAGAGACCAGAAAGAAAGAGAGAGAGCCCATTAGAGAGAGGAGGATAATTCTCAGCTCCAGTACAGTTTCTGTTCTTCTTCCTAATCCGTTTCTCAGACTCATCCGTAACTTCCTGTTTGTTCTCCTGTGGTTTCTGCAGAAGAGCGACGTGAACATGGTGCTGTTCGTGGCTGATAATTTGGCCTGTTTCCCGTATCAGACTCAGGACGAGCCTCTGTTCATCATGCACCACATCGACATCACGCTATCTGTCTCCGGGAGCAACCTGCTGCAGTCCTTCAAAGAGGTGAGACCGCTGCAGGTGCCACGGGGGAGGGGCCACTCTCACCGGGATCGCCATATTAGGCACACACATTCAAATCGATTGGATAAGATAAGATGGACTTTAATGATCTCACACAGGGGAAATGTACATGTCACATATGGCACTGAATCACTCACAGAAAGAATATTACTGTCACGTTCTGAAAAGGATGAAAGACCCAAAATGCAGGACTACCAAAATGTAAGATTTAATAAACAAAAACAAAATTCAGGATACAGAACTAAAAACTCAAACCAGGACAAAACAGGGACAGGCACCTAACAGAACAGACACGAAAACAGACGATGAAGAACCAATATGTCAAAATAAAACAAGGAAAAGTAATCAAAAAGTCCACACCATAACAGTTACAAGTTAAAAGGCAAAATTATAGACTGTGCAGGATAAAAAAGTGGCAATTAAAGAAACAGTGGCAATAGCAGTGCAGTACAATTAATTATATGATTATCTGTTTTATTTTTGTGTTTTCTGAGTTTACAGCTGAGGTTTATGTTACTCTATTGTGTCTGCTTTTTGAGACTCGAATCCAGGGGTCTCTAACCTTTTTTGATTGGAGAGAATTGCATAAATTAGCATATTTTAACATATCTTAAGCATATCTTTAGCATGTCTTTAGCATATCTTTAGCATGTCTTAGCATATCTTTAGCATATCTTTAGCATATCTTTAGCATGTCTTAGCATATCTTTAGCATATCTTAGCATATCTTAGCATATCTTAGCATACCTTTAGCATGTCTTAGCATATCTTTAGCATATCTTAGCATATCTTTAACATGTCTTTAGCATATCTTAGCATATCTTAGCATATCTTTAGCATATCTTAGCATATCTTAGCATATCTTAGCATATCTTAGCATACCTTTAGCATATCTTTAGCATGTCTTAGCATATCTTTAGCATATCTTAGCATACCTTTAGCATGTCTTAGCATATCTTTAGCATATCTTAGCATATCTTTAGCATGTCTTTAGCATATCTTAGCATATCTTAGCATATCTTAGCATGGCTTAGCATATCTTAGTGACACCCCTAAAATTCACTCAAAACTATTTATTCATTCAAGATCTGTGTTAAATTCTAAATCCTTTGGGGAGCTACCTGAAAGGAGCTGGCGAGCTACAGGTTGGAGACCCCTGTTCTAAAGTGTCTGCCGGGAGTGAGAGTGGTTTGAGCAGAGAATAATAAATGAAATAACTTCAGGATCATGTTTTTGCTCTTCCCTCCTCAGTGTTTGCTTCATTTCAAGTACAGACCACAAGAAATCTGTCATTTGATTTGTGTTTTATTTTCCTCTGTTTCTGTGATTTCTTAAATAGAATCAGGGACATCAATCACAATTTATCACAAAGTCAAATCCCAAAACTGTCTGTATCACGATATGACTAGATTCGCAATAAATGTGACCTAAATAACGCAATACTATTAATACTATTATTCCTGCTCCTAGTGTAACATGAGATACTAACGTTTGTGGATCTGTGCTTCAGTCTTTACGAAAGGAGCCAGTCCCACGTCCAAAAATTGTGAAAAAGAAGGAGAAGAAAAAGGGGAAGAAAAAGAAACACAAAAAGAGAAAGAGCAGCTCGGAGGAGGACAGCAGCGACGACAGCAGCAGCAGCAGCAGCAGCAGCAGCAGCAGCAGCAGTAGCAGCAGCAGCAGTGAAGAGGAGGTGGTCGTCCGGAAGAAAACCAAATCTGCAGATTCTGACGATGATTTGGACGACGAGGACGCGGTTTTAGATCGGTTACCGGACAACCCTGGTCCTCTGCTGGACTTTGCCAGTGCCTCGCAGGGAGTGCTGCTTCTGCTGATGCTAAAACAACATTTTAAGAATCTGTACGGCTTCTCAGACAGGTGTGTTCTGTGTGTTCAAAGGGTTCTTTTAATGAGAGAGGCCTCGGATCAGAGAGAGAGAGAGACCAGAGAGAGAGACCAGAGAGAGAGGCCAGAGAGAGAGGCCAGAGAGAGAGAAAGACCAGAGAGAGAAGCAAGAAAGAGAGAGGCAAGAGAGAGAGAGGCCAGAGAGAGAAAGGCCAGAGAGAGAGGCCAGAGAAAGAGGCAAGAGAGAGAGAGGCCAGAGAGAGAGAGGCCAAAGAGAGAGAGGCCAGAGAGCGTTCAGAGAGAGAGAGACCAAAGAGAATCCAGAGAGAGAGAGTCCAGAGAGAGAGAGTCCAGAGAGAGAGAGACCAGAGAGAGAGAGGCCAGAGAGAGAGAGTCCAGAGAGACAGAGTCCAGAGAGAGAGAGTCCAGAGAGAGAGAGACCAGAGAGAGAGAGGCCAGAGAGAGAGAGGCCAGAGAGAGAGAGGCCAGAGAGAGAGACCAGAGAGAGAGGCCAGAGAGAGAGAGGCCAGAGAGAGAGAGGCTAGAGAGAGAGAGACCAGAGAGAGAGACCAGAGAGAGTCCAGAGAAAGAGAGTCCAGAGAGAGAGAGATATTTACACTTAATTATTATAAAAGCCTTAAATATAATTATTTCATTTGTTTTCCACTTTCCACATTCTGTATAAAACCTGTCGTTTTCCATCGCAGCAAAATCCAGAAGTATTCTCCGACAGAATCTGCCAAAGTCTACGACAAAGCAGTGAACAGGAAGTCCACGGTTCACTTCAATCCTCGACAAACTCTGGAGTTTCTCAAAACTAACCTCGGAAACACAAACATCAACCACGAGTCCAAGAGGAACATCGTCAAGCAGTTTTTAGATGTAAGACACACACAGACAGACACACACACACACACAGACACACATACAGACACACACACACACACATACAGACACACACACACACACATACAGACACACACACATATACAGACACACACATACAGACACACACATATACAGACACACACACACATATACAGACACACACATACCGCCACACACACACACACACATACAGACACACACACACACACACACATACAGACACACACACACAGACACACACACATATACAGACACACTCACATTTACAGACACACACATACATAATTAAATACAGACACACACACACACACACATACACAGACACAGACGCACACATACAAACACACAGACACACGCACACACACATATACGTACATACACACACATTCAGACACACATACACACTCACATTTAAACATATACTCACATACACATACACATACACACACGCGCACACACACACATTTATGCACACACACACCTCAATAATAACCTCTTGCTCTTCAGTTCAAGTTGCTGATGGAGCATTTGGATCGTGAGGAAGAGGAGGAGGACGGTGAAGCAAACGCCAACGCCAAAAACAAGGTCATCACGTCGCTGCTCAAAGGCCCCAAACTTCAAAGCAACAACCATCACGCCGAAGCCGCTCCCATCGAGACCAGCGAGAGCGAGAGCGAGGACGAGAGCCCCCCAGCGGTGAGGCCCTCCCCCCTCACACACTCTCCCATTATACATTATACATTATCTAAAGGCGTGTCCAAACTCAGACCCGAGAGCCAAGTGCGGCCCGCTGTGTCATTCTATGTGGCCCTATGACTCGCTAACCCAAAATATTATAGAGATTATAAACACATGTACATAGTGTCATCCAGCCAACTTCTGCTTCTCCAATCCAGGCCTGTTATACCGTTTTTGTATTTGTTTTTCATTATCGCACAAAAATGTGTCCATAGCTCTCAATTAATATTTATAGAGTGCTTTAAGGTAATTAAAAACATTAAAACCTGCTCTGATGTAGCGATTGAGAAAGCTACCCTCAGCTCTCACAGAGTTGAGGGTAGCAATGGTGTAACAATCTCATGTTACACCAGACCAGTTCTAGCCAAAGTTTTCCATTCTGTGTTGTCGGCCCCTGGACAAGTCTGGGAACAAGTGGCCTCTTAAGCCTAGCGTACATCGACAGAGAAACTGGAGACAACTAGTTGCAAGGCGGCTTTTGGCGACTGAGAGGAGATGGTGGGAGATGATCAGTTGCCGAAATCGGTCGTTGTGCGCGCTCTTACAACTGGAGATAAACAGTCGGTCTCCAGTTTCAGTCAGTTGCCCGTGTTCTACTTTTCGGCAACTAGTTGTCCTCAGTTTCGGAGATATGACCCGATGTACGCGCTCCATGCGCCGCTCCGACAACGTGTGTGTATTGCGTGTGTTGCGAGCCCGCAACAGTTTATGTCAGAAAACACACTGTAGGTGAGGCCAGTTACTGTCGATGTACGCGCTGTTATTCCCGAGACTGGTCTGCTACTGGGAGTTGCCCGTTTTCGTCAGATTGTCGATGTGTGCGGGGCAGCAACTCATATGCGACGGATATAATCAGTTGCCAGTCCGATGTACGCTAGGCTTTAGTTAAAACTTTGGACACCCCTGAATCTGTGTTGTGAACCCTGACCCTAGTCCACATGGGAAGTGTCAGTCCTGAGCTGCTTGCTTCTTTATTATGCTAATTATGCTAAAGTTAGATTTAATGAAGTTAGGCGTAAGGCAAGGCAAGTTTATTTATATAGCACAATTCATACACAAGGCTATTCAAAGTGCTGAACAAAATAAGAAAGCATTAAAATAATAAATAATCACAGAACATTAAAAAGAAAGATAAAAATATAAAATCCCTCAGTTGTATGCACAGCTAAACAGAACTGTTTTTAACCTGGTTTTAAACATTGTCAGAGAGGAGGCCTGTCTCACATCTTCAGGAAGACTGTTCCAGCTATGCTATGTCGGATAAGGACTGATAATGCTTAATAAATGCTAATTAGTGAGGGATAAACTCAAGTGTGACGGACATTTATCTTTTTGTTCAAAGAGCGATGTGGCTGCAGGTTTTCACTCCAACTACAGCAGGAGCACAGCAGACTGAACCTGAAGACCTAAGGACATGGGTGTAGTCGGAGAGAGAGGGAGAGAGACCAGAGAGAGAGGGAGAGAGACCAGAGAGAGAGAGAGGGAGAGACCAGAGCGAGAGACGGAGAGACCAGAGAGCGAGAGAGGGAGAGACCAGAGAGAGGGAAAGACCAGAGAGAGGGAAAGCCCAGAGAGAGGGGGAGAGACCGGAGAGAGAGAGAGGGAAACAAGAGAGACCAGAGCAAGAGACCAGAGAGAGAGAGACCAGAGAGAAAGACCAGAGAGAGAGACCAGAGCAAGAGACCAGAGAGAGAGACCAGAGAGAGAGACCAGAGAGACAGACCAGAGAGAGAGACCAGAGCAAGAGACTAGAGAGAGAGACCAGAGAACTGGTTTGACCCTGTTTGCTTGTGATTGTTACATTGTAACATTGTTACATTTGACTTCACAGAGAAAGTCGAAGAAAGGCGGTGAGTCTGCGGAGGATCCAGGTCCTAAAGGTGAAGCCGTGGAGGCCATGGACATCATCGCCACCTTCTGCCCCAAATACAAAGACCGGCCCCAGATCGCCAGAGTGGTGGAGAAGAACAGAACAGGCTACAGAATACACTGGATGACAGGGACGTACTCTGGGCCCTGGTCCGTGGCTAAGAAAAAGGACGGTCGCAAAAAGGTGCCTTGGGTCGACACTGTCAAAGAATCGGACATTATTTACAAGAAAATCATCCTGACGAGCGGACAGAAGCTCTCCAACAAAGTGGTGCACTCGCTGCGGGCGCTGTACGCCAACAAGGACTCGACAAAGAAGTGACTCAAGAGAAAAGACACGTTAGAGACTGATGTAAATGATATAAGATAAAGAGGCAGACCATAAGAAGGAAATGTTTAGGAAACATTGTATGGGAGTTCCTTCGCTGTTGTGCAGCAACTCTGTTTTTGATTTTTACTCCCACTGTATTATAGTTTAAAACCTGTTTATATCTGAACATAATTCTGTAAAAATAAGTGAATGTTGGAAGTTAGTGTATTCATGCTGTTCTTAATAAAGTGTTTTTGAAGTTTAAACTGGAGACTTTATCTTTATCAATGCGGCGTCTGCAGTCAGAGTTGTGTCAGACTGTTGTGGTGGAGAGGGAGCAGCATCTGCCGTCAGAGCTCTATGTCCCCTCTCCAATCTCTGGTCATAAACTTTAGGTAATGACCAAAAGGACGACATCACGGTTTCAAGCGGAGTTTCCTCATCAGAGTGGAGCTCCCTGAGAGATACAGTGAAGGGTCTCTTTCTGGTCTCTCTCTTTCTCTCTCTCTCGTCTCTCTCTTTCTCTCTGGTCTCTCTCTTTCTCTCTAGACTCTTTCTGGTCTCTCTCTTTCACTCTGGTCACTTTCAGGTCTCTCTCACTGGTCCTTCGTGTCTCTTTCGTGTCTCTTTCGGGTCTCTCTCTGGTCTCTCTGTAGTCTCTCTCTGTTTGGGATTGCTCCTGGGGAAGACCCAGGACCCAGGGTCTGTGTCTCTCAGCCAGGAATGTCTCAGGATTCCCCCAGATGAGCTGGAGGAAGTGTGTGGAGAGGGGCGTCTCTGCTCAGGCTGTCCCTGCGACCTGGCAACGGATGAAGCAGAAGAAAATCATAGGGTGGATTTATTCTCATGTTGTTTTATATTATTTCAAGTTTCTGTTTTTAACCAGAGCAGTATAAGTTAATATATACAGAATAATTGTGCATATTTTAATGACATTTTACGTCATGGCAAATGCTTATGACATATTCGCTTGAATCTTTGAAGTCAATAATGTAATAAACCTTCTTTTCCTTTGTGTTTGTACTGATTACATCTGGCCACAAGGGGGCAGCACGTGCCAGTGTTTTTCAAATCAAACCCAACCCGGAAGTAGTCCCCGGTCTCAGCGACGCGCATGAGGTTGGCGGCAACGGAATAAAACTGTTTTTCTTCTGTTTTTCTTTTTGGATCCGACCTCAGTTCTCCTCAGAGACTTTTACACCACATTTCTTCGAAAGAGGTAAAATATGTTTTAAACCAGTCTGAAATATGTCCTCATACGGCTCGGTATTAGCTTTGACCAGAACTTAAGCCCTGTTTCCACCTGGTCCAGTCCAGTCTCTACTCTGCTCTAGTCCAGTCTCTACTCTGCTCTAGTCCAGTCCAGTCTCTACTCTGCTCTAGTCCAGTCTCTACTCTGCTCTAGTCCAGTCCAGTCTCTACTCTGCTCTAGTCCAGTCCAGTCTCTACTCTGCTCTAGTCCAGTCCAGTCTCTACTCTGCTCTAGTCCAGTCTCTACTCTGCTCTAGTCCAGTCTCTACTCTGCTCTAGTCCAGTCTAATCTCTACTCTGCTCTAGTCCAGTCTAATCTCTACTCTACTCTAGTCTAGTCCAGTCTCTACTCTGCTCTAGTCCAGTCTCTACTCTGCTCTAGTCCAGTCTCTACTCTGCTCTAGTCCAGTCTAATCTCTACTCTACTCTAGTCCAGTCCAGTCTCTACTCTGCTCTAGTCAAGTCTAGTCCAGTCTCTACTCTGCTCTAGTCCAGTCTGGTCTGGTCTTGTCTAGTCCGCGTTCTACCTTCATCTTTCCATTACGCTTTACTACCTGGTACCATATCCTAGCGTCCTACCCACAACAAACCATCAACCAGAAATGTAGATCCAGGTCTGAGGCTGCAGATCCAGGTCTGAGGCTGTAGATCCAGGACTGCGGCTGTAGATCCAGGTCTGAGGCTGTAGATCTAGGTCTCAGGACTGAGGCTGTAGATCCAGGTCTGAGGCTGTAGATCCAGGTCTGAGGCTGTAGATCCAGGTCTGAGGCTGTAGATCCAGGACTGCGGCTGTAGATCCAGGACTGCAGCTGTAGATCCAGGACTGCAGCTGTAGATCCAGGACTGCAGCTGTAGATCCAGGTCTGAGGCTGTAGATCTAGGTCTCAGGACTGAGGCTGTAGATCCAGGTCTGAGGCTGTAGATCCAGGTCTCAGGACTGAGGCTGTAGATCCAGGTCTCAGGACTGAGGCTGTAGATCCAGGTCTCAGGACTGAGGCTGTAGATCCAGGTCTCAGGACTGAGGCTGTAGATTCAGGTCTCAGGACTGAGGTTGTAGATCCAGGTCTCAGGACTGAGGCTGTAGATCCAGGTCTCAGGACTGAGGCTGTAGATCCAGGACTGAGGCTGTAGATCCAGGACTGCGGCTGTAGATCCAGGACTGCGGCTGTAGATCCAGGACTGCGGCTGTAGATCCAGGACTGCGGCTGTAGATCCAGGTCTGAGGCTGTAGATCCAGGTCTCAGGTCTGAGGCTGTAGATCCAGGTCTCAGGACTGAGGCTGTAGATCCAGGTCTCAGGACTGAGGCTGTAGATCCAGGTCTCAGGACTGAGGCTGTAGATCCAGGTCTCAGGACTGAGGCTGTAGATCCAGGTCTCAGGACTGAGGCTGTAGATCCAGGTCTCAGGTCTGAGGCTGTAGATCCAGGTCTCAGGTCTGAGGCTGTAGATCCAGGTCTCAGGTCTGAGGCTGTAGATCCAGGACTGAGGCTGTAGGACCAGTCTGGTGCCAGTCTGGTGCCAGTCAAGGCTCAAGATAACTTCATAGACCTAATGACGTAGAGGTAAGCAAAATATCGAAACAAAGAAGATCCACATTTCTCTTCCAAAACTTAAAGCAGTCAAATCGACAGCTCTGGGACTTTGCTGTTCAGTAATGGCCGCCTTTGTGCCGTGATGCTGTGAATCTTGTAAAAACAGAAATGTTCCCTGTTAAAGTGAAACCTGTTGTGTGCAGTGAGACGCAGCCGGTGTGATGCCGTCCAGTGTTGGAGCGGGCAGCCCCGCGGCGGCTGTGGCTGAGGCGCTGGAGAACTCTGCCCGACTCATAGACCGACACCTGCAGGAGGACCGCTGCTTCCCAGACCTGTCCGAGCTGCTCAGTGTCCCCTCTCACCGTATGAACCCCACACACAAGGACAGAGGCTGTAGACCCAGGACCGAGGCTGTAGACCCGGGACCGAGGCTGTAGACCCAGGACCGAGGCTGTAGACCCAGGACTGAGGCTGTAGACCCAGGACTGAGGCTGTAGACCCAGGACTGAGGCTGTAGACCCAGGACCGAGGCTGTTTATGTGTTTACATGTATTATAAAAAGTGTACTGTGTGTTTAGACAGTTATGCCCAAGTTTGATACACACAAAAGTGTTGTTCCAGATCTGACCACTCTGTTCTCCCCCTTCTCTCCTCTCTCTCCTCCCTCTCCTGCCTCTCACCCCCCTCTCTCCTCCCTCTCCTCCCTCTCCTCCCTCTATCTCTCCCTCCCCTCTCCCCCCTCTCTCTCCTCTCTCCCCTCTCTCCCCCCTCTCTCCTCTCTCTCCTCTCTCCCCTCTCTCTCCTCTCTCCCCCTCTCTCCCTCTCTCTCCTCTCTCTCCCTCTCTCCCTCTCTCCCCCTCTCTCTCCCTCTCTCTCCTCTCTCCCCCTCTCTCCCTCTCTCCCCTCCTCCCCCTCTCTCCCTCTCTCCCCTCCCTCCCCCTCTCTCCTCTGCAGACATGACCACTCTCTCTGGGGTGTCGGACATGGATTACCCGCTGCAGGGTCAGGGTCTCCTCTCGGTGCCGAACCTCCCGGAGCTCAGTGCAGTTCGTCACATCCCTCTGCCCCCAGAGCTGGTGGAGCAGTTCAGCCGTATCCTTTGGTTTCACAACGCTCTCTCTCTTTTTCTCTCTCTCAATCTCTCAGACTCTCTCTCGTGCTCTCAGACTCTCTCTGACACTCTCTCGTGCTCTCAGACTCTCTCTCTGACTCCCTCGTGCTCTCAGACTCTCTCTCGTGCTCTTGGACTCTCTCTGACTCTCTCTCGTGCTCTCAGACTCTCTCGTGCTCTCAGACAATCTCTGACTCTCTCTCATGCTCTCAGACTCTCTCTTGTGTTCTCTGACTTTCTCTCAGACGCTCTCTCAGACGCTCTCTGACTCTCTTTCTCTGACTCTCTCTTGTCCTCTCAGACTCTCTCGTCTCTTATTGTCCTGATCCAGCCCATAGACATGCAGTGTAACTGTATGATGGGTGTGTTCCCTGAGATCTCTCGTGCCTGGCTGACCATCGACAACGACATCTTCATGTGGAATTATGAAGACGGGTAAAAACCATTTTGTTTTTCAGCAAATTCAAAAACAAAAAGTCCAACAAAACGATTCTCATCATCTCTCTCTCCTTCTCTCCTCTCACTCTCTCTCCTCTCCTCTCCTCTCCTCTCTACTCCTCTCCCTCCTCTTCTCTCTCCTCTCTTATTTGTCTCTCCCCTCTCTCATCTTCTCTCTGCTCTCTCTTTGCTCTCTATCTGCTCTCTCTCTCCTCTCTGCTCTCTCGCTCTTGCTCTCTCTAATCTTCTCTCTGCTCTCTCTCCCTCTCTCCCTCTCTCTCCCTCTCTACTATCTCTCTCTTGTGTCAGACCATAGGTAAACCTCTCCGGTGCTCATACTGGTTTAGTAAGAACTCTCACCTGTTTGTTTTGTTTTTTCAGTGGAGATGTTGCATATTTTGATGGCCTCATTGAAACTATTTTAGCCGTGGGTCTGGTGAAGCCAAAACCAGGTGTGTGTTTGTATCTACACATATATTTAGTGTGTATATGTACTGTACTGTTGAGTGGTGCTCTTTGGCTGATGCCTCTCTGTTGTGTGTCTTTGCAGGGATTCTACAGCCGCACATCCATTATCTGTTGGTGTTGGCCACTTCTGTAGATGTCGTTATCCTGGGGCTCAGTTTTCCCAAGAACCAGGGAGGTAGGAGGCTGTTGTTATCCCTCATCTATTGTTGATGCATATGAACCAACTCTGAGGAGCACAGGGACTGGCCTCCTGTTGGGACTCTCTCTGGTCTCTCTCTCTGGTCTCTCTCTCTCTGGACTCTCTTGGGTCTCTCTCTGGTCTCTCTCTCGCTCTCTGGACTCTCTTGGGTCTCTCTCTGGTGTCTCTCTCTCTCTGGTCTCTCTCTCTCTGGACTCTCTTGGGTCTCTCTCTGGTCTCTCTCTCTGGACTCTCTCGGGTCTCTCTCTGGTGTCTCTCTCTCTGGTCTCTCTCTGGTCTCTCTGGTCTCTCTCTCTGGTCTCTCTCGGGTCTCTCTGGTCTCTCTCTGGACTGTCTCGGGTCTCTCTCTCTCTGGTGTCTCTCTCTGGTCTCTCTCTCTCTGGTCTCTCTCTGGTCTTTCTGTTTAGTTAAGTGTGCTATACAAATCAACCAGCCTCACACGTGGTCCTGATCCTGGTCCTGGTCTCGTTCTCAGGCCTGAACGACAGCATGTCCGGAGGGATGCAGCTGCTTCCAGACCCGCTCTTCTCCATCCCCACCGACAACGTCTACATCGTCTCCATCACCTCCACCGACCTGGGGCGAATCTTCATGGCGGGCAAAGATGGCTGCCTGTACGAGGTGGCGTACCAGGCCGAGGCCGGGTGGCTCAGCCAGCGCTGCCGCAAGATCAACCACTCCAAGAGCACCCTGTCCTTCCTGGTGCCCTCCCTGCTCCAGTTCTCCTTCTCTGAGGACGGTAGGAACCAGGAACCATCTCCTTTAAGCATGTTTTTCACTTTTTCACTGGTCTCTCTCTGGTGTCTCTCTGGTCTCTCTCTCTGGTCTCTCTCTGGTCTCTCTCTAGTCTCTCTCTCTGGTCTCTCTCTCTGGTCTCTCTGGTCTCTCTCTCTCTGGTCTCTCTCTCTGGTCTCTCTCTCTGGTCTCTCTCTGGTCTCTCTCTGGTCTCTCTCTGGTCTCTCTCTCTGGTCTCTCTCTGGTCTCTCTCTGGTCTCTCTCTAGTCTCTCTCTGGTCTCTCTCTCTGGTCTCTCTCTCTCTGGTCGCTCTCTCTGGTCTCTCTCTCTGGTCTCTCTCTCTGGTCTCTCTCTCTGGCCTCTCTCTCTGGCCTCTCTCTCTGGCCTCTCTCTGGTCTCTCTCTCTGGTCTCTCTCTCTGGTCTCTCACTCTGGTCTCTCTCTGGCCTCTCTCTCTGGCCTCTCTCTCTGGTCTCTCTCTCTGGCCTCTCTCTCTGGTCTCTCTCTCTGGTCTCTCTCTCTGGCCTCTCTCTCTGGTCTCTCTCGCTGGCCTCTCTCTGGTTTACTATTGTTGTTATTATTATTTCATTATTTTCAGACAGTGAATCACAGTTAAAATGACAGTTTTAAAATTCTTCAAACTTGTATTGTTATTTTAATAGTCTTTTTTTCTTTTTCACATCTAAATTAAAAGATAAAACTATTTACAAGAACGGAGAGATACAAAAAAATCAGAACAAATTAAAAAACACATTTGGTATTGTGAAATATAATAAAATTCAAACTAAAAGTATTTTTCGCATCAGAGTAAAAAGGACATGATAAACTGCTTTGAACCTCCACAGAATCTGGTTGTAACGGCTTAATGTGTCTGACCCATTCAGACCATGACCCAGTATCGGTTTGTTTACTTAGACGAATAGAAAAAGTAATGGCTGCATAACCGCGGGGCCTTCGGGAGAAGCCATCGCCGGGTAACACTGGTTTTACATCTAGTCTGGTTTTCCAAAGAGTTCAGGAAGACGCATAGTATATTATTATTATGGTTAGCACTCTCGCTTCTCAGCTAGAAGGTCCTGGGTTCATATCCCGTTCTTTCTGAGTGGAGTTTGCATGTTCTTCCCGTGTCTGTGTAAGTTTCCTCCAGGTGCTCCGGTTTCCCCTACCACTAAAAACATGTATAATAGGTCTGTGCCTCCTGTCCTGGCCCCTCCCATCTCTGTGTGGAGTCAGAGACTAATGTAACAACTGTAAACCGCTTTGACTCTGGTCTGAGAAAGGCGCTATATAATTAAACATTACTTAATTACTCATGGTGTAAAATTCCGCCCAGAATTGTTTTAACTTTGGGCATTTCCAAAGTGCCTCCAACAGACATTTAACTTCTGGTTTCTCTCCTGTAGATCCTATTGTGCAGATTTCCATCGATAATTCTAGAAACATCCTCTTCACACGATCTGAGAAAGGAGTTTTACAGGTAAATATCGGCCCGTTTCCACCAGCACGGCTCGGCTCGACTCTACCCTGATGTGTTTCCATCACTCTTTAGTATCTGGTACCATGTCCTATAAACAAACTTACTACAGTGCCTTGCGAAAGTATTCGGCACCTTGAACCTTTCAACATGTCGCCACATTTCAGGCTTCAAACATAAAGATATAAAAATTACATTTTTTGTCAAGAATCAACAAGTGGGACACAATCGTGAAGTGGAACGAAATGTATTGGATAATTTAAACTTTTTTAACATATAAAAAACTGAAAAGTGGGGCGTGCAATATTATTCGGCCCCCTTGCGCTAATACTTTGTAGCGCCACCTTTTGCTGCAATTACAGCTGCAAGTCGCTTGGGGTATGTCTCTATCAGTTTTGCACATCGAGAGACTGGAATTCTTTCCCATTCTTCCTTGCAAAACAGCTCGAGCTCAGTGAGGTTGGATGGAGAGCGTTTGTTAACAGCAGTCTTCAGCTCTTTCCACAGATTCTTGATTGGATTCAGGTCTGGACTTTGACTTGGCCATTCTAACACCTGGATACGTCTATTTGTGAACCATTCCATTGTAGATTTGGCTTTATGTTTTGGATCATTGTCCTGTTGGAAGATAAATCTCCGTCCCAGTCTCAGGTCTTTTGCAGACTCCAACAGGTTTTCTTCCAGAATGGTCCTGTATTTGGCTCCATCCATCTTCCCATCAATTTTAGCCATCTTCCCTGTCCCTGCTGAAGAAAAGCAGGCCCAAAGCATGATGCTGCCACCACCATGTTTGACAGTGGGGATGGTGTGTTCAGGGTGATGAGCTGTGTTGCTTTTACGCCAAACATATCGTTTTGCATTGTGGCCAAAAAGTTTGATTTTGGTTTCATCTGACCAGAGCTCCTTCTTCCACATGTTTGGTGTGTCTCCCAGGTGGCTTGTGGCAAACTTTAAACAAGGCTTTTTATGGATATCTTTGAGAAATGGCTTTCTTCTTGCCACTCTTCCATAAAGGCCAGATTTGTGCAGTGCACGACTGATTGTTGTCCTATGGACAGACTCTCCCACCTCAGCTGTAGTTATCTGCAGTTCATCCAGAGTGATCATGGGCCTCTTGGGTGCATCTCTGATCAGTCTTCTCCTTGTTTGAGATGAAAGTTTGGAGGGACGGCCGGGTCTTGGTAGATTTGCAGTGGTCTGATACGCCTTCCATTTCAATATAATTGCTTGCACAGTGCTCCTTGAGATGTTTAAAGCTTGGGAAATCTTTTTGTATCCAAATCCGGCTTTAAACTTCTCCACAACAGTATCTCGGACCTGCCTGGTGTGTTCCTTTGTCTTCATGGTTCTCTCTGCGCTTTAAACAGAACCCTGAGACTATCAAAGAGCAGGTGCATTTATACGGAGACTTGATTACACACAGGTGCATTCTATTTATCATCATCAGTCATTTAGGACAACATTGGATCATTCAAAGATCCTCACTGAACTTCTGGAGTGAGTTTGCTGCACTGAAAGTAAAGGGGCCGAATAATATTGCACGCCCCACTTTTCAGTTTTTTATTTGTTAAAAAAGTTTAAATTATCCAATAAATTTCGTTCAGCTTCACGATTGTGTCCCACTTGTTGTTGATTCATGACAAAAAATATTTTTTTTTATATCTTTATGTTTGAAGCTTGAAATGTGGCGAAATGTTGAAAGGTTCAAGGGGGACGAATACTTTCCCAAGGCACTGTATGTCCCACAACAAACCAGTATTTGTCTGGTCTCTCTCTCTGGTCTCTCTCTCTGGTCTCTCTCTCTGGACTCTCTCTCTCTGGTCTCTCTCTCTGGACTCTCTCTCTCGCTGGTCTCTCTCTCTAAGATAATTGTACTAATTCTGTTTCAGGTGTATGACCTCGGTGCTGATGGACAGGGCATGAGTCGTGTGGCAACAATGTCCCAGAATGCAATTGTGGCGGCGGCTGGGAAAATTGCCAGGTTTGTTTTACTTTGTTTCATCACAGATTTCAGTGATCGCAGGTAATCTTTTAGAACCGATCACTTCTGCGATGGTTCAGTGACGTCTCGTGTAAATCCATCTGTGGAAAATCACATGAGTGCGTTTTTGTTTTTCAGGACGATTGATCGTTCGGTTTTCAAACCTATCGTCCACATTTCAGTGATCACCAGTTCTGAGTCGTCAGACTGCCATCTGCTGGCCGTGTCTCACGCAGGTAACGGAGTCTAATGTAACCTTTACTTAGCCGCTATTAGCATCATCATATTAGCATCATCATCATATTAGCAGGTGTGCGTCTGTTAAACAGCCTGTGTGTGTTGCAGTTGTGCGCCTGTTAAACAGCCTGTGTGTGTTGCAGGTGTGCGTCTGTTAAACAGCCTGTGTCTGTTGCAGGTGTGCGTCTGTACTTTACCACCGCCCCCTTCGCCCCTGCGCTGCAGAAGCACCTCCCTGTTCGGCCGAGCCTGTTGTCTCTGGTCCACGTGCGTCTCCCTCCAGGGTTCTCTGCTTCTTCTACGCTTCAGAAACCATCAAAGGTCCACAAGGCGCTCCATAGTAAAGGTACCATGTGTGACAGAGGAGTCAGAAACTGAACTAAAATAGGAGACGCTCATTGGGACAAAGACTTAGAAATAAGTATCTATTTATTTATGCATTTGGATGGATTATTCAACTAGATGTCATGAGCAACTGACAGAACATTTTATTTTTAGTCCCCCACTGCTGTCAGACTGTACAACAAGTCACTTTAAGTCACTTGGACAAAAACAAAGAAACAGCACTACACTGTTTCTTTAATTTCTTTTGCACAATTCTATCCGTGACATGAACATTTCTTCTGTGTGAGATCAATAAAGTCTATCTTTTCTTATTCAACTAAAATTGTGACAAAAAGTGAAAGGAATTTGAGTCAAAAGTCTGACCCGTGCTGTCTGCTCCGCAGGGGTCCTGATCATGGCGGCGTCTGAGGCCGAGGACAGCGACGTCCTGTGGTGCATTAACCACGACTCCTTCCCCTTTAAGAAGCCGCTGATGGAGACTCAGGTCGGTGCCTTTAATGTTGTGCTTCAGGAAGTACAGCAGGACTACAGCGGCTGAGCTGAAGTTGGCTGGATGACACTGAGAGTCAGCAAGAGATAGTGAAAACGAGAGAATGTGAGAGCGAGCAAGAGAGAGGGTGAGAGAGGCAGCCTGCGAAAGAAAGCTAGAGAGCGAGAATGAGCCAGAGAGCACGATTGTGAGAGAGAGCCTGGGTAGGCCTTTCATGTTTGCTACAGCCTCATGACAGAGGATCATCAGAACAATCCCAGCTCCAGATCTGGACCATGGGGAGTCAGCCATATGGTGCTTTCAGGCCGCAAACGCTCAAACGCTGAAGCCTCGCTCAACAGTCGTGCATTCTCTAGTTTTCAGACGCAGGGGTCTTCACACCAGAACGTCCTGACCAGCGCCGGAAGTGGCGGAAGTAGCCGGCCGGCTCTAATGCTAACAGAGTTATGCTAGCGGGTTCTCGTGTAAAGATCTTCTCCAATAATGCAGCTTTGCAGCGTGTCTGTGTTCAGAGACCTTCTATGGACTTTATATAACAGTAGTATGTGTTCACGTCGGTGCGCAATAAGTTTATTTTATTATTAAACGGTACTCGGCGAACACACTCGAAGCAGTTGCATAAAGTCACGGGAGCATAACAACTCTATGTCCCCCATTGTCAACCCTGGTTTAGTCCTGGTGTAGCTCCTGTTTTGGCTGTTTACAGTATGTTCAGTCTGCTCGCTCAGACCACCAATGTCCCCGTGACCACTTTGCGGCTCCCTGATTGGTCGCTGCACGAATGTCCCGAGGAAAGGTTGAGCAAAGTTTCTCCTGTGGGCGTCTATTTTCCGCTCCTGCTCCTCCCCTTTCACGTCCCGAGAGGTCCGTGCGTTGTGACCAGTGGGGGCGGGTCCCAGCTCAAAAGTGGCCAAAATGACGTGCGCTGACATGCTGCAATACCACCCCGGGCCGTTGGGGGTGGACCCAGAAGAAGAATTAGCCAATGCTAACATATAGCATTGGCAGACCTCTCGAAAACGTCTTTACAGGATGGACCAAAAGTTGGCTCTTGGCCCAAAGCTCCGTTCCACATGTGTGTCAATGCTGAGGGGGTGAATTTTTTTGGTCCACTCTAGTTTACTCGCTGTGAATTTTTTAAGTCTCTCGTTCAAATGAATGGAGCCGCGCCGGCTGACGCATGCGCAGATGCGTTTTTTCACAATTTTCTTGTGGGCGGGACCACTCGCGGCCATTTTGGATAGCTCCAGTAGAGCATATTTTTTGGCCCATTAGTTAGAACGGCGGAGATAGGCGTGACTCTGTCCATTAATATATACAGTCTATGGTTGTGACGCTCGAACGCATAACTTAACGCGCCATGTGAGATTTCAGTCAAAGATGTTTGTTATTCTTGTGTCTGTTGTCATTGGATGTAAATAAAGTGATAAAGTTGTGGTTTGCAGATGATGTCGAGCGTTGACGGTCACTCGTGGGCGCTGTGTTCCATCCCTGAAGAGCAGCAGAGCAGGATCTCGACCCCTCTGAACAAAGATCACATCCCGGTCACAGACGCGCCACTCGTCGTTCAGCAGCACAACGTCCCCCCACAGAAGTTTGTTCTTCTCTCTGCAAAGGTCGGTGACTCTACTCTGCTCTGCTCTGCTCTGATCTACTCTGCTCTACTCTGCTCTGCTCTGATCTACTCTGCTCTGCTCTACTCTGCTCTACTCTACTCTACTCTAGCAGGAGGGTAGAGTGGAGCAGAGTCAGTGCTAATGATTCTCTTCCCAGCTGATTTATGATTGTGTCTTCTTCTTTAGGGCAGTCACATTTTCCAGAAGCTCCGTCCGGTGGATCAGCTGCGCCACCTGCTGGTGAGCTGTGCTGGAGGAGAGAGTGAGGAGATGGAGAGGTTCTTCAAGCTCCACAAGGTAACGACCTCTCACTCTGCAGAACACGACCTCTCACTCTGCAGAACACGACCTCTCACTCTGCAGCTCACACCCTCTCACTCTGCAGAACACGACCTCTCACTCTGCAGAACACGACCTCTCACTTTGCACAACTTGACCTCTCACTCCTCTCACTCTGCAGATCACGAACTCTCACGACCTCTCACTCTGCAGATCACGACCTCTCACTCCTTTAACTCTGCAGAACACAACCTCTCACTCTGCAGAACACGACCTCTCACTCCTCTCACTCTGCAGATCACGACCTCTCACTCCTCTCACTCTGCAGATCACGACCTCTCACTCCTCTCACTCTGCAGATCACGACCTCTCACTCCTCTCACTCTGCAGATCACGACCTCTCACTCCTCTCACTCTGCAGAACACGACCTCTCACTCTGCAGAACACGACCTCTCACTCTGCAGAACACAACCTCTCACTCTGCAGACCATGACCTCTCACTCTGCAGACCACGACCTCTCACTCTGCAGAACACAACCTCTCACTCTGCAGAACACAACCTCTCACTCTGCAGAACACGACCTCTCACTCCGCAGACCACGACCTCTCACTCTGCAGACCACGACCTCTCACTCTGCAGAACACGACCTCTCACTCTGCAGAACACGACCTCTCACTCCGCAGACCACGACCTCTCACTCTGCAAAACACAACCTCTCACTCTGCATATCACACCCTCTCACTCTGCACAACAGGACCTCTCACTCGGCAAAACACAACCTCTCACTCTGCAGAACACAACCTCTCACTTTTCACAACACGACCTCTCACTCCTCTCACTCTGCAGATCACGACCTCTCACTCCTCTCACTCTGCAGATCACGACCTCTCACTCCTCTCACTCTGCAGATCACGACCTCTCACTCTGCAGAACACGACCTCTCACTCCTCTCACTCTGCAGATCACGACCTCTCACTCCTCTCACTCTGCAGAACACGACCTCTCACTCCTCTTCCTCTGCAGAACACAACCTCTCACTCTGCACAACAGGACCTCTCACTCTGCACAACACGACCTCTCACTCTGCAGATCACATCCTCTCACTCTGCAGATCACACCCTCTCACTCTGCACAACACGACCTCTCACTCTGCAGAACACGACCTCACTCTGCAGATCTCACTCTCACTGTCTCCACTGTTTCAGGAGGAACAAGCCTGTGCCACGGCCCTGATCCTGTCCTGCTCCACCGCGGCCTGTGACCGGGAGGTGTCACAGTGGGCCACACGGGCCTTCTTCAGGTCGGACCAGTTACAGTCTACTAGGGGTGGCCGATATATCGAGATTTTCTTTAAAGGAGCAGTATGTAAAAATGTGTCCAAAAGTGGTACTGCAGCCTCTCCCACTCTCCCTGACTCAGGTTGCCAGATATGCAGATGAATCCAGCTGGGACCATAACAGCTGAATAGACAAGAGTTTTGTCAACAACAAATCTATAACCAACAACTTTTTCACAAGGATAGAAATCCTGGTTTTATTCCTTGTTTTGTCGTTAATGATTTTAGAATCATAACAAGACCTTTTTTAGTTCTGCGCCACATGGTACTTTACCAGTGAGATTAGCTCCACGCGCCCGGATCACGGACTTTCTGATTGGTGAAACGGTGGAGGGCGGGACATCAAAATGAAAACAATGACAATGGGCGGCACGGTGGCTGAGTGGTTAGCACTCTCGCCTCTCAGCAAGAAGGTCCTGGGTTTGAATCCCGGTTGGTTCTGAGTGGAGTTTGCATGTTCTCCCCGTGCTTGCGGAGGTTTCCTCCGTGTACTCCGGTTTCTCCTACCACTAAAAACACACTCACTAGGTTAAATCCTCCAGCTCTGGTCCTGACCAAGCCGAGCATCAACATCTGGAGATGGTTCTCGGGCGCTGTTACTACGGCGACCACTACCCCTGACGTAAGCCTTAGAGGCATCAGGATGGGTCAAATGCAGAGGACTGAATTGTCATACGGGGATCAATAAAGTGACTTGACTTGTTGGGCTTAACTCATTGTATTGAGAAATATTTGGGCAAGTAACTTTTTACATTGGCAAGTAAAATATAAATGGTACTTGCTGTGAAGGGCAAGTGGTTGACAAAGCTTAATGTCAAGGCCTGTCTTCTTAACTGCAGATATGGAGGAGAGGCACAGATGCGGTTTCCTGCAGCTTTGACCAATCCCAGCACCGTGGGGCCCCTCATGAGCTCTCCAGCTCCAGGTCTGTACTTCTGCTTCAGGTCTTCAGTTCAACCTCATCTGCAGGTCTTCACTTTAACCTTCTCTGGGGGTCTTCACTCTAACCTTCTCTGGAGGTCTTCACTCTAACCTTCTCTGGAGGTCTTCACTCTAACCTTCTCTGCAGGTCTTCACTCTAACCTTCTCTGGAGGTCTTCACTTTAACTTTATCTGCAGGTCTTCACTCTAACCTTCACTGCAGGTCTTCACTCTAACCTTCTCTGGAGGTCTTCACTCTAACCTTCTCTGGAGGTCTTCACTCTAACCTTCTCTGGAGGTCTTCACCCTAACCTTCTCTGGAGGTCTTCACTCTAACCTTCTCTGGAGGTCTTCACTTTAACCTTCTCTGCAGGTGTCGTTCCCCCGGCTTTCGCAGCTCCCTTCACTCCTCTGCCCTCGGGCTCAGCTCCGATGTCGGGTCCTGGACCAGAAGTGATTTTCTCTGGAAAACACAACGGAATCTGCATCTACTTCACTCGCATTCTGGGGTGAGTCCTTCTGGAATCTCACTGTCGTTCTGTGGCTCTGGTTGTCTCTCGTTGGTCTCTCTCTCTAGTCCCTCTCTCTGGGTGTCTCTCTTTGGTCTCTCTCTAGTCTCTCTCTAGTCTCTCTCTCTCTCTGGTTTCTCTGGTCAACAAACCAGTACCCGCAAACTTCCTTGGTAACCACTTGGTAATAACTAAATTCATATTATAACTAAATTCATATTCTATAAGACATTAAGTCAAAAGTACAAACACTTTCCCTTCAGTTATTGTTAAAGAATGAGAAGATCCAGGAGCTAAACTGTAAAATTTTACTGGTTTATTTTTACATGCATTTGCTCCAACGTTCATACACGTTACACGCACACAAAGCTGATACATTGATAAACTCAATGTATGTGTAGATTTATTAAGATCCCATGGTTAAGCTCAAGTTTATCTTCTAATGTGATTTGGTTTTTCTCCTTTTTATCCACCAGGCCCATATGGGATGGGAGTCTGGCCGTGGAGAAAACCATAAGTAAAGGAACTCAAAATGTCAATATTGTGAGTGGTACTTCTTGCATTGTTGGGATGGGATTTGTGCGAGCATACGCTAACAAACTTCTACTCGTTCAGCTGGAAAGTAGTGTCAGCTCCGTGGACCTGGAGGCTGTGCTGAAGGAGCTCTGTGGACTGCGAGAGTTTCTGGATAAAAATTCACAGTTCAATCCATCGTCGCTCGATGCTGTCAGGTAAGAGGAGATTACTCTGGTCTCTCTCTCTCACTGGTCTCACTCTCTCCATGGTCTCTCTGGTCTCTTTTGTCTCTCTAGTCTCTGGTCTCTCTCTGGTCTATATCCATGGACTTCTGGTCTCTTTTGTCTCTCTACTCTCTCTTAGTCTCTGTTCTCTCTCGTCTTTCTGGTCTCGCTCTCTGCTTTCTCTCTTTGGTCCCTCTCTGGTCTTCCCGTAGCCCTCTGTCCTCTGCAGCTGTATTTTACATTGTATGCACGGCTTTTGACAGCTGCAGCAGCTCTGACCTATAAGCAACAGGTTTGATATCTATGCGAGCACAGTCGGGAGTTCAGGTGGTTAGAAAAGTGTATAAAGTTTGTGGTTAGTGCGACAGTTACTGAGCTGGAGGAGTTCCATTTTACATACAAGTCGATAGAAGCTCGAGTAAGTTGGAGCAAAACTTCGTCCATGAGCACTTCCCTATTTGGTGTCATTAAGGTAGCAAGTTAGCATTGTCCATCTGTACACAGTAAATGATAGTGAGGGGTTTTACAGCCTTAAAACATGTAGCTTCCTCCTCTTATCGTGGGTTAGTTTTAGAAGGTAGCCCTGCGGTAAACCTTTGTATTAAATTCAGTCTTTTAATGAACATCTGTTTCTCTTGTCAGTTTTAACTCCCCGGCCAATTTACAGCAGCGGCTTCTGGGGTTTATGCGACCTGATGGAGCCAACACGCAGCAGGTTCAGCAGGAGCTCCAGAGGAAATATCACAGTGAGTCAAATTTTCTGTTTTACTGGACCACCAGAGCCTCAGTCACCTCCAGACTGCACGACTGCAAGAGCCTCCTCTCTGGGCTTCCTCTGATTCAGAACTCTGGCTCCTGCTCTCCCACACCAGAGACCACATCACCCCCGTCCTCAAACAACTCCACTACCTCCCTGCTCCACACCGCTTACAATATAAGGTCCTCCTCATCACCCACAAGTGCAGAGGTGAGATATGTCCCTTATCTCACCTCCATCACCGCTGTCCCACCAACCGCTGTCCTACCCACCGCTGTCCCACCCACCGCTGTCCTACCCACTGTTGTCCCACCCAACGGTGTAAAACCCACCGCTGTCCTACCCACCTACTCCATCCTCCCCACTCCCATCAGAGCAAAGAACCCTGAGGACCAATCCTTCTGAACCCTGAGGACCAACCCTGAGGACCGATCCTCCTGAACCCTGAGGACCGATCCTCCTGAACCCTGAGGACCGATCTTCCTGAACCCTGAGGACCGATCCTCACCGGCCTCAAATCTCAGGAATTCACTCCCTCAACACATCCGGAACTTGGACTCACAAAACTGCCCACACATAACTGTTTTTTTTGGTTTTCTATTTTTACCTGCGCTTGTGAAGCATCTTTGAGTGTCCAAAAAGCCCCATACAAGTACAGTGCATCATTACATTATTATATGAGCTCTTGTTGTTTTGTGTTGCAGCCAAGGCCCAGCTGTATGAGAAGGTGTCCCTGCAGGGCATCCAGCAGCTCGTCCATCGCTCACATCAGACCTTAGCTCTGTGGAAGCTCCTCTGCGATCACCAGTTCAGCCTCATCATGTCAGAGCTGCCCAGGGTAACCTCCTTCATCTCTGTTATACCACATGTACAGTCCTGCTGCTGTCAGTCTGTACAACAAACACTGCCGACCTGACCTCACATGTCGTGCATCTGAGCAATAATACTTTGAAATAGTGTCAGAATGTGCGAGTTAGAACCACGTGTGTCAATATCACTTTACTCAGTCACTGTGTCCAAATCAAAAGATCCATGAGCTCATTCCTTGTTGGTGGTGGTGTACCCGGAAACGGAATTACCCAATGCTTTTGTATAGCATCCTCTTTCCTCTGTCAAATTGCTTTACAGGATGGTCCAAAAGTGGCCCTTGGTCCAAAAGTGGCCCTTGGTCCAAAAGTGGCCCATGGTCCAAAAGTGGCCCTTGGTCCAAAAGTGGCTCTTGGTCCAAAAGTGGCTCTTGCTCCAAAAGTGGCTCTTGGTCCAAAGCTGTGTTACAGATGGGTTCGATGCTGAGGGGAGGATTTATTTTTGGACCAGTCTAGTTTAGCTGCTGTGGACTTTTGAATGCCCTCATGTTAAATGAATGGGACAAGTGCAGCTAACACGTGCAAAAATTTATTTCATTGGCAAAGATGGGCCTATGTTAATATTTCTTGTCCCTGGTCCAGCCCCTCCTGCTGCTAACATGTACAGATATATATTTCAGATCTAGAATAAACAGTATTTGTGTTCTCCTCATTCTGACTGTTCTGTAACTATTGATGCAACCCTGACATTTCCCAACTGTGAGACAAACTCTTACTTTACTCTCAGGACATCCAGGAGCAGATGAAGGGGGTGTGTTTCAAGGACGTGGTGATCCGAGGGAAGGAGCTGTCCGGCGCCCTTATCACGGCCATCATCAACGTCTACATCAAAGACAACGCTTCTGTGGACGCCATCAGCACTCACCTCCGCGACCTCTGCCCTCTGCTCTACAGCAACGACGACTGCATCTGCTCCAAGGTCTGAAGCCTGGTCTGAAGCCGGACTCTGGGTTTCTCTGTTTGGTTCTGGTCTCTCTGTAAACTCAAACATTATCATATACAACATCACATCAGCGCTAGTGTGACGTGACTGTGACCTACATTAAAGCCAGATGAAAACGTCTGTGGCTTGTCTTCAGCAGACTGTTTCTGGTCTCTCGCTCTCTGGTCTCTCTCTGATCTTTCTCTGGTCTCTCTAGTCTCTCTCTGGTCTCTCTGTCTGGTCGGTCTCTGGTGTCTCTCTTTGACTTGTCGCGTTAGAACACATCATCCCCGCAATCCACCATGGCCCATTCTAGGGCTGGGCGATATGGCTGAAAACTATATCACAATATAAGTAATTCATATCGGTCGATAACGATATATATTGACTGTTTTTTATTTATTTTTTTTAAACGTTAATAAATACATTTGTCGTGTCGGCTAACACATGTTAGCAGCCTTGTTTACAGTCACGGGGGAATGAGGATGCAGACAAATGTTCACAAGCAGTCTCCCCCATAGTTAGTCCTGGTTTAATCCTGGTTTAGCTCCTTTTTTGGCTGTTTTCGAGTGTCTTGTGTGTGTCTGTGATGGCTCCGAATGCATCGAGTCTCTGTACCCACTGCCTCTCCCGCCGCACATGCTGTTCCTCGCACGTATTTAACCATTGACACGACACTGAAACACGATCTTTAGATCCATGGCTATTATAATAGATCCATGATCCATGGACGCTACGCACGGTGCGGTTGTTGTTTTTGCTTTTCCCAGAAAGTTTTGCGGTTTGTAGTCGGCTGTGATAGGTCGAGAAGCCTTTGCCTACATCCCCCAGAATGCTGCGCGCTTCTGACTCTGCTTTACTTCCTGTGTTTTGTTCCTGTTTGTTTCAAACAGACTTAAGTGAAACTATCGAAGTTCTATCGACCCTGTTTTCTATTGATATCGAACACGTGTCTTTTGCAATATATATCGTTATTGTTTTATCGCCCAGCCCTAGCCCATTCTTCTGGTCTCTACTCTGCTTGTCTCCACTCTCCTTGTCTCCCCTCTCCTGGTCTCCCCTGTACCATTGTCCATGGTCTCAGTGTGTTTTCTTCTTCGTCTCAGGCCAACGAGCTGCTGCAGAGCTCAAAGCAGATTGCGAGTAAAGCGGAAAAGGAGCGGACGCTGCGGGAGTCTCTGCGGCTGTACCAGCAGATCAGCCAACACACCGACCTGTCGCTGGTGTGCGCCCAGTACAGACAAGGTACCGCCCCCCTCTGGTCCGGGGTCGCACTCGCACCCTCTCACACCTGTGTTTTATGTCAGTTCGTTTCTATGAGGGCGTCCTGGAGCTGTGCCTCACATCTGCAGACAAGAAGGACCCGCAGAGATTCGGTCCTCATTACTATAAAAATGGGGAGCCAGAAGACGACCGAGTGGGTCAGCAAGCGTTTCAGGAGAGGTCAGTCCAACAAACCAGGAAGTTAACGTTCTCTCTCAAGCAGGATTATAATTAAAACCATTTATTGAGCGCGTCCGTGTCAGATGCAGACTACAGACTTCATACAGAGATTAAAAAAACCTTAAACGCATTATACTTGTCCCCTTTAACATATGACAATTCTAACGATTATTCTTATGGATGATTACAGATCTGTGTGTGTGTGTGCGTGTGTGTCTCTGTGCACCCTGTGTGTGTGTGTGTGTGTGTGTGTGTGTGTGTGTCTGTCTGTACCCCGTGTGTGTGTGTCTGTACCAGTGGGGGCGGGTCCCAGCTCAAATGTGGCCAAAATGATGTGCGCTGACATGCTTGCAATACCACCCTGGGCCGATGGGGGTGGACCCAGAAGAAGAATTAGCCAATGCTAACATATAGCATTGGCAGACCTCTCAAAAACGTCTTTACAGGATGGACCAAAAGTTGGCTCTTGGCCCAAAGCTCCGTTCCACATGTGTGTCAATGCTGAGGGGGGTGGATTTTTTTGGTCCACTCTAGTTTACTTGCTGTGAATTTTTTAAGTCTCTCGTTCAAATGAATGGAGTTGCGGCGGCTGACGCATGCGCAGATGCGTTTTTTCACAATTTTCTTGTGGGCGGGACCACTCACTGCCATTTTGGATAGCTCCAGTAGAGCAAATTTTTTGGCCCATTAGTTAGAACGGCGGAGATAGGCGTGACTCTGTCCGTTAATATATACAGGTCTATGGTCTGTACCCCGTGTGTGTGTGTGTGTGTGTGTGTCTGTAACCCTGTGTGTTTTATGTTAAAAGCAGCGTTATTGTTCAGTGACGTCTGTTTCTCGGTCACGTGTAAATGTGTAGTTGTCTCTTCTGCTCAGACTGTTGTGTTACAAATGCATCACGGATACGATGCAGGAGCTCGTGAACCAGAGCAAAGCGGCGCCTCAGTCTCCCAGTGTCCCCAAGCAGCCGGGACCCCCCGTGCTGACCTCGGACCCCAACATGCTCAGCAACGAGGAGGCCACTGCACATGTGAGTTCAGCTAAAGCTATGGACCCGTGACTGAGGCTGTAGACCTGTAGACCCAGGACTGAGGCTGTAGACCCAGGACTGAGGCTGTGTAGACCCAGGACTGAGGCTGTGTAGACCCAGGACTGAGGCTGTAGACCCAGGACTCAATAGATAACATCCTCCAGCTGACAAAGGCGCAATAACAGACTGATCAAAGGCAAAGGACAAATTTCCCAAAAAAGACAATCATGTATAGATTTGAAATCAACAATTTGTTGACGTGTGAGACTGTGGTAATCTCTGGAAGTACGATAATAACTCTTTTTTTAAAAATTCCTGTTTTTCAGTTTGAGCAGATGCTGGGGCTGGCTCAGAGGTCGCAGGACGAACTGTTCCACATCGCTCTGTACAACTGGCTGATCCAGGCCGAGCTGACCGACAAACTGCTGGAGGTACGAGACCCGGGACCGAGGCTGTAGACCCGAGACCGAGGCTGTAGACCCAGAGATCCCCGTCCTGATCCCAGTCTCTCTGCTGCAGGTGAACTCGGCGCACCTGGAGGAACACCTGATGCACATGATCAAACAGGACCAGAGCAAAGTCCACAACATGGACTTGTTGTGGCGCTACTACGAGAAGAACCGCAACTTTGGGAAAGCGGCGCACGTTCTGGCGCGGCTCGCCGACATGCACAGGTTCTGATCACGGAACTGTCGGGGTTTTACTTCTGTGTCAATGTTATCTTTTATCTTCAACATAAGTTCTACTTTCATTGCCAGATTTTAACGTAGAATACTTTAATATGTAATTTAATTTTTAATTTGTAAAAAGGCACTGCAAGATTGTTAAAGGCATTTCCCTCTGGTCTGGTCCTGGACTAGCATGGTCGTACCACACCATAGTACAAATTACATTTCATACTAAGGTCTGGATTGTCTCCATTGACTCCTTGAACAGGTGGGAGGGGCTAACTCCTTTTGCAGATTGAAACGATTAGATTCGAGTTTACTGTGACGTATGTAATGCGCCCGAGTCTGTCGTTAGCATTTAGCCTAGCTTTAGCATTTAGCCTAGCCATCTCCTTTGCCGCTAACGGAGCCCGTGGGGAGAAGCGCCACAATCTTGACCAGCGATTACATTTGATAAACATTCCTCTTGCTCCTGCTTCAATTTCTTGATAGAACCAGACCGGATTACTTTACTGTCGCATTCTTCGCCATTGCCAAACTACAACCTGCCCGTTCTGCGCAAACTCTTGACGTCACCCACAGCTAACTACAACACCTGCCTTCCGCGCTCTCTGGTAGGTCGGTCGAAATACGACCGATTGTATTCGCTAACACAGGGACCAGACCCAGACGTTACATGCAGTGAAATGATGATTGAGCGGAGTGTACGGATGGATATGGCCAGGGTAGTCCTGGACTGGTCTTTGTCTGGTCTGGTCCTGGACTGGTCTTGGTCTGGTCTTGGTCTGGTCTGGTCCTGGACTAGTCTTGGTCTGGTCCTGGACTGGTCCTGGACTGTCCTGGACTGGTCTTGGTCTGGTCCTAGACGGGTCTTGGTCTGGTCCTGGACTGGATGCTAGTTTCCATAGCAACACTGTTTACTGTTAGCATTTAGCATTAGCTTTTCACAAACTGTTTTTTCTGTATTTCAATTTCCTTCCCTAGTTCAGCACTTATTTAAAGTGAGTAAAGGTTAACACTTTATAAATGTCTTACTTTTGAGAAACATTTTTGGGCGAACTTCAAAATCCCATGAAAGGAGTCAAAATGATTGATTGTAGCTTCATCTCTGAGTGGTTTCTGCAGCTCTGAGATCTCCCTGAAGTAGCGGCTGGAGTACATCTGGTCTTAGTCTGGTCCAGGACTGGTCTTGGTCTTGGTTTGGTCCTGGACTGGTCGTTGTTAACCCTGTGTGTTCCTGCAGCTCTGAGATCTCCCTGAAGCAGCGTCTGGAGTACGTTGCCAGAGCGATCCTGTCGGCCAAGAGCGCCTCCTGCATCTCTGCTCAAGCCGCGGACGGAGAGTTCCTGCACGAGCTGGAGGCCAAGATGGAGGTCTGTGCCACGTTTTTAAATCTAAGGTGTTGGCTTTACCCTGTTTAATACAACCAAAGTACTGCCTCAAAACACAGACAGTAACAGTTACTCCAAAATATATATTTTATGACCACAAAACCCCTGTCCCCATGGGTTCAGTTTTCCTCTGGTCTCCAGATGGGTTTCTATCTGAAAATACAGGTCTCTCTCTCTTTGTCTTATTCTCTCTCTCTCTCTTTGTCTCCGTCTCTCTCCTCCTCTCTAGGCTTAGAAAAGGTTTTCGGGTCCAGGCAGAACCCTCTCTGGTACTAACCCTAACTTTTGAGGTCCACTTACAGCTATAATCCCATGAAAGTAATTTGTTCCAAAAAAAAAGATAAATTCCACGGATGCGAAACCCTCCTCAAATAAACAAGACTCAGCACTAACCCTGTGTTTACGTGTTTACCGCCCGCTGCCAAGTCTCTCTCTAATCATTGAATCTGTCTTTTCAATAATGCCTGTAAACTTGAGTGTCACAAATCCTGTGTTTTGCAGCTCGCTCGAATTCAAGTCCAAATCCAAGAAACCCTCCTGAGGCACTACTCTCACCATCCCTCAGTGAAGACGGTGGTCTCTCAGCTGGACTCAGAACTCATGGACCTCACCAAGGTTTCTACCACTCTAGGATCCTTCTCTCTCTCTCTCTCTCTCTCGCTCTCGCTCTCGCTCTCGCTCGCTCTCGCTCGCTCTCTCTCTCGCTCTCTCTCTCGCTCTCTCTGGTTCAGTGCCGGTCTAACTGTATCCCTGTGTGCAGTTGTATGGAGAGTTTGCAGACCTGTACAAACTGTCTGAGTGTAAGTTGGCGATCATCCACTGTGCCGGACACTCTGACCCGGTCCTGGTTCACTCTCTGTGGCAAGAAATCATGGAGAAAGGTTTGAAACAGACTTTACTTAATGCTCTAAAATATACACTGTGTGTGTGTATATATATATATATATATATATATAGTATATATATATACATTTTAAATAATGTGTATGTGTGTTTATACACTGTATAAATATAAGATGAACTAAATGTGCGTCCCTTTGTCTCTTCAGAGCTGTCCGACTCTGTGGCCATGAGTCCTTCAGATCGGATGAGATCTGTGAGTCTGAAGCTGGTCTCTTTGGGAAAGATGTACGCAGGAACTCCCCGATACTTCCCTCTGGGTGAGGAACTCTGACTCACACTCACTCTGTGTGTCACACTGTGTGTACTTTTGTGTGTTGATTCCAAACCTGGTGACTGCAGAGTTCCTGGAGCAGGAGGTGTGTGTGTTGTTGTGTTGTTATTGTGTGTTGTTGTGTGTGCAGAGTTCCTGGTGCGGTTCCTGGAGCAGGAGGTGTGTCGGCTGCAGTGGGACGTGGGGTTCGTGAGCCGGACTCTGCTGGAGATCGGGGTCCAGTTGCCGCGGCTCTTTGAGGTCTACGACCAGCTCTTCAAGACTCGGGCAAGTTACATTTATCTGACTACACACTAAAAGCAGTCAGATTGATTGCTCTGGGAGTTGTATTTGTAGCTCATCTGTTTTCTCTTTTTCTGTTTCTATATATAGTTTATTTATACCATTAATCTGTCTTTTTTTTTATTGAAAAAATAAGGAATTCCACCTTTCACTCTCAGAACAGTCATTTTGACTGTTTCATTGATTTGAATATGCAGTTCCATTGTTGACATATTTGGTCGCTTGGCAACAGGCATTCTGTGGCAACAACACACTGTTTCCTGTCAGCAGTTAGCATTAGCAGTATTCAGTTTTTCTGCTATTATTTAAGTTAAAACTGGTTATTATTCCTCATGAGTGAAGTGTGAATGTCCAGGATCCGTGTTGGCAGCGGCTGAAGAAGCCTCTGCACCTGGTGGAGTGTGTCCATGTGCTTCTGTCGAGCTTCGTGGATGATCCCAGTAAAGTGCCCACATACGACCGGTGAGGCCTTCACACCGTTATTCATTCATTAATTAATTTATTTATTCGTCATGTTTTCAACAAACTTTTTTCAGACGGAGATTCACAAACGTGTGTCTGGACAACATCTGTGGTTATCTGGTGGAGCTGCAGTCTCTGAGCCCCAACTCTGCTCTGCAGCAAATCATCGGCAACTTCAAAGCTCTGCAGAGCAAGCTGGAGACGCTGCACTGAGGTGACCTCTGACCCCTGCTGCACTGAGGGGATCTCTGACCCCTGCTGCACTGAGGGGATCTCTGACCCCTGCTGCACTGAGGGGATCTCTGACCCCTGCTGCACTGAGGGGGTCTCTGCTCTGTGGTCTTACCTGGACATTCTCCAGTTCTTCTACAAACACAGACTCTGACAGTTTTGTAACTGCCATCCAAGTGTCTTTCAGTCATTTTGACTGCTTGGATCATCTTCTGTCTCGTTGCTGATTCTGAATTACGTACAAATGAAACGTGGCCAAACTGTTTTTGTCTTTTATTTTGGGCCTCAGACTTTTTAACACTCGTCCCTCATCAACCTTTTATTAAAACTTAAACAAAAACGACAACAACTTTGGAAAAAATAAATGTTTTTAAAATGAGTCTCCAGAGGCTCTGAGTGTCGTCGATGGTTTCATGTTTGTTCCATAATGACACTTAACATAACTACATATAATTACACTTAATTGTCGCAGTAATTGTTTTTCCATCACATCATTTCACCAGAGTCAGAGAGAGACATCACGGAGACGTCAGAGACACTGGGTCGTGTCTATTTCACTGCAACCTTAAAGTTCTATTTGTGAGTAGCACTAACTCTGAGTCTGAAGACTTTAAAGATTCAAACTCAGGAAAAGCAGAAATGTTTATATTCAGGATCGAGAACGACCCTGTGGGAAACCTCAGGGGCCGATGTTGAGAAGGATCCGCTCCACAGACAAGATCCTGGACTGAAGAGGCCTCAGCTCTGACTAGACCATAGTCCTCCTTTGTAATTTATCTACAGCCTCAGTCCTGGATCTACAGCCTGGGTCTACAGCCTCAGTCCAGTCCAGGTCTACAGCAGCGGCTGGTTCTAAAACTAATCAAATATCCCTGGGCGGGCCGAATCTGGCCCCCGGGCCTTGCTTTGACATCCATGATCTACAGACTCCATCTGTGGGTTAGGGGTTTCTCACTTCTAACTGGTGTTTACTGATCCAGGACAGTTCTAAACATGTTCCCTTTGGACCAATGGCTTCATGTGTTTGTTTCCTGCAAGTCCAAGTTTTTGATTCTTTGATCTGATAGATTTAGTGTTTGTAAAGTCCTCGGAGACGACTGCAGTGATTTAAGGCCATACATACAGTGAATTCAATCTAATTCTATAATCCACTTTCTCACTTTTCTATCTCTCACTTAACGCCTAAAAATCAAACTCAGATTGATACTTTTCTAAGTCTCTAGGTCTTGCAGGAACACGTGAGCTTCTTCACTCCGTGGAGGAAAATGTAGGGGATGATGCAGGTGTAGGAGGCGGCGATGTAACTGGCCACTTCCACCACGATTGGAGACGTGTGGATCTTGTTGGTGATCCTCAACAACATGTGGGTCAACCAGCAGACCAGAAACACTGAGGCCACGGCGACCACACTCTTAGCGGCTCGAATCTGAACGTTGGAGCTCGCCTTCGCCCCCTGATGTTGGCTCCGAGCGCCTCTTTCTGCTTGTTCGACTCCCGCGACCTCACCCTCTTTCTCGCCATTTTGTTTCGCGTTTTTATTCATCGAGAGCTCGCCGCCGTGGCCTCTGATCCGCTTGTGGTTTTGAAGCAGGGTCACCACGATCTGGGCGCTGATGGTGACGATCCCGGCCAGAGGGAGCGCGTTTGCCAAACTCAGATATATAATCTCGTAGGTTTTACTTGCCACGGCGTTCGGGAAGTAGTCCACGCAGTCCGCCTCGCTGCCGTTGCCTTCCTCCACTTTGATGAAGAAGAAATGTGGCACGCTGAAGGCCACGGCGACCAACCAGCTGCCGGCGAGAAGGCACAGCACCAGGCGAAGGCGATCCATCAGGACTGGACCTCCGCCGCGCTTCAGGGACCCGACCAGCTTCTGATGCCAAAAGACGCTGATGAAGAAAGTGGTAAAGATGCTGCTCGTTTCAGACAAATCCGCACTGAACTTGAAGATGCCACAATAAGTTTCTCCCAAGAACCAGCTGCCAGCGAAGTCCGCCATGGTGTCCGGCAGGTCCACGAAGTAGTTGGTGATGAGGTTGGAGATGGCCAGGTTGAGGAAGAGGATCTCGTTGGTGCGAAGAGCTGATAGAGCTTTGGGAAGAGAGCGGATGCCGAGCCAGTTGTTCCCGACCACGCCTGCCACAAACATGAGGCCTCTGATGATGGACTCGACCACTTCCTCTGCGTCCATGGCTCAGAAAGAAGCAGTGAGGGGTTTGGGATGTGTTTGTACAGGTGTGGAAGGCCCCGCCCACCTGCTGCTCAGGGGGAGGAGTCAGCGGTCCTGGGTCCCCTGTGGTTTCATGCGCTGAGTAAAGACCAAACTAGTGGGCTTTAAACTTTTAGGTGTGAGAGAGAGAGAGCTGCTGTGGGCTGGGTGTACGAGTCCAAGGCACTACTGACTTTTAAAGAGAGAATGTTTTATTATTCAGTCCAACCGCGTCGCTAACTCTGCATAATATTTTTTTTTAACTTTGAAGTCAGTTGTGCCTCGGACCTTCTTTCTTTTCCATTACATTTTTGATTTGGAACACAAGGGTGCAGTTTCAGGTCGTGTAGATTCAGGACTGAGGCTGGTCCCATCATTGTGTCATGAAACAGACAAAGGGACAGCGGGTGAATAGCAATGAACAGACTACAATATATGAATGTTTTCTTCCTATCTTTTGAGTCATCTGTAATCACTTCTAACTTTCCTCCCGCTCCCTTCTACTCTTTTGCTACCTATGTATACCTGTATGTCTGTAGTAGTATTTTACTTAATCTTGTGAGTTGTTACAAAGGGAAACGTGACTGATCAGCATGGAATGTACTACAGTTTATTTGCTATAAATAGTTGTTATATATAAGGGCGACAGCGGCTCAGTTGTTCCACCACAAAACCTACTTCACGACTCCCACTGAGGTCTGCTGCCGTTGTGTCCTTGGGCAAGACACTTAACCCCACTTTTCCTGAAGCCCCCGCTAAAAGATCAAGGCTCCTGTGGACTCAGCACCTGCAGGAGGATCAGTGAGGGGCTGGTGCTCTGTGTACCCCCCTCCCCCCCGACCCATAAATGGAATAAGGGGAAGAAAATGGATGGATGGATAGTTATATATTTCACTCCGAACCCGTGTAAACAGCACCACACACATCAGCACAGCACCACACACGACACTAGACCCCACGTCTCTTCTGCAGTTTCTCTCTCTGACGCACAGCTGCGCTACAGACGCCTCCAGGATCCAGGGCATGGTGCAGGATCAATGTAGAGCATCTGCCACTAGTACCGCTGCTGCTGCTGAGGCTGAGGTCTCTCCTGCCTCCATCACCTCCTCTCTCCTCCTCCTCTCCTCCGCTCTGCCTTCTCCCGCAGCTCACCCCCCAGCCATGGCTCTGTCCTGGGCACACTTCTCCGAGCCGACACTAGTTTCTCCCCGGGGCTGGAGGTTTGCATGAGCCGCAGCGGAGGACGACATGCCCCCCGGAGCCGGAGCCTTCGTCCCGGTCTGCACCGCGGCCGCGCTGCTGTTCGGATCCACGTCTCTCTTCTTTGTCTTTACGTAAGTGCGCGCGGGTGGTTACGTGTGGGGGTTACGTTCAACCTCTGGACACTTGTACAGTATATTTAGTGTTTGTGTAAATATGGCCTAGAAGTGGGTGGAATGTGGAGAAGTGAAAGTTCTGGCTGCAGCGTGTGCGCCACAAGTTGCTTCTCTTTGACCAAAGTGCAATTAAAGGACTCTATAAAGTATCTATGTATCTATCTATAAAGTATCCATGTATCTATCCGTCTAACTTCAAGGCATGTTTATATGTATCACAGGTCATGCACGAGACAACTCAAAGTGCTGTATTCAAATTCAAATCATAAACAAGAGTAAACATAAAGTCCTTCAGTTGTAGCAGAAACAGAACTGCTTTTGACCTGGGTTTGAACAGTGTCAGAGAAGAAGTCTCTTACATTTTCAGGAAGTCTCTTACATTTTCAGGAAGTCTCTTACATTTTCAGATTCATGCTTCCAGATTTTAGCATGAATCTGAAACAATCAATGAAAAAAGTAACTTGACAAGTTTGAAGCGACTATCGTCCTGTTTCCACGCTCCTGGATCTGTACCGTATCCTTTAGCACCAGGTCGGTCTGAACCAGGACCAAGAGGGACTAAAGAAGGACCTGAGACAACACTCACTATCAGGCGAGAGTAGAGTAGAGTAGGTTAGGGTAGGGACATGGCATATGTGTGTGTAGTGTGTATTTGTCTGTAGTGTGTGTGTCTGTTGTGTGTGTGTGTGTGACCTGGATGCTCCCTGCAGACTCACATAAACACAGATGTGGGGATAAGCCTCTTGTTTTAATCAAATGTAGAGGCTCCTGTCGCTGCAGACATGTGACATCACTTCCTCTCATGAATTTGTACTAATTATATTATTATACCACTATTTTATGTTATGATGCTATTATATTTATTAGTAGTCGGACTCTGAGGAGCACAGGGACTGGCCTCCTACTGGAACTCTTATTATTACAGTGCCTTGCGAAAGTATTCGGCACCTTGAACCTTTCAACATTTCGCCACATTTCAGGCTTCAAACATAAAGATATAGACATTTTATTTTTTGTCAAGAATCAACAACAAGTGGGACACAATCGTGAAGTGGAACGAAATTTATTGGATAATTTAAACTTTTTTAACGAATAAAACATTGAAAAGTGGGGCGTGCAATACTATTCGGCCCCCTTGTACTTGTAGCGCCACCTTTTGCTGCAAATACAGCTGCTAGTCGCTTGGGGTATGTCTCTATCAGTTTTGCACATCGAGAGACTGGAATTCTTGCCCATTCTTCCTTGCAAAACAGCTCGAGCTCAGTGAGGTTGGATGGAGAGCGTTTGTGAGCAGCAGTCTTCAGCTCTTTCCACAGATTCTCGATTGGATTCAGGTCTGGACTTTGACTTGGCCATTCTAACACCTGGATACGTCTATTTGTGAACCATTCCATTGTAGATTTGGCTTTATGTTTTGGATCATTGTCCTGTTGGAAGATAAATCTCCGTCCCAGTCTCAGGTCTTTTGCAGACTCCAACAGGTTTTCTTCCAGAATGGTCCATTTGGCTCCATCCATCTTCCCATCAATTTTAGCCATCTTCGCTGTCCCTGCTGAAGAAAAGCAGGCCCAAAGCATGATGCTGCCACCACCATGTTTGACAGTGGGGATGGTGTGTTCAGGGTGATGAGCTGTGTTGCTTTTACGCCAAACATATCGTTTTGCATTGTGGCCAAAAAGTTTGATTTTGGTTTCATCTGACCAGAGCTCCTTCTTCCACATGTTTGGTGTGTCTCCCAGGTGGCTTGTGGCAAACTTTAAACAAGACTTTTTATGGATATCTTTGAGAAATGGCTTTCTTCTTGCCACTCTTCCATAAAGTTCATCCAGTTCATCCAGAGTGATCATGGGCCTCTTGGGTGCATCTCTGATCAGTCTTCTCCTTGTTTGAGATGAAAGTTTGGAGGGACGGCCGGGTCTTGGTAGATTTGTAGTGGTCTGATACTCCTTCCATTTCAATATAATTGCTTGCACAGTGCTCCTTGAGATGTTTAAAGCTTGGGAAATATTTTTGTATCCAAATCCGGCTTTAAACTTCTCCGCAACAGTATCTCGGACCTGCCTGGTGTGTTCCTTTGTCTTCATGGTTCTCTCTGCGCTTTAAACAGAACCCTGAGACTATCAAAGAGCAGGTGCATTTATACGGAGACTTGATTACACACAGGTGCATTCTATTTATCATCATCAATCATTTAGGACAACATTGGATCATTCAAAGATCCTCACTGAACTTCTGGAGTGAGTTTGCTGGACTGAAAGTAAAGGGGCCGAATAATATTGCACGCCCCACTTTTCAGTTTTTTATTTGTTAAAAAAGTTTAAATTATCCAATAAACTTCGTTCCACTTCACGATTGTGTCCCACTTGTTGTTGATTCATGACAAAAAAAATTAATTTTTATATCTTTATGTTTGAAGCCTGAAATGTGGCCCCGAGTGAGATCAGCGGATGTGCTCATGGACCTTTTGGAGCCGGGACCCGCCCAGACTGAAATGAACTGTGCTATACAGATAAACCTGCCTTATTGTAAGTGACTTACACAGTTTTTCACTGCAGCCTGAATCCTGCACCAACCGTCTCCGATCCATAAAACTGTTGGACCAGGCGAGTCTGTAATCTGCCTGTTAGTCTACTGACCCCTGCCCTGCGTTGCCACATCTGTCCTACTTTCCTCCGTGCTGTGGCCTCGCATGTGTCCACTGGTAAACGACACCAGATTGGGATTAGGATGCTCTGGACGTGTGAGGCCGGATCCCATCTGGGACCACGGAGGAGCCCAGTCCGACATGTCCTGGTTCAGACTCTGCATCAATCTGAGGCCAATATTTAAGAATGGATGCCTTTATTATAATCATGAAGTAGCAGTAACGGAAGCAACAGTAGTTGTAGAAGTAGTAGTAGCAGTAGTAACAGCAGCAGCAGTAGCAGCAGCAGCAGCAGTAGTAGTAGCAGGAGCAGCAGTAGCAGTAGCAGTAGTAGTAGCACACACACACACTCTCTATGTGTGGCTGCTAATGTGATGGGAACAGAGGACATTACTTAATTGGAAGGTGAGTGGAGACCAGCGAGATGATCACATGACCACATGATCACATGACCTACATTTCAAAAACATCCAACTCCATCAAACGATCATAATAATGTATTTATGTATTTATTGTCAAAGCAGAAACATGGAGTGATCTGGTCGTCACTTACACTCATATGTCCCCTGCTCTCTTAACGGCTTTGGTTTTAGTAGTAGTAGTGGTGGTGGTGGTGGTAGGAGTAGTAGTAGTACCAGAATCAATAGGAGTAGCATTAATAGTAGTTGTATTCTTGGTAGTAATAGTAGCAGTAGTAGTAGTGGTGGTAGTAGTAGTATCGTTAGTAGTAGTAGTTGTGGTAGTAGTAATAGTAGTGATAGTGGTAGTAGTGGTGGTAGTGGTGGTAGAAGTTGTAGTATCTGTAGCAGCAGTAGTAGTACCAGCAGTAGTACCAGTAGCAGCAGTAGTAGCAGTAGTAGTACCAGTAGCAGTAGCAGCAGTAGTACCAGCAGTAGTACCAGTAGCAGTAGCAGTACTAGTAGCAGTAGCAGTAGTAGTACCAGTAGCAGTGTTGGTTCAATCCAAACAGACATGATCTCTTGTTCAGAATAAAAACAAACCGTTGTCATAGAACCAATTCAAGATTCAGTCTATTTTCCATTTGCGGTAAAACCACCTTGGAATAGCTGTGCAAGAGCCCCCCACACAGACTTCTTATTAAAAACACTTTAGATCTCGACCCCAGACCATCATGGGTTCGCTGCTCCTGATGTGATCTCTCAAAGGTCTCTGCTCCACTGACCCAGAGGTCCAGGAGATTATTGAGTCGCCTCTCAACTGTGACATCACATCCCCTATTTTTTCTGATTCAGTTCACTTCCTGCTTGCAGTAAAACCCCATTGGAATACATGAGCGCCAGACAAATACATGAATAAAACAAGCTAAAAGTACAAGACAATTATCACTGTGAAACCAATCTACTAAACTATCATGTTCCAGCTTCTTCCCTCTGGCAGAAGATGTCGTTCACTGAGGATTTTCCACATTACACAGCTTATGGCAGCGGTGAACAAAGGTAGGGTTAGTCGGTGTTTCTCTAAAGGTACATTAGTTGTTTTTAACCTGGATTTGAACATTGTCAGAGAAGAAGTCTGTCTCACATTTTTAGGAAGACTGCTTCAGGTTTTTTTTGCTGCATGAATCTGCATCACTGCCTCTCCATGTTTAGTGCTGACTCTGGGACCAGCAGGAGGCCAGTCCCTGTGCTCCTCAGAGTCCCAGCAGGAGGCCAGTCCCTGTGCTCCTCAGAGTCCCAGCAGGAGGCCAGTCCCTGTGCTCTTTTCTCTCAGACTCGTTGGACCATAAAGACGTTAATGTTTCTCTTCATGGGATTAGAACATAAAGATTAATCCCAGTTTTTCTCTCTGTAATTGATCGTCTGTAAGAGTTTAAGCGCGTCAGACGTGACCGTGTTCAGAAGGAGCTCGACACAGATCCTCTGCTCCATTTCTCTGCAACAATCGGTTTGTTTCCCTCAATCCCAGAAACAAACCTTGTCTATTTCCAGCATTTTCTTTTCAGATCTTGTGCTTTTGTTAAACTCTAAAACAAAGTGCATTTTTTGTGGTGAAATGTGAGTCTTTTCGTGTCTGAAGATTCACTGAGTCCAGGACTGGGCAGAAATAGTCTGTAATCCAGAGATGATAATCCCAGGATTATGGGTTTGCATCTGGCCTGGTCGGGGTCCCCCTCCCCCACCGCCTCAGCCGGTCTGTAGCTCTGTGACATCAATGATTATACTGCTGTGAGACCAGAGGGGGAGACCAGAGGGGGAGACCAGAGGGAGAGACCAGAGGGAGAGACCAGAGGGAGAGACCAGAGGGAGAGACCAGAGGGAGAGACCAGAGGGAGAGACCAGAGGGAGAGAAAAGA